ACGGGCAGCGGCTAGAGGTTGAGGAAGTGGAGCTCAGCATCACCTCGCTGTGCTCGAGTATCCGCAAGGCGGCGGTTGATTGTGTCAAGATCGCGGAGAAAGGAGGAGGGAAGAGAGCGTTTTTGGTGGCTTTTGTCGCGCCGCATGAGTCTGAAGATTGGGGAGAAGTCGGAAAGGAGGGTGGACTGGAAGTGATCCAGGACCCCAACGACAACTTCTACAACACCATCGAGAGCCTCTACACCTCTCTCCAGGACACCCTACCCTCATACATGCTCCCCTCATATTTCATTCCCTTCTTGAATATTCCCCTCAGCTTGTCCGGGAAAGTGAACCGCAAACTCTTACGGGAAGAATCGACAACTCTCCTCGTCAGCCAGGATCACAGGGAGAAGTACCAACTTCGCACACGCACAGCACGCGAGCAAGCAGCAGACGGAGAGAAGGTTCCTCTTACAGAACATGAGACCCAAATCCTCCAAATAATCGCCCAGGTGTTGCATTTGGATGCGCAACAAGTGCCCATCAACGGCAACTTCTTTGGCATAGGCGGTGATTCCATCTCGGCCATGCGTGTGGCTGCGCTCGCTCGACGCAAGGGACTTCAGCTGGGCGTCGTCGAGATCTTCAAGCACCAGATCCTATCACAGATCGCGGCTTCGTGCTGTCCAGAGTCAGAAACAGACAGCACCACTCGAGACTTTTCCGAAAGCTCGTCGATCACCGACAGCACGTCTCAAGATTCGTCTGAAAGCTCGTTAACCACAGACAGCAACAGCGAAAACGGCTTGGGATGTGAACTGCCGCCTGGTCTGCCACAGGAAGTGGCGCAGCAAGTGGAATTGGCTCTCCCCGCGACAGATTTCCAGACAATGACGCTGTACAACTTTTACTCACGCTTTCTGTGGGTTTCGCTTCCGGACACCATCGACACTAAAAGGTTGCAGCAGGCATGCCAGATGTTGACGGAGAAGCATTCGATTCTGCGGACCGTGTTTTACACCACCACCAACACTGCGTCCGTCGTCCAGCTCGTCCTCCGCAGCTTCTCAGTGGACCTGAAATATTACGAAGACATCGAGTCATTGGAACAGCACTTCACCAGCGACTCGATGTCTCACGGGCCCCCGATCAACGGAGCCGAAGGATTCCAGGTGCAACTTCTCTCACTCCGTGACGAGCAGAAGAGATACCTGGCACTGAGACTCCCGCACGCCCAATTTGACGGCTTGTCCCTCAACGTCCTCATCGACGACCTGTCGGCCGCCTATGATGATAATACAGGCCATTCACTAGCTCCCTGTGCGCAGTTCTCGGACCAAGTCAAGTGCGTGACAGAAGCAAAGACGACACATGAAGCGTACCAAGTTTGGGAAGATGTCCTTAACGATGCGGAGATGACGAAGTTGGATGGCCAGATTTTGCGCCGCGGGGATGGCGTGGCAAGAACAGAGGAAGGTGAGGAGAGTGTTAAGGAGGAGTTGAGCGTCGTGACAGCAATGACCGAGACAGCGCCGTTGGTGGCGCCAGCGGGTATCACGATGGCTACGTTGGTGAAGCTGGCCTGGGCTCTTACGCTCTCGAGTCTCTTCTTGCCAAAGCAACCCAAAGAAAAGGGGCCGGAAAGCGGAAGGAATGTGGTCTTCGGTCAAGTCATCCACGGCCGCTCACTCTCGCTGCCCTACGAAGATAGGATCGTGGGGCCGTGTCTGAATATCATTCCCGTCCGGGTTCGTCTACCACCCACCACACCCAATCTGGACGACCCAGTCAGTACGCGGGTGCTTTTGGAGCAGATCCAATCGCAGCACATGGCCACGCTCCCGGTAGAGAACCTGTCCCTCTCGACCATTACGAAACACTGTACCCACTGGGCGCCGGGAACACAGTTTGGGAGTTTTGTGAGGTTTCAGAATTTTGAGGATGATAACGGCATGCGATGTTCTCTGAACGGAGAGAGCTGTGAGACCGGACTGTGGAGTCTCCCCAATAAGCCCTCCAAGACGGCGAATGTATTGATTATGCCGAAGAAAGAGGGTAATTTGCAGATTACGCTGACGGTAGGGAACATGGTGTTGGGCCAGCGGGATGCGGATCATGTTGTGGGATGCTTCAGAGAGGTTCTAGAGAGTCTGGCAGGAGGCGAAAAGGTCGTTTGATAGAGTCACATTGTTTCGGCTAGGCTCACGTTAGACAGGGGGTTGGGTTGTTTGTCTTGTTGTTTTCGTTATGCCTTCTATTAAGAAAGGTTTCCCTGTCAGACTTTACTCGTGACTTTAGAAGGGCTTCATCATGGCGCCTATTCCACAGGCTACATTATCACCAATACAACCTTTCCTAATGGAAGGCACCTTAGAAGTCTCTTTTTCAGCGTGTTCACTTGTGTGTATCTAGCGAAATATCTTCTACTTCAATCTGTGCCTAAATCTGCCTATAACCCCTATCTTTACCTCTGAAGTTCAGTAATGCCGTCGTAATAGCCGGATCCCTCTCCGCTTTTCGGCAGAAAGGTGGGTGGACCCCTAAATCTGACAAATGAATCAGCTACTATTTCAACACTGAAACCCTAACTTCGGAACTGCATCATCCAAACACACAACTCTCCAGGAACAATCTCAACGGTTTCCCAACAGACCAGCCAACATGGCGTTCCGCGTCGCCATCCTCGCAAATTTTGACCTGGACGAACAAGGTGGAAGCGAAATGTTATCCAGAATTACCACCCTCCTCCGATGCTCCCGAACAGGTGCTACTGAGATCACTATCCACTCCGCCATCCGCGGCGATGCCTTCCCGGACCCGTCCGAGTACGATCTAGTGATTCTGACAGGAGGACCATTCAACCTGTTGAAACACACCGAGGAGAATGAGAGACCGGAGTGGGTGCGGCGAACACTTGGCTGGATCCAGGAGACTGCGAAAATTCACGAAGCAGGTGGGCTCAGTGAGTCAGGTAGTAAGAAGAAGGCCAAGTTACTGGGTATCTGCTGGGGTCATCAAGCCATTGCCTTGGCTCTTGGAGGGCGGTTGGGGCAGGTGCCGCAGGAGAGAGGCGGGCAATTAATCGGTATTGAGACCGTCCCTCTCACTTCTCAAGGCGCTGCATTCTTCAAAACTGAATCGCTTGTATGGAACTACCCACACAATACCCCCAATCTTCCTACAAACCAACAGAAAAACTAAAATGTGCCTCTATCTTCACCATAGGACATTCAAAAGAATCACGCCCTGGTTGTAACCCACCCCGGGCCATATCTTACACCTGTCGCTTCTGGCTCATCTTCTTCTCAAAACGAAGTCCTCCTCTCCCAGAGCCTTCCTATTCTCACCTTCCAAGGCCACCCAGAGATGGACGCCGCTCTCGCAAGACTATTTGCCGGATTGGCGACGGGAGGCGCGTCGGACCGTGCAGACTGGATTGCGTCGGAAGGGTTGAAGGGTATCGACGACGTACATGATGGGGAGGCGATCTTGAAAAGGGTGGTGGCGTGGGCGGACGAGTAGAGGAAATAAGCGAGGCTATGTTGGGGTCTGCTGAGTGTCATATTGATCGACGAACGCGTTGGACGTGCCTAGAAACGGTGACGCCTTACGCATCGATGGTGATGAGCAAGTGAGGTATAGATGGTATACAGCCCACAAAAGCAGTCAATGTATGACGTGGGATATAAAGACCTGCCCATCCAGAGTGAAAGCTCGTCAACCATGTTATTAGCTGCTGCATTGTGATATGACAGTACACCTGACCGGGTGTTGGAATCTCAGCTCGTATGCTTCGTGTTAAAAATATCATTTTGAAAGGCGATGCTCAAGTCTTTAAATCAAATACGCTGGTCGTTTACATGGCATCTCGATGGACGATGAGTGATCGTTCCTCGTGCTAGACACCAGATCCTAGGTTACCGAGGACGCCGAAAAGGAGCATTGGCGGGTTCAAGGCAGAAGGTCGCATCTGCGTAAATAAGCTTGCCATTACTAAACATGAGGAAGTGTACCAGCGGAATTCACTGAGTGTCCAGCTAGGGGTGCCCACTATTGAATGTTAGCATAAATAGTCTTCTTCGTAAGATCGAGGCCTGTTTGCAGATTCAATAACTACTCTTTGGGGCACAATGAACAAGGAGATGAAAGATGTCCAAGTATGGTCGAAAAGTCACCCAAGATAAGTTCCAGACATCGCCAGCGTCAGAGAATCACGAGTCCGCAACGTTATACTGTTCGCAGTTCTCCATTAGCCAAAGTTGAAAGGCATACCATTCTCAACAATGTATGCTATTTTAAACGGGGTTTTCTCATTTTTTCCATTTCTGCCCTTTTACTAATGTCACTTCGATGTCCCCTTTTGATGGATGGACGTTTGTAATAATGACGGGTTCTTAGATGTTTAAATGTAGTGGCTGTGCATCCATTTCAAAGATATTCAAGCCATTCCAGAGGGAACATCAAGGAGCTCTTTCTGCCTAGTGGGCGTGGTGGGACGCCTTGCTGAAGGGTATTGGTACTCTTTCCTTGGCTTCACTTTTACGAAGCCCATTGGCTTTCAAATGCATCACAAGCCATCACATTGCCTGCATAATTTCACTACATCTTTGAACCAACTAAATTGCTAGTTCACCTTACAGATGATATCTAATTGGCTGCAAATAGATACAAAACCACTGCAGGTCAGGTTGTCTTACTCAACTCAGCTGTCTTGCTCTGGGCCGTGGTTCGAACAGGATGCCCGAATCGCCACAAGGGCGTGCCCACTCGGGTCACGGGTACTGGATGATACATAGCACAGTTTTAGTCACCAATAGAAATAGAACGCCTTGCATAACCGCTGCATCGATAGAATGCATAATTGCGCGACACATCAATTGTGTTTGCATAAGTGGTGGACAGCTGAAGTTCAACAGTCATATCGCAACGAGAAATTCTGACGAAGTCAATTGTAGTGGAAACTGAGGCGCCCAAGGCAAAGTTTTCTGCTATTGTGCGGTAGCGTCAATTCCTTGATTTCATGCCAATTCACACTCAATCAGACTCTCAACGCCATTGCCAACATCGTGGATCTTCAACACAGTCAACCCAGCCTTGTCCAACAACGTTTTCCACTCAAGACGAGTTCTCTTTTTACTACTAACAAGGGTCAGCATCATAATGTCTTGCCCGGTGTTTTGCCAATCGGCGCCAGTATCCGGAATGCAATTTTCGTTAACTAGCAATCTGCTGTAACCAGGTTTCATAGCAGCCGTCGTCCTTGCCAAGATTTCTTCGCACTTGACGTCTGGCCAGTCGTGAAGCACGGAATGCATATAATAAGCCCGTGCGCCTGGGATATTCATTAAGTCAAACTCGTAGGTGTTTGTGTCAAGGCCAGGCTAACGACTTACCCTTGATTGGTTGCTCATCGAAAAAGTCATGCCCCATTCTCTCGATCTTGTGGTCCAACTTATCGATCTGGTCGATGACGCTTGGCAGATCCTGGACAACAAGCCTACCGGGAGCCTTAGGAAACTTCTTCCGGAACTCGTCAATGTCGTGACCAAAGCTACCCCCAACATCGACGAGAAGAACTCCATCCCTAGCATGGTCGTAGCCATCAAGGAGGTGCTCCTCGACAGGGTAGAATCCTTTGTCCATCCAGCTTGGTCTGCCTTGTCTATATGCGCCCATATGTTGTGCAAATTGCATGTCGTACGGTGGATTGGCCGCAAAGTGGCTGAAGCAGTCAAGTTTTGTGTTATATCCGTATTGCAGAGGGCTGTTGAAAACATCGTGGGGCTCGCGGTAGTTGGTCTTCTTGGCGAACTCGTGAAACTTTGCGAGAGCTTCCATACAGGCACCAGCACTGGACATAAGTTGGATCATTAGTAAAATGAGGATCCCATGAATCCTTTGGGCTGCACTTACACGCAGGGATAACCAGCCCCCATACTTTTGATTGTCAATGCATTGGAGAAGTTCGTTGGTTTGTACTCATCCGGCCCAGTTTCGGTGATGTACTGCATCGCTCCTAAATGTCGCATGATCCTACCTATTCCGCATTAGCGCAACGTCTCGGGTGAAGTGTGCGCGTGAAGAGACAACACACCAAGTAGAGCTGGATCATGTCCGAGTCTGCAAGCGAGGTCGGATATTCGTTGAGGTGCTTGAGTCTGAGCCATCAAGGTGAAGAGTCCCGAGTCCACGGCGTATGTGAGTGCAGTGAACGCAGCGGGCTATTCAAAAATCACACTTTAGGCATGTCTTAAAGAAATAACCAGGTCAAGGTTTATCGCACCTGCGCCCAACAATGCTTGATCATAGTCTCTCGCGGAGTTTCCAGGGCATGGACGAGTGACCGTGCGTTTGCCAACATCTTGAGACGAGCAGTGTCATTTCCAGAAGCCACAACTTCGGTCAGACCAGCAATATTCTTCACATGTTGATTGACGCTGGGTAGGTCACACGCGCTCAAAGCAACAGAGATGTCAACCTCCTTGGGTGGTTCTGGTATGGAGCCCATTTTGCGGGTGTGGAAGATTCCAAACACGACTTGGAGATGAAGGTACAGAGAAGGCGAGAAAGGGGGAGTAAGGAAGCAATGCCGACTACTGAATGAGAATATGCAACATAAAGATGAGCTGCGGGTGTCAGGACACTGGCCATAGACCTGCCTTTATTGAAGCAGAGCCACATTGACAGAATGGGTAACCTTACTCCCAACTGTCTTTTCCTCCGGCGCAACTAGCGGCTTCCCGGGCCAACTCCTAACCCCGCCCATGATACTTTAAACCGATCCAATCCCTAGGTGGGCCAGAAGAAGACTCCCCCTTTTTCCTTCCTAGGTCACATCTCATGATGTTTAGTCCCTGCTGTTGGCCAGATACTTAAGGTGCTTGTCTCAAAAGGGAAGGTTGTCGAATATTGGTTTCCATCGGGAGGTGGCGGAAGAAGGTGATGGACCTTGTCGCAATCGCAGGCAGCTTGCGCGATGCTCAAGTTCCATGACTTTTCTGATTCGGCGCTCTTGCTGGGTCTTCCTCCAACGCGTTTCCATGCGCCAATACTTGTGTTCTGACCCGTTTCACTCTGATTGTGATTGAAGGCTTGAGGGGTACCTTCATATCTCCAGGGGCTAGACAAAACTTGACAAGGGGATTCCAACGTTCCTGCAGAGGATGGGCTGATGTTGTTGTTGTTGGTTCATGAGAAATTACAAGAAGTCCGGCCATTGGACGAAGACGCTTTCAAAGTGGAAACTGTCCAGGATCCCGGAACGACTTCCGGTGGAGCTTGCGGATCGTGATCCCCGCGGTTGCGGCCGCGGGCCCGACCTGTCCGAGCATTGCGCGTTCTCGATGGAGAAATCTTCACGATCGTGCATGGGTATTTGTCTGTTGGTTCAAGTCGTTCCACATCCAGGACATTAAATCTGCTCACAGAAATACACACTCAGCAGTGCCTCGGGGCTAATGTACGCTTCAGGTCGAAGGATGGGTTACCGGCGCCTGCTTGCTCTGCCACTCCTCCCCGATAGAGACTTATGAATGTTTGGCCATATTCTCTGCCAGACTATTGCAGGTATCTCGCTCGTGGCCAGGGGAGTTGGCTGATGGCAGGCTTGCGTCGGAACGTGCACCTTGCTCGTAGGTATGTCGGCATCGCACCAACAGCGGCGGAAAACTGGGTCTCTTCAGTCCTCGCGTGATGGTCCAAGTTCTTTTGCGGTAACATTATCGGAATTCGTGTAGAAGGGTTTGTGCTTCGCAGCAATCGCGAATGAAACTTGCGAAAGTTTTCCCTCCCTCATCATGTGTCTCGTTTTCTTCCGCGATCGCGGTTGTGAACATGGCTGACATGTCACTAAGAAGTCAGTCAACCGCCGAATCTAAAGGCACAAGCATAATTGTGACCATCTGCATCATCGTCGGCATCAGCACTGTTTTCGTCCTTGGTCGATTGTTTATGAGAATCAAGATTCTTGGAAAAACTCACCTGGATGACCACTTGACAGTCGTATCACTGGTAAGAGGGCTCAGACACCCAGTAACATGGAAATCTCAGACTAATGATATCCGTCTTCCAGCTTCTCAGCTATCTCACAGTCGGACTCGAGATATGGGCCGTTCAAAGTGGTGATGGTCGCCACGTCAGTACGCTTTCCATAGAACAACAGTCCGCCGCTGTCTTGTCGACGATTTCCGGCTTCCCGCCCAATGTTCTCGCATATACAGTGCCCAAGTTTGCGGTGGTAGCGCTGTTGGTCAGGATACTTAATCCGGGAAGGATCCATCGTATTGTCCTGTGGTCGCTGGCAACAATCTGTCTGGTCCTTGTCCTGTTGTGTATCATCATATTATTCGCCCAATGCACACCATCACGAGCGCAATGGGAGTTTACTATAACAGACAAGAGCTGCTGGAGCCCCTGGGTCCTGATTAATGTTGCGATTTTGACTGGTGGTAAGCCATTTCTGGTCCATCTCGCAGATACTGGATAGGATCGAAACCTAACACTCCTGCAGCATATTCGGCCGCACTCGACTTGTACTTGGCAGTGTACCCCGCGACTGTTCTGATGAGGCTTCAGATGAATATCAAAAAGAAGTTTATTCTTAGCATTGCACTTGGTATTGGATCAATGTGAGTATTGATAATCCAGACTGTCCATTGCTTCTAGACACTAATTCGTACTCCACAGTTCCTGCTTCATCTCGATCTACAAGAGCACACGGCTGCCATCTCTTGCCAGTAAAGACTTCACCTGTAAGTCAATCTCGAATCGCAGATGACACCATACTCACTTGTCTTAACTAGACGATAGTGCGGACCTTGTAGTTTGGACAGTGTATGTCATATGATACTTTGAAACATGGTGATTGAGAGGCTAATCTCGCGGCAGAGTCGAGGGTAACACTCTCATTATCGCTTCGTGCATTCCCGTCCTCGGGCCTCTTGTCGAGCTGGCCTTGGGCCGTCGCGTCCTAAGCTCGACCGACCGGAAATATCAGAAACAGAGCGACACAGGTGGCCTTCGATCGGGTGGAATTGAGATGCATGGCTCTAGACCCATGAACCGGAATGGAAATGTTGTCGGCAAGAACTCAACTGTCATTCAGTCACGGCATGACCAAGATGACGCTAGTAGCCAGGAAAGTATTCTCGTTGGGACCGCTGGGTCGGCTCATAGACCACGCGGCATTATGAGGACGGACGATGTTACGGTATCTTTCGACTCCCGAAGTGTAGCGGATGGGAGAAAGAAAGAAGGTGATGGGCCGAAATGGGGTGCCTTCCAGTCACGAGACTAATCAACTGCTTGGGCAAATACGGGCGATGGCGGCTTTGGCAGATTAGGCCCGTACCGAACATTATTTGTAGCAATCATCTTTCTTTGTTGCATCGTACTTTCGGTCTTGTCTTATATGGTGGCTCAAAAACAGCTGTTGAAGTACTCTCTGACTTGAGGTGGCATCTCGCGGTAGTGCTCAAGGTTTCCATCCACAATCAAGTCCTTCAAACTCGCCTTTTTGTAGCCCTCGGCCTCCCAGAGATCTGTTCCAACCATCTGCGCCTGCTGGCCTGTGCCCCATATCTTGCGACAGTACCACGACAGGGTGAACAGACTCCCCGAAGCAAGCCCATCCTCAATCTCTCCGTCGATCTTCTCCAGGCTGTGATTCGATACTTGAGGCGGTTTTCCGTTCCTCTCCCTCAGAGCATTTGCAACATCTTCTCCTGTCGGAGAGAGTTCTGTCAGAGCTATGGCTCGGTTTTGAATTTGAGCCACAGGTGTCCTGGTGAAGATGGAGACATAGGCTGCCGCCACATAGTCTCTTGTGCTGCACATGAAGAACTCGTCAGTCTCAAGTCATTCAGCGACCGCAGGGTCCAGTTCCAGACTTACCACAAGTTGACTTTAGCCTTAGCGCTGTTGGCGGAGTTGATGAGTCGATTGCCTAGAATATCGACTCCCATCCCGCTGGATGAAAAGCAAATCAGTCAGGCACATCCGCTGACTGAATTACAATACTAACAGCGTGTTCAGAGCAAACTCTGCAAAGTTGCCCACTAGGACCACGGTCGTCGGGATGCCCGCGACTTTTGCTGCCTTTTCTACCTCTTCCTTGTTCTTGTTCACGGCAATCCGCATGCCTTGCTCATCATACCGAGCGGCGAGGTCAGAAGGCGAGAACAGCTTGACATTTGTCTTGGGAATAGCCTTCACAAAACCATGCTGTCTCTGAACCCCTTCATGGCCAACAAGTGAGCTAGCGAGAACGTTTGTCAGTGTGCTCAGGTACGCTGACGGCGTTGTGAGTCTTACATCACGATGTCTATGTCTTTCAAGGCGCTGACTAGACGTTCCTCATCGTTCACATCTACCTCAACCTTCTCAACATGTTCCGGAAGGTTGGATACGTCGGACCCCGGACGAATCAACACCCTGACTGGCGCGCCAGAGGCGATCAAGGCCTCCACGATTCGAGAACTTCCCCAGCCACGATGGCCATAGACAGCGATTCGGTTAAAAGATGCCATGGCGAACTGCGACTGGCGTACGTGGTATTGAGGAAAAGATACTGCTGAGATGTGGCTTTGATTGCAATGTTGACGGGTTTTGAAACTTGAAATGAGGGGGACGGATTCTTCGACTTATGTAGTCCGTGGCTGAAACTGTAAGTAAGACATGCATGCAGTCTCCTCTCACTTTGCATCGGATGTCCGGGAACAAGAAAATTACATGGCTTACGGAAAAATTCGTTGGACTCACAATATTAACATGTAATCATCAATTGGGTCACTAGCCACTTTTCGTTCTCGTTCTCGGGTAGTCGCTCACCGCCCCACATCCAAAGCCAAATGCCAACGTTAAGTGGCTTGCGGATCGCATCATTTGGGGTAGTAACTGATCTTGATGTGCGACCGTGGTGGAGATTTGGTCCTGGTGAGCAGTTTGTGGGTTGAATTCTAGCCTCGATGATAAATCGATGTTGAACGACCACTGATTGCGGCAATGTTTTGCTTCCGAAATAATACCCACACAATGCTTCGGAAGCCGGGTGCTCGTGGAGTGGCGCCGGAAGAGCGCCTTAGGGCGTAACGAGCCAGTCCATCTGGAAATGAATTGAGGGCACAGTGCCTGTTGGAGTCCTAAGCCTGTTCTCATACCATGCAACCGCGTCAGTCCGCAGTGATGATTCGCAAGATTTGTTCACTGCGCCGTAAACTTGACCAAGCACCGAAGCCCGGCTCCTCGCCGGTAAACGGCCCCACATCTCGTTCAATACCCGGACACAAGTTTCGGCCCCGGCGCTTATAGTTCTCCGGGTCGCATGAAATATTAGACCTAATTCTTGCGACTGGTCGAACTAGAAAATTGGGCCGCGGAACGTTGAGGCCGAGGGCTCTGAGGCGCAGACGAAGTAAGTGAGTTCACCCGATACTTGAGATACATGTCATAGGAAGTAATGGTTAGGCCTCATCGTTTGGCTTGTCACTACTACATGGTTCACTTTTTGTTCCTCGAAAACACTGCTTCAGAAGTTGCTGTCTAACTTCAAGCTACACCCCGGGTTCGAAGTAAGCGATGCTCATGACGATTCCAGCACCACAACCACGTAGTGGCTTATCTCAATGGGTAGGAATCACCAACCTCGTATTTACAAGGCTGGCAATGGCAAGCTCGACTTTATCGCTCATATGCCCCACCCCCCCACGAAGAATTTCAGGTACTGCAAAGGCCGGTTTTAAATGCGTCTACTCGAAATCCACTATCAATCAGGCTGCGCAGTCAGTGTTACATGCCATCACGCTGATCAACGGCTCATGTCAGCCTGCGCCGCACTGCAATCTCCTCGCTCTAACCCACTGCTGCATTCGTACTCCGGGGCCAAAAACAACTCACCAGAACTTGTTCTGGGCTACCACGGTCTTCTAACACGATGCCATCCGATCCGAAATCGGGCGATAAATCCTTGGCATTTTACGGCTGAAGATAACGGACGCCAGCCGCTGTGTCGCGTGTGAAGAAAGCAGCTGCCTGGCTTAGGCAGGGGTAGAGGTCTCATTCTAATCGTCTCAGACGAATGGGCCACAGCCTTATGAACAGGCGCCACCGGTCCTTACCCTCTCACCCGGAATTTGGGAGAAGCAGGCACGCGGGCATTGTTTCGAGATCAAGAATCTTCACAAGGACACAGAAAGGCAAGAGATGCAATTTTTCGGGGCTTGTTTATCGCATCACATGGACTGCTAATGATCCTTCGGCCCCCAACAAAGTTTGGCGAGGGCGGGGGTTAGGTCCCAGAGGAGCCCAGCCCTGGTCTCGACGCCATGTGTCTTAACGACCTTAGCTTGATCGAACCTACCAGTTTGAACAGCACGGTCTAGCAAAGTCTGTTGGTAACTCCCTGTCTTGCACCACGTAGGAGGAGTGCCGGGTACAGGAGCCGCGCCTAGAATGTCAGCGGCAAGGGTCTTGTACAAAACACGTTCACAGTTCGACTGCCTAAATTACTCACGGAAAATTTTAATTAATTGAGACAAGGCAGTTAAGAATGTGGAGAGTGATCGTTCTTCGCCTTTTATTGCCATGGTCCGTAACGTCCTGAATTATAGCTTATCGACTGCCGGTGAAGTCGCACATGGATGAATATTCGAAGAGTCCTGGTCCTGCAACTGCACCGCAGAGATGCAGGAAACAGTGAACCGGTAGGATGCATCACCACCCACTCCCCGGCCCTCTAAAGGCCGAAGGCTGAGAGCACACTAGCCTACATGTGGTAGCCAACCCGGACTCGCATTGCCGCATGCCGCCGTAGCCAGCCTGATTTTCCATCATGGGAGCAGAATTTAACATACGAAACCCCCATTCGAAAGAGCCTTGTTCTTATGCCGAAGAAACCAGCAGACTTCTACTCAATGCATGGTTGCCAAGATGGCCTCGCATTCTGATGCCGTGGAACTCAATCAGCGGTACACCCGTCTGGGGAATGCCACGCCGTCTGATGGAGAATTCAGTCCAAGTATCATCTCTTATGACCCGATAGAGCCTGCCCCGGTACGTCGAAGGCCGCTTCCAGCAGGTGCCAGAACCACGCTTGAAGAGCCGCTGCTGCTCGAGCAGTCCCCAGATCCTCGCAACAGCATCGACGTCAATTTTGAAAGTCCTCAACATCGATTCTCAGACTCAACACTAAAAGATGACTACATAACATCGGTTCATCCGTACCACAGCCCCGGCTTAGACAGTGTCGGGAAGCAAATCACGTACGATCCCAACCTCAAGCCAAAACCAATCACCCGCACAAACCTATCGCGCTATCTCAACGGATGGCTTGTCCATATCCCAGCGCTAGCCTCCACTGCAGTCATCATATGGATCAGCTGGGAAGACTGGTACTGGTTCCCCATGGAAGGGCCCTGGCCTAACCTAGGATTCACTGCCGATGTCATGAACAACATACTCCAGCTGCCCGCTAAGATTCACGAACTTCTCATCGTTGCTTCGTTCTCTTCCATCGCCATAGCAATGCTCCGTCGCCGACTGGTTGGTGGCGGCGTGAGTTTAGGGTTCCTTACCGGCGGTTATCGAGTTGGCGACATTCTCTACCTCGCTTCAAAGCCGTTCCGCCACTCTCAAGACCTCAAGAACCCAATATCTTGGGAGTTTATTATCGCCCTTTTTCTTATCTTTGCCACTCTCATGTCCACAGTCGTTGGACCTGCATCGGCCGTCCTTCTTGTTCCGACCCCCGGATGGTTTCCATTGGATCATTCCCTAGCGTTCAGCAACCTTTCCGACCGTTCGCTGCCGGTATTTTACGATTCGATCCCGGAAAGAGTTTGGCCGCACACATTCAATGCAACACCGGACATATCAGAATGCAAGACTATAGATGGAATGTACGAAGCATGGTGTCCGGCTGGTGGCTATTCGGAAATATGGAATTGGGCCGAAAGTTATGGCGCGACCGATTTAAAGAACAACCTCACGTTCCAATTTCCCACGACAGATGTGCGACGACATTTGGTACACGTCGAAGCCGATGGTAAATACAAGACTGTCCTCTCAACCACCCCGTCCAACTTCTTTATGATGGGGCTCGGTCTCATCCAGAAGTACATTGACGGCAATAATGTTGGACTTATACACAGTAGCTCCCGTTACGAACTCACGCCCCGGCTGGTTAACTACACGCACCCCAACGACCGAGAACTGGACAGCTCAATATATCAGCCCATGGTGCAGTCTAAATGCAGGGTTTACGAAAAACAATACTTCACCGAGCCGGGTCAAAGCATGACATATCCAACGGAGGCCATGAACTGTTTTGGCGACAGAGACTGCGAGAAAGTTCGGGACACTCCACCGACTTTCAATGAGAAGTTTCTATTCGCCGAAACTGAGGAGGATCAGACGATCTCCACTGAGTACACTATAGAGGGCGGGAAAGTAAGCTCCGTGGTTCTCATCGCCGGACAAGTTCCAAGCACAGATGATCACACGAAGGACATAGCCTACACCTGCAGCCTTCTAGCCACTTGGATTCCCTCGAAATTTTCCTTGGATCCGGCAGTCAGCGATGTTCTGTACTCTAGCCTGAGTAATGCAAAGACACTGCGGTCAGTTTATAACCAGACATTGGTTGAAGGAGCCCGCGTCATCAGGTTCAACCGCACCTGGCTTCCGTACCTAAATCCTTCGTACGAGATGACAACGGAAGGCGGCATCAGCTTTAATACCTCGGCTGTGCTCAGAATTATCGACCTCATCAGCGGCTTAGGTTCCAGGGCCAGCAGTTCCAGGAAGTGGCCCATATATGACAGAGAGACGGAAGACGCGGAGCTGTTCCTCTCTAAGGTATTCGGTGTCTACCTTACTGAGGCTTTAGCACGCACGGGAATGGCTAGGTCCATGATGATGATACAAGAGGGCGACGACGAAAAGATGCAAGGCATCGATTTGAATACACAGTACACTAACTCCGATGGAATGTTCAACGTCGAGCTGCTCCATTCAAATCAAACTCAATGGAATTTTGGCAGGGGTGTTGATGTAAGGAACTACACTCTAACCGACTTGTACGACACGATTCTCCCCGGTTTTCTGAATTTCGACTTCGACGTCAGAAGGTACGGTTACGGAACGGGTCATCAGCGGAAGACCGTTACCTTCGCACGGGTCATGATGTACATCTACCTAGCAACGGTTGTGCTCTACGCCCTCACAGTCGGTTTTGCACATGCTGTCGAGTTGACCGGTAGGGGAAGGAGGCTACGAGTCCTCAGTGTAGTGCCGTGGGCGGATCTACAGGACCTGATCGTTCTTGCACTCAAGACGCCTCCTCCGAGAGATGCCGACCTTGCGGACGCTGGCGCGGGGGTCAGCTCCTCTAGTGTGTGGAAAAAGACGGTGACGGCTCGAGCGGATGACCAACATAATGTGCAGCTCGTGTTAAACGATGAGCCAGGGATGGAAAGGTTGGATGTCACCGGGAAAGAGAAATATTTTTGATGGTTCCCGTTGTTTCGAGATTGCGTTTGTTTCCTTACTTTTACTCTGCCCTGTTGTTTGCTCAATTAATTTGTCACTATGATGCACCCACGTGTACCAAACGAATGAATACTAGATAAACTACACAACTAATCACCTCTTCCCAAAAAAACTGTAAACATGACGCCAGGCGGCATCAACGTCACATCTGATGGCAATAGTCCCTTGTTACCGTCAGCATGGATCTAATTCATCAGCCCGATCTCTACTGGAGTCGAAAAGGCGGAAACGTTAGTAAGGTACGGGAAAGTCCGAAGGTCTGGGGATTTCTACTGTCTGATTTCCCGTTGTCTAGTATGTATTCCGCACAGCACTGGATTTGGAAAATGCGATTGACCTGATGCCGCGCGCGGACATCATCCCTCAATCACCCTGCCAGGTAGATAGACATCGCTTGCTAGGTACGAGGCCGTTGGATAGTGAACGCACGGAAGTGGAGCGAAGATCTTGATAAGTACGCATTTGACTCATCATGAGAGATGCAATTCGGAAATAAATCTGCTCACATCACACTTACTAATGGACTGCTGCCAAAAGAACAAGAGTCTGAGCCGATCATCGGCTTTGTAACGTCACTGCATCGGCCCAGTTTCACACGCCGCCCAAGGGTTACCGCTTTTGAAACGCTCAATCATTCCTCTGCCTGAGACTTAGTCACCTAGCTGGGCCTCACCGAGCCCTCACCGCGTCCATTTGTGGAAACCTGCCCCAAACCCGACGGCTCAATTCCGTCTCCCTGCAGGAGAGTATGTACTATGTAGGGATGCCGATCGTAGGCGTGCCTGCACAGTCTTCGCACTCGCACCTCAGCGGCTCGCCTCGCGAAGCGACGGATCCCGCGCGCAACAGGAACAGACGAAATGACATCAGAAAGCAACCGAATTGTCGGAAGTCCGTTCTCGTGCCAAGGGACAGGGCAGCGATCGAGTCACGTATGCGACCCTGAGGTTCCGAAGCTCGATCTGACAGGTGATCTCGGACCGAGAGCCTGGCTTAAAAGGTGCATGCATCCGCAAATCTGGGGAACCGTTGGCCCACGATCAACCTAAATCTCATCTCGATTCACCATGAAAGAACCTATGCGCAAGCTGAGATACAACGTTGCCACCTCGGTGGATGGCTTTATTGCGCCCCCAGATGGGTCTACGGACTGGATTGTGATGGACTCGAACATCGACTTCGACGCGCTGTACGCGCAGTTCGACGCGTTCCTGATGGGACGCAAGACGTACGAGTGCATGTTCGCCATGGGCGAGCAGAATCCCTTGCGAAAACAACCAAAAGAAAACCTCATCGTTTTCAGTCGCACGCTGAAAGCGGAAGACCACCCCGCGGTGACAATTGTGTCAAAGGATGTCATCGGGCACGTGGCGGAGTTGAAGAACGGCGAGGGCCGGGACATTTGGCTAATGGGCGGGGGCGAGCTAGCGGGCTTGTGCCTGAAGGCCGGCATGCTAGACGCGGTGGAGGCCGCGATCATGCCGGTCATGTTGGGGAAGGGAACACGGATGCTCGAGGAGGCATCGCTGATGCCCCACGGGGGATTTAAGTTGGAGATGGTGGAGAGCAGACATTTGGACGCGAGCGGGATCGTTATGTGCAAGTACAATGTCAGCAGAGGGATGGCTTGCTCACTCGGAGAAGCGCTGACATTCTGCTGATTGATTAATGGATGGGTAAGCTGAGCAGAAGCAAATGCAGAGGCGGAAGCAGGGATTACAGTGGACTGAGGAATACCCCAAAAGTTGCATCTTCAACCTTACGAATGTCTAAAGAATGAACAAATTGACAATTCCATCTTAATCGCCATCATTGAAGCAGAGGTGGGAATAATGAGAATGATTGATGACTTGCATGTTCATCTCTCAACATGGCCAATCCCGTGACAATTGGATGATGCCAACACGTCAAACAGAACGGATGTGCGTTCCCTACCGCGCGATCATGCCGCGATTTATAATCGAGGCCACCAAGGGACAATTCGAAGCCCGATTGTGCCTCGAGTTTGTCAGTCTTAACCCGTCGGACAGATTGCGGGTCTGAAGGATTCTGGTCGCCTCTGATGACTGTGTACGACAGGCATGACAGTGAGCTTAAGTCCGTCGCGGGCGATCTTCTTAGCTCCGCTAAAACCCCAGTTACCGTCGTAGTATGATCGCATACAGCATCCTCTGGCGTCATATTAAATAGTCATCCTTCACGTCGTCTGTACCTTCACAATCATTCATTCTCACACCAACCCGGGAAAAGTCCTATCATGTCTGCCAACAGCAATCAACAAACGGTTCTCATCATAGGTGGCACCGGTAAAGTTGGCCGGCAAATTACCAAGCTCCTGGCCAACACCGATACCCCCACCTACCAGTCCTCCCGGAGCGGCGCATCCACCACGGAACCGGGGGCCGAAAATGTCAAGCCGATCGCCTTCGACTGGGCCGATGAGAAGACATGGGCCGTGGCCTTGAAGTCCGGCGCAACAAGCGTCTTCCTCGTAGCGCCGCCCGTGCTCGACATGTTGCCGCCGATGCAGTCCTTCATTGACCAGGCACGGCTGAAGGGAAATGCAAAGCGCTTCATTCTCTTGAGTGGAAGCCCGATGGAGGCGGATATCAATGGCCCCGCGATGAGTCGGCCGCATGCGTACCTGAAGGAGCTTGGTGACAGGGGTGAGGTGGAATGGGCCGCGCTGCGACCGACATGGTTCCAACGTAAGCGCAAGTCAACTGAAAAGATGAGATGGGTGCTAACGAAATGGCAGAGAACTTTGCTGAACAGTTGAATCACATCAATTCCATCAAGGACGAAAGCACTGTTTACTCCGCCACGGCAGATGGAAAGATTCCATGGATCGCGACCGAGGACATTGCTGCGTGCGCATTTCAGCTGCTTCTCCAAGATGACGCACCCAACGACGAGTATCTGCTGTTGGGGTCAGAGCTACTAAGCTACGATGACGTACGTTTTCGACAGGCTCGTTAACAGAGGTCATTGATGTCTAACTTTGAGGTTCAGATTGCCGAAATTCTAACTGAAGTGCTCGGTCGCAGAATCATACACAAGAATCTCTCACGAAAGGGGCTCGAGGATCGATACGTAAACTACGGCCTGCCGCAGGACTATGCGGAGATGATGGGTGCCATGGACACGAACATCAAGAATGGGAGCGAGAACCGGACGAACAGCGTCGTTCTAGCATTGACCGGCAAGCAGCCGAGGAAGTTCCGCGACGTAGCCAAGGAGCTGAGGAATGTTTGGGCGACGGCGTCGTGAACCGCTACGTAATCGAGTGGATTGGCTGTGCCTGAAATGAAGTGTCTCGGAGATCTGCAAACGCTCACGAGGTTATATGTCCCATTCGCAGACAAAGATGCCTATTGTCTCGCAGATTATGCCACATGGAATTTTGACCCAGCTAGAAAACAGGGTTGGGAAATTGAAAAAGGTTTTTGTTTTCGGTCAGCGACAGCCTGTCCGTTTCCAGCCGAAATGTGCGCACATGCTTGTGCGGGGGACCCGCGCTAGGTTGAAACAAGTCATGAGATCACAGGTGCTAGTCCCCAGATGTGTAATTCTGCAGGGCGAATGGACCTCTTTCTTCACGCTCAATTTTGCTCTAGAAGTTTCATCCTCAATTTGGCCATGAGATAAATCCTCAAACTCGAATATCGTCAACATGGAATCCTCGTTTGTAGACGTTGAGGATGATCGACCGACAACCCCTGGGACCGGAGCGGAGTCCGGCGGGGAGAGGCCGAATCCACTCACGTACCCGAAAAGCACCAAGCCATTCAGTCAGGACCTGTTCGAGAGGCCAACAACAGAGTACCGCGGGTGCCCATTATGGGCATGGAACGGGTCGTTGGAAAAGAAGAGGCTGCTGCGCCAAATCGACTACCTTGAGGAGATGGGCATGGGTGGCTTTCACATGCATGTACGGACCGGACTTGATACCGCTTACATGGGCCCGGAGTTTATGGATCGGGTGCGGGACTGCGTCGACTACGCCGAGAGCAAAGGCATGCTCGCCTGCTTGTGAGACGCCTGCGGCCCAATGACGGTGGGTGGGATTGCTGACTCTGGTTCAGATACGACGATGACCGGTGGCCGTCTGGGGTTGCTGGGGGCAAGGTTATTGAGCAGTACCCTGAACACAAGACTAAGCACATCTTGCTCACAATTCATCCTTATGGGACGGTCGACTTAGGAGGGTTTGTTACCTGAGAACCGGTGATGAAAGCTGGCTGATCTCCTCTAGCGAGTGTGCTCCAAGTTCGGCAAAGCCATGCCGAAGCGAAAAGGGATACCTCCTCGCGAAATTCTCAATCACCCTGGATGAAAATGGACGACTCATATCAAGCCGCAAGTTGGATCCTGATGAGGATGCCGATCCTGGGGGAAGGGTATGGTACGCCTACGTCGAGCACAATCCACCTTCACCTTGGTTCAACGGCCAGACGTACATCGATACGATGAGCACTAAAGCCATGGGCCGCTTTATTGAGAGCACTCATGAGGTGTACAAGAATGCGGTCGGGGAAAAGTTCGGTTCAACTGTGCCGTGCATCTTCACGGACGAGCCCCAGGTCGCCATCAAGAGTCAACTATCCAGCCCTGATGGCCTCGAAGATATCTTCATGCCATGGACGCAGGATCTACCTGATACCTTCAAGGATACGTTTGGCAGTGACGCTGACCTGATCAGCGGAATCCCAGAGCTCTTCTGGGACCTTCCAGGACACATGCCGAGTTTGACACGCTACCGCTTTCATGACCACATAAGTGAGCGCTTCGTTACCTCGTTCCTTGACCTTCTCAGCACCTGGTGCAAGAAGAACAACATTCTTTTGAATGGGCATATGATGGAAGAGCCGACACTACGACAACAAACAACCGCCCACGGCGAGACCATGCGATGCTACCGGAATCAGTCACTGCCTGGGATGGACCTGCTTAGCGACGGGGTGGAGTACAACACCGCGAAACAATGCACCAGCGTCGCGCGCCAAAACGGGATACGCGGAGCTATGAGCGAGATCTACGGCTGCACGCACTGGTACTTCACCTTCGAGGGGCACAAGGGCTGTGGAGACTGGCAGGCCGCCCTCGGCATCACGTTCCGAGTCCAGCACTTGAGCTGGTACAGCATGGCCGGCGAGGCGAAGCGGGACTACCCTGCGAGTATCAACTATCAGAGCCCGTGGTATAAGGAGTACAAATACATCGAAGACCATTTTGCCAGAGTCGGCGTGGCCATGACCCGCGGGCGTGCCGTGACGCGAGTGGCTGTCATTCACCCCATCGAAAGCGCTTGGCTGTGTTTCGGACCCAACAATAGCGGCGATGACGAGCTTGGACGACGGGATCAGTACTTCGCTGAGTTGACGAACTGGCTGCTTCACGGGCTGGTTGACTTTGACTTCATCGCCGAGAGTCTTTTGCCAAGCCAAATTGGAGACGATGTGTCTGCACCACTGAAGGTTGGCCATTGCAGTTACGATGTAGTCATTCTACCCCAGCTGAGAACCATTCGCTCAACTACGCTCAGCACTGTCAAGAGGTTTGCGGCTGCTGGGGGCAAGGTCATTATCGCTGGTGATGGGCCAAGCCTGGTTGACGCCCAGGCCGTATCCCCGGATTTGAGCCTGAACATTGAGCCCTGTACGAAGTTGGCATGGGATCAGGCCGAAATATTGAACAGCCTCTCCGAAAACCGGGATGTGGCCGTTGAATTGAGGGATGGAAGGCCAGCGGAAACTCTGCTCTATCAGATGCGTGAAGATGGAGAAGAAAGATTTGTCTTCATCTGCAATACGGACCGCAACAATCCGTACGATACCACGGTCAGAATCAAAGGCGACTGGGAAGTTGAGGTCTTGGACACATTCAAGGGCTCAACGCATCAGCACAAGGCAGAAATTGACAGAGGCTGGACAGTCTTCGAGCACAGGTTTGAAGGATGTTCCAGCGTATTGCTCCGTTTATCTGCGGTGCCAGCTGAAAAGCTCTCCTTCGTCGACATTGCCGGTGCTGTGACTTTGTCACCGCCAAAAGCGGAGTCAGTCGAGCTGAAACTTGAGGAAGTGGTATTGTCCGAGCCGAACGTCTTGCTATTGGACTATGCCTGCTACAGAATTGACGATGAGCCATGGGAAGACTCAAATCGCCAGGAGATACTCAAGATTGACAACGAGATCCGATCCCGGCTGCGGCTGCCGGCAAAGGGCATGGCATGGAAGCAGCCATGGAGCGTCCCCCCATCCAAACGGTTGCCAAGAGTCTATGTTGACCTCCGTTTCGAGTTCGAATCAGAGCTCATTATCAAAACACTTACCTACCTGGAGATGGAGAACCCCGAAAACGCCAGAATCACAATAAATGGCCACAAGTTGCCCGTGTACGACGCGAAGCTGTCTTGGTGGGTCGATGAGGACATCAAAACTGTGCCGGTGCCGAAGAGGGCTATCCGCAAGGGAAAGAATGTCATTGAGCTTAGTATGCCGTTTGGTGTGTTAACGAACCTGGAGAGAATTTACTTGCTGGGCAGCTTCAGCATAGATCTCAAGGACGACAGGCCGGTTGTACAAGAACGCCGACAGAGTCTAGGCTGGGGAGACGTTGTCGCACAGGGACACCCGTTCTACGCAGGCAACATGACTTACAACTGCAGCTTCTCGCTCAACACGAGATCCAACATCACTCTTTCGATTCCACATTTTGCTACGCCTGTGGTCAAGGTTCAATGGGGCACGGAACAGAACGACCACATTGCACTTCAGCCCAGAACTCTGGATCTAGGAGAATTAGAAGGCGGGAAGCATAATATCATCATCACAGCCTTCGGATGTCGGTATAACGCTTTTGGCCACATTCACTTGGCCGATGGTATACCGGGGTGCTATCCGGATCAATGGCGAAGTAAGTACTCCTATCCAACAAAATGCATTTATCTTCTTGCTGACTGAATCGAAGCTGGTGGGGCTGCTTGGACTGATGAATACAGATTGAAGCCCACAGGAATTTTGGAGAAACCGTCTCTGAGAGTTGAGCCAAAGACCGATACCGGAGAGGATTGGGTTGTACTGACTGAATAACACAAATGGGAAACAGAAGACAATAGCTAGGGTACTGTTGAACGCAGAAAACACTTTAATCTAAAGATACATTGGCGGATGAAAGGAACTTCACTGTCTCTTAGCCTTTGTTCCGCTGGTCCCAAACGTGAGATCTTGTGGTGGTTTGATTACATGTCTTGTTGGCTGTGGACGACTTTATGTCGATGCTGGCGAAACTTGGATGGTCCTTGAACTCCGTGTATTGGACGTGTATCGTTTACCGAAAAAAATGTCTAAATTGTCCAGCCACAACTAACCAACTCATTCAACACTCTTTTCCATTGCTTGCAATATCCTCAGTTAACAAACACATCATTGCTCGTGAGAGCTGGGGGTATATCCCTTAAAGATTCCACCCCTGAAGGGTTCAAGCAGTTGCCTGATCCACGGCCCCATTCACTCCACAACCCCCTAAGCAATCAATCTGATGGAATTAGCCCGATGTATGGTTCAGGTCGATGTCAGTAAGGTACCTGACAACAGGGTTCAATGTTACCTTCACAGCATCCTGTTGCAACATCCAGTGGTCAGTGTGGTTCGGCCAACCAGTCATGGATAGCTTACCCGTCTGTACGAATCAGCAGTCCCAGTGGAGGGCGCCACAGGTGCTGTAAGCGCCACACCAACAAGGATAGCAACGATAAGGGCAATGTAGCGCATGGTGAATGTTTTGATGGGGTCGTGATAACACTTCGTTTGAGTGGTGTTGTGATAATGTTTTGGATGGTATGGGAAGCTTGGTGACAGTTTTTAAGAAGATGGAGACATTTTATACGCATTTCATGAGGCCAGGTAGGCAGTCACTTCTTATGTCGTTTGGGTCCTATGATACTGTGGATTCTCAACGAAAGCACTTCGCAGACACGAGCGATCCCTGTTGACAGGGTACATGAATAAGTGCCCTTCGGCTGGCTGAGGTCTGCCTACAGAGCCTTGTCTTCTCCTGGTCAGCTATCGCGACCCTGTGACAGGAAACGAGGCATGGGCACGAATAGCATCTCCGAAAATGGGCATGTCCCGTCAACCCCAGTCCCTCAGGTTATTCCCCCGGCAAGGTCGCCATTGGGCCACTTATGGGTCTGATAGTGTGGGCTAGGACACCAGCCTCAGTTGCCTTGTGGCGCTCCACCGGACGAGTTTGAGCCGATCAAGCGTTTGAGACAAGATCAGCCAAGCTGGTGGAAGGACTTCTCACCTTGAAGGGGCTTCAATGATATCAGACACGCCTGACTGGACATTGCTTTACTAGAATAGACGTTTGAGAAATTCACCAAAGTATACAGCGATGTGGGCTCGCAAGCTAGAGAAGCGGGCCACCTCATCAAGTGCGACCGTCACCGCATTCAGGAGAAGAGACTACGCACATCATCCGCTGGAAGCGTCTAGAGCCATCATCAACTATTGCAGAGGTATGATGACACCGTGGGGATCTCGGCGATGATTCCAGATTAGAGTCATGAGTTATTGCCCGCATGTAGCCTGTGAACCTGTCTGATCAAATAATGATAGACTAAGTCAGCAATTTCTACTCTCGAAAAACTGATCTCGAAATACTGAAGCAGTCTGTTTCGCAAAGACGAGCTTGAAATTGCTAAGAAAATACTTGTCGAGAGTTAGACTCGAGTAGCGCATGGCAACCTGATGATGAATAGCTATTCAACTTCTTTCTTAGCTCAGGAAAGAAGTCAAAGCCAACAACCCCAAGTCAAGGAATAAACAGCAGAAAACAAGAATCAAAAAGAGCCTTGAAGCCAACTCGAACTCGGACACCTCAGCCAACGGCAACCTTCAACTAAGGAAGTGAAGATTTTCAGCTTTGATGGTGGCGACTTGAGGAAGGCACTTCCTTCCCAATATGTCAGTCGCAGCTTCCCGGAATTGAGACAAACAAAGTCTGGTAGGCAGGCACCTTCCCACGACCACCTTTACTCTTGCCAGGCAGGTGCACCTCCGTTTGCGTCTCCTCTTCCCCTCCTTCTTTACTGTCGACGTAACAAAATTTTCTTCCTCCGCATCGTCAATCTCGCAACCTCGCGACAGAGAAGCCCCCCGTGCGACAATATTCCCCCTCAAACCTGTCTTTCTTCTTGCGAATATCGACGATAGCCGGCGACAAGTCAACTCACCGCAAATATCTGTGACTATCTTGCGCGTCACTGATTCACTGCCCGCGTCGCAAACGAAAACAACTTCCCTTCTGAGCTTGGTCGCCTCAACTTATCACCGCATCTTCTTTTCTCCATCTCTGTACTGCCATCACTCTCTGATCCTTACACCAACGATATCGTGATGGTCTTCACCTGCGGCACGTGCTGGCGTGAGTTCCCTGCCGGGTGGGAGTCGCGCCAGCAACATTTCGATGCAACCGGGCACCGCGAGCCGTTGTACGAGTGCGACACGTGCGACAGGTACTGCTCTTCTCGAAGTGGCATCGAGCAACACATGAATGCTCTGGATCATTGGGCCGACTCCGTGTCGTCCAATAGCGACCTGTATGAATGCGATGATTGTTCCGACGTCTTCTCGGAGGAGGCAGACTTTCGCTACCACGAGCAGCAGTACCATTACTACTGCGACCCCTGCGACCGCTACTTCGGCAACTGGAACAATCTGAACCAGGTAAGAGTTTTTTCTTCTTGCCAATTACTTTGCGACAATAAGCTAAAATTTGAAGCATCTCAACTCCAGGATCCATCGGACCTCAAGTATCCAATGCCCTTTCTGCAAGCAGACACGTGCCACCGCGACTGGCCTCATCCACCATCTCGAGCAAGGCGGATGCCCCAACGCCCCCCTCAATCGTGAGAAGCTCTACGAAGCTGTCCGCCGACGCGACCCGAATGGGGTCATTACCAAGAAGCTTCTCACCTGGCAGGGCTCCACCACGTACACGGCAACAGCCAAGACTTGGAACCCGAAGACCCGAGCCTACGAATGTTACCTGTGTCACCACCAATATCGCGCGTTGGAGCATCTCAATCAGCACCTCAACTCTCCAGTTCACAAGCAGACACTCTACCATTGCCCGAACAGCCGCTGTGGAATGGATTTCACCCTCTTGGCTGCCGTTATCAATCACTTGGAAAGTGAGAGCTGCAAGTTCATGCACTTCGATGCTGTTCAGCTGAATGTCGAGCGCATCATCGACCCCGGCCGGATGATTTCTTTCTGATACTCGGTCAATCTGGCGTCTGTTCGAACGTCTTTTCGGCTGGGGTTGCGGAATAAGCATCAGAGTGTGCTGTTGGGAGAATGAGGATATTGGAATTGGCTTCTGAGAGAATTTGATCACAGCAGCAGGGAACCCGGTATTGGGATCATCACTGGATCGAGATTGTTGTGAGCTGAAGAAGATCGGCATGATTGTTTGCTGTAACATACAAAATCACTAGCTCAGGTTCGGAATATGGCATCTTCTCTCTTATTATCCAGTCCCATTCGCCAAGAAAGACCTCTCCTCGCAATTTTTGGACATTGCAGGCTTCGCCGCCGGGGGCCGCGTAAAGATTGGCACTCGGTTTTGCCGGGTCGCATCTTTCAAGGAAACGGACGCACATACTCCGAACAGTCCGTTAAATCAGTGCGGGGATCCTGGCGGTGATCTCGGAGCTGTTGCGATTGGTGCCATTTTTGGAAATTTGCCAGAATTGGAGACCCCGTTGAACACACGCCACACTACCTCCGAGATTCTCAAATCGGTAGCGTGCCGAGACCTCAAGATGACACATATGGGAAATAATGGAGAAATACGCATAAATATGGCCCGGTTCCCTGAACAGCGACTTTGGCAACCTTCCCACGGAAGGTGTCGTTCATGTGATCCACTGCAAAACTTGCGATCTGGCAGTACCATCATGGCCGTCGACAACATCGAAGACGTCGAAGCACCCTCAGCTACAGATCCAACGATCAACACCGTTGACTTCAATCTGCAAATCGGGGTCGAGGAGATCCTCGTCGATGTCGACCCAGATGTCTCCCTCGAGTTTCTGCAGAAGGCCGAGGCGCATGCTGGCAAGCCGCCGCCGACGAGAGTACCCAAGGAAGCTATTCTGCGCATGCACAATCGCTATGTCGAGCAACAACGGAAGGCCGGTGAAGAGAAAGCCCCGCGGATGGTGAAGAAAGTGGTCCTGGCCCTGGCCTATCCGCCGTCATGCAAGCCGATCAATGACTTGTCCCCTGTCAGTTAGCCTGTTTTCGTACAAGCCATGCGACGTATTGATTGCATCGCAGATCAGACTTGATGAGCTTCTCGTAGAAACCCACCACGAAGAGAAATACCTGGTCGTCAAAGCGATCTCTCCACCTTACCAAGGTGCTGGGACCATCACCGTGGTCGAAGATGAGCATGGAACTGTTGACAAGCTGGCGTTGTACAACCAAAGTACCTCCAACATCCTTCAGTCTATCCCAGAAGGGACCATTCTCTTGATCAAAGAACCCTACTATAAGTTCAGTGGAGTTAATGACTTCATGCTTTGCGTGGACCACCCCTCAGACATCATCAGGCTCCGGCAAGACCAAAACAAGTCTCTGATACCAACCCCATGGAGAATAGCACAAGAGACCCGCAGGGCGATGGACTGGGGAACTGCAGGTGATAGAGCCTTCATATCCAAGGATCTTCCGTTGGCGGTTGAAAGGTGTGTATCGTCAGCCCTGCTCGCCATTCTTCCGGTTGGCTAACACTTTCACAGCTATACAAGGGCTCTCGAGGTGGCAGGCGACGCCGACCACTCCTTCCGAAGCGGCATTTTCTTGAAACGTGCTAGTATCAATCTCGCTCTTAAACGCTTCGATGACGCCGTCTCGGACGCTCGTGCCTCAATTGCTGGTCCCTCAGACTGGAAGGCCTACTTCCTTGCGGCAAGAGCATCGTACGAACTTACCGACTTCCAAACAAGCAAGGAGCACTTTGAGTCCGCTCTTGCCCTCAAACCGCCGACGTCCAACGTGGAGAAGGAATACAAACGCTGTCTTGCGCGGCTAGAAGAGGAAGAAGGTGTCTACAACTTCCCCGATATGGCCAAAGATGTTACACCAAAGAATATCCACATCGACCGCGCAAGCTTTCTATCGAGGACCGAGATTAGAGAATCACCACATCATGGGCGCGGTCTGTTCGCGACGGAAGACATCAAGGCAGGTGAGCTCGTCTTTGCGGAGAAGGCCACCAGTGTGCCCAATGAATTCAACCCAGAGCACAACTCTGCTGCAGCATATGCCCAACTCATAGAGCTCTGCGCAGACAACCCCACCATGCATAAGAAGGTTCTCGATCTCTATGGCGGGACATACAAGCGTTCCGGACTGGAAGGGACCGAAGTTGACGGCAAGCCTGTCATCGACGTTTTCCTTCTCGAATCGATCCGGCGAAAAAACTGCTTCAGCGGCGCACACGTCTCTGCACAGGCCGCAAACGGGGAGTGGAACATGTGGAAGAACGGCATGTCGCGCGGGCTTTGGGTGTACTCAGCTTATGCCAACCACTCTTGCCTTCCAAATTGCAATAGGTCTTTTGTCGGAGACATGCTTGTCGTCAGAGCTACCGTGGATATCCCGAAGGGCACGGAGATCACGCACATCTACCTTCCGCCCAAAGCCGCGTTCCTTCTCCGAGTGCCGCAGTTCCGGAGGACATGGGGCTTCGAATGCAGCTGTGATCTTTGTGATGGAGAGGCCAAATCGCCATTGGAGCAACACAAGAAGCGTGTCTCAGCGCTGGCTGAGCTGCAACGCACGATCAAAAAGAAGAACCCGGTGAAATTCCACCCGGACGCGACGATTCGACAGATTGAGAGGATGGCCGGCAAACTTGCTGCTCTTCACGAGCCCGAAGTCTACGACGCGTTGAAGTTGCCGAGGCTGATGCTCGTCTGGCCGACGATGTGGCTTGTCGAGGCGTTGCATACAAGGAAGCAGTGGGCCAAGGTCATCAAATGGGGCAATGAGGTCTTTCGCAACTTTGGGTTCGTTGAGCCGGTCCGCCGTGAGAGGCTGTGGATGTACAAGGACACGCAGGCCGTGACCACCTTTGAGGTCATCAAGGCTTTGAAGTTGACTGCAGAGGCGTACGATGCTACTGGTCAAGAGGACTTGGCGAGAGACTGCAGGGATGCGGCTAGAACCGGGTTGGTTTGTATGGTGGGTTGGGTGACGGATGAGAGTTTTGAGGCGTTTAGATAACCTTTTGGACATCTGGGGTCGGAACCCCGTGGAAGAGATGGCAATCAATCAATACATTGGAGAATTTTTACTTGTTGAAAAGTTTGTACGCTGCGTTATTTTGTTACCATGTGCGTTGGTGGCCGAGAGATATGGCGAAGCCTTGGCAAACGGCGTTCGTCTTGGCATCGGCCGTTGAGCATGAATCAGGAACTAGCCTTATCGCTGCAAAGAAGCGTTTCTTGGCGATTTGGCTTGTTTAAAGAGGATTTCGGATGAACTCCAATTTCATACGATTCCGTGGCCATGGTCTCGGCAGAAACCTACAACGTCGTCCTCGAGGAATAGCGGGATCCAAGGACCTCGTTCACCAACCCGGTGTTCGATACTTCCAATCAATTGAGAAGAAGTCTTTATTTTATTGTTACGTATACTTTAGGCGTCATCAATTGAGTTTACGTGCCTTTGCATGGTCCACCTGCATTGCATCCCTGCTAAGAGATGGAATAGGTAGCAAATGATCGAAGTCCCCGGCACCTGTGAGCTTCTTCCTTCACCTTCCCTCCGGCCTTAGCTTCCCGCCACCAATACAAAAGGCCAAACCATTGTGTTGCTCCAAGCAAACTCGGCAACTGGTCGCGTGCTTATCGAGAGCTGGTGAGGGGGAAAATCACCAACGGAGCGGGGTACGCAGCAATGAAGCTGCAAGCCAAGAACAATCCTGCGCTTGCAATGCCTGTCTTCCCCCACCTCATGACAGGTCCGTCAGTGGCTTTCGGACGACGCCGATCCTCTTTCTTCGTGATAAGTCGAGTTCACTGGTCACAGCATGGGTCCATTGTAGGAGTATTCCCCGGTTTCCGCCCCGGGAGTTGGGGGAATACTTGCGCGGCGCCTTGGACGACCTTCTATGTCGAGTTAGCCACGCATTATGAAGCCACCGACGAAGAGGAGGTTGGAGAATTGACATCGTGACACGAGGATATGTATATGACCGTAACCCCTCCTCGTGGCACACTCAATAGCAGTCACCCCAAGCCCTCCCTCCTCGGTGGACCATCCCATCGTCACCTCACCCGCGATGTCCGCCCTCGCCTTGGTCCTCTTGGCATCCGCCCCCGCGGCCCTCGCCCAAACCTTCCAACGTCTCGGCGCCTGCCCCGACCTCGGCTGCGTCTTCCCGCCAGACCAGGCCAACTTCCTCCCCGGCCAGAACTTTGACATCCGCGTCGAGGTCCACGCGCCCGTCAACGGCACCGAGGCTTTCAACGACGGCGTCCCGGACACAGAGTTCACGCTCACGATCGCGAGCAACAGCAAGCCCGACGGCGTGCCCGTGACGGAGTTCTTCGCGCTTGACGAACCGCAGCTGGAGACGTGGACGTTCTCGTGGTATGAGGACCTGTTTGCCCAGGATGCGGGGGAGAAGTCCGTTGTCAACGTCGCGTCCAAGGCGTACCGTCACCTATCGCTGTACGAGCCGGGCAACTACACGGTCGAGCTGAGCTACTACAATGGCACGAAGAAGACTCTTGCGGAGTGGTTTGTGCGGCCGCTTGCCGAGGAGAAGAAGGCTAAGAATGTGATTTTGTTCATTGGAGATGGTATGACGACGAACATGATTACCGCTGCGAGGTTGTTGGGTCATAAGAGTGTGAACGGGAAGTACCAGTCGAGGATGCAGATGGACGAGTTCCCGATCCTTGGTCACCAGATGGTGAGTTGCATCAAGCGAGACCGTGGTGGTTCGAGGGTTAAGGCTGACGTCTGGACAGACTCACTCAGTCGACAGCTTCGTCACAGACAGCGCAAACTCTGCGTCAGCGCTGTACTCTGGCCACAAGGGAACATCAGACTCCATGGGGTAAGGCAACTCTGCTAGCGATCACAGTGCCTGGCTAACATGCCCAGTGTGTACTCTGACTCGTCTGAGGATGACTTTGACGACCCCAAGGTTGAGACGATTGTGGAAATGGTGACTAGGATCTGGGTAAGAACACCCCGAAAAGGGAAGATTGAAATCTGTCTGACCATCCGATAGGGCTCCGCATGGGGTGCAGTGACGACCGCCGCCCTTGACGACGCAACCCCGGCTGCGCTCACCGGCCACAGCAGATCCCGCTCCAACGCCGGATCTCTCATCGACCAAGCACTCAACGGCATGACGAACTATTCGTGGAGCACCCATCCCGGACCAGACGTCTACTTTGGCGGCGGTGCCTCCACCTTCCTCCCAGGATCCACCTCATACCTAGGCAAGGATTACTATGAAGAGTTCCGTAACCAAGGATACTCCGTCAGCTGGAACGCGAGCTCCCTCAAGGAAGCACCGATTGATACCCCTGCCTTGGGCGTGTTTTCCCTCTCCCACTTGCCTGTGTGGCTTGACAGAAACATCTTGACCGACAACATTGCTGAACTGGAGACCCACCCCTCCGGAGACGGCTCTGCGCCGCTCGACCTCCCCGGCTTGAAGGACATGACCCTCAAGGCAATTGATATCCTTCTCGAGCGCAGTAACGACACCGGCTTCTTCCTCATGTCCGAGGGCGCGTCGATTGACAAGCAGATGCACGCCCTCGACTATGACAGGGCTCTCGGTGATCTTCTCGAGTTTGATGATACGATCCGTGCGACAGTGAAGAAGCTGAAGGAGGTCGGCGAGCTGGAGGAGACCCTCATCGTCGTCACTGCAGACCACGGCCACGGTTTTGACGTCTTTGGCGTCGCAGACACAAAGTACCTTGCCGCTCAAGACACAGACCGCAAGAAGCGCGACGCGATCGGCATCTATGAGCGTTCCGGTCTGTCTCACTACACTGTTGAGCGGCCCGATGGCATCGAGTACGGCACCGGGCCCAACTTCCCGCTGAACTGGAGCCCCCGGTATGCTATTGCGCCCGGCTTTGGAGCTAGCCCCGATCGGAGGGAGAACTACCAACTGCACGAGTCGCCTCGTAAGGTGGTTGTCAGCGGAGAAGACGGATATGTGGCTAACCCGGAGGATGGTAAGGACGGTTTCTTCGTACAGGGAACGTTGCCGGTATCTTCATCGTCAGGCGTCCACTCGATTACGGATGTCCCGCTCTTCGCCATGGGTCCCTGCCAGCAGACATTTGCGGGTGTGTATGACAACACGGATGTCTTCTTCAAGATTGCTTCTTGCCTTGGTCTTGGACAGTCATCGGCTACTCCAAAGAGACGGTAATTGCATCGATTGAGGGGATAGTGACGATGGAAGTCGATAGAGATAGAATCAGACCAAGTCCGCCTCTCGGTGACGGTTATCCAAAATCATCTTGCAGCAATCCACATTTTCCGTCCCAAATTGCATCCGCTGGGCGTCCTTGGCGACCCAAACCTCTTCCATGTCTTGTTGAACCCGTGCCAGGGACGGCAGTCGTCTGCTTTCGTACATTGCTTTGATTCTTCCGAGAACGAGCTGCCGGTTTTGAGGGTCGACGGACTCGCATCCCGCGGTCCAGAGAGGCCAGGCATGGGCTGAGCAGAACGACGACGTGATTGGTACCTTGAGCAGATGGTGAATGCATTGCTCTGCGTGAAAGGGCTTCGGGGGCTGCGTGCCATCGTCCCAGACTCGGTAGAGGTAGACAATGGCCGCATGCCTGTAGGCCTGGATTGTATTCTCGATCTCCTGGTCTCCGTCTGTGGACGAGTCCATGGACAGCAAGTTCTTCCTGATGTTGAAACCGCGTCGCTGGTGTGCTTCGCCCGACTGTCCCTGCATCTTGCTGATTGTGCCAACGATAGAAAGAAGTGATGTAAGCTTTTCTAGGCTGTGCAAGCCCTCCAGAGGAGCCACATTAGTCATGCTCAAGAGCGGCTTCGCTGTGCGAGAGATTGATGACATGACGTCATGGTAAAAGCAGAGGCTTAGAAGAAACTGCGCACTAGAACTCGTCCAGTTCCCAGGGCCTCCCGAGTGCATGATCACGGCTTTGGCGCCAGCGAGGTGATCAATTTGGCTGTCCGTATTGAACAGTCTATCAGAGATCTGGAGCATCATGATGGTGGCGAGCGAGAGCTCCGGGTTCTCTGTCTGAATGGACTCTCGGAGCGATGATACCGCCATGAGCATGTGTCTCGATGCCACTGTCCGGAGACTCTCGTCTTTTCGGAGTACTGCGAGATGTCCTGCAGCCATGGAGGAGATGGAGAACAGAAGGGCTGGCGAGCGCAGCATCATGGGCGTCAGGTGAATGAGGAATGGGTTCTGTCTGCCGGAGGCCATGGAGACTACGCTCGCAAGAGACGAGTTCCAGTGATGGAGTAAGAATCTGTTCGTTGAGGAGATATCCGACGGAATGTACGATGGGTTTTGGATGAGGCTTGTTTCAGTTGATGGTGCAGTTGATGATGACCAAGCCAAACTTGGTAACACCGTCCCGGTCTGTTCAGGAGATGTTGGCTTAGCAGCGCCTTTCTGAGGTGCTGTGGAGCCTTTCGACTTTGGGCTCCGTCGTTTCGTGACCTTGGACGGAATTGTCGATACGTCCGCAGCCTTCCATCTCACCCTGAGGCCGTACCCCTTACAGACCTTGCCGAGTCGGACACACCGGCCGCAGTTCGGCTTCGCCTCATCGCATTTGTAGCCATCATCTCTGGATTTCAGTCAGTTCGAGATATCTGGAGTTGATGAGGGCTCATTTACCTGCAGGTCAAACAGCCTGTCCGACTTCGCGTATGTTGCGGCATTGTGGACTTGTGTCGTGAGTTGCGATGGATCGAGGGGCGAAACAGACGATTCTTCACCGAAGGGTGGGGTAAAAACCCACTTTCGGGGAACCGGGATAAACTCCGAACTCGTGCTACAGTGGCGCACCCATCTTGTGTCGAGTTGGCCATTCAAACCTCACGATCTAGTTTTTCTTTGTTCTCAGTCTTTCGCAATTTGGCCGAAAGCCAGTTCTTCTCCGACTTTTATCGATCAATCATCGGAAATCGTTATTGTCACGTAGCTAGACTCTCAGCTACATTGTAGGGTACATACATACTGGGCATTTCCCGATGGCTCTGTTGCATCACGGACTATAACCAATGGATGGCGTTTACGAAAGCTTCAGGCAGGCTTGAAATTCAGGGCTACCGGGGCGCGGAAGAAAAAAAATCTTTGAAAAGAAAAAATCCTTTTTTGACACGGGGACATCAAGACTCAGATGATGAATTCGCCGGTGTGGAATGATTTTTGGTTCGCCACTCTGCCGTGTAGACACGCAGCGATTGGTTGCATCTAATATGAATTCTGCGTACCCGAGACACTAAAGTCACTATTTAATGTCTAAAGGAGGACAGCGCAACAGCGCACAATGCTGACTTACGGGTTGTTTCTTCGTTGATATCACATTGAGTGCCTATTAAACTAGATATTTATCTGTCATTCCTATCATTTCGGGGAGACCGTGGCCCCAAATTGAGTGGGCTTTGTCGAGGTTTCTGTTCTCTGTCAAAATTCTTCAGTAAAGAGCAATCAATACCGTTTTGGGTTAATTCCTATACATTTGAACTTCCAAGCATCTGACAATGTCACGCGCAGTCGGCTCAGCGTTGGGGACCGTTGGTTGGCTGACGTGATCTCTAAAATCAGCCCTGGGGTCCGGACCCAACTCCGCTCTCAGCCTTCGCATGCAACCCAACCTGTAGGCCTATAAGGTCTTGTGTCAGTGGCGCAGCTTCTGAAGAAGGTTGGTCAAGCTAAGATGTAGTCTTTTAGACCACCAAAATCATCACTGCTTTCGCCCGACAGTGTGCTCACTGCCCAGCTGAGATTGAACACCCCCAAGCAAGTGGATCCACAACATGGGGGCCTTTGAAAAATGACCACCTTCGGGGAAGTAGATGCGGTGGATATGTTTTGAGGATGAGGCTGAGGATACCAGACACAATTTGAGTTCAGAAAACGCTAAGAACAGAAATATCAAAGATGGCTGCATCACTGAGAGAATGATGAAGGTATCTCAACTGTCATAGAAGGTATAAAAACCCCCTTCAGCCAGACTTCTTCAACCAAACTATCGCTCATCATTTTCACATCAAATTCAAACACTCTGTCATTACTTTAAACCAACCCCCAATATGTTCTTTTTCACCTCAATTCGGTTTTTGGCGATCTTTGCTACCTTGAGCACTGCGATGGAGACGAAGCTGAACGTTACCGCCATTGGCACGCACAACAATGCCTCGCGATTCGAGTGCTGGGAGTTAGATGAACCTTTCCGATCATCAACTCAATCTGGACTCGTTGATACCAGAACAACCATTCTCGGAGATGTCTCAAAGATGTCGTACAATGTCGTCCCAGCCGGCTTCGACAGTGGTTTCCATCCTGCGCCCACCAACCAGTACGTTTCCCCAGTCAAAGAAGAGAATATGAAACGCTAACACAGCTTAGGTGGGTAGTGTTGGTTGGAGGCCTTGGTGTCATCACTTTGCCAGACAATAGCTCCACTACTCTGACCACCAAGGGTGGAGAGTTTGGGTTGCTGTTCGCCACTGATACCGCGGACCTCACAGAAGAAGGGCATGGGTCCATTTTCCCTGGCGCAACGGAAAGTATTGTCCTTCAGATCCCGACCAAGGACAACAAGATTCCAAACCATCGCGTTCTTTACGATAACAAGCCATGCACAGCGAGCGAGGTTGCAGGACTGCGAGCGTGGGCAGTTAGCGCTTAAGTTGAGAGGACTAGGGTTGAAATAGCTGTAGGAGAATGCGTCAGTTTGAGCAATCCTTCAATTGTTTCACGTCAAACTGGCATAGGATGGCGTCAGGATATCTTTTTCATGGTTTTAGGTATGCATATTAGAGAGAGGGCATTTATAGAGGCCGCCCACTTTTCCTATGGGTTTATACCACACACTACTATTGTTGTCGTCATCGGCGCCTCTATTGATAGTATTCATGTGACTGTATTCAATTACACCATCGTCGTCTCCTTTGTTGTCATCATCGAATGAAGAAGTTAAGTGCAGAGAAAATGTAGCCGCGCAGCCACCAAATGATGACGCGGTTTCTATGAAACCTTTGTTAGGCTATTCCCAAGGTCTTGTTTCGTTCTCAGTGCAGCTGTCGATATTGTTGACAGAGCCGTACCTTAGAGCTCTTCGCTCCGGGCGCCCATTCTGTAGTCCATCGTAAATGGGGCTGTTGACCCAAAGTCCTCCACTCGTCCCAATAGTACCTCTAGTGCTCGGAACGAGATAAATGGTGCATCACGACCGACGAAGTGGCCAGACATCGGGGTCTCGAAATACGTGAGACCTCTCTCTGAATGCCATACCCCAAGCTCACCACTACCGCCAAAGGCTTCCACTTCTGGGTGAAGTGGTATGTTCAGTGTATTCTCAGGCTCCACTTGGAACCCCTGCGTCCCGCTCCATGTCATGTTTTGGATACCAAGCAATGTGCCAGTGCTCTGCAAGATGAAGTCTTGCAACCCGTGCCCGATGATGACGTTGTTGGTTCTCTCGATGATTCCTGGGATGAGAGGCAAACTTCCAGGACCTGGGTTGTTGGAGTTGTCGATGTCATCTACAAATACGGGCTCTCTGCTGCAAAATCGCCACTCCTTGTCAATAGGAGCATTGATGGCTGCTTTGACATCTTCCTGGTCAAAGTAAACCGGACCAGCTAACGGATGACGGAGCCTGTTATCGGTAAAGCCGATAGGATCGTACGCAAGCGGGCAGGTCTGAAGGACATTGTACAGACTGAAGCAGGGATTCGCAACTCTCTCTGCTTCGGCGACAAATGACAGTATGTCACACTCAGGAATGTACTCGTTGTCTGGGTTCCAAGCTCTCGGAATATCGACTGGCTGAGTTCCTGCCGGTGGGAATCTCAGATATTTGTCCACATACTCGCTGTAGCCACATCTTCGATCGATTTCGTTGACTTTCGCCCTCACTGTGTCGTTCAGCGTGAAGACAGGACCCCAGTATTCGAGAGTCTTGGTCACTCCAAATTGCTGACCAATACTCCGTTGCGATATCGAGGGATCAAAGATCATCATGCCCTTGACGTTGAAGTAATCCGTATCTTCTGCATCAAGCATGGCACTCGAGATGTACGGAGAGAACAGGCCGCTATAGGAAGACCCAGTAACAAAGACTTTGTAGCCATGCAGGTCGAACGTGTCGACGAAGGCTTTCCAGAATCCCATGAACTGTCTTGCGACATCTCTTTCGTCGGTAGCCGTGACCGGGCCCTGAGAGAAGCCTGTTCCCACGGGTTGTTCAATCCATACAACATTGCTCAGGCGGTGCCAACTCCAGGGGTTCTGCACAGGCCTAAAGGTTCCAGGCTTCCACGATATGGGGCCATTTTCTTGAAGAAGCTCACCTATGGACGAGCAACCAGGCTGCATCTTGATTAGCCTTTCGTCTTCAACACCAACAATTTGCTTGGAACCCGAAAGAAGACTTACACCACCAGTGAGCCAAATAACGATCTCTTTTTCAGCCGGTGGCGATTGAGAGGGGAAGAACCAGAAGTATAGCTGTTGCAAGTCATCCTTGGCCACGGAAGAGTCCACCGGAAGCAGGCCCGCATAAGATTCTCCAGCATCAAAGTGGACGTTTGGGAGGGTCTTTCCGTCAACAGTGAACCCTGGTCGTGTTAGAATCGAATCTATTTCGACTATTATTTGATTATTGCCTCACTTTTGGTCTTCTCAGTCAAGAACCTGTGTTTTTCCGGCTGCGTTTGATAACCCTCAAATGATGATTCGACAAAGGATTCTCGTGTCCAGTCTAGTCCTGGGTTTTGGACTTTTAACGCAGGTTCATTGAACACCCCAGCGACTTGTGTAGCGCAGAGCGAAAATAGAGATAGCCAATACATCATTTTTCGGATGGTCCGACAACCTTGAGAAGTGAAACATTTTTTCTATCTCGCGTGATATGTGGTATTGCTTTGCCAAGCTCGCTTGTGTTGGCGAAGGCGACGCGTTGAGATCTCACTCGTCTAACCGCATTTGTTCTCGCCAAGATTTCGGATAGGCAGGCGGTAATGTGAATAGCGTCATTGTGCGACGAAAGCCGACGCGTGTCGGCGCCCTTTGCGCGGGGTCATCGGCAGGGAAAAACGGACCCTCGGAAACCCTAGCCAGGCGGGCGATTCTGAGATTGGATGTCGCATTCGTGCCAAGGTGTTTGGTCACCAACAGCGAATCTGAGCCTTGGCAGTTAATTACCAGCCATTCAACAGCTCTTTGGTGAATCTGCGTTTCCGTAAGGTTAGCTCCGGCTAGCTCCAAGGGTCGCCTATCTCGTCACACGTGGAATCGAAATTGACTTTACGAAAGAAACATCCAGTTCAACGGCATTGAATCTCCAATGAGCCGTCCCTCGACTGAGCTCCCTGCACGAGTTGACACGCCATATTAATCGAGGCCGCACTTTTGCCCAGGGCCAGTCCGGCCGGCGCGCGCGCGGGCTAAATGAGGAAGCTGATCCCTGTTACGCCCGGGCACGCGGTGACAAGAACAGACAGGGATATCCGAACTCCGCGAGGTCTCCGCGAGAGCTCAACACGGATCCGAAGCGCCCCGAGGGCGCAAGCGATTTGGGCACGGTCTCTCGTGCGATTGCCTTACTCGTGAACAGTAGCGATAACTTAGATTCTATCACTCGATGATTGATCCCATCATCCTCCCACCTATGTTTATGCCGCGGTCCTGGCCGACCTTTTTCGTCTCTATCGTCCTCCCGCCGTTGCCTTTATCGTCCAAAAACGTCGTTGCAGACTCTAAATGTTCGGCATGTGGGAAATTCTCAGCTGGCGGGCTGTTCACAGAAGCCTATTCTACAATTAGACCTTTGTGGCGCTAGGAGAGGTCAGATTTCAGATGGAAGCCGTCGATCCGGAAAAGTCACTAACGGTCTGAGAAAGCTGGGCATCGTGGGATTTCCGTTGGCCTCGACTATTATTTCTCCGACAAACTCATTGGTACTAGCGCAGGGGAAAACGCCTTGCGGCTGGGGTCTTTGGGTTTACCCCTGACTACGAGGGTGAGGATCGCTGCCGCTGGGGCCTGACTGACTCTGGGCATTGCTTGTCTGCGTTATGGTTGACAGAAACCCTACTGGCGGGCGAGACGCAGCGCGACTGGATACTTCACATTCGAGACACCTCGCGACTGCGACCCTGCCCCTTATGCAGACTTCGGACGGAAATTCAAGGCGGAGAAGTCCAGTCAAAAAGTGGCATGTTGCTGCACACCATCTCAACCTATCGCCTAACCGTCATAGGCGCGGATCCCCACAAGCTTGAGTTTATCCTCTAGCTCAGCGCCCTGATCTTGAGGCAATCGCTTCCTGCGGTCTCGCTTGTCTTCCAATGCGGGATGCCGGTGAACGAGAAGCACGGAAATTGTGTTTGCAAATCACTCAAAATGCGTTTGAACTACAGTTGCGGGAAGATAGTTTCTGCCCGGCTTGTGATCATAGCTTCTGCAGGTATGACAGGTAGTAAAAGCAATTGTTTCTCGATCGCGTTTCTGTCGTGATCCTCCGGGATGGCTCATTCCGCAGGGCAGTTTTTTTTTTCGGTCTCCACAGCATGGCTTAGCTGATTCAAGATGCTGTTATCTGGGGCTATATAGCATTCAATATTCAAGATAACGCGCTTGTCGTAACTGGCGATAAGTCATGCAGCCTACCATCGGCGATTCTTGTGGAACGCGACCTCCATTGCACCGTTGCACGTCTCGGGATCGGCCTTTTGCCAAGAGCGCGCCGAGAGGAGTGTTCGCCCATCATATTGGGTACGAAAATCCCAGCAACGGTTTCAAGATTGAAGACACAAGAGCCTTGATTTGCATGAAAAGATGAATGTGGTGTGGTGTCGTGTGGTACTGGTCAAAACACAGGCTGGCTTATTACCATGAGCGTTTCCGGGATGAGGCTCGGTTGAGGCTGACATTCATAAGATCCATCTTTGTTGGTATGATCATCTCGCCTATTCTGCAATGCAATGTGCACATGACAGATTCTTAGAATCGAAGGTGGTGGCATGCAAGCGTGGTGGCGCACATGGACATCCGTTGGTGACGGAGTAGTGTTAATCTCTGCGAAGATGGTGGCGCTCAGTCTGATCTGTGAGAGCCAAACATCTGGAACAGCCAGAGGGAGAGTTTCTGTAGATCCGAGGAAACACTTTAAGCGGGTGACCGAACGCCTCCCGCAGCTTCCACAACGTGGGAAGCGATCGGAGGGAAGGGTGACCGAGATCCAGGCCGCTCATGTGCAGCCCTATCAAACTGCCAAGGAAATTATATGTCACTCTGTTTAGACCTTGTTCAAAGGCCGGGCCTCAGCCAGCGGCTGGCCTAGTTGACCATTGGGGCCCAGGGCACCACTCAATTTCGCTACGGGCCATATGAAACTGCGCTTTCTTTCAATTAAGAGAAGGAGGGAGAGACCCGGACAGGCAAACAAGCAACTAAGTTGTCAGCTTGCAGGTTTTGAGGACGGGTGTTTGAACTGCCATCCGTTCCTTTTGGCTTAGATTAGGCCACCTTTGGCCTCCCGGAGGCTGCTTGTAGTAGCATCACCCAAGCACGGAAGATGACTAACCCAAAGCTTAGCCTATTGTAGCGACGGCCAAGTCATTAAGCTTCTCGGAGAAAGTACTCCTTTCAGCATTGATGGGTGTGGGCAGCGGAAACATCCTTCAGACGAGTCATGGATGTAGCCATGTTGGCAGTCGGCAAGACTCACCATTCCCCCTGAATTTCCAAGAGAAGAGGGACGAGAATGGGCCAAAAGAGAGCGGGAAGGAAGGGCACCATTCCAATCTAAGTTCGAAGGCCGAGACGTAAAGTTGTGACGTCTGGTCGGGGACCGCCGGCGGCCCCCCCTGCGAAGGTGCCAACCAACACCAATCCGCTCCGCAAGTTCGGACTCGTCCTGCCTTATGAAGCCGGCCACGAGTCGGCAGAGGGGGAGGAAGGCAAGTAGAATCTGGACCGGCGCCCTGCCACCAGGGATGTGATTCGTGGGCTGTGTGGCCACTCTGATACCCTGCATCTCAATGCACCGTCTGTGCGACTGGACAATCAGGGAAATCCTTCCTTCGTCCCAATGGTATTCAAGGTTCGAAACAAGCAGCACAGTGACTCGGCGACCGCACCAAAACACTACAGAAAGTCTATCATCCGGACGTTTCAACCTCCTTCGCTGGCCCGCCCTGTCTTCTACGCTGCCGCCAATGGCTCCCCCACCCGCGGCATCATCTCATGATTGCTTCGTGAACCGTGCCGGCGTTGGACTGAATGCCGTCCCGTCGTTGCAACTTACTTATAAGACCAGTTGACCCAACCCTCTTTTCCCGCCTCCTTTTGATCGGTACTGAATCTGGATTCGGCATTGTCGTCAAGCAGCAGCAACGGTCATTACTCAACCAGCCCCGGGCAGGTCCTTCATACGCTAATCAACTACTATTCAATCTTTACCAATAATCAGTAAACAAAAGCAAACCGCAAAAATGAAGGCCTACGCTGTCATCCTTTCCCTCGCCACCTTGGCCGCCTGCCAGGCTCCCCAGCCGCCCCCGGCCCCGGCCCCGAATGACACCCCCGCTTGCGCCGAGGCGAAGATTCTGGCCGGCGGAATTGCTCTGAATATCCAGATCCAGCAGCAGGAGCAGGCCGGTCTCGCGGCCGTGATGCAATCTCTTCAGGCCAACCCCGTCAACATGCAGCAGTTCCAGGTTGCCAAGTCCAACTTGCTGTCCTTCGTCAGCGACGGTATCCAGGTCCGCCAGGCCAACCAGCTTATCGCCCCCTCCGGCAACGGTGCCGCTCAGGGTCTCGCAGTTGTATGTGGCGTCTGCAAAGGATACTAAATCAAGCATGAGAACTAACAGTCCAATAGGTCGCAAATGCCCAGCTCTCGGAGCTCCAGAAGGTTGCTGGCCTCACTGGCAACCCTCAGCAGGACAACCCGGTCACTCAATCACTCCAGATGGACTTCTCTGGAGGTATCCAACAAAACATGAAGAACCAGCAAGCTGTATGTGGCGATTACTCAGAACGCTTTAAGAAATAGTTACTGACATCCTCTAGGCGCTTACTGGCTGCTAGAGAATGACATATCAAAGCGGTCATCATGATGATAAGCGACGGTGCTTGGGATGGGTTTCGGACAACGGCGTTCAGCGGTTTTGTCCATATCTTCTTTTAATTCAATGAAAGAACCGGAGCTGGGGCGGCTGGGACTTGACGATGTTGATCCTCGACGGGGTTCAGCCGGCAGGAGTACCAACTAGGCTACTTGAATACCACCAGAAATCCGACTACCATTAGTTCCATTCTTGTCGGGGCTGAGGATCTAGGTTTCCCTCCTGAAATACTATTCAAATAAGATATCACCATTTGAGGGAACTCTCCGTATCGCGTACAAATGTTATAGCGACAAGTATGACAAAACCCTGTTTGAATCAGTCCACAAAATCGACTCCATCGTCATGCAAAATGCGGGCACGTCAAACTCGCCTAGCGCGTAAACAAAGATCAGCCTCAAAAGATGCTGATCCGGAGATGCAACCGACAAAACCCCACCTTGAGAGGATGATTTCCGTCGGCCGAAGAGGGGTAGTAAACTATATCCAGAACAGAAGAAGACGCGCTCCCCGTAGCCCAATCGAGCCTTGCAATCCAAAATCAAATACTCAAAGCCTCAAACAATGTCCCATTTACTTGAAGCTGGCTTCTCCCCAGGTGGACCCCTATCCTCGAACGAGACGCAGACAACGTCGGTTCGGACGATGCCACCATCCGCAGACTGGGGCGGAGTCGTCTCGTTCCTGTCTGACATGAACGCCGGGGCTGGCCTCTTGCACTCGGGTAGAATGTTCTCCTGGCTGTCATCCTCCATGATTGTGAAGCCTAAGTCGTCCCTAGGTTTCGGCCTGGGCTTACGCTGTCCAAGCTCAATCTTGCTTCCTCCTCGAGACTCCCTCTGAGAAGCGTAGTCCTCGTAGAACTTTGGCGTCTCCTCGGTCGTACTTTTGGCGGTGCTGAAGGGGTTGCGTTGCAGGATCAATTCGAGTAAGGGCTGGAGGACAGGGATGGTGCTGGCAATGGTGATCGTGCTGCCTTCGACCCTGCAAACTCCAGTCAGTTCCGTATGATCGACGCAAAGAATCAATTACATCTCGGAGCCGACCAGCCGAGGAATTGGAATAATGCTCACACAGTTCGTATTTGAAGGTCAGAGGTGAGATCTGGGTCGCGTGTCAGTCTATTTCATGGCATTTCTGGGAGGGTGGGGTTGTACAGGTGAAATCGTCCTCCCTGAGTTGTGGCAGACGGATGGACTTGACTATGGCCACAACACCACCACTGCATCAGAGTTAGTAAAACCTCACAAAACACTAGGTGGTCCTTGGAGGAGTTACATACACAGCACCGACTCCGAGTGCACAAGATAAGGCAATCTTCCTCTTCATTGCCATTTGCAACCGGAATAGCACCAATGTTGGATACAATGCCAAGTAGACATCTACGAATGCAGACAACACTAAGTAAAAACGAATGTTAGCCAAGAATGTCACGACTGAACTTTCACATAGTCTTCGATTACCTCCGCCATAGATGCTGTAGTCGACTGTGATGTTTGGGTCAAAGCAACGGCCTAGGACATGGTCATCCCAGATTGAGGCAACGGGAACGCATCGACCGAAATGTAAGCCGGGGACGACGATGTGTGTGAGTAAACACAGAATTGTGATACCCCAAAGGAACCACAGATGATATCGCCTTGGGTTCATTAACCGCGTTAATAATGAGACAACTGCGAGTTTCGGAATCGCAAAAGACATGATTCCCGGAGCAAACCCCACATGTGACCAGAAGATGGCACCCTTCTTCTGCTCATACGTGAGTACATCCTTATGCCTGCCATAACCATAGCTGATGGCAACAGTGGCAGCTGCACAAGACGCAAGTATGCAAGCCTATGATGAACTTAGTGTCAGTGCGAAGACACACTCGGCATCCTTGAAGGAGAGACCACGTGTGGACCCAAGCTCCCGAAAGATGCACATACCAATGACAGGATGCAGCAGTAGTCATCGCTGTAGAACGTCCTTCCAATCCTGCGCCTACACCAGACTCGCGCCGAGACGAAAACTGTTGTCAACCCAGCCATCGTCCAACAGACCCATAGCATCTCCGGTCCTTTGTCCTCGGCCTTCCATGACTCAGATCTGCTGACCGACATCGTCTTGAGGTGTTTTGCAGAGGTGGCTGGTCTGTTGTGTTCAGCGCCAGGCGCGGCTGGCGGTGAGAAGGAACTGCCACCTGGTTGTCGATATGCAAGATCAGTCGCACAAACAATGGAAGGAAATCTGGACCTGATGGGGCCCAAGGCGTTGGCGAAGGCGCAAAGAGCGAGTTGAAAATTGGAACACCGCCAGGTGTCTCTGGCAGGACGACCATCACCATTTTGTTATGTGGTCACCCGCGCTCATCTCGACCATGACGCTCAACGAACAATGGGGTTCCTTTTGGGGCGGATATGCATGCTGACCCATTCATCAGCTGCCCGTGGCCTCGGTCTGCGTTTAGGAGGGGGACAAACAGAACGCCCCAAAGCGCGAGTGCAAATTTGGTAAGAGAGCCAAACGACTGGGTGCGTCTGCCCAGAATCTCGGTTGGCAGGCTGTTGGCTGATTAGAGCCCAGATCGTCGAGGTATCCCATCAAACGACGTGGGAGGTGGTGGGTATCAGTAGGGAAACGTTGGCAACAGGAATTTGGCTGGCATGTCAGGTACCTGACGGCAATCCGTGCTGTGGAGCGCTGCCTGTTGGAGCCTGCATGCTGTGTGATTACGGACGTATGGAGAGCACGCATGATCTGCAAACGAAAAGCAAACAATCAAACAAGACTTGACCCCATGGCGAAGGCTGAGAAGGTGTAGTTCACGATGCCACGTGGGATTCACCGAGATGGAGGGGCCAGGGCTTGGACTCGCATTTGACAGTTGCGCTGAGCTGAGCATAGCAGGCTCATTTGACTTATCAAGATTATAGGATCGTGGAAAAGCCCATGCCCATGGATTCGTGATGCAGCCTTGTGGCGACAATGACGCCACTCAATAATGAATTCATTCACTTTCAACTCAGAATGTAGACAATGCCTTTGACGAATAATAATGATTCCAGTCGGCGGGATCCGACACCCCATGATCATCCCCTGTGGACTGGGCTCGGTGGTGCAAACAGACAAGGGTGTTTGCGCCGTTTGTCCCAGAGGGGCAAATGTACACCCAGTGATGACCGCGAGGGGCCTGAAATAGCTGCCTGCACATCAGAAGATGGATAGCAATGGCAGCATTTTCGAGCTAGCCGTTGAGGGCAGAAAGCTTCTTCTCCGTCAATCTGACCAATAGTCTACACGCGAACACGGGCAGATTGTGCTACCAATCGCAAACATTCATAGTGAGATCCTGCAATAGTGCACACAAAACATGATCTGGCTAGTCATTGGCTATTCGATCCAAGTGTGAACCAACAGTGTCAAGTTCCCTGCTAGCAGCGTTGATGTAGCTTGATGATAGGCTGCGTGGAAGATGACCGAATTCCAATGGTCCAAGTGTCCGAGTCACTTTGTAACTTTTAACGCACTCAGCACTTTGTAAGATCTCGGAACCTGCGCAGTTATCCCTGACGTGTTGGTGGTGTCATCTGACTTCACTGAAAAAGAAGATGCTTTGTTCATCGTCTCATTGGGTAAACCAGATGCCAATTCGACCTGATCTAGAGTAAATCCTCAACGGGTCTTGGCGTCACTAGGAATACAAATTGAGACTCAATAGACATACTTCATGGCCCATAACAATGGAAGTAGATTGGTCCCTTAACCTCTTCCAATGGCGAGGACTCTTCATCTGATTGTCGCTAACTTCCCGTCCATCGCTTTCGAAGCACATGCGCTGCCATCTTGGGTCTTCGGTCTCTCGTGAACACACCCTTCTTGTTCCCGTCTACGCGGAAGATGAAGGTCGAAGGGGTCTGGAAGTCCGCAAAGTTCCACACATGCTCCCCAACGACACTGTCTATCCGATCAAAGACTCTGTGGCTCATTTCCAATACTCGGCTCTGGTATTCCTCGCTCCACGGAACATCACCCACAGTATGTAGCCCAGCAAGGGTGTCGGCACCATATTCTGACATCACCATGGGTTTGTTGAACTTTGCTTGCCATTGCAGCAGTTCCTTCTCGAGATTGGTCTCAGCAGCCTCGAGGTCGCCTGTGTGCAGGTACCAGCCGTAGTAGCGATTGAGACAGAGCACGTCAAACAGGTCGGAAATGAGACACTTGTTGACGCTTGCTTGGAATTCGTTGGCATAGCAAATCGGGCGGGAGTCGAGCTGGCGAGCAAGCGCGACCAACGGTTGAAAATACTGCCTGGCTCCAGGCTCATGTGCAGCCGGCTCGTTGGCAATAGCCCACACGACGACTGAGGGATGATTCTTATCGCGGTCGATGAGTTCTCTGATAGCTTGCTCATGCGACCTCCTCGTCTCATCACTGACGGTGTCGGGGGAGTACGTCGGCAATTGCTTCGATCCGTGAAGTCCAGCAACCACTGCCAAGTTCAAGCCAACTGCAGCCGTTTCGTCGATGACAACAATTCCGTGGCGATCTGCAAACTCTATCACTTCCTCTGCATAGGGATAGTGTGATGCTCGAAATGAGTTGGCGCCGATCCACTTCATCAGCTCGAAGTCGTGAATCATGTATGCGGCATCATGGCCTTTGCCTCGAATAGGGGTGTCCTCATGCTTCCCAAACCCGCGCAAATAGAACGGCTCGTCGTTGATCAAGAACCGGTTGTCCCTCACCTCGACCGATCTTATCCCAACGGGAAGATGATAGATGTCCTCAGAACGACCCTCGTTGTTGACAAGGTGAATACGAAGCTGGTAGAGGTATGCTGCTCCCGGCTGCCACAGATGAACCGAGCTCACCACTACCTTTCCGGCCGTCCCAGATGCTTTTCCAACCACCTTGCCGTCTTCATCTGTAAGTGACACATTGGCTTTGGAGTCCGATATCGACTGGCTGGTGCTAATCTCGAAGTTGACAATACCAACTCTTCCTCCTTCGGTGACCTCGGTCTTGACGGTTACATCAGAGATGTGTACTCGTGGAACACAGTAAAGCCATGCAGATCGAGCAAGTCCAGAGTAGTTAAAGAAGTCGTGTTGATAGTGCTGCGTTCGCTTCCCATGCTCAATCTCAATCCTCCCCGGAGGGATCGTCGTCCAGTCCAATTCATTGCTGACAGCGACAGTCAAACGGAATTCTTGCCCTGGCGATACAACATCGGTGATATCCGCCTCGAATGGCGTATATCCACCAATGTGTTCCGTGATGAACTGATCGTTCACGTAAACACGGCCCCGATGGGTGGCCGCATCGAAACGGAGGACATACCGCCGTCCAGACCACGCTTGAGGAATTGTTGCGTGACGTTGGTAGTACACCCATCCGACATGGTTTCGAATCTTTGGATCGACGAAGATGTCGTTGTAACTGGCCGGTACTGGGACTTGGAGTTGAGGTGACAGATCATCCTCCCACGCCTTTGGCTGCGGCTCTGTGGAAGGCTCTAAAGCGAAGTTCCATACTCCGTCGAGGGAGATGAGTTCTCGGATAGCGTTGGCTTGTGGCTTAAGCATGGTGTCTTAAATGAATACCCTTCGAGGAAGTAGATGCAATCGCAAACATGCCGTGAGCTTGGGGGTCAGGCGAAAGGACTGATAGTTGACTTGAAGTACACCGCGGCTCAAGGTGAGTATAGGTGCTCCCATAGGCCCCACCAAATACGGAGCGCAATATTAGCTACCAGCTATGATTGTGTCATAATGAGGGGTCTAGACTGAATACCCATGGTATTTCAGGCGTCATGTGAGCTGAACTGCATTAAACAGGTGGATTGATCCCGAGAAAGTGCACTTTGCGGGAACCGAACAACGATCGGCCGGTGGTCGGCCGGTCATCGGCCGATCGTTTCCCGGGGCTAAACATCCATTTTGGTCCACACCGACTGCTTAAACGTCAGGATTTTCTGTATTTATCGAACACATGGGGTAAGTACGGCTGAACTATGCCAGGCTTTTGGAAATGTTCGGCTAAAGGCCGGTCTGCTCACGTTGCAACGGCCAACCATCTTGAGCCATCATCAACAAAGTGGATGAAGTGAGGTGGGCTTGCCCTGTCGTGTCAGGGATCGGGCATGGTCGAGAGGCCGAGACATATTTCTGGACCCCAGAAATCACGCTGTTCTCATGTCCATGGGTCCAATGTGACATGATTGTAAAGATGCTCTGATCAGTGTTGACCATTTATGGTAACATCAAGCGTCGTCGCTGAAGGTCCCCACGATCTCCAGGAAACCTGTTTCCCCAGGGTTGGTCTTCATAAACCACCCCCACATCCCCGGACTTTCCAAAACGTCGGGACTTGCGCCTACTAGAATTCCTGAGCTTTGAACTCTCGTGCTGCTTCTTGCACTGTTGGTGACCATTCATTGCCGCTGTCTTGAATTGTCATTCATTCTCTTCATTCTTTTTCTCTCACCAAGAGATGACGCAAGATCACGACGGTGCCCATATAGCCGAGAAGCCGAATGGCGACCATCTCGAGGAAGCAGCCGAGATGGACCATGAAGCCGGCATCTCGAAAGAGGGTGCAGAGGTAACACCCATCACCTCTGCATTTGCCGACTGGGGTAGGGCGAAATGTATAAAGAAGTTCTGGAGACTCTACGCCTGCGGCCTCTCTGTGTCGCTTGCGGGAATGTCTGTCACTCACCATGATTTTACGAACCACACACGCTGAGACTTCCTTCTAGGTATGCGGGCTATGCCAATTCGGTAGTCGGAAGCATCGTCGCCAACGAAGGCTTCATCAAGCAATTCGCTACAGTTCGAGACCCCAGGACTGGCCAACCGGCTCTGAACGCCAACCATGTCTCCCTATGGAGCTCCATGTTCTTCGTCACCGCCATCGCCATTCAGCTCATCGCGCCTCACACAGCGGATCGCTTCGGACGCAAATTCAACATGTGGGGAGTTACATTCTTTCTGACGATGGTAAGCATAGTCTTTCCACGCCTCTAGAACGGTCCAAGACTAACAACAATAGTCCATCATAGTCGCCATTATATCCAAGGATTGGATCGTCCTCCTCGTCGCGCGACTGATCGCAGGTTGTGCCGGTGGTATGATGGGCACATCGGTCATGGTGTACATGTCCGAGATTGCAATGCCACAGTTCCGTGGCGCGCTGTTGGGCAGCTTCTCTCTTGCCTTCTCACTGGGTCAGGTCTTCCTTGCCATCGGACTCAAGATCCTCGAAGACACCAACCCCATGCACTTCAGAAACATCTTCTACTCGGAGTTTGTGTTCTGTGGACTCTGGATCATGCCGATGCTTTTCTTACCGGAGTCACCCGGTACGTTTCAAGCCATGAGAAAGCAGTCTTAGACCATAGCTAACCAAGACAGCCTGGTATGCCTCCAAGGGAAATCACGAGGAAGCCAAGAAATCTCTCCGCAGACTTGTTGGAGACGTGGAGGGTTACGACGTTGAACACGAGTACGCTGTCATGCGGTATGAAATCGACCAGTCCATCGCCCTTTCCCAGTCCCTCGGCGGCGATAGTGACTGGAAAGCCCTCATGACTCCCATCAACCTTAAGCGTGCCATCATCTCAACCCTGCCCCTGACCTTTCAGAATGTCGTGGGCGTGCCTCTCATGTTTGGCTACACAACGTATTTCTTCTCCATGGCAAATGTGGAGGATCCCTTCTTGGGCAAAATCATCATCAACGCCATTCTTCTGGTCGGAATCATCTTGTCGTTCTACATGGTCGACAAGGTCGGCCGCCGCACTCTGGTCCTCGGCGGGGGTTTTGGCATGATGATCATTTGCTTCATCGTGGGCGGCCTGGGCTTCATGCAACCCACCTCAGCGTCCGGTCCTGTACTGATTGCTCTGTGCGGTATCTGGGCGTTCCTTTATGCCAACTCACTGGCTCCAATCGGTAACTTTGTCCTTATTCTGACCTTCTGGGATAGATCACGTGTATGCTAATATTTCTAGGATGGATCTCGCTTGTTGAGGTCTCAAGTCCGAAGCTAAGGGCGAAGACAACGTCACTCGCTGTAACCGTTCAGTACATCACAGGTATCATTTTTGTAAGTCATAGCATCGCATCTCGCTTTTCTCTCCCGTTCGATTCTAACCAGAGTAGAACTATACGGTGCCGTTGATGCTTTCAAATCAGTACGCTGGTTGGCAGCAAAAGATAGGCCTCTTCTTTGGAGGAGTCACCTTTGTGTACCTCATCCCATGTATTCTGCTCTATCCTGAGACCAAGGGCCGTACATATCAAGAGCTGGACGAACTTTTCGAGCGTCGCATTCCAGCATGGAAATTTGCCAAGACAAAGACAGCGCATCAGGCCGGTATCGAACTGCGCGCTCGAGACCTTTAAGCTGTGGCGCATGCATTAAATGATTCACCAGGCTTATCCACATCTATACCTTACTTTATGCCAATTACTGCAATGGACTTCATACTATAATGCCGAGGGCGACGATTCGAAACTGAGTCTATGAGGCTGGGCTTCGAAAGCAATAGAGCTACTGCGGTCACTCAATCCATAGGAAATGTATCAAATGAAATGTCTTATTTTCCAAATTGAAATTGGGTATATGAATCGTACATGCTCCCTTCGAACCATTAAATTGACATTCCTGTCAAGGACTCCTCCGTACGGGCAGTAGGAACAAAATATGAAACTAAGTAAATACTGCTCCAGTGTGTAAGGACTTCGTCGTTGATCGAATACTCCGTCTCAGAATATAAACCTTTTCATTGGCGCACGAGACTTGAGTGCGATTTACATCAAACAAATTCCTGCGTTGCAGTCCTAGGTCAAGATTAGCCAACGCATCCCTAAACATGCCCATTGAGATACGAACCGCCCTGCACCGAGCCAAGCAAATCTATACCACGTGTTAGCCATCAGTTACAGCACATGGCTTCATCATTGAGTGACTTACACATTTGTTGTGTTGACCATTGTACCGACAACAGACGTTGTATCTACCACTCGAACCCTGACCCGGGCTAGGAGATCCACCATTGTCGCCGACAGGCCCGCCGTTGTCACCCTCATTTTCGTCGCCACAGTCGGGTGGGTGGCCTCTAAGAGTCAAAGGGTTGTAAGGGTCACGAAGATCCATTTGGAACTCCATCAATGTCTCGGGGCTTGCGGCATAGGTTGCCGCCGCGAACATAAGCAGGGGAAGAAACAGCTTCATCTTGACGGCGATGTCTTGTTTCTGGGTCCAAAATGAGAGAACAGGCATTCCAAGAAGGCTTCAGAAAGCATGAAGCGGTCTATATGTAGGTATTGAACTTTTAGTGGACCCAGGGCCTCAGAGCCATCGCATTGACTCGCTTTAATATGAGCGTCACGTTTCCTCTCAACTTATTCATCAAACGTTACCGACAATTGACGATGTTCTGGAATCCGGCTTACTCGGGAAAGAAAACCGTTTGGCTTATTTTTCAGCAATATGCAGCAAAGCCCTGCGCATTGCCCTGCGCTTTGATTGCTCAGCTTTGAGTGGCCCCAAGCCTGCCATACTTCAGCCAAAGTTTAAAAGGTCCTTTGGTCCAGTATGCGCACACTGAGGCGCGGGATATGCTGCTTACTGAGAGTCTGAGGGTTTACCTATGCAACGTTCCGGAACTTCCATGCAGGTCTGATGCATATGCGCACAGTCAGCGCATAGCAACCCCTGGCTGTGCTGATGAAACCTCGACATGGGCCCCAGAACAAGCGGCAGACTTTTAGTGATAGGTCGATGCTTCTGTTTGAACGCTTCATTCACAGGTTGCGCTGGCTTAATCTCGTTCTTAATGGAAAATAACATTGAGCAAATATCAGTAACTGAATATCGAGCTTGCGGTCATTGTCTGGAAAATGAACTTATGGATTGTGAGAATTGCTGCGGGATGCATCATGGTTCTGGGCTTATGGGGAAGACTATTATATTTTATGGGCAAAAGTTAGGATGAACCCACACCAATTGTGGAATAGCACTTTCGATGAGTGATGCGCTAGGAGTGATGCGCTAGGCGTTGACTATGTCGCTTCCAGCCTTCGTGGTGCCTCGCCAACAGAGGCAGATGTCCAGTTGTGCTTGATCTAGGCTGTTTCATGGGGATCGCTTTGTCAAGCCTCGTCCGGAGGTTGATATTGAAGCATATATCAGCTCTCGTGGCGCTAGGCATTATACATTGATCACCTTTATGCTTACTGTGGCAGGTGTGAATATTTGTGCGAGGCTATGCTGCCAACATCAATTGTGGCACACGACAAAATCCCTCCAGACTGTGCGTCAGCCGCTGTCTAATTGCCACGACAATAACTGGTCCAGAAGCACCGGCGTGGGAATCAGATGCGTGTAATGCATTTCAACTAGTATTTCAGCAGGTTGAGACAGCAATGATCTGTTTGCTGCACCTGGTTTCTTACAAGGGGAATGACCTAATCCATAGTTCCCAGTAGTGATCTACCTCAAGGGTTGAGCAATTGAAATGGGCAGGAGTTGCTCCCGGGCCGATGACGTCGAGCTTTTTAATCCATGAAATAGAAATAGATATGTATGGACACTGAATCCATTCTCTTGAGTACACTGCGCGGCGGCCACTTATCAAGTGGCCAAGGATACGAGAGTATCCGACAATCTCATACCCTAAGCTCTTCAGGGGGAAAGCTCCTAAAGGTTTCCGAAGTGCAAATATAGCGAAACCTCGCACAACGGGCAAATCCGTCCCCATTGGGCTCCTCGTGGCCAGTTCATGTAGCAAGGAACCTCTCCGGGCTCTTGTTGACTGTGGCGGATGCTTCTGTAAACTTTGTGCAGTCTTTCTGGAGCTTATCCGGTGATCGACACTTGAAGCTACATTCATGCAGTCCAAATGGCGGTCTTCTCACCCTCGACTGTTGCTGCGTCTTTTTGGCCGGAGTCGAACGACCAAGTCGTCACGGCGTTGCTTTGAGACCCAAAGATATCGGAGCCACCTGGACTGCTCTTCCCGAGCCCACCAAATGCGACTTCGTCGGGTATTGTGCTCCTCTTTGTTCCGAGCCCCTTTTCAAAAGTGAAGCCTCCTGACATGCCGAACGACAGACCCGATGTTCCGCTTGTTGTCACAAAATTTGAATGAGGCTGACTTGAGACTTGGTCGAAGATATTGCTGGTTCCGTCGGGCTTTCTGCGAATGGATCCAAAGAGTCCGCTTTTCTCAGTCGGAGAGATATTCTCGGCCTTCGTGGCAAGTTTTGAATAGCTTTCGGGGGGAGGTAACTTGACCACTGGGGCCTTCGTCTTCTTTACTGGAGTAGACTCGGCTGACAATTCTCCCTGTATGGGCTGTACAATAGGGACTGTTTTTGGTGTCAATCCTCGCGTCGTCTGCTGGCCGTGAGGTTTAGCTATCATTGGCCATCAGCATAGAAGCTCTCATATTGGAGCAATCAAACACTGCTTACCGATCGTGGGCAATCCTACAGCTGTCTCCCGCTGAGTGCTTTTCGTGGGCTTAGTGTGTTGAGCTGAAGGAATGATTGTAAATGTGCCATGGTCTTTCAGCGTTGAAGACAAGGGAACTTTCTCACTCGTCACGCCTCTGAATCTGTACCGGCGGCACTGATCCAGGCCCTGTTTGAGCAGTTTTATATCAGTCTGCAACTGTGTGCGGCGCTCCCGAATCTCCTCTGACTCGGCCGCGAGCTCCGCCAACCTCGTGTCATCCATTCCGTTCACGGCCTTCGGCGTCAGAATGCCTGGAAGTTCTTGAATGAGACAGCTCTCTAACGCCAGGTTGATCAGGTTATCGGTGAATGTGCGTAACGCCATCTACGCCAAGTCAGTATGCTTAGGACTGATCACTATAACAAAACGTAATACACACGTCGTAGAATGTCAGCATAGTTTCGACGGCCCGCCCGGTCCCAAACTCGTTGCGCCGGCGTGGGAGATCTGCTCTCGAGTGTCGTGAGCCGTCTGAGTCGTCGTCGTCTGAGTTGTCGTCGTCTGAGTCGTTGTCGTCTGAGTTGTTGTCGTCGGAGTCATCTGAGACATCCTCCACGCCACGATGAGAAATTCCACGGCTCATAGCTTCCTGGAAGTCGACATCGAGAGGTAGCGCATAACCCTCCTGAAGAGGTCGGAGAAGCTCCCGCAGCTTTATCTCGAGAATCTTCTCTCTTGCATCAAAGAAAGGATCGACGCAAGTCGCCAGAATCATAGAAGTGGTACTGCAGGTGCCCAAGGGCCCAGCGATGTGCTCAAACGCCTCGTCCACGAAGGCCTTCACAACAGCGGTGACCTTCTCCAAATGCACCCTGGCGACGGCCTCCCAGGGCTTGGATTGTCTCTGGAAAAGCTGTACAATCAAATTTGTACTGGCATATCCGGGAAACTCGGTGCCCTGGTTTGCGGCCGCTTGCCGCTCCAGTTGCGTAGCCATCTCCGACCGAGTGATTAGTTTTGGCATTGGAAGATCGTACGGATGCTTGTCGAGAAACTCTTGAAGGTGGATAGGAATGCCTTTTCGTCTCGTAGAGCCAGGAGGGCTAGGGTAGATCTTCTCTGACGACCCCTGCACGAGGAGGATGTGACGGATCGCTCGATTGAAACTTCGCAGGTGAGACCGCAGCTTCCGATCACTACCATCAAAGCCGCCGAAAAACGGATCGTTGTAATGACCCTGGATGCCATCGCGTACAAGTCTCTCAAATTTTCCCGCGATGTCCACGAGATATGCCCTCATGTCGGCGGCACTGGACCTGGCCTGCCCTAAGCGCACAAGCTCGGCCTCATGCTCAGCGAGCTTCTCCCGAATCTCTTCAAGGACACCCGGGAGACGTTTCTTGATATGATCGTGAAGAATGTGGCTGAGACGTTTCCGTAGAGCATATATGCCGCGGTGGATTACCGGTATGGAAGCCCAAGACCCGGATTCGAAGAACTTCCTTTCGACTGCGTCCCGAGAGTCAGGATCTGCCTTAGGTTCGCCGTAGTCTCGAAGGTTACGTAACACATGCCATCCTAGTTGCAGCTTGTGCACCGCCTCGCGCCCCCTGACTACCTGAAGATACTCAAGTTCGTCGGGTGACCCTGGATGGAGAAGATCGGGCTTAGTAATGACCCCGAGTGTACGCTCTCTAGCGGGGTCGTGTTTCGCAGCCTCCTCCAGCACTCTCTGATTGGCGAGCTCATTACTCGCTGATATAACGGCGAGGATGATGCTATTTTTCTTTGCCATATAGCTCTCTACCAGCTCCATGACAGTTGTTCTGCCCTCGGCTGATTGCTTCGCTGTCGCGGTGTGGAAGATTCCGGGCAGATCAACCAGGGTGAGAGGATAAAGGTTCGGGCCTTCGACCTCCAGACGAAGAATGTCCTTGGAAAATCCTCTATTAGAATCGGTGAGGCCCATATGGTCTTTGGCGGCGGCGATGATTTTGCCAATATCCTCTCTCCCATCATAATTGACCCGCATCTCCCGTGCAGGCTTTAGCTCGTCATGGAACTGAATGGTGGCCTTAACGCGTCGTTGGCTGCCGTTTCGGAGAACCAGCTCCGTGGCAAAGCGTGTGCACAAACCCGAGCTGACGGGAAACTTAACATGCGAGATGGCTTCGAGGACAGATGACTTTCCGGATGACTGATCTCCGACGACGATTATCTGAGGGAGCTTGACAATCCTGCCAATGCCGAGAGAGGAAAGCTTGTCGGTTGTGTCGAATAAGGCGCGAGTTTCGACGGAGTTCAACTCGTCGAGAGCTCCAGGATCGAGTGTGACTTCAGCCATGTTTGTAAGAGTCTGCGCAAGTTGCAAATAGCCGTGAGCTGACTGTAAACAACCCAAGTAAATTTTCCACGGTGGGAAATGGCATTATAATATTCCTCAACGTCTACTCACCAAAACTCAATGTCGGGCTTGTTGATTCGGTCTGTTGGTTCGGCCTGTCGGTTCGACCTGTTAGTTCATTTGCGAAAGGAGTGGCGCAGCTCATGCATACCACCTAACCACGCACAACTTGACACAGCTGAAATGCAGGAGAACCGACCCAACCTTTGACCCAAAAACAAATACTGCATCAGTCTGCAGTTAGTGGCCTGATGCCTAAAGCCTGGAATCTCAATCGGGCAAGGCTCCGCGTTCGCCATTCTTGATTCGGATGTTTTACGGTCGTATGGGCCCCGATCCCCGCGCCCCTGGTAAGCGCGCGCCAACACGTCAGTTGGTGCTGTTAGAATTATATATCTCAGGGCCAGCTCCGATAGCGCCAGTCTTCTTCAAGTTAGTGGGGCATCATCTGAAACTCAGTTGGAAATAACTGGTGGGCGTCGCAAAGCTAAATTCAACGTGGACGACGCGAAGTTCTTTTTATACCTACGTAGATGGAGCCAGACCATAGGCTTGTACGCATATGGAGAAGAGTCATGCCATCATAATTCGACAACTACACGCCTCTCGAAGCGATCTGTCATCTCTCATGACTGATGATTCCAACGTCCGCCATGACGTGCCAGCCATGAGAGAGAAAAACTTCCGCATGCCATTACGGAGCCTATTGCATACCTACCTTGTGAGAAGATAAGATTCCAAGCAAGAATCACTGATCCTATTCGGGTGAGATTGCCGAATAAGATAGAGAATTTGCAGTAGCATTTGGACGTATCTATAATTTCCAATTGTCACTCTGAGCCTGGTCGTGTCACAGTTTGCCTTACATCGAGATGAAGCAGCGTGGAAACGTTTGGAAGCCTCCCAAAGTCTTCACTTCCGCAGGTCCGTCGGTCCCTGTTTGCCCCAATTTACTCATTTCATGCAAGACCTGAAACTTGTCAAAATCAGATTTCTGTGACGATATTGGAGTAGATATGCGAATTCAATTCATAAAATCTCAAGGCGCGAGTAGTGGGCAGGCTGTACCCAATGACACTCTCACATTCATGTCATGCAGTTTTGACCCCTGTCAGCAAAACATGCCTCGATTATGCAATTGCAAGGTCTGAAGTCTGGCAAGAGAACCTGCTGCCGAGGCGCGGGGATTTTCAACCAGTTGCAGCCTGGGTGGGAAAATTGTCTGTCACAACCAAAGCCACCACATCCTCCCTCAAGTCAACTATGTTATGCTCATTTTGTACAAGCATCAACTTCAGGGATGTTTCTCTCCAACCGGACGAGCGCTTACCAAATTGGTACTATCTGTTTCGATCTCAGAATGTAACGGCAGACATCCGCGGGTCATTTTACCCATATTCTCACCAGCCAAGTGTCAAAGCACTGCGAACCTCCGCAGAGGAAGGATGTCATCTATGCGCATTTTTGCTCGATAACTTCATGCATAGCATCTTCGGTGACCGCAGCAGGCCTCCTCGTGTTCTTCCAGAGAGTGCAGTCGAGATCCGCTGGTACCCAGATATCCAATTCGGCATTGGAAATGACAGAGCAGCATATCGCTGTCTAGCTGCATTCCTTCTCACGAACCCTAGTTTGTTCCAAGTCCCGTTTCACTTCACGCAGTATGGAGGTTGGGTTGCTCTTGCCCATCTCTTCAAGGCATAGTATGATCCAAGCTAATCACCACTGCAGGCGGGATCAGCTCCATCCTATCAGCGAAAGCAGTCAAAACCTCATGGGCAACTGGCTCAGATGACGATTTTCGTCTTGCAGCTTCTTGGATAAAGCGATGTCTCGCAACCCATTCTTCTTGCAGTCTAGTTACTAACCCTCTGGCGCCGCTCCCCTCTCGTGTGTTGGACGCCATGGCGAAAGGCTGTCCATCGGGACTCCGCCTCGTTGACGGTGCCGGACGCCTCGGCCCGTACATTACGCTGAGCCATTGCTGGGGCAAGTCGACGATTATTACTACAAATCAGGATACTATTACACAAAGAAGGCAGTGTGTTCTCCTAGAAGACTTATCTCAGACCTTCCGCGATGCTGTTATTGCCTTGAGGGCATTGGGCGTACGGTACCTGTGGATAGACTCGCTTTGTAAGTTTTGCGCTTGTGCCACTGATCGGTATTCTAGTTTTCGTTCTGTTAATACAAGTTCTTTCTAGGCATCGTCCAAGATTCGAAAGATGACTGGGAGTTTGAGGCTAAAAGAATGTGCCAATACTACACCAACTCTATCATGACCATATCAGGGGTCAGTTCATCTGGTGGCGAGGGCGGCCTGTTTGCGACGCGGCATCCCGGCCTAATATCTCCGATACCAACAGAAGTTACCTTCCCTGAAGATGGAAAGATGAAAGGATTTGCGCATGCACTATATTTTCCTGACCCGGCACGCGATATCTGGGGCGACCATAAGCCTCCGCTATGGACAAGAGCATGGGTTGTCCAGGAGCGCGTCTTGTCACCAAGACTGCTTTTGTTCTCCTTGGCACAGATGAGCTGGCAGTGCCAAGAAGAAGTTGCATCAGAGAACATCCCAGAAGGTATGCCTCTGGAAAGTAGCAGAGAGGATGTGGACATGCGGTGGTCGATCATGGGTTGGCACCGTGCGCAGTCTACATCTCGAATTGGGGAAGACCGATACTCATCACCTGTCGCATCGCACAGACTCTATCACGGCTGGTATGAAATCGTTCGGGAGAACACACACTGCAAACTGACTATGCCATCCGACATCTTCCACGCCGTTGCTGGCATAGCGCAGGCACTTCAGTTTGCGTTGAAAGATGAGTATGTCTCCGGACTCTGGAAAGGCGAAGTACACCGGGGACTCATTTGGGTGGTGGCAGAAGGAGTCAAGAGCCAGAGAACGCTAAGGTCATATCGCGCACCGTCGTGGTCATGGGGCTCGCTGCCGGGGGCTTGCAGGTTCGTTCTGTCTAATGCCCCTAGAGAGTTCATCGATACGAGATGGCTGCACATTCTCGGCATCGAAGCGCTGAGCCAGGATGAGCCACGGCCAGTGCTGGTAGTAACAGGTCGACTCAGGAAGGCGTACTATGTGCCCTATGTTGAATACGATTTCCAAAAGCACCTCCCAGCAAAGATCAAGCGGGGCGACGACCTGGTTGACGCAGAGACTGGCGAGTCTTTAGGGGCAGTGACGATCGATAACAATGAGGCGTCCCTTCTCGTTGAGTTGTGGTGCCTCCCCGTCTGTATTGTCAGGTCCAACGTCCCAGGGCACGTCCGTAAGCGAACGGCTGTGGGGTATCTTGAGTACAGCTGTCTCGGGAAACATCGCAACATGAAGTCGCCTCCGGTTTGGATTGAAGGATTGGCCTTGCAGTGTCTTGACAAGGAGAAACATGTTTATATGAGGGTTGGGAAGTGGCGGTGTGAAGACCTCAAGTTATTCCGATGGTCCAAGTCTCGTGCACTATCCATCATCTAGGGCATGTGAGGTAAAGACGGCGCCGGAAGCACGAGTGGGGCTGCCATCGGACCCGGTCCGGGCGCTAAAGGCCGAAAAGCGCCCTCTTCTCAACCGCATGTCTGTCGCACCTTTGCTCAATGTTTTGCTCTTTTGAAGTAAATCAAACACAAACATAAAACCCTAAATGCAGTGAAAATTATCGGCAGCAAATCTATTGACGCAATGATTGCTGCCTTGTTACACAATGCCCACTACTGGCCGGAATCCAATGCATGATGCCGGAGGCCGACAACAATCGCAGCCACTCACAAGCGAGGTGTTGGGGACCAACAAAGCCAAGCGCGTGTCTTGCGCCAAGTTTTAACACGGGACTGATGTAAAGCCGCAGAGGTTTTTCGGCAAGCTGCTGGAGGATAAAGTCTACCAGAGATTGGCGTGAATTTTGATCTGGCCAGCTAGCATTGGTGTGGCCTTCTCATTGACTACATAAAGCACTGAAATTGACACCATCTATGGGTTATTGGCACGGCTTTTGTTGTTCAACTTCCACTCTCACTCTCGGCACAGAAATGGCCACCCTCGACCACCTCAAGTGCTCGTTGAGGCAGCAGCAGGCCATGGCCGGTGGTGCACTCGTCAGCCAACCTCTATCCGACGAGCAATACAGCACAGGCTTCAACATCTTCAAAGAAGGCTCGGTCACATACAATGACTTCATCAAGTCTCAGCTCACACAAGTCCTCACTCCAATCTTTAAATCACGCCTCCGCGTCTCCGTGCTGGAGATTGGACCCGGCCCGAAGAGCGTACTCGGATGTGTGCCTCTTGAAATGAGGAGGAAGATTACCAGTTACTCGGCGCTTGAGCCAAATGGACTCTTTGCTCCGCAGCTGGAAGAGTGGCTCAAGTCGGCGGACGAGAACGGGCTGCCGCTGCCTTGCCTAGAAGGTGAAACCGACGCGAGACGACTGCCATTCGATCTGGCCAGCTCCAAGAAGACCTTTTGCGATGAGAAATTCGATGTCATTATCTTCTGCCACAGCATGTACGACATGCACCCTAAGCACGAGTACCTCCGTGCAGCGCTAGATCTGCTCGTGGACCAGCCAGCCAACAGCACGGTGATCGTCTTCCACAGAGATGGACCACTTCACCTGCAGGGCCTAGTACCTTACCAAGTTGCGACTTTCCCCACAGGAATCGTTCGGGTAGAGGACAGTGACGACTCGCTAGACCGCTTCATCCCATTCATTGCAGGCTACGTGCCAAAAACCACAGCCATCCAACTCGAATGGCGCAACATCTGCCGCTCCCTGGGCCGACGTGACAAGGGACATCTCATCTTCGCCGCGCCGGAGGTCATGATGGCTTTCACACGACATTCAACAGCACTACCGGAGCTTACATCGAAGGTGCCGGTCGCGGACGGGGAGATGCAAGTCAAGAACCGGGAAGCGCGTCTACATCGCCCGGCCGCAATCATCAGACCTTCGACCATTCAGCATGTGCAGGAGTGTGTCCGATGGGCTTTGAGGCACCGGATGGCGTTGACGGTTGTGGGTGGTGGGCATAGCGGTCATTGTTTCTGGTCTAACGTCGTTGCCGTCGACATGAGCGCCTTCAATCAGGTTCATGTCGTCACAGATGAAGACGATGTCGACGAAGCTGAAAGTCTAGTCGTCGCCGGAGCGGGCTGCAAGACGGGCGACATCATAGCAAAGGCCATGGAAGAGGGCCTCACCGTGCCTCTCGGCTCTCGGCCCAGTGTAGGAGCCGGCTTATGGCTTCAAGGCGGCATCGGGCACCTAGCCCGCATCCACGGACTCACATGCGATGCTATCGTGGGAGCTGTTCTCGTCAGCGTTGAATCCGGAGGGATCCTATGCGTCGGTCGCGTACCAGCCCATCACCAACCCACCAGCGCCACCCGCCCCGCGAACGAAGAAGAGCTTCTTTGGGCCATAAAAGGGGCAGGAACAAACTTTGGGATCGTCGTCAGCGTCACTTTCGCAGCGCACCCCGCTCCGATGTTCTCGGTCCGGAAATGGATCATCCCCATGAGCGACGGCGACGAGGCGCAGCGCACGCTTGCCAAAATCGACAAGCCTGTAGCCAGCCAGCTTCCCCGGAGCAGTTCAGCGGACGCTTATCTGTACTGGGATGCTGGCCAACTCCATCTCGGAGTAACCATGTACGAAGCTACAACCGCCAAGCGAACACTAGGACCACCCACGTCTGTCTCTTCGCCAATCGCCAGAGCGCTGGGGCCAGAGTACAGCTTCAGAATCGTGGACAGCATCGGCCTCTTTGAGACGGAGATGTACATGTCGACGATGCACGGCGGGCATGCCGGCGGCAAGACTTCCTCTTTCAAACGATGCATCTTCCTAAAAGATATTGGCAAAGCGAATATTGCAAGCGCGCTGATTGCAGCCGTCGAAACCCGGCCCTCCCTGCTATGTTATCTCCATCTCCTTCACGGCGGCGGCGCCGTCAGAGATATACCGGAGACAGCCACGGCGTTCGGCTGTCGTGATTGGGACTTTGCCTGCGTCATAACCGGCGTCTGGCCGCGCGGAAAAGATGGAACTGACGTCTGTCGGGCAGTCGTGGAGTGGGTGTATGCTGTCGCCCGGACGTTATTGCCTCTGAGCACCGGAGTCTACGGCGCTGATCTCGGGCCAGATCCACGGGACGCCGTGTTCGCCACCAAAGCTTTCGGACCGAACCCCGGCCGTCTTGCTAGGCTTAAGCGAACTGCGGACCCGCGGAATGTGCTCGCATACACCTGCCCACTTCCAAAGGAGCCGATGGAGTCGGCGCTCATCATCCTGGTGACGGGAGACAGCTGCGCGGGGAAGGATTACTGCGCCGCAGTCTGGGCTGACATCTTCAACAAAGCTGGAAAGACAACGCGTGTTGTTAGCATCAGCGACGCCATTAAACGTGAATATGCCACGGCTACGGGCGCGGATCTGGAGCGCTTGCTTCACGAGCGGGAGTATAAGGAGTACCACCGGCTGGCGTTGGCGGCTTTCTTCCAGAATCGCGTGCAAAAGCGGCCTCAGATCCTAGAGGAGCATTTCCTTGAGGTGGTGTATGGTGCTGCTGGTGTTGATGTACTTTTCATCACAGGTATGAGAGATGAAGCGCCGGTTGCGGATTTGAGCCACCTTGTGCCGGACAGTAAACTCGTCGATATTCGTGTCAACGCCAGCAAGGAGACCAGATGGCGCCGCCGTGGGGCATCCAATGGCGAGAAAAGATGTAACGGCACAGAGGATCATTACGGAGAGTCGGCCACGTCGGACGCGGATTACAGCCCCAGCATGGAGTTCCACAACGACGTCGAAGGAAACGAAGCCCTAACAGACTTTGCTTCAAAGCGGTTGCTTCCACTTGCCCACGACGACTTGAACAAGCTAGCCGACATGATCCGCGTCATACCCGACTTCCCGCGTCAAGGTATCGACTTCCGTCACGTTCTCGACATCGCCCAGAAGCCGGGCGGGTTGGCTCTCAGCGCTTCGCTACTTCAATCTCACTTCGCCGGCGATTGGGATAAAGCAGACGCCATCGTATGCTGCGAAACAGGCGGCTTCATCTTTGCATCTGCGTTGGCGGTGCAACTTGGCAAACCGTTGGTTCCGATACGAGAGGCCGGCAAACTACCCCTGCCGACTGTCTCTATTGCCAAATCCACATCGCATATCTCGTCGGGCGCGAATGGTGTGCATGAGAGACGGATTGAGATGGATCGGGATGTGCTGCCGAAGGCAGCATCAGTTGTGGTTGTGGATGACGTCTTTGCTTCTGGAGAGACGATGTATGCGGTGCTGGAGCTGTTGAAGCAGGTTGGTGTTGGCATGGAGCGGGTCAGCGTTGTGGTTGTCGCTGAGTTTCCTCGTCATCGTGGAAGGGCGTTGCTGCGAGGTCGTGGATTCGGGCGAGTCATTGTCCAGAGTCTATTAGTTTTTGGAGGTGCCTGAGGTCAGAAACAGAGGAAGAGCAGTGGCACACCAGCTGACAGAAAAAATAACTAGAAGGAACTCTCAGGATTTAGGAAGGAAGTGACGTTCCTGTCAGAAATGAGGTGAAGTCAATGTCGGCGGCCTCCACTTGCCATGCGGCCCCACAACGAACCTGCACCGAGCCCGGACCCCGATGCGGCTGGGCCGGTGTGTGCCCATGGTGAGGTGAGCCGCCGGTGTAGCCAATGGCGCCCTCGAACGCGGACAAAGAGGGATGATGTGGAATCGGTGGAAGATCGGGGAGTCGATGTACTGTGCGGCGAGCGATGCAATAACGGTGACATACTAGTAGATCTCAGTGTTTGGACTGCACAACGTGGTGTTGATTTGCGCTTCGATAATTGTTGTGGTTCTCACGACCCTTAGGACCACAAAAGTAGATAGCGAACCAAAGTGCAATCCTCTGGCTCCAATCACCAATCGGCTGGTTGTGGATTGTGCAGTGGCTGCTTACATGCCGATCTTCCAGCGAGATGACGAGTGCCGACCCAGGGAGGCGATATCGACAGCGTGACATCACCGCCGTTTCCCCGGCACCAAGTCGCACTTGCGGGGGAAGCGATGCTCACACGTATAGTTGAAGATGTGTTGAAATTTGATTGTAAAGTTGGATATCAACACCAACGCCATTTTCCAATCCTCGTGACTCGCTGATATATCCCAATATGAACCCAAATCCCCAAACAAAGCGGTATCATAGAAAGCAAAACGTAGCCAATCCCTAGCCCCAAACACCGTGTCCCCGTAGAACGTACAATTACATTCTTCTCACTAGTTCATCATCGCCCCGCCTGCGCGTAGTCTGCAGGATTATACTGATACGCCTGATACGCCGTCGGGCCCTTGACCCTGTGCTGCGACGCGTCCGCCACCTTGACCGGATCCCGATGATGCTCCTCTTGCGTCTCCGCGTGCGTGGCCAGCTCCGACGAGAAGCCCTTGTAGTCGAGCCCAGGGCTCGCGTAGCCCCCGCTGCCGTCGGAACTCATGCTCGTCGGGCGGCTGCTCTGCTGGCTCGGGCTCGGCTGGCCCTGCGACCAGCGCCACGAGTTCGGGTCTGGCGAGAGCTGCGAGCTTTGCTGCGACATGGAATTACGATCGTACTGCGGCGGGGAGCCGGAGCCCTGCGGCTGCGGCGACGGCGGGTAGAGCGTCTTGTTCTCGGCCGGGTGGTAGAAGTTGCCTGGCAGCTCGGCAATGAAGGAGGTGTGCCCGGGCGCGGTGTGTTGCTGGTTTTGCGGCGAGCTGGGGAGCTCCATTGGTTGTTGGTGTTGTTGCTGGTACTGCGGCGCGTAGTTGCCTTGCGAGCCGGGGCGGCCCATGCTGGCCATGGAGACGGGGCGGGGCACCTGGTAGCGCGGGGAGGAGACGGACTCGGGGCGGGGGCTGCCGTTGGGGCGCTGGGGCGGGAAGGTCGGGGATCGCGCGCCGCTGATGCCGGTGCTCGTCCTGTCGGCGGGGTTGATCGTCTTGAGCTTGCCGTCCTCGATCATGGCCTGCAGCACGCCGGCGTCGAGCAGCTCGGCCTTCTTGATGATGCGCGAGACCATCTCCTTGCTGGCGGCCTTGAGCTGGGTGCGCACGAAGCTGGTCATGGTGACGTTGCAGCGGATCTCGATATCTTCACGCAGATAGAGGCCGTCGACGGGGACGCCGAGGCCGGCCATGCCAATCTCGGGCTGGTGCGGGGGCTCGACGCCGGGCTGGTTGCCGTCGATGCGGTACTTGATGCGGATGTCGATGTTCATGGGGGCGTAGGTGTGCGTTTGCAGGCCCCAGGGCATGTCGTGGAAGCAGCCGTTGAAGGAGATCTTGCCGGAGCCCATCTTGCCGATGCCGGGGATGAACTGAACGCGCTCGGTGATCTCATACCAGGTGGAGTAATACTCGTCGGCGGCGGCGTCGCGGGGGGCCTTGATAGGCTTGTGGTCGAGGACGAGGGGGTTGAGGGTGATGACCTCGGAGTGGGAGTGGAGGATGTCGATGGCGAGCTGGCGGGGGATGAAGCCCGGGATGGGGGTGATGGTCGTGTAGACCTCCTTCTTGCGCAGCATCGTGACGGTTCGCTGGGCGCAGAGCGCTGTCCTCCTCGCTTTCGTTGGTTTTGTCTGGGTGGTCGGTTCGCGGCGACGGTGATGCTGAGGTTGGGAGGCGTCAATGGAGGGCCGTCGATTGTGTGTCGAGAATCGTCGTTGTTGGTAATGGTGTAGGTTCGCAAGTCTGTTGGAGGAGAAATGCGCCAGACACGAAAGAAAGATGTTGGAGGTAGGTAAGGAGCGTAATCTGTCTGCTGACGGAGGTGCCGCTGATGATTAGGCATTTGATCGCGGCCAAGGATGCCACAGCCCCCCGGGCCGGGACCTCTCCATTGTGCTAGGTTGGCATGGTTGGTTTAGCTCTCGGCCTGGAGCTAAGGAGGAGGGCAGAAAGCATGGGCATCTGCAATCCAGCGAAACACAGACAAACACCACACACCTCTAGACAGGCGCAAAAAGATGCGCAGACTCTGTGAGGGGAGGGGCGGCGCAGGGCAGGGCGAGCGGTGCGGTGCAGGGAGGCGTTGTTGGTGGGGGGTGGCAGGGTTCGGCGGTCTCACGTCATCTGGCGCACGGGTGCAGATGATCCGTCTCCGGTTTGGCGGTCTCAGAGGGGCAGCTCGTAGGGATTTCAGTCTTTTAGCAGGTTCCCCTATCAGTAGGCCTCTGAAGGATCCGTTTGTGAGTGCTGTAGGTTCGCTAAGCCAAGGCGAGCCCAGGCTGAAGGATCACTAGAGCTTCTCTTGTGTGTAGGACTGGCCAATGAGAATTCGATCATGTCGTCCGGACTGTGAGCGTTCCGGCGCAGGAGCCACAGAGCAGCGTGCACAAGCCACGAGTTGTGCACCATGCCAGCTGGCTATCCGTTTTTATGCATGTTTATCCCATCTTATCCACGTTTATCCATGTTTGTTTCTTATGTTTCTCATGTTTTCATGGATGTTTTTCATGTGTCTCTCCTGTCAAAGTCATCCCTCGGTGGAATCAACACTCATCAATGTCACTCAGCCCGACAAAACAGGGTCCTCCGAGACACCCCAAGAGCTGACGACCGGGGTCATTGTTGGAACGAGGAGCTTGGTTGCTTGGTCGGGGTGCCATTGTCACCTCTTGTCCCTGCTTCTACCCCATTGCCAACACCGTGACGCCCAAAAGACCACCGCCGTTGACGGCATTCCCACCCGTCTCCGCCGCACATCTTCAGCTCGCCCCCTGATCTTCCGTGATCTCCAGCTGCTCTGCGGCTTGGGCGTCCCCGCTTCGGGGGTCTGAGACGGCGGCCAGTCCGGACACGACCCAGATCTTCATTTTTTTCTTTGGAGTTTTTTTTTCCCAAGGCCCAACGTCTTCGGCACCGATGTTAGGAGGCGCCCCCGTTCCAACCATCGCGGGGCGCCGTTCCCACGCCGCAACGCCCCGCGACGCCTCAGAGTTTGGGCCGTTGAACTTTGGTCTTGGCTGTGGTGGTTTTCCCCTTCAACCTTTTCACCCTTTTTTCTCCCTCCAGATGCGAACGGCCAGGCTTGACGTTTCTTCGCAACCAGATCGCTGGAAATGTTCAGCTGTCTTAGATTTTAGAAGAAGGCCTTGACGCACCTTCCTGGGCTAAATCGCACAACGCCCGCAACCGCTGCATTGCTTCTTTTGACGGTTGTCGCACCGAGGAGAGTGCCACGAAAGGACGTCCGGTGCCGATCATCCTACTCTCACCGACGTCCGGCGACGCCAAGCCGTCCGGGCCAGCTCCTTCGTGTCGCCGGACTGTTTAACCCGGATATCACGTTCCCCCTACGGTATCGGTGAGGGAATATCTAGAAGACATTTCCCGCTTGGCTTTTTTCTTGGTTTTTGAGCGCCGCCGCATCATGTGCCGGTAATCCGCCAGCTGACAAAGACGAGACATCAATATCCGTCACCAACCCTCACAGTCGCATCGCAGCGGAGCTCCAATCGTCAACCTGCCTTTCACTCTGCAGACTGCAGAGCTACCCCGTTCAGGCAGCTGCATGCGATATCCTGCATCTTGACGTTGACATCAACCAGCCATCACGACCGAACTATCCGCGGCAGATTTCATCTCGCAGGATGATGGCCCATTCGGTCGAGGTCAACCCCCGTGCCCCCCAAACTCCGAACCCCAATTCCCCAATTTCCAACCTGGAAGTGTCAACGCCAAGCACGTCCCTGTTGCTCAATCGCTGAATCCCACATGGAGTTGTCTCAAAAGACGCAGGTCGCTCAATTGCCCATGTGGCTGACTCGACCGAGGCATGCTGTGCTGTTTCACACCCTCATCCCTTGGGATCCAGCTGCAGAGCAACCTGGACAAGCTCCGGCTCCGAGCTGTAGGGTCGCGACGGGTGCGTGGTGTTGGAGGTGGGTTCCCGGCCGGGGCACCGGTCTGCCCGCCAACGAGATCGGAAGCATTCACGATCCGGATCTTTCTGCGGTCCTTGTCGTTCAATTGTCATCGCTCTCGCCGCTGTACAGAGGGAACAGAGATTGTGTCCTATGGCATTTTGCGAATTGTAAGCTGTTGACGCGTTCTAAGGCTCTACCGGGACTCTGACAGCCGAACAACTGCGCCGCCTCTAGACGGCCGATGATGAGATGAAAGATCGAGTGCCTACTCGGCTCCCGTACTCTTCGCCGCTGAGCCACAGCGAGCTCAGCCCACATGCCTAAGCTGCTTTGTGCATTGCACGACGCTGGGCTCAATTATGTGATCAATTCATGCCCCAACAATAGCCCATCAACTCCAAAAGTCAAAAAGACTCATTCCCATCAACCGACATGCACTGCCGTAGACTTTTAGCTTCACGCTCCGCGCCATTCAAGCGCAAAAGCGCCGGCGCCTGTTCCCGAAACCAAACCCACGCGTCGCGTAACCACAAGCCAATCACCAACAGAAAACACCACAAATAGCCCATCTGACCTTTTCCGCGTACAAGACAAAATTCCGACATCTCGGAACTGACGTCCTCACTACTGCAAAACAGAGTTTAGCACACCACCCGAATTAGCCAGGCCAGCCGCAAGCTTAGCGAGACGTTGTCACTGACCGACAGCCCGTTCATCTCAACGCGACACGTTCGCAACGAGAAACAAGAAAAGCAACCACATACACACACCTACAGTTGCCGATCCCAGCTGCCGAAGACAAGCTGGCCCATCTACGGCCTCCTTGGCGGACTCCTCGACGGACACACCTTTCCATTGCAATCCAACCTCGCTGATTGGGCCATCTTGCGGTGCCCGGGGCACGTGGAGCCAATGTGGGAACTTGCCCTTCAATATTTTTCTTAGTGCTCTTTCCCCAGGATTGCGGGGAGGAATCTGGGGAATGCGACGCGGGCGGATACGTGGATGACTTCGACAAGTAATTCGCCAGCAAAGAAAGAGGTGATTGATGAATGTTGACTTGGTTCACGATGTTTCTTTGCTGTAGAGATGAGGCTTTTAAGAGGTCTCGGCATCGCTGATCTCCCGCGCGGAATCAGAAACAAGAGATCATCGCTCTTGCATCTCATCGCAGACGATGTCACCGCGAACCACAATTGGAGGAGAAGCCACAGCAGCAGCAGCAGCAGCAGCAAACGCAACGACGCAGCTTGGTGACAAATTCCTCAGTACTGCAACCCTTTGAGAAAGAAACCTGCATCCAATGCCGCAGGCAAAGCAAATCTGGCAGCTGCCACGCCTGCCTGCCCTCTCCCCCGGTCCGCGTCTGCAATCTATGTGATTTACCCCGCAGAAATGTCCCATGTACATTCCCACACACACATCCATGGGTCCCCGGGAAGCAACGACTTGGAGCGCGCGGAACAGCTTGGAGCTGCAGCCTTTTCGTCCGCGGGTGGAGCTCTATCTGGGTTTGTGAGTGGGAGGGACTTTGGGGGTCGGCGCTTATTCGGAGATGGGATTGATGTAACCTCTGCCCTGGGGGTTGATGGGGGTCCTGGCTGGAGGTATTAAAACGGGGTATTGCCATCGTGAGTCAAAAGCTGAGGAACCTTTTGCTCTGTTGTCGAGTTCGAGAGGTTGCTTGGGTTTTGATAGGAACCTGGAAGTGCCCTTTCTTCTTGAGCACACACGGTGTCGCAGTTTTCGTCCTGACTCGACAACATCGTGACGTCCGTTTTATCCTCGGTTACTTCTGGCCGTGCTGTGGAATTGCGGCATTCGCGCCAGACCGTTCAATCGGCTTCACGGAGCCGGGCCCTCGGCTTTTCAACATTGAGCCGGCTGATTGCCAAAGTGAGATACCGTAACAACGACATTTCGGCCATCGTCAAGACAACATCTCCATCATGTCGTCTACCGAGAAAGAAACGCCCAAGGGTACCCACGTGGAAGGCGCTGACGGCATCACCCAAGTCCCCCTTCACGATGGAACCATCTCCAGCGCAGCCGGAAAGGGCCAGGTTGCTACTGACAAGTGAGCATCACCCACGCCTCACCCTCAAAAACACGCGATACTGACGACTCACCACCAGGTACGGCAACCCTCTCATCGAATTCGACCCCGTCGCAGAACGCAAGCTGCGCTGGAAGCTCGACCTCTACACCATCCCCACCGTCGCCCTCCTCTACCTCTTCTGCTTCATCGACCGCGCCAACATCGGTAAGCCCAAACTCTCCCTCCTACCCCCTCATCCCCATCTAACTCAACCACCAAAAGGAAACGCCAGAATCGCCGGCCTCGACAAGGACCTCAACCTCAAAGGCTACGACTACAACATCATCCTCTCCACCTTCTACATCTCCTACATCCTCTTCGAGATCCCCGCCACCGTCCTCTGCAAGTGGATCGGCCCCGGCTGGTTCCTCCCCGCCACCTCCCTCGCCTTCGGCATCGTCTCCATCGCCACCGCCTTCTGCGAGTCCCGCGCCGCCATCTGCGGCGTCCGCTTCCTCCTCGGCATCTTCGAGGCCGGCATGCTCCCCGGCATTGCCTACTACCTCTCCCGCTGGTACCAGCGCGCCGAGCTCACCTTCCGCCTGTCGCTGTACATGGTCATGGCCCCGCTAGCCGGCGCATTCGGCGGCCTGCTGGCCTCTGCGATTCTCACGCTGGACAGCTTCGGCACTCTCCACCGCTGGCGCATGATCTTCGCCATCGAGGGCATCGTCACCATCGCGCTGTCCCTCATATCCTTCTTCACCCTCACCGACCGGCCCGAGACCGCGCGCTGGCTGACGCAGGAGGAGAAGGACCTGTGCATCGCGCGCGTCAAGTCAGAGCGTGTGGGCACCACGGAGGTCATCGACGGCATCGACAAGAAGAAGCTACTGCGCGGCATGCTCAACCCCGTGACGCTCGAGATCTCGCTCATCTTCCTGTTCAACAACATCACCGTGCAGGGCCTGGCGTTCTTCCTGCCGACGATCGTGAGCACCATCTACCCGACCTTCTCGACTGTCCAGAAGCAGCTGTACTCCGTGCCGCCGTACGCCGTGGGCGCGTTCTTCACGCTGGCGTTCCCCGGGCTGAGTTGGTATCTGGATCGGCGGCAGGTGCTGATTGGGTTGTCGGCGCCGATGGTTATGACGGGGTATATTATGTTTTTGGCGTCGAAGGTGGCGAAGATTCGGTACGCCGCGACGTTTTTGATTGCCAGGTATGTTCCACCCCTAACTTACCGAGTTTGACGTTAAGAGTACTCACCTGACCGCAGTTCCGCCATGGTCCTCGGCCCAATGTCCAATGCCCACATCAGCGCCAACGTCCTTAGCGACACAGCCCGAAGTAGTGCCATCGGATTGAACGTCATGTGCGGCAACATCGGCGGCATCATCTCCACCTGGTCGTACCTCCCCTGGGACTCGCCCGACTACCACATCGGCAACGGGCTCAACTTGGCCGCGGCTAGCATGATTTTCCTCGTCGCCTTCACAGCATGGTTCTGGATGAAATGGGATAACAAGCGCCGCGAGGATCGCAGCATTGAGGAGGAGCTGGCGGGTATGTCGGAGCAGGAGATCCAGGATCTGGATTGGAAGCACCCTGCTTTCAGGTGGAGGACTTGAAATGGTCTGTTGGAAATGAGTAAGATGAAATGGCAGCGACATGGAGCCTAGAGGCTAAATGCATGCACAATAATGTACAAGAACATAGAACGAGCTTCAGTATACCAGTATGTTCACATGAGTATAGGAGCTGTCCGGAGATCTTCCTGGCATGACGCCTGACAGGACTCAAGCACCCCCCACCCCAAATGGCTGGAACAGCCCGAGAGGCCCCGTGGGTTCATTGTTGGGCCTAACGAACATGGCAAATAAGTATGATCGACTGGTCTACCATCGGCGGGAAGGCAGGGCCGCCGCCTGACATGCGTGAGAAATGGGTCTCAGTGGAGACTGTTCCGGCGGGGGCCGTCTTTCATGGTAATTTAATAGGTGCGGAACACGCATGGGATACGATGATCACGGAGTCTAACTCAAAATCAGAGAAGATAAGACACGCGTTTACAACATCGTTTTTGAGGGCCCATTTCTGTGGGGAGTGAGCTGAAAGGTCTACGTATGTTGTCACTATCTTATTGGATGGACAACGATCTAAGCGGCCCGTATGTGCATATGCAGTAGTGTCCGTAGGGGGCTAGAGTAGCGGGAACGAGACCCCATCTCGAAGTCGTCGCGAGTCGGCCCCTGGAAGATTATGTACGGAATTCCAGAACAAAAGCAAATATGCACAAGCAATTGAGAACACAGCATTTCCCCAAGGGTTTTGCACCTCCCTGGAGGATCCCCAAAATTTGCCCAACTTTCCCATTTTCAACGCCTCAGCTGTCGACAAGGACGATCCCCTACAGCCACTACTTGTACGACACGTCCGTTCAGAACAACTTCTTACGATCATGTGTCTTGGATCGCTCAAATTCTGGCATAAGCACAAGAAAAGGGATGAGTCCTCACTTCCTTTGACTGTCACCACGGGCACAGGTCAGCTACCGCTGACCACGTCTATCGCCCACCGACCCGCGACTTCCCAGCCTTCGAAAGTCTTGGAGCACGCCAACGTTCATTCGGAAGCAAACGCAACTCCCGATGTTCAAGCCAATTCTGCCACCCAAACCTCGGGCTTCCTGACTGAGTCCCCGGAAAGCCCGCCACCGACTGATTCCCTGGTCGACCACCAGCCCTCCCCAAGCCTTTCAAACTCGTCCAAGTCTCCGACGGGAACTCTCCAGGAACGTCTCTGGAATCAGGCTTACGATGGTCTCAAGTCTGATGAACCCAAGGTGGTCAAAGCGTACGAAACACTGCTGTTGCAAAAGCTTCACGAAGTTGAACCAAGCCCCGCGTCCTCGCCTGACGATCAAATCAGGGTGTCAACGCTAGGGAGCCCGGAACATATGGAGAAGCTGGTTAGAGCAGGAATGAAACGTTCGGAGGAGATCGCAAAAGTCAAGGCAAATCTCGAAGAATTTGGTCAAGTTGCAGAATCTGTCAAGGCAGTCATGCAAATTGTCGTCCAGGCAGCACCTCAGGCTGCTATTGCATGGTCCTGTATCTCGTTCGCTCTTGAGGTAGGCAAATGTGATGGCCATATGTATTTATGTCTTACTAACTCTTCTTAGACACTCGCAAATCCATTGACAGAGTCCAGTATCAACCGTCAAGGCATCACCTATGTTTTAGGGATGATGAAATGGTACTGGGAACTCGTGGGCCTTCTACTGGATGAGAAGTCTCCTTCCAAGTCTCCTTCCAAGACCCTGAGAGATCAAGCCGAAGAGCAAATCATTCAACTGTACCGTAATATTCTGCTGTACCAGATGAAGAGTGTTTGCGTGTACTACAGAAAACAAATCTACGTCCTACTTGGGGATATGATCAAACGGAACGATTGGGCTGGTGCGCTCAAAGGTGTTAAAGATGCCGAAGACGGCATGCGCAACATACTGAGCGGCTACACGAACGCATCCATCTACTCTCGCCTTGAGGGTATAGACTCCACCTTGAAGCATGGTCTTGGGGACATTTTCTCTCTGATGAAAACGCAACAAAAGATGGACGAAGACAGCGAAAACAATCGCTGGCTAGCCGCCCTTCACCAGACTGACCCCGTCCACGACAAAACACGTATCCAAGGAATTAAGGGAGAACTTCTTCGAGACTCTTACCACTGGATCCTGGCTCATAACAGCTATACCCAGTGGGAAAAAGATCCCCAACGCCACCTACTTTGGATCCATGGGGACCCAGGAAAGGGCAAGACGATGCTTTTGTGCGGTATCATCGACGAACTGGAGAAGAAGCCCTCGAACACGCTTTCGTACTTTTTCTGCCAGGCTACACAAGCGAAACTAAACAATGCGACATCCGTTCTGCGGGGTTTGCTATACAGTCTTGCCCACAAGTACCCACAACTCATCCCTTACATCCGCCGCGAGTACACTGCTGTCGGAAGAGAACAGTTCGAGGACCACAATGCATGGGAAGTGTTGTCAAAAATGTTTACTCACATGTTGTGCTATTCTCACTTGCACGGTGTTGTGTTCATTGTGGACGCCCTCGACGAATGTGTGGACAAGGACGACCGCCGCAAACTTCTCGAGTTCATCCGACTAGTGTCATCAACGTACGACATCAAGTTCATAGTTTCCAGCCGAGGTTGGGGAGATATGCGGAAAGGCATGGAAGATAAGACGACAGGCACATCCATCATTTCTCTGGAAGACAATGGGCTCTCTGTCTCGACTGCTGTGGCTGCTTACATTGAACGAGAGGTACAGAACCTGGCCAAAAGCGGCCATTGCAAGATGAGTCCTGAGACTCTGAAGCAGGTCAAACATCATCTTATGGAGAACGCGGAAAACACATTTCTGTGGGTAGCTTTGGTTTGTAAGGAGCTGGATGATCCCGATAATCACGATGATCAGGACGTCCACAAAGTTCTCCAACGCTCTCCTCAAGGTCTCCGTGGACTTTACCGGAGAATGTTTTGCGAGATATCCTCGTCGACACATTCAGAGCTGTGCATAAAGATTCTGGAGGTTACGTCTGTCCTGTACCGTTCGATTACATTGGCAGAGCTGCACTCCATTCTCTCCGCATTGCCTCAAATCGACGTCACATCGGATAAGCTAAGATACGCAATCCAATACTGCGGCTCGATGCTGAATATTCAAGGAGATACGATTTACTTCGTACATCAATCAGCAGTGGACTTTTTGACAGACAAGAAACTGGAGGGACTTGAGGAGATCACAGGTCGACATCGTCTTGTCTTCTGCGGTTGTCTAGAAGCTTTGAGGACGTCCAAGGCTATAAAACGGGACATCTATGAGCTGGAGGCTCCTGATATCCTCCTAGAGGATATCGATACCCCCAACCCAGATCCCTTGGCTGCTCTGAAGTATGCTTGTGTGCACTGGGTCGACCATCTCAGCAAATGTGATTTTTCAAATCACATGAAAGACAACGGAGCCGCCCATCAATTCCTCCAAGACAGATTTCTATACTGGGCGGAGGCAATGTCTCTTCTTCGACACATACCGCAAGCAATTAAAGCCATACAGGAACTTCAAAAACTAGTCGTACGTCAAACAGCAATCTGCTGCGAGGCCATGAGTTCATCATCTAATGGTTCTTTAGGAAAGAGAATCAGGCGTAGCCAAAGAAAGTATATCGGAATTCGTTGACGATGCAAACCGATTCCTTCTCTATCACAGAGCAGTGATTGAAGATAAACCACTCCAGCTTTACGCTTCAGCTCTAGTGTTCAGCCCAAAACAAAGTGTCGTGAAATCCACTTTTCGGAGGGAGGCGCCCGACTGGGTCATGATCACGCCAGGGTTAGAACCAATATGGCCTGCATGCTTGCAAAAGCTGTATGCGAGCGACTGCGGATTTGATGCTGTCTATGCTGTGGCCTACTCGCGAGAGGGTCAATGGCTTGTGTCGGGTTCCAACGGTGGCATAGTGAAGCTTTGGCATGCCGCGAGTGGCAACTGTGTGCACACAGTCGGTGGTCATGGCGAGGAGTTTACTTCGAATTATTCAAAGAACAAGATACCAGTCGCTGCGATGTCAGTGGCCTTTTCAGCTGACGATGAATTATTTTTCTCGGGGTCCTTGAACGGAGTTGTGAAAATCTGGGATAGGGTGACAGGTACTTGCACCCGCGAACTCCAAACACATTCATCACACGCCAACGCAATGGCCATTTCTTCAGACGGATGCATAATAGTATCCGCTCTCCCGAATGGTTACATCAATATTTGGAGCATGAAGGAGGAAATCACTTCGCGCTCCATCAAGTATCATCGAAAGGATATTCACTCAGTAGCCTTGAGCGCAGATGGGCAATGGGTTTTTTTGGCGTCTTCGGAAGATTTTTCTATAGGGATCCTGAATGTTTCAACAGGAGACGCCAGGCAGATTGTCACAAAGAACAGCGTTTTTGCAATAGCTTGTTCGTCATCTGGGAATCGGGTTGCGACAGGAAGCTATGGCGGAGTTCAGATTTGGGACAGACAGACTGGTCAACCGGTTCTAGAAAAGCCATTCGAGCTATCAGGATACAGTAAAAACGCCGCATACGTGGACCTCTCAGCTGATAGTCAATTCGTGGCGGCTGGCTCACGATACGGTATCTCCGTTTGGAACACGACAACGGGTGATCTGGTATGGATGACAGACCATTCCAACGCGAGCGACGTCAACTCAATATCTTTCTCTCCAGACGCCCGACGAATTGTTTCAACATCATGGCCTACGATCCAAGTCTGGGACTTATCAATTTCTCCAGAGGCTGCATACCACGACCCCAAGTACTTTCCAGAATATTTATGCTATTCTGATCAACATCACTTCATAGCCTCGTACCCCGACGATAACGTCAGAATGTGGGGCAGAGCAGCCGATAAGCCAGACTCCATGTTCCACCGCGAGGGGACGCATTTCATCGCACTCTCTCGGGACAGCCAACAGCTTGCAACAACTACTGGAAGACGCGGCACGATCGTTATCTGGGACACCAAAACCGCCCAGATATTTCAAATATTTTGTAGCCGCACAGAGAAGGTTCTATACGACAAGCGTGACTTTCAAGAGCATGAGTTCCAGCGGACAAATAGCGACATCACGGCCGACTGCGCCTGCACGTGCAACAGGTGCGATACGGAATACAGTCATCCGTGGAAAGATCCACCGGTTCTTGGAACAATCTTTCGCAATAGTGTCGAGCTCGCATTCAACTTCCGAGGGTTGATAAAGATCTGGAACACGAATGACGGCGGTTGTGTGCAGACCCTCAACACCGGTCGCAACTGTGTTGAGCACATGACGTTTTCCAGCAATGGCCAGTGGCTTGCTTGCCTAGCTTACGACCTCGATAAAGACAAGCGTAAAAGAATCAACCAAATCATCCAAGTTTGGGATACCGCAACAAAGCAATGCGCCTCAACATTATACTTGGACTCAAGCTTGATCGAATATGTCGATTCCCTGAGCTTGTCAGCAGATATGCGACAGCTTGCGTCCACGACATCAACATGGACAGATGATGATTCTCGGTATTTTGCAGGAGTTTGCATATGGGATTTGAAGTCTGGAATCCTTTTGCGACATTTCAAAAGTGACAAAATTGAAAATATTCAAGCAAAGTTCGACACCAAACTTGAACGTCGCTTGCACACCGAGTATGGCTTCATCGACACAACTGAATGTCTGGAAGCGAATGATTCAAGTTTGGGTTGCGCGCAATCTGAAATCTCTCCTAAAGATTCCGAGATTGTGCCAGCTTCGGGAAGGCTGGAAGTTATGCCTTCCTTCGGCGGCTATGGCCTCAGCTGTGACTTGGAGTGGATTGTACGAGACGGGAAACGTTTGCTATGGATTCCTCCGGATTTCAGACCCGATAATTATGACCGTGGCCACATTACTCCCGTCGTGGATGGATTTTATACTATATGGTTGAGAAGGGCACGGGGCCCAGTACGAATGTACTTTGAGAAATGACGTTAGATTGAATGCGGGTGCAATCTACTCTACCTCAGGGGTAGAAGGTTTGGTACAGAAGAGTAGCATAATTACTTCGAAATGGACTTCTGATGGTAAAATAAAGAGGTATGTTTCTATTGTGTACGTGATGTGATCGGATCGTATACAGATCAACATCTCTCGGTCGTCATGATTCACTTACATTGCTGGGAGATAGCCGAAGTTCATGAATCAGAAAGCTCTGCTGCCAGTGAAAAGTTATTTTCCCGCACGTATGATATTATCGTTTCCGTGTTTTACAGACTCGAGATGTTCAATAAAAAAAGCACCCGCATTCCGTGTGGGTTGATCAAATCTGAACGGGTCAGCTAGATTTAAGCTCGGCAAGCTTTTGAATGTGACGTGCGTTCGTAGTGATTCCTTTGAGATCATAAACTTCTCTATGAATGAGGTTTTTTTCCAAGGCTGACATGAATTCAACTCATCCATCTCTGCACGCCCTTACATGGGTCAAGAACCGGGCTAGTTGGCACAGAATGTTCCGTGGCGGACGGTCAAATTACAATCTAACGGCCACTTGTCTTTTACATATATGCTAGAGAGGACAGTTTGTTAGTATTCCAAGGCGGACTACCCAGGGGTGGTGTTGGCACGGCGGCTGATGCTCATGCAAAGTGAGCCCTCTTGGCGCTGACTATGACTGGGCGAGTTACAATCTTCAGGTTGGACACCACATTTATCTCCACCAATGAGAATTGCTGTGTGCAGAGATATCATGTTCTCCTTGTTGACCGGGCGGGATATTATGCGCCTTCATTGGCGGATCAGGTACCCGGTCACTTTTGCGCTGTTTACCACAGCCTGATCTGCCTTCTCAGCCCCTTCCTTCTTCCCCGCTCAGAGAATTGCCAGTTTTCTTCGCTTGATCACCTTCCCGGCAGCCCGAATTGCGGCAGCTTGAAAATTTCCTCTCGAACAGCTGCATGGTGTCCGGCAAAACACTTGCTTCCCCGGAATCCCCTTGGCCTCAACGTCGATTAACAAAGCAAGCGGGGCCTGAGTATAGTGGGTTTCAGTGATGCAGAGGTCATGAAAAAGAACGCCCACTGACTTGATGCTCCACACAGCATGGACGTCGCGAATAACAACTCGGCATCTGCGAAAGGTGATGGGACGAGCGAAGCGGAGGACAAAGATGCATACACTGTTGGATGGATTTGTGCCCTTCCTCTGGAAATGGCGGCTGCCAAATTGATGCTCGAAGTTCACCCACTCCAAGTCGACCAGGATGAGAGAGATCACAATACCTATACCCTAGGCCAGATTCAGGGTCATAAGGTGGTCATCGCCTATCTACCTATCGGGAACTATGGTACCAATCCAGCGGCCACGGTCGCCAAATATATGCTCCGGACATTCAAGTCATTTCGATTCGGTCTACTGGTTGGGATCGGAGGCGGAGCGCCGTCCTCAGCTCACGACATTCGCCTTGGCGATGTTGTTGGGCATCCCGACTGGTACCAGCGGGGGTGTCATCCAGTCTGACCGGGGCAAACTCGTACAAAACAAAGCTTTTGAACGAACAGGTTCGCTGAACGCGCCGCCTACAGCTCTGCTGAGGGCTGCGGGGCGTGTGAAAACCGACCACTTGTCCGGTGATAGTCGCATTCCCGACTTCCTGTCCGAGGCGTTTGAAAGGAAACCGAAGATGAAGCGGAAGTTTGCTTATCAGGGCAAATCACACGACTGCTTGTTTAAGACAAAATATGAGCACGTCAATACTGATAGCGGCTGCGACAATTGCGACGCTACACAGACGGTGCAACGGGAGGAAAGAGATGATACGGATCCGGTAGTTCACTACGGCAACATCGCCTCAGGAAACCAGGTCATCAAGCATGCCGAGACCAGAGATAGGCTGAGCAGAGAACTTGGTGTACTCTTCTTTGAGATGGAGGCTGCGGGGCTGATGCAAGAGTTTCCATGTTTAGTAGTTCGTGGTATTTGTGATTACTCGGACTCCCACAAGAACAAGAGATGGCAAGAATACGCCGCCGCAACGTCCGCGGCGTATGCGAAGGAGCTTCTGTCAGTGGTACCTCCTAAGCGCCTCGAGAAAGAGAAACCCATTTTCCTTGGTAGGTAGTCGTGTTCCTTGGTCTAGGGGCTTTGGACATGAGTATGAGGAATACCACTTGCTAATTATGGATACCAGACATGCCTTGAGTAGACACAGTCTTGCTAACAGATTTGAGCGTAGATCCTCAACTCCGCAACAGCGTGCTTGAGACGAAGAAAGCCATTCTATATCAAACGGAACAGCAAGAGACTCGCTATGAGGATGAACAGAATCGACAGTGTCTGAACGACCTGTTTCAAACGGATCCTGTGGACGACAAGAAACGCATACTACGCGATAAAGGTGGTCTTCTCGAAGGCTCCTGCCAGTGGATTCTCGAACTCCCCGAATATCAACATTGGAAAGCATCCCCGCACGGCTCCAGGCTCTGGATTAAAGGGGAGCCAGGGAAGGGAAAAACGATGTTGGTTTGCGGCATGATTGAAAGTCTGGAGGCAGATCCTCTTCGGAAGATGTGCTACTACGTTTTCTGCCAAGCCACTGATTCAAGGCTGAATACCGCAACGGCAGTTATACGAGGACTGATTTACCAACTCGCAAGAAAGCACCCTTGGGTTCTTTTCAAAGTCCGCGCAAGGTACGACGTCGCGGGGAAGACGCTGTTTGAAGATGCTAATGCCTGGAATGCCGTGTCGGAGATCCTTTTGTTATCTTTTCAAGATTCACGCTTAGATGGTGTCACACTGGTTGTGGATGCACTTGATGAGTGTGTGACAGGCCGTGGGAAGCTTCTAGAATTCATACGAACGTCATCTAAAAGTCGCATCAAGTGGATCGTCTCTAGCCAATATCTCCAAGAAATCAAGGAGGCTTTTGCAAAAACAAGCGGCGATACCAAGTTTTCGATCTCGCTGGAGCAGCAACAACACATGATCTCTGGTACTATCCAAAGATATATCAAAAAGAATGTGGAAGATCTGGCTAGCAGAAAGCAGTACGACGACTCGACTCGTTCTAAGATCGAAAGACACTTGAGCGAGAACGCGAACAACACCTTCCTATGGGTTGCGTTGGTCTGCCAGAGACTTGGGGAAACTCAGGGTTGGAGGGTCGAGATGATTTTTCATAACCTCCCAAAAGGCCTCACCTCATTGTACAAGCGTATGCTACACGATGTTTCAATATCGGAGAATAGCATACTTCCCCAACAGGTGCTAGCCATCCTTTCGGTCCTGGAGCGACCTGTCGCTCTATCGGAGCTTCCATTCGTAATCCAGCTACCAAGCCACATATCTGACAACTTGAGGTTTGTTGAAGAACTCGTGGAAGATTGCGGGTCGTTCCTATTCATACGTGATGGAATAGTACGCTTCGTACACCAATCCGCAGTGGATTTCCTACAGAATGAGGACATCGTGCAGAATCAACAATTTCGAGGACTGTCTGGGGTCGTAGATCGGCACCAGTTGGTGTTTCGTCGCTCTTTTGGTGTCTTGTACAGGTCCGAGACACTGAAGCGCGATATTTATGGATTGGAGGTCCCCGGTTCACATATGGAAGACATCAAACCACCTGAGCCCGACCGACTTGCTTGTTTGAAGTACAGCTGCGTTCACTGGGTTGATCACCTTCATGCCTGGATCATTCGTCTCAAGAACAAAGAGTCAACTACCGCGCTAACTAGACTGGAAGAAAACCCCATGCTCACTGACCGGGAAATTATACGAAACATTGTAGGATTCCTCCGGGGCAAGTTTATCTACTGGGTAGAAGCCCTCATTCTGCTTGGTCATATCTCGAAAGGGATTCAGGCGATACAGAAACTCTCAATGCTGGTTGTAAGTTGAACCTACCTTCCTTACGTCTGTCTCTTGATGTAAGTTTCTGGACTAATGTGCCGCAAGGAACCTGGTTCCACCGAAGACGCAAAGGCGCTCGCAGACTTTACTCGAGATGCCAACCGATTTGTTCTTTACAACAGAGAAGTCATGGAGGAATATCCATTGCAACTTTACGCTTCTTCTCTGGCCTTCAGTCCTCAAGAAAGTATTATGAAAAAGCACTTTGAGCACGATATACCTGATTGGATTGTCAAACTTTCAGGCCTGGACTCAGCTTGGAGCCCATGTCTACAGACGATTGCGAACGACGGTCGCTCCATCCCCATAGCTTTCTCGGGTGATGGGAAATGGCTTGCTTCCACCTCAGCTACCACAAGGTTGCATAAGTCTGTGATCAAAATCTGGGAAGCTAGTACGGGCATTTTGACGAGCACGCTTAGGGGCAACTTCCCCCACAGACCATCTATTTCTTTCTCCGGTGACAGAAAGAAAGCTTCTAAACTTGCGATAACATCAATGGACAATTCTGTTAGCATTTGGGACCCGGAAAGTGGTACCCTTTTGCGTACTGTTTGCGGACGAACGGAAGTAGGCGTCTGTTCACCAGAATCACCTCTTGGTGATGTATTGGCCGTCGTCTTTTCATTTGATAATTGCAAGATAGCATCCCATCATGCGGACGGGAAGCTGGTGATCTGGGATGCCGAGAGCGGCGAGAAGATCCATAGCTTTCCAGGACATTCAACACGTCGCCATAACACAATGAGAGTAGCCTTCTCTCCGGACAATTCGTTAGTCGCAGCATTTTCCGACGATGCAAGGGTAAATGTATGGAAAGTTCAAGCACCTCATTCGCCGCAAATACTGGGAGAGATGGTTGATCAAGTATCGGATGTTTCCTTCTCGTCTGATTCGCATCTGCTGGCGTCGGCCGGTTCCAGCAATACCAACGGGAGTTCTTGGGTTTGGGACATCTCTACAGGGTCTTTGAGGAAGAAGATCACGCATAAGGGCTTAAGCCACATATGCCTGGCATTCTCGCCGAAGGCTGAAAGCCAACGTCTTGCAGTGGCTTATGAGTGCGAAATAGACATATGGGACATGGACAAAGCTACTACGTCTGTATGGCACGTAAGTGCGCGCGCATCTGAGATCTTTTCACTATCATTTTCACCTGATGGCCAGCGGCTCGCTTCTGGGACAACTCATGGCGAAATCAAAATCTGGGACGTGTCAATACGCCCAAGCAAGTCCAGGAAAATTGGACTCCCGCCCAAGCAAATAGTCTTCACTCCAGATGGTAGTCAGGCTATTTATTACGACCAAAGCACAAATACGATTGGAATTCGAAACATCGACACCGAGTGGCAGGACTCAGCAATTGTTTTGCGAGAAAAAGGCTGGTTCCCGAGCTTGGCTTTGTCCAATGACAAAAGTCGGATTGCATGCACAACTTATGGCAAAATCAGATTGTTTAATGCGGCAAATCAAGCTCTGTTGCAAAAGATCCCTGCTATCACCGAAGACCATACTTTGCTAGCCTTCCAACATAATAATCAACTTGCATCTTCGTCGCAGAGCGCTATCAAGCTATGGATTGATCGCAAAAGCACACTTAGTATTTCTATCCCAAACATGAACATCACATGTTTTGCGGTCTCTAGAGATGGGGAATATCTCGCATATGCGTGCGAAAAGATGGGTACTCTCTTCAACGACGAAACATTCATACAAGTATCGGACGTTAAAGCGGGGAAAAGCTTCGCCCCAATTCACGTCGACTATGCCAATATTAAGTATGTGGTGTTCTTATCGGATAAGCAGAAATTTGTGGTGGTGTCTGCAGGGAGGATTCAGATTTGGGACGTCGCCCGCGGGCTCTGCTTGTTGACGTTGCGAGATGATCCCGAGCGGATTCCCTATAACGTATTATTCGACAACAAGATCAACACACGTCTTCACACTCAGTTCGGATTTCTCGACTTGAATCTGGAGTCTCTGGAGGATCCAAACCAGCAAACCTCAATTGAAAACGAACCCTTTTCTGGGTACGGAATTGGGCTTTCCTGGTGGAAAAGCAACATTGATGATGTAAACTGGATAGTGAGAAACGGGGAGAAAGTCTTGTGGGTTCCTGTGGACTACCAATGGGATAATGCTGTACTCGATGACATCACCCCATTCATTGATGGGACAACACTCATTTGGGCCTCTCGTCGGGTGAACGGACTCATGCGGATAGAGCTCAAAGATCTATGAACTGCCCGATTGCATTCAGATTCATGCCTTTCCTTCAGTGCCCATATGGCCTCAAGTGTAGCTAGCCTCTTTACTAGTTTCCTGCCACTTAGTCTTTGACTGCCTGATGATAACTGATTTTCAATTGGAATCATTTACTCTGCAAAGCCAGGTTCCATAGCCATGTTCAACCGGCAAAGTCAAAAAATTCGGCAGCGCATGGTCCACAACTAACACCAACCCAAGAAGAACACCGTCAACTAATGAGTCACCTTTGGCTTGGAAGAAGTGGAGAATGAGCACGTAAGGTAGTGTATGAGTTTGAAATCACCATAGTATTGGAAAGCCTGATAATGAACCGCCTGAGCCAAGGAAAATATGAGGAAAACTCACAACGTACAATACACGTTCCAGACCCATCATCCTAAGGCCCTTTCTGTCATCAGAATCCCGACAGCTCACCCCAAATAGCAAATTTAGCCAGTAAGCCTCGTGAACCAAATCTCCCGTCTCCTCCGGTCCCTCAAATCGTCTATAATCTTCTGTATCAAACCGCTAGAGCGTGATCATGGCAGAGTCAACTCATGAGACGGGCGTCTTTTTGGGACGACCACGACCGCGCTTCTTTGGCGGCTCTCCATCGGTTTCCGTCTGTTCAGACGCCTTCTCCGGCTCAGCGCTCTTTGTGGCAGCCTCCTTGGCCTCGACTGGCGCCTCTGCTTCCTCCGGAACCTTCTTTCGTCCGGCGCGGGGCTTCTTCGGCGCAGGCTCCTCAGCTTCCTTGACTTCCTTAGCCTTCGCCTTCGGGGCTGCCTTGGGAGCCGCCTTGGGAGCATCCTCGACCACCGACTCCTTACGAGGACGACCACGGCCTCTCTTCGCAGGCGCGGCGATGGCTTTGATCACCTTGTCGCGGCCGCCCTTGGAGGCCCAGTAGTCTTCCACAAGCTCGCGGGCAAACTGTGTGACGTTCTCCTCGGGCTCCCACGATCGATCGGGAGAACCAGTCCAAGCAACGTACAGCTCGACCTTGCCGGTGGGCTTCTGCTTGTGCTTCTCGACATGCAGAACGTGCCACAGATCCTTGTCAGCCATGGCACCCAAACGGCCGCCCTTGACGCTATCCCAGTATTCAAAGAGCGCCTCCTCAGCATCCTCCTGGATGTTGCTCTCGGGCTCCCAGCTCGGCTCATCGTGTTTCCAGCGGACATGCATCTGGAAGAGGGTCTTATCCTTGGGATCCTTGCGGTGGCCAATGATGGTGTCGAGCACGAACAGGCCCTTCTCCGGGTCGTCGAACATTGTCTCGTCTTCGTCTTCGGCCGCGGGTTCAGGTGCAGGCTTGGGAGCGGTCTTGGGCGCGGCCTTGGCCTTCAACGTGATCTTTGGTGCGGACTTGAGTGTGACTTTTGGTGTGGCCTTCGCCGCGGCCTTCGGTGCGGTCTTAGGAGCAGCCTTGGGCGCTGGCTTGGTCGTCTCGGCGGCTTGGATCGTGTCGGCGTTGTCGGCATCAGTGGTGACGCTGATCTCGCCGGCAGCGGAGGTAGGTCTGGGAGCAGCTACAACACGTTAGCGATTAGTTTATAATGCAGAGGAGGCAATCTTACAAGGCAATGACTCCTTGACAGGGCTCTTCGCGCGCTCCGCAGCAACGTCCTCCTCAAGCTGGTTGCCGAGCTCGATATTGGTATCGTTTGCGCCCATGGTGACGTCAGCAGGCTCAGGCTCCTCCGTAGTCTGCTTCTCGGCGACCTCCGTCTTCTCAGCAGTATCCTTCTCTACAGGCTCAGTCTCCTTCGCAATCTCTTTCTCGGCGGGCTCTTTCTCTTTGGGAGTCTCCTTCTCCACGGGCGCAGGCGTCTCCTCAAGAGGGGCGGGCGTCTCCTCAGCCTCTGGCTCTCTACTGCGCTTCCGGCTCACGATCGTCTGCTCAAAAGTCGTCGTGACGCTAGCTGTTCCGTTACGCGCACCAGTGAAGTTGTTAAAGACGTTGGTAAGCTTCTTCGATACAGACGAAACAACACCGCCGACCGGGCGCGGAACAACCGGCTCAGGCGTAGCAGCCGCGCTCTTCTCCGCATCCGAGGTCGCCATGTCCGCCGTGGGCGCAGTAGGCGTCGGCGTAGATTCCACGGGCGTCTCGGCAGCAGGAGCGGAAATCACAACGTCGGCAGGCGTGCCGCGGTCCTCGCTCGTGTCCATCTCGTCCGCGCCAGCAGTACCAGCAGTAGCGACCTCGCCAAAAGCCTTGCGCACGGGAGAGCTGAGAGCTGTTTGTCCCGGTAGGCGCGGGACGGGAGACAGCGAGCGCGATGCGTCTGATTGGGGGCTGGTCAGACTCTTGAGGCGTTTGTTGGCATGTGGCGACTGCGATCCGGAGGGCTTGGCGGGCGAGGAGAGGAAGCCGCCGAGGGCGCCGTTCTTGAGTGTGATTTGGTGCTTATTCGCGGGCTGGGAGCCTCCTCCGCTCGCGCCGTTGGCCGGCGATTCGCTGAGTCTGGCCATGGTGTCGGTGTTGGGTGAGCTATTTCGTGATGTTGACAGATTAGTGCAAACGTTCCCTCCTCGGAAGCCGTGGGATAACGGAGAACGACGTGTCGCGGGTCGGAGGTTGTTTGCGCTTACCTTTGCTCGCGCAATCCGTCGGATGGTGGTGACGTTGTTGATGGGAAAGCTGCCAAAATGGGATGTTCGACCGCGACAGAGGCGTATGCGGTCAATTGGCAGGGACAGATATCTGCGACGCGGTTGCGATTGGGGGCGATTCGGAGTCGGAGATTGTACGTGAAGTGCGCTGATGGGTTTACGGCGAACCCGTCACGTCAGCTTAGGTTCGGGGAGGAGCTTTGGCCTTTTGGTGGTGTGTGTTGCCTCTTTTTCCTGCAGCAAGCACAGCAGCCAGCAGGCTCCAATTGGCGGGTTACTCCTATCTGCTGGTAACGGGACTGATAACGTAAGAGAGAACGAACGCGACGCGATGGGACACAGGCTTAGCTAATCGTGGCCCTCACGCTGTCATTGGCTCGCTAAGAGCACGGGCTGCGTCAAACGGCATCGCTGGGGGCGATCCATGCACGTGACATCCACTTTGTGGAGACCGTTCCTTCCGTCTGGTTCCAAGGGACTGGACGCAGCCGTGGAAGGGGCCGCCGCCTAAGGTACGGATACCGTGCCACGGCCCACGGCCCACGGTGTCACGGTGCCCGTCGGTTGGAGGGTCGCCGCTGCCGGTCGGGGGGCAGGACCTGGCCTGGGTCGCAGCGCAGATAGGGGGAAGGTGTCCCGAAGCCAATGGCAGCAGGCAGGTGCAAGCGCACTCAATGGCTGCCCCGGGAGGCCAAGCACGTCAACCCAACAGCAGCTGCAGCTTCCTTCTGTTGTCTCTTACCCTCGAGACGACGGACCACGTGCAGTTCATCCCGCATCCATCTGCATTACTCAATGTCATTTGTTTTATTCTGTTCATTTCCCCTTCTCGTGCATTGAAAAGTCTCATCAACTCAGGTGATCACCCGGGGAGGCTGAGAGACCCCGTCTCGGCCCAAACGGATCAGGCCCTTTGGCCCCAACCGGAACGAACCCTGGCCCCTGTGAGCTGGTCACGATGCATCTGCCCCCTTGCTCCCGCCAGAGTCCAGCCCCTGAACCGGCATCGGCTTCTCCAGAGAATTCCCATCTGGAGAAAGCTGGAGAGAAAGAGCACCATCGTGGGTTTGTTTTCTGGGACTCACCGCTTTTGCTGGACCACATCCCGCCATCACACTTAGTGGTGGTTGACAGACTGAGGCTTGCGTTGACAGAGATCACGTCTGCAACCGAAACCGTTTCATTTTACTCAACAAAGCACTCATCTGGGATTCTCACTCACCACAATATTCACACAAAGAATTTTCAAAAAGACGCAAGAGCTGTTCATATCCTCCAGTAGTATTAATTCTATCAAAATAGTCCACTCATAATCGCTGCATCATCTCAGGTCTATCCCATCTGTAACAGGTCTATCCCATCTAGGTTCAAAATCCCATCTATCCGTATCATGAAAGCCGTGAAGTTTTTTGTTGCAAGTAGTAAAACAAAGTCGACCCTTTAGTCGACGTACTTGGGGAGCGTAGCCATGACACCGTCCTTGGCAATCAGCTCCATCGCCTTGGCGACCTCGTTCACGAAGCGCTCGTCGCCGCGCAAATCATCACCAAACAGGTGCTTGACCGTCAGCAGCTGGCCCGGGTGGTTGCCGCCCGCCTTCGCCAGCGCCTGCAGCTCCTCCTTCATCGGGTCATCAACCTCAAAGTTCTCGCCCTTGTCGTCCACGCCGTTGATGTAGCGGAACCACGCGCCCGCCACGAAGCACAGCCTCCTGAACGGGCCGGTAACCCAGATCTGCTCCGCGATCGACGGCATGATGAACTGCGGGATCTTGCCCGACGCGCCCAGCGCCACGCGCGGGATGCCGTCCATGATGGTCGGGTTAGAGAACCGCTCCATCAGCGTGTTGCAGTACTCGTCGATGTCGACCCCCGCAATCTCGGGCAGCAGCGGCTTCACCTCCTGCTGCATCATCTGCCACACAAACTGCCTGTAGACGGGGTGCTCCATCACCTCGTGCACGTACTTGAAGCCCGCCAGCTGGCCCGGGTACGCCATGGCCGAGTGGCTCGCGTTCAGCAGGCGCAGCTTGTGCTTCTCAAACTGCTCGACCTCGTGCACGCCCTCGACGACCTGCACGCCGACCTTCTCGAACGGCGGGCGCCCGTCGCTGAACTTGTCCTCGATGACCCACTGCATGAACGGCTCCGTGACGACCGGCCACGCGTCCTCAACGCCGAACTTGGCCGCCAGCGACGCAATGTCCGCCGGCGACGTGCTCGGCGTGATGCGGTCCACCATCGCGTTCGGGAACGCGCCCTCCGCCGCGATCCACTCCGCCACCGCCGCGTCCCCGCGCAGCCGCGCGAACGACTGCAGCATGTGCCGCGTGATGCTGCCGTTCTTCTGCATGTTGTCGCAGCTCATCACGGTGAAGGGCTTCAGGCCCGCGGCGTGGCGCCTCGCCAGCGCGGCGTACAGGAACCCGAACGTGCTCACGGGGGCGTCGCCATTAGCAAGGTCGTGCACGATGTCCGGGTGGTCGGCGTGAATCTCGTGCGTGTTCTCGTTGTAGTAGTACCCGCTCTCGGTGATGGTCAGGGACACGATGTGGGTGTCCGGGCTGGCCATCTTGGCAATCACGGCCTCGCGGTCGTCGGGGGCGTACAGGAAGCCCGTGATGCTGCCGACGACGTTGGCGAAGCTGCCCTTTGCGGAGCGCTCGATGACGGTGTAGAGGTGGTCCTGGGCCTCGAGGACGTCGCGCATGGCGGCGTCGTTGGGGCGCAGGCCGACGCCGCAGATGGCCCAGTCGCGCAGGTCGTGCTTCTGCATGAGCTGGTCGACGTAGACGGCGAGATGGGCGCGGTGGAAGCCGCCGACGCCGACGTGGACGATGCCGTGCTTCACGCCATCGCGGGCGTAGGTCGGCGTCTTGACGCTCCTCTCACCCTGCTGCGAAGCGAACGTGGACAAGTTGGCGCTGGTGAGCTTGAGGGACTCCGTGCTGTGAGGCATTCTAAAGGACTTTTTGTGACTTGTTTTCGCTAGATGAACAAAAGATGATGAAGAAATGAGATGACGGGTGTTTCTGCGGACGGAGAGGATGAAAAATTAAGTACGATGAGGACACAGAGGTGTTATCGTGAGTCGCAGCAGGAGGAGGAGGACGTGGTTGTTGAATGATTGAGGAACAGAACACCACAGCTCACCGCCGGTTACCCCTGAGGTCAGCCCTTTTAAACCAGGCAGGTCACAATCCGGAATAAGTTCGGGCACCGAGTTTTACGGAGGCCTGGGCCTGACCTGCTGGAGGGCGAAAAGCACGTTCCCGTTCCAGCCAGGTTGTTGAGCAAAAAAAAAATCAAGCACCTTTGATGGATCCGCAATTCAACTTCCCCATTGTTAGTGTCGGGGATCAAGGTGGCGGAGGAGGGTCCCCAAGGTCGCTCCCCGTGTCCACGAGGCCGCAGGTGGGTGGTGTGCTACCCGTCGATGGATACACAAGTGGTGTGTGCTTTCAAAGATGGTGCCCTGCTTCACAGTGTTCACCTTGGATTTAAATTGGGTCCCCCGGTGGCGGCTCTGTGGGAACCCTTGAGGAAGCTAGAATTTTTAAAACTGGGACAAGAGGCGGTCTAGTGATTATCTAAGGGCCCCGGTTTGTGGAGTTCTGGCTTCTTCTCTGTTCTTTCTTATCAGGATATGACGCAAGGATTGTAAAAATAGGCTTATTGCCAATGTCGTGGTTTCAATGTCGGTTTCTGCCCGAAGGTTAGCCCAGAAAAAAGGGTCCTCTTGGCGGCCGCAGCAGACGGGATGCAACATCACATGTTTAAGGTGCGCAGTGCAACATCGTATTCTCAACCTCACTTGTGGTGGCTGAGAAGATGCTGAATTCGCCCTGAAGAACCCAATTGAATGGTGCTTGAAGACCTTTGTGGTGTCTGAGTCAGGTTGTCGCCGTTGGACACGTTGGCGACCTGAGCCGGGTGTTCAACATCAGACGACCAATATCCACGACGAGCCCGCCGAGACAAAGGCAAGAAGCAATAACTGTCAATTAAAGCAAGCAAGACACAGTAAACCAGAATATCTACTACCGTCGATATTTATACTGTTCGCGACTCAAGCTTCACAGCTGTCGTCGAAACGAACACAAGCACAATGCAAAGCGTTTGGTATTTTGCCCAACTCAATTCTTCTCAAATATCAAGACAACCGCACCTAGGCTGTGTAGAATACATCGACAAAATGAAAGCCAGGAATAGCCACCCACAATCAGCCGCTCCTTCTGCCTAGCGTCGTCTTTTGATTCACAGTCGCTCTTTCGGATCTTCTGCTCAAGAGTACCACTGACCGGGCTCTGAATCAACACAATCACGGAAATCGATGAGTTCGTCGTTGAGAAACGCCTCTGTCACCCTATCGGAGATCGCGTAAATGTCTGCGTCATAAGCCAGCTCTGATGGGATGTGAATGCGGTTTGGGCGTTTCTCGTCGACCTCGTCTTCTCCCTCATTCTCCTTGTCGCTATCCTCGTCAGTCTCGTCTTCGCTTTCCTGGCTGTCTTCCTGGTTGCCGGTCTGATTGTCGGCCTGTTCGTTTTCGTTCTGCTGGTTCTCGTCCTGGTTGTCTCTGTCTTGCTCGTCTTCACGCTTGTCCTGGTGCTCGTCCTCACAATTGTGTTTGCCCTCGCTCTCTTCGTACGCTTCATACTCGGAATCTTCCTCTGTGTAGGTGTCTTCTTCGCATAGTTGTTCCTCGCACACGTCCTCTCCGTAACTTTCCAAGTCGTTTTGATCCTGTCCATGCTCGTCCTCTTCAAACTCGTTCTCGCCAACTTCGCCCCCGTTCATGTCTTCTTCCTCCTGCTCCGAAAAGTCCTCCTCTATGTCCATTTCATCCTCAGCTTGGTCGTGAGAATCGCCCTTACCATCCTGGGAGCCACTTTCTTCACTCTCATCATCGGAAGAAAAGCCCCAGCCGGCGAGAGGATCGATGTCCTCCTCTTCCGAACTCTCGCTGGTCAGTGTCTCGGCCCACCACTCCAGGTCATCCGCAACAACACCCACCTCTCCAGCCAGGTGTAGCTTGTTCAAAGATGTAGGAATAGTCCGAAGCACACTGCTCTTCAAGTCGCCGAAGCAAGCACAGTTGATCCAAAGGGCTTCGAGACTCTGAAAATCGTTGAAGGAGTCGATGTAAGGCGAAGGAAGTGCGTCGTGTGGATCTCCAAAGGAATGAAAGTTCAAACAGAGTACTTCAAGGCTTGAACCGTGCTTCTTCAACGCCTGAAGGATTGCACCAGGACTCGGTATATCTGAACCGTCGTCCACGTCGTGGGTGTAGACGAATCTTTTCAGACGCGAGCAATTAAGAATGAGGGATGTGAGAGTCGACATCGACATGCCCTCCATGTCTCTTAGTGCCAGAGATGTAATTCGCGATGACCACGTTAGAGGGGCGTCCAGCCGGCACTCGCGAAGGTATACCGATGCTTGTGGTCGGAGTGAAAAGAGTGCTTCTAAGCCGCCAGGCCACTGATGTCTGAAGCTCCAGGAGGTACAGATGGCAACTGAATGAAGATGGAGAATGGGACATCCTTCGTTGCCGTTTGCCTTCAGCCTTTGGACGCGACGCAGGAGATTGGTCATCGCCATCAGCGATATCGCGGGGAATAAGACGGTAAGATCTCGGACGTTCCAAAGGTGGAGGATGAGAAGTCCTACCAAAAAGCCGTTCAGAAAGCGAAGTTGAAAGGTCGATTTGGCTGTCAATATCTCGCCAATGATGCCGCTTGCCTCATCGTTTTTGCATGCGAATGTCTCCTTCCAGATATCAAAACCGACACTTCGTGCTGCTTCCTCGAGAAGCTGCATATCACGTTGGTGGCTAACGCGGCTCAAGTCGAAAGACTCGCAAGGATAGTCTTCCGAAGGCATCGAGACCAACAGCTTCCGAACGACGCTGCACGACGCTGCCAGATTGTGGAGCAAAAGTCGCAGCAAGTCGAATAGTTTTCGGACGTCTTTGTCGCCATTTCGATTATGAATTCGATTGCTAAGACCAACTGATTGTAAACACACCGGGGTCAGAATTTGTTTGAAGACCCTCGAAGTATAGGAGAAGTTGAAAAGGGACTCCCAATTGTCATTCTGCTCCTCATAGACGTCCCAGACCCAGTCGTGGTACCGGCCATGATCTAATATCAGCTCCCCGGGCCAATGAGGACATAGAAAAGAGCCGATATGTCGGATCATTTCCGGTGGGAGGTCGGACAGCTTCGCCATGTTGCTATCAGGGGATCCCGTCGGCGGTTGAGACTCGAGCGGAAGTCGGCAGGTGTCTGTAAATTGTTAGGCGAGAACAAAGGCAGAGAAGAGAAAGGGATACCAACGAAAAGGTTATTTGCGTCTACTGTCGCCGTTGTGGGCAGAAATCGATCTGCGCTGTTCGTGCCTCGAGAATCGGCTGCTCGTGAAGTGGTGGAAGTGAAAGAAGTCTGAGAAAACCGCTTAGCTGTGCGCGGCGACTTTGGTTTGTGGGTGTGCTTTTGATTGCTACCGCAGCCGTCGTTGCTGTGCCTGAGTTGGCTCGATCGAAGAGCGAAGCTGGTTTTCGAGAGGTGAGTTGAGAAAATCAGCGTGCAGGTGAAAGTCAACTGTCGAGGTGAGGTGCAAACGACGCAGTTACGGGTCACGTGATAGACTTGGACGTTGAAATTCGACGGCAGGAAGGAAGGCTCCAGCGGGTAGGCGTGGGTTCCTTCCTGCCTTTTTGGGTCGTAGGGTTCAAGCAATCAACACTCTCCAAGTCACTTTTGTTATTTGTCGCAACGAGTGTAACATGTGCAAAGCAAAGCTTTGGTGTTCAATTTAAGCAGGTAATAAAACAACTCCATTTCCCGGTCTGAAGCAAGACCCAGCACCCTGCCCGCGGTCTGATCTTTGTCTGTAACCTTGCGCTTGTGATTGTCTAGCTAGAAGATACTGGGCAAAGGGGAAGGAGCCTCAAAGAAGTCAACCCGTTTGCTGTCCCGAAAAGCTTCATGAACCTCATGGTCAAAGTTGTCCAAGCCGATATCCCAAGCTAGATGCTCTGGAATATGGACATAGTCATTGTCATTGTTGTCTTCCTCCAGGTCTTCCATCATGTCTTCCTCGTCGTCTTCCCCATCGCCTGCGTCATTGTCTTCCTCGTCGTCTTCCTCTTCGTATGCCTCGTCGTATGCCTCGTCGTATCCCTCGTCATCCTCTTCATCAAAGCGTTTCCCCGAAAGTATCTCAGCCCAGCGCAACATGTCGTCCTCAAGGATTTCAACGCTGCCAGCCAGATGAAGCCTCCACAATGAGGTTGGGATCGTTCGAAGGACTTTGCTACCAACACCATAACGGTCCCCAAAGCAGGAGCAGTTGATCCACATCTGCTCAAGAACCGTGAACTCCTTAAATGAATTGATGTAGGGCGGAGGAGTCTGGTCGGGGAATGATTGGTACCACAAGAAAACCCCCAGGCACAGAGTTTTCAGGCTTGAGCCGTGCTTCTTCAGCGCCCGGAACATTGAACCGGGGCTAAGCACAGGACTGTTTTCGCTTTCAACCTTCTGGATGTAGATGAATTTCGTCAGACGCAGGGTCTCGTTGATGAGCTGGCAGACGGTCGACAGCGCAATGCCCTTGACATCTCTGAATACCAGCGACGTGATGTTCGGGGCCCATGGCAGAGGCGCGTCTAGAATGCAGTTGCAGAAGTATATTGATGCTTGGGGTCTGAAATCGAATAGTGTCTCAAAACCCCTGGGCTGAATGTCGTCAAAGTTCCAGTTTCTGACCGCAATGCTTTCGAGGTGAAGGATCGGTTGCATATCGTTGTCGACTGCCCTCCGTTTCTGAACAAGACGCAGCAGCTGGGTCACAGCCATGTGCGACGCTGGCGGAAGTACGATGCTTAGGTCTCGGATGTTTGGGAGGTTGAGGATGATAAGACCGACCAGAAACCCCTTCAGGGAATGTGGTACATGTATGAAGACTTCTCCGATGCTCCAGCCTACCATATCGTCGTTCCAAGCGAGCGTTTCCCTCCAGATATTGATGCCAAAACAGAGGGCTGCTTCCTTGAGAAGATCCATATCGCGTTGACAGACATGGTCCAAGCCGGAAGATCTTCCCGTATGTTTGTCAGAGTAAAGGTCAATGAATAGTTTCCGAACGGCACTAGGCGATGACGCCGGATTGTGCAGCAAGTAGCGAAGCAACTTGAACAGCATTGGAAGCTCGTTTCTGCCAGTTCGGTCAAGGATCCCAAGCGAACGCACTAGCTCGGGCGCAAGGCCAACGTGGTAGGCTTTCGAAGTGTACGAGAAGTTGAGTAGAGATGCTCGGTTGGCGTTGTGGACTTCTCGAATGTCGTAGACCCATTCCCAGCCTTCATCGTGATCCAAAAGCAATGCGCCGGGCCAGTCAGGGCGAAGAAAGGACGCGATGTGGCGAACCAGCTCTAGCGGAAGGTCGGAAAGCTTCGCCATGGGGGCTTCGAATATGATTAGGCGGTACTTGTCAGGGTTACAGGATCGCGTCGGTGGTTGGGAGTGTCGAGCAGTAGATAACAGGTAACTATCCCCGACTATCTTGGTTAGAGGAGAACAATAACAGAGAGGGAGACTGGGTACCAATGAGAAGGGTAAGTTGCACACGCTGTGGCCGTTGCTGGCAGAGACCAATCTTCGCCGCGTGCGCTTTGGCGATCGACAGCTGGGAAATGTCGAGGAGAAGCTGGAAAACCGGCTATCTTCAGAGGGACGACTTTCTCTATTTCTCCTGTTGTCGCCCTCCCCTGTGTGTTGCTAGTGGATTGATTTTGACAAGATCGTGAGTCTGACAGGTGAATTGCGAAAATCAGCCTGGGCGTGAAAGTTGTGCTGAGAAGGAAGATCAAGAAAATGCGCTGTGCTAAGGTTATGTGGAAGGGGTCGCACATCAATCTGAGAAAGGAAGGAAGGCTCCGGTACCTGGACGTAGCTTCCTTCTTGCTTCTCGTATTGTGCGGTCGAAGAAAGCTGCCACATGGCCACAAAGAAAGAAAAGTGTTCAAGATCAATAGGCATCCACCGACGCAGACCCGGTGAGATCAAAGGACCGACCATGAAGAGCGATGGTACTCATTGTCTATGACACAGCAAAAATCCTCATCTGCCTCAATTTTCTCGCCTCAAAACACTGTCCTCATCCAACCACGACTTTTGCTAGCTGGGCAGTGTCTATCATGAACGCGTGTAATCTGTGTATCCGACTGTACGCGAACCCCTTTCTTTTGCTGTCGTCTCATCGTCTATTATTGTTGTTGTCTCCATCGCCGTCGTCGTCTATCGCCGTCTATCGTCATCGTCCATCGTGGTCACTATCCATCATGATCATCATCTTTCGTTATCGTCTAATATTATCATCATTATCGCTATCCCTATCGTCTTCTCTACTACTATTAGCCTAACCGACGGACGTCATTCTCTTGTTGTTGTATGAATCCGCTTGTCAAGACGTACTTGTCTCCGTCTTCTCCTGCCCTTCCATCCTCGGACCAGGCAAATTCAGCAAGATCGTACCTACCACATGGCAGGGCGTGGATCAACTGTCGTTCGCACCGGGACGTACTCCGCGAACGCCTCCTCAAGCTCATCGTCCCACTGTCCCCTGCTCAAACCAATCTCCCGCAGATTTCTCAGACCTCCCATCTTGATGCGTTGGGCAATGTCTAGCAGACTTTGTCGGATCGGGCGCACTCCCCCACCCAGGTGCAAACGCTTCAACGACGCAGGAAGACTTGGGAGAAAGGTCTCGAAGACCTCATGTCCTGCCAAGTTACTGTCATCTGTGTCGCTCCCATTACTGTTGTGGCCCTGACTTTCGCTGTTATCGATGTTATCTTCTTCGTCGTCATCAGCGAAGGTGCATGTAGTGATCCATAGCTGCTCCAGACTGGGCAGGTCGCCAAGCGTTGCAATGCGATCATATACACGCTGGTCTTGCACGTAGTGCCAGGTGCTTAGGTCTAGACAAAGGGTGACCAAAGTCTTGCATTGATCCTGTATGGCATCCATGAATGCATCGAGATCCGAGGACGACATCATCAGAGCTGCGAATCGGACGCAGACAAGCTTCCTCAGGGCTAGACAGTTACGAACCGTCTTAACCAGGAGAGGTACCTCCATGTGAACTTTGTCGAGCACCAAAGAAGTGACAGTAGAAACATTGAAATGCTGGCAGAGGACGGAGCTGTGGAAGCATCTTTCAGAACCGGGTTTCGTCCACAGGTATGGCTCCAGTTCTCCGATGTACTCCAACCCTAAATCGCTAGTAGTGAGAGCTTGAAGGGTAGGAATAGACAACGGTGTGGGTGTGTTTGAATTGGGATTCTGGTGAGTTCGAGCGACCGAGAGAACCTGGGCCATGGTTCGCAGCGTCGGTTGCGGCACACTAAGTGTGAGCTCCTGGAGACTTGGAAGGCGAATAAGAATGAGCGCAACGCAGTAACCAATGAGGTAGCGAGGCGGCACACCAGCGGTTGAATCGAGATATTCGAGACAAGGCACAGCAAGGCTCATAGACCCGAATAAATCCAGTAGAGTAGCCACCTCCGCTTCATAAAAGTCCACGGAATCCCTGGTCACTGTTGGATGTCGTGTGGACACGTAGAGATGTCGGATAGAGGTGCGTACAGTGTTGTCGCGGTCGATGAGTTGGAGAAGGGATGTCATCCTCTTCAGCCCTGTGCCCTCAGAAAGATTGTGAATTCCGGCAATGCTGTAAAACTGCTCAACTGAAGCTTGAGAAAAGGCCTTGTGAGAAAGGGAAAAGCTCGCTAAAGCGTGGCGCTTCTGACTGTTTTCGTGAAGAAGGTCGCTGACGGTGAATGCAGTGTCGTAGTAATCTCCTGCCGATGCTTTCTCATGGCCTGTCGCGACTAACAGCTTGCCATCAAGTCGGGGTCGAAGAATCTTGATAATCATGAGAATTATCTCGGGAGGAAGGTCAGTCAGCTTCGCCATCTTGGATTGCCGATCGCTGGCGAGCAAGGTCCAGTCTATAGGGACGCGAATGGGGGAAGCGACGTCGATTCTGGTGAGTCGCACGGCTAGAAGAAAGTTAGCAGAGAAACGATAGGGGTAGCGATAAAGATAGCGACGCTGCATTACATGTGCGAAGAAAGACGACGACAAAGGACGATGACGATGGACACTGCCGGGATAGCGAACTGGCGCTGCCTGGCCAGCAAAATTCTTCCGAGCACGCAGGATCGTTAGGCTCGGAAGCAGTCGTATTTCGATTCCTGGCGACGGCGTGAAGTTTGCTTCGTCGATTGACAGGTTGTGCGTGTTGTTGTTTTGGACTGGGTGGTGGGATAGGAAAGTGCCGTCGGTAGGTGCCCGAAGGTGAGTGCCGCGTGCGATTGTAGAGAGTGGTAAGTTCACTACTCGAATCTCGCAAGGGAAGGCGCGAATGATGAAGCAGGCAACGAAATAGGAAAGTACAATTGGGCAAGATCAGAATGTTGGTATGTTTCCAGGAGGCTTGCCTGCTTTTGAAGTTCTTTATGACTTTTGATTTCACGAGTCTCCGAGAGAAACCTATTTCTTTGGGAAATTGAAAGCGGCAATCTCAGAATTTACGCTATGAGCCTTCTACGTTCTGTTGCACCACCTTGACCTCGTTACTTCCAGCTGTCATATGCACGCGATGTACTCAGTAACCCATATGATGAACGTCGTAGCATCGTGTTATTGAATTTGACTGCGATACCTAAGTTGCAGAGCTTCTAGTAAATTTACTACCACAAAGCAGGGGTTTGACTAGAGTTCAAGCATATCGCAACTCCCCTTCCACTCAACATTTCATAGTTCCATATCAAGCCCGTGAGTTCTGAATCAGAATATTGAATAAATAACGCATCATTCCCAAATCCCTCAAAGGCAGCGATCTTCTTCTCTTCAGAGGACTTTTCGGAGGTCAAACCGGCGACATGGAAGACCTTCAACGACGGTGGGATAGTCCTCAAGAAAGGGATGTATGTTATACTTGCATCCAATGCTGCTTCGCTCCCGACCTCTTTGTGAATGTTGTCGTACCAGAGAGCATCGGCGACGATCCACCGTATTGTGCTCCTCGAAAGACTCAGCCTCCTCAATGCCGTGAACTCCCCCAAACAGCGCAAGGGGCTGTGATATCTCCGGTGAATGAGCCCGGGGAAATCGAGGCACAACGTCTTCAGAGTGGCAGTATGCTTTTGAAGCATGCCAATCGTATCCCCGGGACTAGGTATAGAAGACAGAGCTGATGCACCGCTGCAGATGAACACGAACTTTTCCAGTGCCTGGCATCTGCTCAAAACGTGATGAAGCTGCGATTTTGAGATGGAGCAGCCGCTCAGTACGATCGAGCCTAGCTTTGGTGCGATGTGTGCGAGAGCATCTCCTACCTGGAAGCCTTGTATGAAAACCTCCGCTCCAGCATTCCAAGAGAAGAGGGCCTCAAATCCAGGGTCAATCTGCGCCACCGAGCCTGTATTAGCCGCATCCCAGGAGTCTGGCCCTATGGCCAGAGATCGGAGGGTTAACAAGTCGCGAATCCTGTTTCCCTTTCCGTCCTGTTGCGGCTTATGGATGACCTGCGAGGCAGATTTCGTGATCCCTTGAAGTACACGCGTCGGAAGTAGTAGTGCCAAGTGTCTCACACTATTGAATTTCAAAAGTATGATGACGATGAGATGCGCGAAGAAGCGTCCGAAGCTTTTTCTAGAGAGGGCTCTGCACCACATCCCGCTGCGCGGGTCATGGAAGCTGTTCGACATTGGCGCCCGGAAGGCCTCGAGGCCCATCGACGAAGCCACACTATCCATTGCTGCAATATCGTCCACTGATACTGCATGTTGACAGCAGACATCCCAAAACCCGACATAGAGCTGTTGAACCGATTGTGGGTTTAGTGCGCCAGCATGAGCATGTCGGAGTAAGGAAACCAATCTGCGCGTAATATGCCAAGCTGACCAATTGTGTACTTCGATTGAGCCTTGTAATTCATGAACACTCATATTCCGATACGTCTTGCATGTTGCAGAGAAGTTAAAGAGTGTATGCCGACTGCCTTTAGCGCTGCAAGCAATGCTGATTCGGCCATCGATTTTTTCTGCAATGAGTTCTTTCCCTCTGTAGTCCGTACGAAGAAAGGAACAGATATAGAGGATCAACTCAGGGGGAAGGTCTTGGATAAAACCCATGGTATAGGGTCGTTTAGATTGAGGTCGTGGTTAGGAGTGAGATTTTACAAATGGAAGGAACCAGTTTTAGCTGACGAAGAGAAGCAGAAGCAAAGAGGCTAGAGAAGGCACACTCAGCTTTTATTTTGAACAGTTGGTGGCGCTATAACTTTAGAAAAGAAAAGTGTGACACCTTTTGTACCTTTATGTGGCGGCCTAATAATCCATGATCAAGGCTTTGCGATAGGTTTCGCGGCGTTCTGGAAATTTATTTCAGATCGCTACATGTATTCGAAGAGATACTTCATGCCCCTCAAGCGCAAAAGGTGCCATGCCAGATTCATGAACTAGGTATTTCATTACCAATAGGCATTTGGCAATGTTAATGGTGTAGATTTAACCGATATATATATACATGTCACCAAAATCTAATATCTGGACAAGTTCAAGCTCGCTAGACCATGCTCTCTACGTCCACAGCCTGCCCAATGACCCATGACTAGTCTACCACAGTTGCGGAAGAGGATCAATCTCGAATTTTATATTGAGTCCATGAATGTTGCCACATTGAAGTAAATGTTTGGTGGGCCAATCCTGCGCAGCTTCATCGATGGCGAGGACGTTGGGCAGGCGCTGGATAGGGTGTTGTGAGGCGTGTTTCTCCCACATTGACATCAAGTCGGAGAGAAGGAATCTCACCGGTCCGCTCAAGTGAAACTTCTTTAGAGAAGCTGGTAGACTGTGAAAAGCGGGATGAATTATTTCGCAATCCGAAAGTCGACTGTCGTTTCCACCGGCAAATGTGCCATTATTGGCGGCTAGTCCTAGCAATTTCTCGTGAATATTCCGACACATGCTGGGGACGGATCCGATTGCGGCTGACATAGAGCTTCTTGCTATGAGCGTCTCGGGATCGCAAGCACCTCCTTGTTTGAATTCGAAGAACGAGTCGACATGCAGCCACAGGTTCTCCAGCGCGGTGAACGTTTCCAGCGACTTGATTGGGTGGACTTTCCTCGGACTCCGGCAGTCTATGCAGATCGTTTTCAGTGTCTTTGCGTGTACCTCAAGAGCTTCAATGACATCGCCAGCCGTCAGATCTCGCCCATTGCGGGCGACTTCGCCTTGTGCCACGTAGATGAACTTCGTAAGCTGCCGGCAGTCGGACAGCGTCTGACGCAGGGCCGTGGGGCCCATCAACATCTTTACCAACACGATCGATGTTAGGTTTGGCGTTAATGTTCCGCGGAGGTACTTGCAGTCATCGATAGTACAGACCTCCGAGCGATCGTATCCATGCGAGTAGACTTCGGCTCCCGGGGCAAGTGGGAAAAGGCAGTCATATGCGCGGTTGCACATGGCCCAGTCTTCCTCGGCCCGTTGCGGATTTCGAAAGGAAAATGAACGCACTGTGTTGAGCGGGGCGTATTCCTGCCTGTGGCCCGTCGGCCTGCGCGCCAAGATATTCTGCTCTGCATCCGACCCATCACCCTCGACATCTCGTGTGACGGTGTCGTCGCTGCTGGAGTTCAGGCTCCGAGCATCAAGCCGGCTATCTATACAGCTTTTGTAGATTATCTGTAAGTATTTCCACGTGTATGGCGTGACATTAAAAGCCATATCGTCAACACGAGGCAAGTGGAGGATGATAGTCAAGAGAAGGGTCCCCATAAGTGCTTCTGAGCCGTTACTTTTGATTGCTTCGCGGAGCTGGAATCGTGGATGCCAATCGTTGCCGCGTATAACTCTGTTATAGTCGAAACCAATGGATTGCACAGCCTGCATGACGAAGTCCCGGCTGTCATCGGCGATCTCGGCAGGAGTCGCGAACGCTTCGTCGACATAGATGTACAATTTCCTGATCGACGATAATTGCGCGGGGTATTTCCGGATTTTCCAAAGAAAGCTAATCATCAGGAAGATAGCCTCTTGGCTGTCTCTGGCGTAAAAGCCAAAGTTGGTCTCGCGCCAGGTTGACTCTAGAGGGAGACTGCTGAGCCTCTTGCATGTCAGGGCAAGATTCACAAGTCCGGCTCGATCGCGTCGAATGTCCTTCGAAATGTCATGGGCGACTGCGGCGGAGTTGGACCGGGCTCTGGCAATTTCATCCAAAATGTATTTGCCGGCGTAAGGCACTGGAATAAAAGAGTAAATTATAAGGAGCAACTCCATGGGTAGACCGCAGAGCCCTGTCATCGTTCCTGCCTGCGCTGTTGATTGATCTGCGATTAAAGACATGATAACATGATGATAACGACTCACGCTAGCACAGGGAAGTGCGAAAGAAATTCCAAAATGACTCTTTGAAAATTGTGGCAACTGCAGGCATTCCCAAAGGCTTAATATACGTTGTGGACGGCACAGCCAGGTTTTTAGACTGGGCGCTCACATAGACGGCAACATTCGTAGAGGTATCACACGTGACGCGGGCGTGAACGGATTTTAGGCATGGAAAACTTTGGGTGATCTGATTCTATAAATAAAGTCACCACGGGGCGAGAGACCGTAGCTGTTCTTCCACTCCATCTTGCTGCCCATTTCGCATAACCTGGATGGCCCACGACAAGCCCGCCACGCAGGCAACAAAAGCTAATTCTCAGGAAGCCTCCCACAAAACCGCGTCCACATCTGTGATCGTGCCCGAGACACCGAATTTCTCAAATTCTTCCTTCAGATCCTCCACGGTGCCTTTGTGATTGTCAAGGTCCTTCAAGTAGACGCGCTCCAAGTTGGTAAGATAGTCGAGATGCCCCGCAAAGTCGAGGAGAACATCCTTGAAAAGCTCAAGCTCATGGGTAAAGCAAATTCTCTTCAGACTCGTTGGTAGGGACCAAAGCGCGTCTTCGTAGTAATCATACAGTGGCTCTCCTTTTTCGTGTACGGTCGTAATTTCGAATTCTCCGCGGCAGAGGCTGTCTCCATCGATCCAGAGGTTCTCGAGATTCTCAAACTCGTCCAAATAGTCGATACCAGACTTCCCGTAAGAGACCCAATTATCGGAAAGGTCGATGACAAGGCTGCGGAGGGTCTTAGTGTGCCGCTCGCCTTGCCGGAGTCCCTCGAGAGCGTGCAATGGGTCGATTCCATAGCCGGGATCCGTATCCGAATCACTGAGGTGACCGATGAGCCGAAAGTCCAAGAGAGGGCCACAGTCCGCCATAACGGAGTCAAACGCATCGCGGTATGCACTCCCTGAGATAGTGCCGGCGATAGTGAGATGCGTAACCTTTTCGAAGAGGGTGGAACAGAGGCCTGCGGACTCCAAGCCCATGCGCACTGGATAGAGGTTGTCAATGTACAAGTGCGTGGGCTCAGCACCGATCTTGCCGATGATGGAGTACAGCCCCTTAAAGACGGGAATGGTGCCCTTCACGGGCCTCAAAGCGAGAGAGCTGAGCTGGGGACAAAGGGCAAGCAAATTGAGGTCGGAGTTCTGTCCCAAGTCGTAATGGGGAGATGTCATCGGCTCGCCTCCCGAGAGGGCGAGGCCAAGTTCTTGCAGGTTGGGGAGGTTGGCAAGCAGAAGAAGAGTAATCGTCTCAATGCGGTGACCATGCCACCCTTGATCGTTGCTCAGCCAGGCATCCTCCGACCACTTGACACCCTTCTTGGAAGCTTGCTGACGCAGGAAAGCGACCGAGGTCTTGTCGAAGCGTTGATTCGTCCGCTGCGACTGTTCAAGGTTCAGATAAACCGTGCGAACCCAACCTTGGGCCTCGGGATGTTTGTCGACAAATTTGAGGCAAGAGACCACTTTCCGAGTCGCGTTGGGTCCCGTAAAACTGATGGTAGACCAGGCTCGTCTCATCACACACCTGAGCCGATCGTGGGCGAGGGATAGATTCCGGAGATCATCGAACCCGCGTCGAAGATAGCGGCTGATGGCGGCATCCGAGTCAACAGAGTCATCTTTGTGGGCCTGGGCAAAGGCTTCGTCGATGGTCATTCCGCGATGGCGCAGCAAGTCGGCGATGATGAAGAGAACGTCATCCGGAAGGTTGGTAAGCCTCGCCATTGTGTATTTTTGCCAGAGTCTGGATGCAAGAGTGCAGTATAAGCAAGCTTGGGAAAACTTTTCTTTTTCGAATTTGTGGTGGTGACGATGGTGATGGACGCCAGTTGCCGAACTTGGAGGCGAAGATTTTGACGACAACGGAAAAAAAAAAGGGAAAAAAGGAAAGAGGTCGACAAGCAAGTATGCTGGAAGGACTGGCCTGCCCACGGGGCAAGCATTGCTCCAATTCGAGCCGAGAGCAGCATCGTTGGGGAATTGACGGGCTTAGTTGAAGAGATGTCTCTATGTGAATTGCGGTCAAAGACGCGGTGTGAGTAAACTCTTGTGACAGTTGAACTTGAAAGGATACTCTGCTCTGACCGAGGCTTCCAAGTGCACCATGATAACAACAAATACACCATTGTTGCCATCTTGACCCCCAAAGCCTGCATATTGTTCAGACCTGCTGCATTTGACCCCATGAAATATCTAGATGTGACCACAATCAGATTGGGATATCAACAATCGAGGTTGTTTGACAGTTGTGGAAAGCAAAACCTACTGTTCTATGCTTGATATGTGGCTCTGACGTGCACGAACCTATTTGCTTGAGGAATTGACTTTTGACCTAGAGGACTCGAGATGATTGAGTAGCCATGCTTCGAGAGTTTTCAGTCGACGACGGCCACAGAAGAGCTCAGAAGGACTGTGATTGGTATTGTACGGTATGAAAATTTTGTCATTGTGTCTAAGTCCTCATCGTTTCCTCATCGTCCGCTTTTTCCGCGTTCCTTTTTTGGTCATAACTCTTGTCCCTTGAATGGACTCCTCCGTTCGACTCTGGCAGGAATTGGTCTGGTCTGGTGGTCTGGCGCAAGTTCCATCCTCATTAAATCTCGCCGAAATTTTTAGCACTCCAATTTTTGATCTCGCTGTTCGTTCGTAACCCTTTAGAAACACTTTCCGCCGGTTGAGTAGCCACAGCCAAGGTGGAAGCCACCGGGCTGGTCGCAGTTGCCCTGCTTGTTGTTGGGGTCCGTCGACTTGTATGCGTTGTGGTTGCAGCTGCACATGGAGCATCTGTGGTCGTCGTACTGGATGTCGCCACAGTAGCACTTGACGCAGCCGCCGAAGCAGTAGTGCTTCGCGGTCACGGCAGTGGCCAGGGACATGAGGGCAAAGACGGTAGCGAACTTCATTTTGTTTGGAGCATAAAGTTTAGGCTGTGTAGTAGGGAATGTCTTGTAGGGAGAGATGAAGATGTATGTTGTTTGGTAGTGAATGTGTCTGTTGAAGAAACAGAGTTCGACTGAGTTGAGTGACGGCTCGCAATGCTTTATACGAAGGACGCTGTCACGCAAAACCGCGATTGTTCGGAGGCGGCAGGAGTTTCCTCTCGATGGCCGGCTTGGAAACTTCGGCGGCAATTCCTTGACTTGTTTATTTTCGATATTAGCTGCAGAGACGCTCAATCTACGTTTTGGCGCGACATCCATTGGCGAAGATTTCGTCGCGGGGGACTTATCGCAGAGCTGTACGTTGTGTGCGGGACGGGGAAGCCGAGATTAAGTGGGCTGCCATCGTACCCCGGCCCGCCCGATCGCGTCGATCCTTTCCCCTGTCAGCCTTAACACGGCCAACCGCAACGATTGCACCGGCAAATATTTTTGACTAGAAACAAAGTTTGCACTTGTCAACAAAAACATTAATAGCTCCCGAGTTAAACCCTTCGATCAGCCGTTAAAGAGTTGCAGCAATTCTGCCTATGTCATGCAAGGCTTGGCTGAATATCTCAAGCTCGCCTCGACTGAATGATGCGGCAAGGCTTGAAGAACTTTGAATTTGACGGACTTCAGATCCGACAACATCTAGATAAACATCTTCAAGTGTTACGACGAGAATCTTGGTCGACTCGTCTACAATATCGCGTCCCCTTCTCCATCCCCCACAATTCGGGCATCCCGGCTCAAGCGTCCAGTCACCATGACTCGGGCAAGCGTGCATACCATGGCCAGCAATGCTAGTTGTTTATGCAAGAGACTTTGCTAAGAACCCTGTGAAAGGCCAAAAGCAACAACAACAGCGGATCTTACTTTCCGTCGTTACACTTTGGTGTTCAGACGTGGAAAGTCGTGAAAGGGGAAGCTTTGAGACCGTGAAGGCTGATGACTGCAACTGCCGGGTTGGCTGAAGGAAACAAAGACTAAATCATGTGGAGAGAAATGCTTCGAGTCATTTAATTAGGAATGATAGACAAAGATTTCTACAAGAAAGAAAACTTTCAGAAAGTCCCATGGAAACAGTCGGACCGGGAATCCTTCTAACGGACAGCAACGCTTTCCAAACAAGACTCCCATTTAAAGCGTTGCCAGGCCCCTTTATCTCTCAAAGCAGTCCCCGTCCTGCTTAGCAAGCTTTCGAGGCGTACAAACCGACCACCGCATGGTCGATAGGGAACATTTTCAATTCCCTCACTTTTCAACCCTGAGTCATCACTTTCGATTGATGTACGCCGACGAACCGGACTCCATGCAGCTTGCCGTGAATAGAAACGGAAACTGAGTTATCTTTTCGCAAGAGATGGCTCACATCACAGATCCACCTCCCCATCTCGTACATCTCATCTTTGGTTCCATACGGCGCGATATTTCTCTAAACCGTCTTTACGCCTATCTCGGTCCCGAAAACGCACCATGTCAAGTACTTGGCCCTCAACCCAAGACCTATGTCATCTACCTGCGGCCTGTGGCCACCTTAATGTTATTGTTGAACATGGCATTCTCTACACCACTGTCTCTGTCGACGGGTCTGTTTCTCAGTTCATCGGTGCCCCCACACAGGTTATCTCCAAGCCTGGAATTGGACGGTCGGTCTATCCAATACACGTCGACTACACGAGAGCCCGCTGCGACAACAATCCCCAACTCAGCCCGACGACTTGAACTTCCTCAGTAAGCCGGTGTTCCCAATACTAGCGCCCAAACACCGAAAGTGCTTGAGAGCTACGAATCTCTGCGCAGGATCAACAGAAACTGGATTCTCATGCAACGTCTCCTGAAGTTTGCAATGCCCGTTGAAGACTTCGGCTACGACATGCCGTACCAACCGTTTACAAACCTCATTGATCGTGAAATGGAACTCAAGCTGTCCCGCCTGCGAGTGTTATCGATTGGAACCAATTCTGACACAACCTTCCTGCCTACCATACAGTCACTGATGACACAGGGGCCTACCGTCACCCTCTACATCAAGATTCCACGGGGCTCTCTATTCCCCGATTACCAAATGAACCTACCCAGTGTTACCTTGTGATCTTGATGAACCTTCCAGTGTCCTTGGTCGTTACGAGCTCTATTCTACAGACCAGAAACACTTTTGCTGAGCATCCGTGCTATCGCGACTCCTTATTGGATTTTGCAGGTCGCTCTAGGCGGAATGGTTCACCAACTTGGGATTTCTTCCAGTGACTCTCCCCCGTCTCTGTACCTATAATGACTTGTATTATTTGCATTACACAAGTCGCGATCTCCAATGCCTGAAGAGACAGATGGGCTAAGGAATATGTCGTTGGTGACCGGCAGAGCAGCTGGAGAACGTCTGGTATTGCACATTGGGCGTTTGATGGACTTTGAATCTGTTTCAATATTTTCTGCAAGTAACAGGACAAATGGCCTATATCTGAATGGCTGGAACGACATAGCAGGATGTGTCAATTGGTTACTCTAATGAATGCAGGCTGTATTGTGAGGATACATCAAAAACATAAACAAGCACAAAAGAGATGGCGGCAATGTCATACTGTCGGAGCAACTAGAGGTATTATTTCATATGTTCTGCCTGGGACTTCCACACACATAAGAGGATGCGAGACTTTGATGAAGCACGGATGTCAGGTTTGTCGGGTTTCTTTCACATCGAACTTTTATTAGCATTGGATAGGTATCCAGCTCTCCAATCGACCTGTGACAGCATTCTTACTCGATAAACTTCGCTAGCCCCAGACCTCATCTTGCCAAGCAGGCCAAGCCGGGGCACGACTTGCATCCCCAGAGCAGCTTGCATACAGCTTGGGGTTCTCGATCACAGTACCTTCGGGGAGGTCCAGCCCTAGAGTGTAATCTGGGTAGATCCCGGAGCTAAAAGCCCCGCCACCCCTCCCGTTGGACCAGAATATGCGAAAGGGGATGTACTCCTCCACGGTTTCAAAGTAAATGAACTGGCTGTAGGGATATGATCGATAGTCCTTCTGAACTGTGATGTCGGCATTGTTCGCGTTGAAGCCTGACTTGGCCTTATCCCCCAGCCAGACCATGACTACGTCGTCAGCCTCACCGACGATGAACTCGTAAGATCCGTTGAGAGATGCCTTGATGTAGCCGCGATGGACAACAATGTTGCACTTGATCGTTGATCCTGCGGGGCCTTGAACCCCTCTATAGTTGATGGGTTGGTTCTCGTCATTTTGGTTGTATCTTGGGACTTCTGCGTGACCAACACCAACCGGAACACGGCCTTGAACGAGGTTCTTCAGATTGTACGTATTCGCCCTGACAAATTCGTTTTGAAGAGTGTTCCTACACAAGTTTGATCTCTCTTCAATCACATGGAGAGCAAACTCAGCTCCTGGTGTGCAAGAAGCCGAAGCGGTCGAAGAAGCGACACCTGTCGGCGCCGTCGCAGTGATGGTGGTCGGCTTGATACCGTCAAAGCACTGACATGCCGACCAATAGGCAGCTACGTCAGGGCAGGAGCTGGCGTATGCAGGCTTTGTGCCAAGGATTGTAGGCGCAGGGGTCTCTTGACGCGGGCCATGGACGTTTCTCTTTTGCACCGGTGATGGAACCGACAGAGTGACAGTCGGCTGAGGTCTGCTCCTCAGGTCAGCATATGAGCCACCTTGGCAAACTTGTTTTGAACATTCTAGCTTACATAGCAGGCATTGTAGCATAAGTACTCACGAAGGCCGCACAAAGAGATGATCTCGAGGCAAGAGATGGATCATTCCTGCCCGTGCCCGCAACTTGGCGGCCGCAATTGTTGTTGCATATTGCTGCAGACGCAACGCTGGAAAGAAAGCAGAGGATATTTAATGATGCGGGCGGCTTCATGACGAGTCAGTAAGTGATAAAAGCTGATCGAAGGCTGAAAGAGGTTCTGGACCTTGTAAGTTGAGCTACATCTGACATGATGGGAAAGTTGATCTTAAATAGTTGATGCCAAGAGATGGTCTCAAATCGTGAATACAGCAAAGTGACCCCGACGATAATTTGGACGGTCAATATGATGAATAACTAGACCAAACCTGAATTTCTCGTCATCATTTTCCCATATGTAGCGTAGCGGCTGTGCGATCGGTATGTCGTAGGGCATCCCGAAGAGGGGAAATAGCCAAGCTGAAGGAAGGGATGTGCGACGTCTTAGATGTTCAAGACAATTGTCGTACAACTCAGGGATGTCTATCCCTCCGCAAGCCATTTGCCTGCGAACGTAGAGAAGCTTACCTGTTTTTAAGGCCATGGCAAGACAATACACATTCGTTAGTCTGAGAATAGTTTAGCATGCAAAGGGAGAGTTCTCCGATCCACGTTCACAGAATATTTGCAAGGGAAGCAAATGGTTTAATTTCATCCATGTGGGTGTACAACCGTCTCTTCGAGTGCAAATACCGGTGTTGATATTGCTAGCAATCGGCTCCTCGAAGTCCCACACAGTAACTAAGGTTACGGGATAGCCAGCCCAGCTGAATAGGGCGGAGGGTCTCAAATCGGAGCTTTCATGCCGCTCAGCTACTTGGCCTCCAGCCACTTTCCCCGGCATCAACGGATGATCCAGATGCTCATCGGAATCTCACTTTTGAGGCGACGAAGGCGATGAGATTTATTTCAGCAACGGAAAAATCGATCGTTGATGGCATCCCCTTTCAGTACACAATTGACAAGGCTAACGATAACGAGCAAGGAGGTTGCAGAGAATGAGACCAATATTAATTCTTATAAGAGGCCATAGGAACAACCCTCATTTCTCTGGCGTTGGCATAAATGGTACTTGATCCCTAGATTACTGAGATGCGTCGAGGAAGAGATTAGGCGCAACTAGCTCCCAGCCCTATACAATACTCAATCACGGAGTTTGTAGCTTGCTGCGGGTGTCATATGATAACAGAGCTTGCTCCAGAGGCCTGAGAGTTCCTACGACGTCATGAACAATGCACAAAAGAGTCAAACCCCAGTATGAAGGTCTATGATGACAAGCTCGTATCCATCAAGTTGGGTTGCATGAGAAGTGGTACGTACTGCGTCAGCAGGTTGCAGTAGTGCGCGATCCAAGTGGATATTTCGACGACAAGGATACATGTCAGTCCGGTCTGGACAACAAACATTTCCCCTCCGTCATCTATCCAGCAATTCTTATTGAACGCGGAGTTAGTCAGGACTATGCCGACTTGCCCGCTGACACTTTTCTATTGTATCATGACTCTATCCGTGTGGCATGTTGCATGAGGAGCGGGGCAGATAAGCCTGGTGACTCAGTCACGGTATCCGACAACGAGATGATTTGAGAGTTGGTCGTGATAGCTTATTATGTTCAGGATTTCTTCGTCTCTAGATTTGGCGGTTTATAGCTGTATCTTTCCTACAGAATGCCAGTGTGAAATCTCCTGAGAGTATGCCGGTTCTCTGCTAAGGTTTCGTCACAATAGCTGCCGTGGACGCGGATTTATCGCTCTTAGTATCTCTATCATCCGGCAGCAACTCCGGCAGATACTCTAGGGTAACAAAAGGAGGAGAGTTTTTGGAAACCTGACACGGCAGGATAATCCTGATACGTGAAACCTGTGATCTACCCACCGAGGCGTGAAGCATAAATACCACGAACATCCAAAAAGAAATTAAAGTCACCGTTCAACACATCTCACCAGAAGTTCTCATTCACTCGGAATGGTATTAATTTATCTCGAGGTTTATCTTCCCGCACTAGATTGGCCAAAGATAGTAAAAATGGCTTCTCGACTCCAATTCGCACTTGATTCACCTTTGGCTCGTCATCGCCAGTTGTCGCCCACCGCAGCTATTCGCGTCTCCCCGATTGTCCTTGGGCCATTGAACTTCGGAGACAATTTCAAGGAAAGAATGGGCGAATGCACCAAGGAAACGGCCTTCGCCATTATGGATCACTACTACAGTCAAGGCGGCAACTTCATCGACACCGCGAACAACTACCAGCTTGGCCAGTCCGAGGAATGGGTAGGCGAATGGCTTGCGGCTCGTGGCAATCGCGACGACATTGTGCTAGCAACGAAGTACAGCAGCGCCTACATGACGCACGATAAGCAGCGGCTTCAGTCCAACTACGGTGGCAACAGCATCAAGTCACTCAAGCACTCCGTCGAAAAGTCTCTGAAAGCGCTACAGACCTCTTAGATCGACATTTTGTACCTCCACTGGTGGGACTATTTTGCCTCTATTCCAGAGGTCATGCACTCGCTTAACGATCAGGTCGTGTCTGGCAAGGTGCATTACCTGGGCATCTCGGATACCCCTGCATGGGTGGTAGCCAAGGCGAACCAATATGCGAGGCTGTCGGGCCTTCGCCAATTTGTAGTTTACCAAGGCAACTGGAACGCTTCAATCCGCGACTTCGAACGAGAAATCATCCCCATGTGCATGGATGAGGGCATGGGCATTTGTCCCTGGGGAGTCCTTAACGGTGGTCGCTTCCAGACAGAGGAGGGCTTCAAGGATCGCAAGAAGCACAACCCGGGACGGCAGAACACGGCATCGGAGCATGACAAGAAGGTATCGAGGGCGCTAGAAAAGGTTGCTAACGCGAAGGGCATATCTCTGACAGATGTTGCTTTGGCGTATGTGATGCACAAGGCTGCTTTTATGTTTCCCATTGTCGGCGGCAGGAAGTTGAGTCGTATTGAAGGAAACATCAAGGGGCTGGGGACCAGTCTGACAGCGGAGGATATCGAGACAATTGAGGGGTCTCATGACTTTAATCCCGGGTCTCCTCACACCTTCCTGAGTGGCACCTCGCGGTTCGGCGGTTCCCCTCGAGGCGCCTATCACCCAGGAGACGTATGGCTGACCAAGCTGATGGGCAATTTCGACTGGGTTGAGGCTCCTCAAGCCATTACCCCGAAGACCTCCTGATCAGAAGCTTTATGTACACAGTATACATCGGTAGTTCAAAAACTACAAACCATTAACATCTGTAAACCGAATGGACAATACCAAAGCTTTAGGGTGCACGTAACACAGTTGACCGAGATGATGCAGGAGGAAATCGATGTGTTGCCTGAAGACATAGCCCATCGAAGAACCTCCCCCGATCCAAGAGACCGTCGCGCCTGTGGACGACATCGCTTTGGTGAAAATGACACAGGGACTCAACACTGATCCCTCACTTGTTGCAATGAGAGTAGGAGGAAACTAAGTCTATATGGCTCAATATTAACCTGCCTCGTAATATCTGTTTTGCTTTCCATGCTGATTGAATCTCAGGTGCATGTTGACGGCTGAACATGGCGGCCAGATCGGATGGAGCCCGCGATTTGGCCCCACTCATATTCTTGAGACTGCCGATGCTGAGGTTGAGCACATTCTGAGATACTTGGATCACAGAGCTGGAAGCTTTAGATATGCGACTGGTCACATGTCTGGTCATGTTCCACGGCAAGTCGTTTGTTTCTAAAGGCATGTACGCAGCTTGGGGTTCTGACTAACAAGTACTTGTTGACACAATGAAATGAATCGACCAGGGCACAAGGAGTCGTTGTGTAGGTTTCCCCATCGGGTAAAGCCCGATTTTGGGAAAGAGTGATGGAATACAAATGAATGCGAAAGGGATAGTTATGATCATATTCTTACAGTTCTTATTCTTTCCAGATGATAGAACCCGAAAAAGTCTTGGTGTCGATTAGTCAAAGCCTTGAAAAGGACGTCTGAAGACTAAGTTATCAGGCTAAAGCGGCTTTTTGCTATGGCTTTCATGTAGGCTCTCCATCCTTCTCCCTTTCAACGCATCGCCTGGAATGAATCGTGGGTCTACCTTCTTCTTTAAGCATCGGTCGCGCCAGCCTTACCCTACTTAACTGGCTCAAGAGCTCAGAGCCAATTGAATTGACTGAGAGTTGGTCTGGAATCCTTCCATCTCTGATACACCGTTGTGGCAACCCACTCTTTCACCCTCTGATTTACAACCAACTTCCTCCGGACAATGTCGGAAGAACAGATGGTGTCTGACGGGACACGGCCAGAAGATGTCGACTGTGCCAAAAACATCAGTTCCCTGTCTCTGCGCACGGGGCTGGGGACACCTGCACTTGATGAGCTTCCTCCTGAGCTCATTTTTATGATTTGCTCCTTTCTTCGTCCGATTCGGCCAATGCATGAGGTGTTCGCAAGCAGAGCGACGTACGACTTTGGCACGGTTTACGACACGTTACAACACGATTGGCGTACGGTAGAACGTCTCTCAGTCACCAACAGACGATTGAGGCGCCGTATCGCCGACAGCGGCTGTCTTTACCGAACAATCATTGTCAAAGGCAATTCATTTTGGCGCGTCGTCTCACTTCTCTGGAGTCTGAAGAAGAATCCTGCAATTGGTCCAGCGGTACGGATGCTCTACATGGGTCTTGCCTTCGAGGTCTATCCCAAGGATGGTTCAATGCCACCGCCTCAGCAATATCACCTAGACTTCGTGTTGAAGATGGCTACAGAGTGCAATGTACAGTATCCAGCGGCATTATCATCCTCAACAGCCCCGGTCCCGAGTGACAATCTTCAATGCGAGTGGACTAGTCTCCTTGCAAGAGTCATTCTGGCCAACATGACCAACATCGAAGACATTGGCATCAAGATCATAAGCAGAGTCTTTAGAGGAATGGAGCCGCCTTCTACGTCCTTTTTCAAAGGCCTGAAACTCCCCAATCTCCGGTCTATGGCCGTGAGACTCGAAAACTGCAGCAACTGGCCTCTACTCCATCTTGGGGGAGGCCTATTGTTTTGCCATGATTTTGACCTGGTTGTAGATTTGAGTCTCGTCAAAAACCTGTATGTCGAAGCAGAGGGCCTCCCTCTATACATGAAGCTTTCACGCTCCCATTTCTCCGCCCCCCAGTTTCAAAACTTGACGAACATCACACTGAACGGATGCCCGGTTAACGAGCAGGAACTTGCGAGGATGCTCGACCATTGCACTCTTGTATCGGTCTTCAGATACATAATGTCTCACAATTCCGTCCTCGCCATACCTCCTGGTATTGTCGTTCAAGCCCTACAGCGCAGACATACGAAATCCCTCCGTACTCTATGCATTCACGTGTTTAATCGTATTTGGGGTTCGGGTGAGATCTCAACGCTTGCATCATTCAACAACCTCGAGAGCCTGTGGATTGATCTTGGATCTATCGACAACTCGAACATCCCCCATGATCTTGTGGTGGATGAGACGGCCAATGGCAATCATCCCAGCTGGTACAACCCGCAGCCCAATCACTTCTTTTTTACGCTTCCCCGCACCCTCAAGAGAACGTTTTTCTATGGGGTCTCGGAGTGGCACGAAAATTCCGTGGACTGGCTTATCAGCAATCAAGGGTGGCTGTCGTTTCCAGAACTTGAGGAAATTGCGCTACATTGCGCGGTTAATGACAGAGTGGACAGGGTGGGCTCAAGTTTCAGTCACGGAGCATCCCGGCACAGCTACATTCGGTCTTCTATGTGGCAGTAAACATTTGTACTCGCGTAAGGGCAGGAATTCGTCCGGTAAGAATTGCTCTACAAGTGCGGTATGATTGCGGGAGCTTGGGACTCATGTATGTAACCGAAAAGACTTTGTACATGATCTATGTCTTTTCCATGATACGTCTGCAGAAATCCAAAGCCTCTCTGGTATGTGTCTTGTGTTATGTTATGCCCCCCTTTGTCACGATTTGAGCTCCATCTTTGCCGTATTTGTAGGCTTCGGCGGCGTTCTCAATCCAGGAGAATGACCTTCGCTAATGGCCTTCCCGCCACGCATACCGAGTAGATCCTTGAACATCATTCGTGTAGTACGAATGACTGTACTCCGAGATTCGAAGATGGGCAAAAATACAACCATGATGACCGAAGCAAAAAGCCAGGTGATGCCGACCACAACCCATCCGGTAAAGAACTTGCAAGCGTAAGTTTGATGTACGATAAGAAGGAAGAGATGTTTACATACCTGCTTGCTAAATACATAGCCACTGCCATACAGCGGCATCGGCCAGAGTATTAGTAGAACAAGGGTCACACCAACAGTGAGCCAGCGAGCAATCTTGGCGGCACGGTCAAGCTTCTCCCTCTCATCCATATCGCTGTCGACTGCATGGGGCCTCTCAGTGATGTTCTCCAAGTCAACATTTGCAGCATCTACAATCTCGTGATCGTCTCCCTTGCGGATGTTGAGCATGCTTTGCCAATCGTACTTCTGGTGCTTGAAGGGGGGAATGAAGGTGAGAAGTGGAATGAAGACAACAGGGGAGAGTAGCGAAGTGAGATTTCCAGCCAGCATCGGAGTGTTGGCTCCAGTCGTCTCAACGCTCAGCTCGCCATACTTGATCTTTGTCGTGACTAGCCATGCCGTCATGGACAAGACGAAACCGATGATCGGACTGAAAGTCGCGGCAGCCCAAGACTGTCCTGACCATAGAAGCGTCAGAGTTGCGGGGAGAACGGCCGAGGAGATGATGACACCCATCATGAGGTACAGATAGCCCATGGAGATCCCGATGTAGTTGAACCCGGTCGCCAGACCAGCCATGACAAGGGCAAATGCGGCCATACCGATGTAATTGATGCGCATGAGTTGCTTGCCAGTTGCTGCGGGGTTGATGTACGTCTTGTAAATATCGTAAGTGCAAATTGACGAGATCGCGATGAGCTCAGAGCTGTAAGTCGACATGATGGCCATGAACTTGGGCTTGTCAGCTTATGCTCCTCAAGCGATGGCCGCTACTTACCGCGAGAATGAGGGTTGCAACAGCGCCACCCTTTCCAAGAAGAGCAACGGCAACAGTTGGGAGAACCAAACCTGCGTCGACATCGGCTGCGGGCATCCGGTTTGGGAATGAGGGCCAGATGTCGTATCTTTCCAGGGCCAGTCCAGCAAGACCCATGGTTGTCGCCGTCAACCAAGGAACGGCGAACCAACTTACTCCACTGTCACAAAGAATTAGCCTACACCCGTCCGCTCATATTGCGGTGGTCTTACCCCATGACGTATCCAGGCAGTGCGTCAACCGGGGATGCTGCAATTGCCTTGTTGTAGTATCCGTTATCGAGGAACACAGTGCCAAAGTTTCCGCACAGGTTGATGATGAAGAACTCGACTAAATGCTTGTCAGTAATCTACTGGTGTCAGCATGAATATTTGCATACCTCCACCCTGTGATCTCATAGTCAGATAACTACCGCCAGCATTGCCAGACAAGGGCCGCTCGGCAGCCAGATCGGTCAGGATTTCCCACACGCGTCCTGGCGAGCCCAAAATGTCATTCGTCGAGTACACTGCGAAAGCGAACACGAAAATAATAATGAGAATGACGAGTCCATTGATGTAGTCCGTGATGAAAGTCGCTTTGATACCGCCGAAAAGGGTGTACACCACGACGCCTGCTCACGTATGAGCACCAAGCACACCGCATGCTGCGTTTCAAATGAAGGGTGCTCACCAATGGGAAAGAGAAAGACTGAAGCAGCTACTGGAGCGCCCGTAAGATTCTGGATCACAGCTGATCCTCCGGTGAGCAGCATCGCCGTCACTGGGGTCTAGACTTAGCTCAGTGCCGCCATGATGCGTGTCACAAGGCTTACCAAGAATATTACAGAAGCAGCAAAAAACGATGTAGACGCAGTGCGTAACCGGACCATATCTCGCTTTTACAACCTCTAGGACTGTTGAGCTTGATCAGCAAACAGTGCACCGTCATTTCGCTTCCGGCGTCCTACACGTATGGGCGTTTGGCGCTCGTCTTTTCAGCTCGATTGCGAGTGTCGCAAATAGAATGATTTGAACCGTGGCTCCGGAGGCATACCAGACCGGACCAGAGACACCACTGTGTTTTCATGAGCGATGAAAATTCATGTTGAAGGAATAGGTCAAGAACGCACTACTTGTATGCGACCGCAGTGCTTTGCAGCAGGGTTGCGGCCCACGTCCAGGTTGACAGTACGGAAGACGCGACCTATTAAACATCAGCTGACTATCGCGTCGCCTGATTGCTGACCCCTTACCAATCCAGACTTGAGTGACCGACCCGCAGTTGTGAACATCTCAGAAGTCTGTAATTCATAATTGTATCTCTTCAACGCCCACGTGATGACAATCATGAGCACTCTGAGGCGATGGTTAGTTGTTGACCGACAATGATGTCAACACGCATACTTACGCGAAAAGAAATCCAAGGCCGATCATGAGGCCGTAGCTGCCATATGTCAGTCAAAGCTGGTTCGTGTGACGGGCGAGAAAGACTGTAATATGTGACGTACCCCCAGCCTTGGTGGAGAACCGGAGTCGAGTCCATGCTCTCATTAACGCTCTCTGGCGAAGGCGGCAAGAAACAGCGAGGTGTCGAAACGTGACACTGTATCAACTGAGAGCAAGAAATACCTTGCTTGTTTGCATTTACACGGTCGAAATCTTTTGCCTGCATCCGAGGACATTCGTGTCTATATACAGCCATCTCAGATTGATCCTGCACCGCCGACGGGCCAAAGCCGCTGATATCAGCCGCCACTGAAACTCAATGCAGGCGCCCCAATGCTAATGCTGGGCAAAGAGATAAACATCTTCAGCCAAGACATGCCATTCCAATCTATCGGAGTAATGGATTCACCCAAGAGATAAGGCCAGTAACAAACGACATCGTGGGGAACTGCCCAGAAGTGACCGGCCCCGTCGCCTTGAGGATCCATGGAAGTGCAGGTGCCCCACGAGGGCGGCGTGGGTGATGATCCTAAACCATATCCCCGTGGGAGTCGTTGGACCTTTTTTTCCGTGAAAGGAATAGAGCAATTTGATCCTGACCCTTGGATCATCTGGCGAGCCTCTGGAGCCATTGTGGTTCTCAAAAATGCTTGTTGCTCGCTTGCGGATCCTCACTTCCTTTGGCGAGACGTGCCCAGCAGCCGAGAGCTCAGTGTTAGACTCTCACTGGCTGGAACCCGGGCGGCCAAGGTATTAGTAGTTCTTGGACGTCAGGTCCCCTTATCAATTCCCAATCAGATACCAATTGGAGATAAGCTATCCGTTCGGCTGGGCTTCTTCTTCAAGCAGATTATGTGACAATCGCGATTCTAAAACGTAAAGATTCAACAAGCCTGGAAACACAAAGTTCTCTCCTGAAATATGAAATGATGGAAACTTGTCCGTTTGAGCGCTCAGAATGCTGGACCGCTGCTGCCCATTGCCAACACCGCCAACACCCGGCGGCTGTCCTCTCAAATTCACGAACCCGGCCAACATTATTTTCCAGAAGTGAAACTCCAAGTCAAAAGAGCTGACAAGAGTCGCATGTATTCAGAGACACAGAAGGACAAGTAGAATTGTGGTTCTTCACAGTGGATGCTTGTGATAAATCAAACCCGCGGAATCGGGCATGCAGCCATGATCGTATTTGCCGGCGGCGACTTGGCACTTGGCACTCGCCGGCGGGCAACAGCCCACATTTTCCCCAGGATTCCGCTCCGCTCGTGCTATGTATGGCACAATTCCTTTCAAATTTCAGTGTTCCGTTATGATCACATTTGGACAAGAGGGCCTCCGGAGTCGTTAAAGCAGCAGCCGGCCGATTCAATGCTGGTCCGTTCCTGCTTCTCTAATGTCGCTGTGAGATTCCGGGTTACTGACCACCGAGTAAGAGTTGTTGAGGCGTTGAATTTGGCCACAAATCAGATTGCAAACAATCTGAGTAAAAGCTCTAACCAACAAGACATGTAGACCGAGCCATGCCTTGACGAGCTGAGTGATCCGTGGCCCGAAACCTCGGTGTCTGCAACCGGGCAGGTATTCACAGTGCTCCGATCCAGGTGGGGCCGATCAAGCGGATCTAGTGGATCCCCTCCGGAACTTACTCTGGAGGGTGAGCCCAGCCTGGCTATTTGGCCTTCGTAATTAGTACGTTTCCGTGACTTCCCAGCGAGTCAATTACCACCGACGTTCTTTTGGTGAAATTGCCGTCTGGAGTGTGTGGCGACTGGTGCAAGTAGTAGTCAGTCAAGCCAATAATTTCAACGGTACCACAATCGTTAGACCTCTACGAAAGGCATGAATTCGGACTAACAACCAGCATAGCCGCAAGCACCACCATCCTCAAAACTAGATTCGTACCTCAGACAATATGCACAAGCATATAGGCCATCATCAAACTCAACAATCGGATCGACACCGAGATAGCACGCCCCTCGCTTGAGCCAGTACCACCAGTGGCCGTGGGCGTTGTCGTCGCCGACGCAGTCGCAAACTCCCCCCAACCCACCAGACTTGACACGCTCCTCGCTTGTCCCTCGTCAAGTGTGGCTTTACAACTCTCCGCTGTAGCAGTGACGCTCCTTGTAACGCCGCACGTCACCGTTTGACCCCCCATCCCTGGTATCAAATCATTCGCGAACGTAGTCGTGGAGGCATAGTCCATCATTCCTGCCAGCTCGCCGCAAATACCAGTAAGTACAGGCGCTGCCGCCGTGCCATCCGCGACCACAAACTCGAACGTCCCGCCGCCAACATGCAGCGCACTACTAGATGAATTCACAAAACCTGGATCGAACTTGCACCAAGGGCCACCTTGGAGGTTCCAGTGGAAGGTGTACGTCCCCGCCTCTAGGGGTCCAGTCGTATCGGTGATGAGGTGCGGGTTGTCTGGCCACCGAGTCGTGTTTCCGAACTGCGCAGAGATACTGTTCACGGGGAGACGGGAATCCAGGTCGGGATGCGGCTGCTTGTATGTTTCCCAGTAGAAAGTCCAGCCGTACGCGTTAGCAGTAGCGGGGTTGTGGATGGACAGAAGAACGGGGATGCCCGTAAAGTTGAGGGTGTAGGTCGCATTTTCACGGGGAAAGAGGAAATCTATTTCGACGGTCGTGTTTGGGAGGGCTGTGATGACCGGAAGTGCGGCAAGTAGCCATGTTAAGAAAGGTCTCTTCATATTCGTGGTGGTAATGAGCAGTCGAGGGGAATATAAGATGAAGCGGTGGCTTGGTGTTGAATATTCCTGGGGCGACTACGCCAGGGGCTTGAAAGATTGATCGTGGCGTTGAAAGGCCTAGATTTATGACTGGGAGGGTAGAAGTCTGGAAAGGTGGCTCGACGAGTGGGTTAACAACGGTTTAAACGTATGCGTTGTAGAGCAAATATCTTTTGAAAACGATCAGCCGCTAGTACGAGCTTTGCGCCCGGTCGAGATGGGATATGCGAGAGCATCATGCCCAGTTGAGCGATTTGGGACATTTCAAGGTCGGATGCGTCAGCACTACGGCGTTCACATGCAGGTCAAGTTGTGGCGGCGCAGTCAGGAATGAGCTTGATTGCAATGATTCCCGAACCCCTGTCTCTTGGCAATACATGGAAGATCAGGGAGCCCTCAGCTTTTCGAATCAGGCATCTGCGAGCTCCTCCCCATTTGTCGGGCTCAGTGATGTCATTTGCTTCTAGCACACATCCTACTGGTTTGGATCTAGACCATGATGCACGTCGACGATCTGGAAGATAAGGCCACTTCGGATCAAACGCCCCGTCATTGCAAGTCGCGAGTGAACCGGTAACAAAAGAAGAATTAAGCGCATGAGGCAACAAGTCGCTCAAGGTCAGTGGTAAGGCCTTTCCATAGGGAAGTTGAGAATGACCTGTGATGTCAGCATGTCAACTGTCGAGAGCAATCTCAGAGCCGTCATTGGTGCAATTAATGAAAGAAATGGATTTACCCAACGCAGCAGACATGCGAGATATTTGGTCAAACCCAAGGTATTACCCGAATAATGAATACAATAACTGTCACTGGCCTTAAGAAAGACCTTTAACGTCTTGCACCCCTATAGTGGCTTCTAGATCGTTGTGCTTTCTTGCCCGTTCCTTATTGTATGTTCGAAAGCTCCAGCTTCGACGGCCTGGACTTTCCAAATCTGGCAACACGCTCATGCCATTGGTACTCAGTGTGCCGTCTGGACTTGAACCCACATCAGCTTCTTCTTCATCTTCGTCCTCGTCGCTCTCTGTGTCTTCGTCTTCGATATCGGTCCTGTCACGCCTGAACAAACCCTTGAACTCGCCGTATGGCTTCCTCAAATCGACCTCTTTGATAATCCAAAGCATCGCCCCTGTGAAAAGAAACGCCCCGGCTGCGGTGGCCAACATGTAATAAAGGGTAGAGGTTTCTGGCGCTTGGTCCATGCTGAAGATGCTGGCCGCGAAGCCCAGCGGAACAAAGATTGTTGTGATGACGGTGAACAACTTGATGTTTTCGTCCTGTGTTTGGTTCAGTTCGCTTCGCATAAACTCCAAGTCGCCACGCATCAAGTCCAGCTCCATTTCAATGAGATTTGTGATTTTGTCTTGATTTCTCCGCAGAGTTTGAATGCTGTCGTCGTTTGATGCTAGCAATTTCAGAATGATGACTCGGTACCGACTTTCGTCGTTGAATGTCCACCGAGGCCTCTCCAATTCGCGACCCTTTTCTCGGTCGCGCCAACGATCGATGTTCGCAAGGGCCTCGGCATAGTGCCTTCCCATCCTTCGAATGGCTTTCTGAAACTCCCGGAACTCTTTGATTGTGTCGAGCAGGTCTTTGTAATGCGGTCGAGTGGCCTTGGTCCCCTTAGTCGGGCTCAACGTCTTTTGCAGCCGCTTCCTCGTCCCCATCAAGACAGATGTTGCCCATTCGAGGATTCCTCTCGTACTCTCGTTCATCCTCTGCATAATACGTTCAAACAAGATGAGCTCCAGAATTCTTCTCTGCTGCCAAGAGTTCTTCTCCACTTCAGTGATTCTGCCACCCTCGAACTGCCTTTCCAGCAAAGCCTGCACTTCTCTCTGCACTTCTTCTTGTACTCCTTCCTTCCAAGGATAGTCATCTGCACGCGATGGATTGGCTTCCAGGAAATTGCATGTCCAGTATCGATCAAAGAAGTCGCCCTTCAATCGAAAGCCTGCGGCAAACTTGCGGAGATATCTTGGTGCCTCAACCCCACTTAATGTCGTGAAGTGGAAAGTTTCGGCCTCCAACGTGTCGTCTGAAGGGGGAGCACCTGGTCGGTCGTCGTGCAGCAGGGTGTAAAATGACAAATGAAGCTCTGTTGTCCAGGTGTTCAACAAGGCTGCAGTGTCCTCGGCGAAGAAATTGTCGTAGGAATTATGCCTTTGGAAAAAGGATCTCATCTCCTGCTCGTCTCGGTCCTCTCTTGACACTACGGGAATGGTTGCTACACAAACCTCATTCTCGGAAGGGGTTGATGCGAAAAAGGCCCAAAATCTCTTCTTCGCTTCCTCGGCGGTTCTGCCCGCGTCCACTACGTTTTGAATATCCGTAGCGTTTTGCAAGACTCGCATTGGAATCTTGTTCTTTGACATTTTCGTTTTCACGGGCCGTGACTTGGGAATGTCAACGACAGCCCCAGTGAAGGTAAGATATATCAGGTCCGCAGGGATGGCCATTAGGTTACCAAGCCCCTCTCGCGCTTTCTGAATGACGGCAGCAGAAATGAAAAACGTCGGCGGATTGTAAAGCCATTCATCCTGAAGCTCCCTGATGTTGCTATGAGACAACATGTTGTTGAGAGGGATATGAGATGCCTTTTGAGAGTTGTATCGATCCCGATGTACACCGTTCCATAGATTTGGCTGTGCGATAGATTGCATGGCCAGTGTTGCGACATAATCAGGTTGAAGCGGTCTATCCCAATGATTGTCCCCAAGCTTCTTGCGCTTTCTACTGGGGTGATGTCCAAAATTCGGCGTGTGCGAATACTTCCACAAAAGATACGGTATCTCGAATGTTGTTCCCCAGAACTTGCCTCGCAAAAGCTCGTTTTCGTAACAACTGACAGGTCGGGATCTTTCATCAAGTACGCCTGGAAATATTCCATTGTCTGAAGAGAGTTCTAGCAGGGCAAAGACAACTGCATCTGGATTTGATGTCCCCATCGTCGTATTGAATGGCCTGAAATGCCCCATAACCACAGGGAGAGCTAATCTCCGAGGGTCAGTGCGGTTGATTGTATCATGGGCGTAGTGCTGAATTTGGTATTGTATCGTTCTCTCCCAAATCTCGAATTGCTTATGCAGCCCATGCTGACCATAAAATCGTGCCGGTTTGTCGAAGAGTCCCATTTCCGCGGCACGGAATAATGCCGTATCCGTAGACCGAAAGACAAATCTAGTTTTGGCGGGATTTCTCTTCACAGATAGAAGGCGTTGTTGTATGGAAGGATTTGGAGTGTCGAACATTTCGAGGATGCTCTCCTGAATATGCTTCGACGAGAACTCTGGGGATGCAGGGAGCTGTATACCCATGTCTTCGGCAGACTTCATGGCTTGCCAGATCACCGCGTGGTCTGTGAGGTAGAAGGTCCTAGTTGGCTCCGTATCATATCGAGGGAAGGCGTATAAGCCTGGGGTGTCGACTTTATGATTATAGATTTCCTGAATCCATGTACGGACAATGCGCTCAAGTGCCCCCATATCGTCGCCATCAAAATCGTCACTACTCATGTCGTAGAAGTCGCATACCTTGATGACTTGGAAAGGTGTGTCGACTAGAGACTTTTTGGAAAGAAGGTCCCCAAGTTGCCATTCCTCGATCTCGTCTCCATTAACCCAGTAATATGGACAGAAAAGCTTTCCAGATGTATTCGATGTTTTAAAGAGCCACCGTATGTGGCCCTTGCATACCCTTTTGATACGGTTCATCATTCCATGGACGTAAGATTTCGTTCCATTCGTCGTAGGTTGGTAATTAGGGTCATTTTCGTATGCCGTTAAACTGTCATATCGGGATTGGAAGTGTTTCAGGGCCAGCAATAGGATCTGAAAACAGTAACTTTGAATGTTTCGTCAGAAAGTCAACAGACTTCAGCAAATCTTTAACTCACAATGACGCCGCTGTCGACACAAAATGGCTGTCCACGTCGCCGCAGGTGAGAGCAACAGTGGGCTCTTCCTCGATCCGTGTGGAAAACACCGGAATGCTGCAGACGGACAGCACATGCTCCAAATTCTTTCTGAGACAGACATCGAGGCTGGGGTTGTTGCTGAAAATCTGAGCCTCATACGGGATTGTGGATAGATCCAACTGCTTCATGAACTTGACCGTGTCCACGGGCGTGACAGGCGACTGATCATACCCAAGTGTATACGCCACTGTGACTGACAGACGCCCATAATGATCAATGTCCTTGGAAGCTTGCTCGTCCCATTTGAGCAGGTAATCCCACCCAAGAAGGTAGTCGGCTGGCATCTCCCCAATCTGGAGAACAGGAGCCTTGACGAATTCGAAGCCACGCTCATCATTGAACGCCGCGATACTCAAGAACGCTTGATATCCATCTTCTTCCTCATGCTCTCGAAAGATACTGCCACGTTCTAGTCGTGCCGGCTTGTATCCGCTGTCATCAGTATTATTGAAGGGATTCTGACCAGGCAAGGTGATATAATCCAGGTTTCTGATCAATGAATCACCCCTTAACCGAACAATCGGCGGGCTTGGGGGTTTAGATCCGTTCCTAGTGATTTGAGAGTAATCAAATTTGAACGTCTGATAAACGGTGCCATCCAAGATGGCATATTGTAGATCAAGGTTCACATCCAGTGAGCCTATTTTAAATGCCGGCCACCTATCATGTATCAACTCTGAATAGTAGACTTGCCTATTCAGGTGGAGAACGTCGACGTAAGTGCCGATGCCCTTTTCGAAGGAGGGATCTTCAGCCCGGTAGAGGAACTGCTTGAGACGAGGAGTCACACGGAATGGCTCTTGCATGTCGGGTTCATCCGCACAGAATCCTGTCCTCTTGCCAGGGAAATGTCGCGATATCCGCAGTAATTGCCCAGATGCCCCAACGGTGGCGGTGAGCCCCTCATCGCCAAAGGAATAGTACCCCTTCTTCTTCGCACGATCCGAAGTGGAGTCAAAAGAATGGCTTGGCAGCATCTTTACGACCTGTCAAATGCCCCGATTTCGTTGGTTGGGTTCAGCGTTGGCCATCGATGCTTGCAAAGAGTTTCAAGGAAGAGGCATCGTAGATAATGATTTTTTTTCCTTCCCGTAATGATGAGGGGGTGTCAGATGCACAAAGTGCGTGTTTATCCACTCGCGCAATTCAATCCATTGGGTGGAAGATGCATCGTGTCGTACTTGGTTAGCTCCAAAAACATCCCATGGTGCGCCTGTATGCCCCAACAGGTGGACGGAGAATTGTCGAAAATGAGTTTGGTTGCTTCCAGTGAACATCACCGCCTGTGACTGTGATCAATCATGCATAAGCGAAGTGGTACAGGGGGGCAGTGTGTGCAATCGTTGCTGCAGAGTAAGATATCAAGTGAGCGAGCCACAATCCAACGTCCCCACCAAACCCACGGACGAACCGTTGGCGTTGAAATTCGGCTGTTGTACCCGGTAAGATGAGCCTGCCAGCCTGGGTTCAATCCTTGAATTGTGTGTATCAGCGATTCAAAGAGTGCAATCTGTGAACGAGGGAAGACGGAGAGCGAGCACAAGTAATCTTGTCTTCGCGCAAGAAAAAAACCGCCCAGATCATGCTTTGAGCAAATTGGCGAGCCTGACGCTGTTGCGACAGGCTACAGCTGATTGCCTGGAAGGATCGATCAAGTTCGCCGCATAAAGTGACCTGGTAAACCTTTATAATATTTATGGCAGTAGAACAGCAATGGCGAGGTTGAAAGTTTCAAAACACCTCTTGTACCTTTACCACAACAGATCACCAAATATTTCCTAGCCATCTGAAGGAACCAGACTTTGTCCCGGTCTCACTATATCGCGAGCAAACCAATGCATGTGACGGGATTCACTGACTTTTTGAATTGACATGTCATTCGCTACGGGGCAGCTGGTTTTTGATTTCTGGAATCATCGTGCTTGGCCAAGCTGGTAATAGAGGCCGAAGTGAAGCTGCACCGCAAATCATTGAGAAGAGGCCCGGCTCACTCATCTCAACAGACATAAACAACTGGACCTATTTCCTTTTTCAATCAACGACACAATTACCAGCAACATGCAGCTGTTTTATGCGATTCTTTCGGACTGCCGCGTGGCAAAGTGGGGGGGGGGGGGGGGGGGGGGGNGGGGGGGGGGGGGGGGGGGGGGGGGGGGGGGGGGGGGGGGGGGAACACGGTCGAAGCTGACGATGCGGCCTCAAACTCCGCAAAGTCATTCGTAACTTCCTGTCTTATGACTCGTGCCGTTACACCTGCCGATAACGCGACAACGACGCTAGCCGGCTGCGTGAAAAGCGCAAGTGGGCTGACGCGTTGATGACGGCTTAGCCGTGGCCAAGCATCAAGGACATCCACCGCGATTGAGTTGAGGAAGTTAGGGAGTGTGGGGATAAGCGTAAAAGATGCCAAGAATACCTAATCTAAACATGCTTAAAGAGTCTTGAAGGAAATGAAAGAAGGGATCAACCCCTTTAAAAAATGAGGAAGGCAGTCGATCCCCGTGTGGATCGGGATGTTCCCGATGACCTCGTGCTTCTCGGGTGGCCCATACGAACGTAAATATTTGTTTCAAAGAGATTGATCACGGATCTCACCGAAGCCCTCGCCTTACGATACATGTTATCACGTCATACAGAGTATTCCCAAGTGTGGATTTACTCTCTGTTTTGGCGCAGAAGATATCGTTTCCCTCGGAAAGCCTCCGTCACTCAGGACTTCATGAACACCACATTGAAAGATGGCTGACTCGAACGAAACATGCATTTCCTATCATTATATAACATCCGCAGGCTTGTGATAATCCCGACTATCAATATATCTCTGGAACTCAGCTTACTCAAGTCCTTCCTTGGATTGCTTGCTTCTTAATTGCTACTAGCTGTGCCGTTCAACGCCGTTCTTTTCATCAGCTATACAAAATGCATTTCTCGTACACCAAGTTTGCCGTTGCGTTTGCTTTGCTTTCTACTGTGTGAGTCAAGGAGGACCCACGTATCATGTTATCGAATCCTGCTCACAGGAAATGCAGCATGGCCGACCCTCACGGTAGTTGCACCTGCCACAACGGCGACAGCTACAACTGGCGCATGACCACTGTCGCATGCGCCGAGTACAACGCGAGCGAATACCCGGTACACACAAACCCTCCGCCTTAAACCCCCGAAGGAGAACACTTATTAACGTTTTTGCAGTGGGGAGGAACTTCGTATGACACTCCTTCTGGCCGCGTGAGTAAACCACAGCAAACTTCGGTAGGATTACGGGAGCAAAAGCTGAACAATCCTATAGTGCCAGAGTAACGAAGGCGGCTACATCGAGGGAGACCCGTGGGAGTTTGCGTGCAAGACCATCGCCACCAAGGGCTTCCAGTGCGCTGACGGGCGTGGAACCTGCTTTGCCGACCCGGACACGGTCGCGGGATGGTGTGATTAATGGGCAGACCGATCCATACACTGAGGCATAGCCAGATGAGAAGGGCAGTCAAGAACCGTGAAGTCCGTATGCACCGGGCTACAGAGACGAGGATTGTCTGGGAGCGGAACAGCCCGGGTGTATTTCGTGACTAGGGATTACTCAGATGTGCGAAGGCAATCGCGGACCTAGTCCAGTGTTTGCAGATAAAGGAGATGTAGTAATGCAAGAAGGACTCAGCAACTTGTGTGTTTTGTTGACTTGCCTTTGCGACAGCCTCCTACAATCCTGCCACAGGATAGGCTGTTGGATAAGACCATCACATACATGTAGATAGGCTTCAGACTTGGGTTTTGCTACCCAGGTTTTAAGTGTTCCAGAAAGAGAAAATACTTCCTAATAAGTTTCAAGGCATCAACAGATATGTTGCGTGCATTAGATAGGCTTAAGACAGAGAGCATACGGAGAACCTGCCGAACGAGGTAAAGACCGCCAATGCTACCTCAATGCTGATTAGGGCATATCTGGCACTGTTTGAGGGCTATAGGAAGGATCCGGTTGGGGATCCCGGACGGTGCGGGGCTGGCCGTGTCCCACGAAATGGAGACTCTCGGAACTAGTTCCGGGGAGCAAGCCGTCAGATCAACATCGGCGCAGATCAATCACCAGCGGATCATTGAAATGTGAAACCAACTTTTGTTCACCAAGAACGTCGCAAGATGCATTCTATTCTGCCATGCCGCGCATTAAACAAAGTCATTACATGTGCCCCTACCCTTCTCTCGGATAGATATCAATGCCTCATCATCACAAACTACGAAATATTAAAACAACTTCGAAGAACACCCCCTGCTGCGTCACCAAATCAGCAAGCCGATCTACCTCCCGAACAAGCTAATCCGGAACTTGCCCTTCTTCCCCTGCATCGAGCTGCGCCCGCTCATCGGCCTCTCGTCGTAGCTCATGATGCTCGACGCCGGGCGGCCCAGCGTCCGCGGCGGGCTGTCGTTGTACATCTGGTGCTGCTGCTGCGACGCCTGCGGGTGTATCTGCTGCTGCTGCTGCTGCTGCTGGGGTTGGGGGATCGGCACGGCATAGTCGCCCCGGAGCGCCTTCTCGACGTCGAGGTGCTGGCGCTCGTACTCGTCGTGCTTGCCCTTGGCATCGACAAACCGCTGCTCCGCCTGGCGCCGGCGCTCCTGCAGCGCGCGCAGCTCGGCGTCGAGCTGCGTCATCTGGCCCTGCGCCTCCTCCATCAGGTTGTGGTACTCGAGCATCTTGCGCTGCAGCGGCTCCAGCACGCTCTTGGAGATGGACGGGCTCTGCAGGCGCGAGATCTCGTCGCCGGCGAGGCCGAGGTTCATGCCTGCTGTAGGAGGCGAAGGAGGGCGCAGGCCGGCGGGGTTGGAGGGCGCGCGCTGCGGTTGGTGGTGCTCGCGTTCGCCGTTGTTGATGCGCGGGGAGGAGGAGGCGCCGCCGGACATTTGGAGGGCGGGGTCGGAGGCGGTGGGCGCGCCGGAGGTGGAGGACTGGCGGCGCGCGTGGCGTTCTGTGCGGCGGCGGGAGTAGCCTCCTGCTCCGGCGCCTGCTCCTGATGCTCCGGCGGCGGTGGCGGCGGCGCGGGAGGCCGGGGACCACTCGTCTTCGGGGTTGCCGGCGTAGGGGGGCAGTTGGGAGTTGACGGGCGGCGGTTGCGGGTATGAGCGGCGGTTCTGGGAGGCGTTTGCCATGGAGGGGGGGCCGCTCCGGGGGCCGGCGGCGCGGGCTTGGGTGCGCGCGCCGGCGGGCTGGGTTGTTGGGACTACTCGCTGCTGCATTGTGGAAGACATTGTCAGCGGTTGTGTGTCTTTGTCGCGGTGTTCGCGATCGCAGTGGTGGTGGTGGTTTGTGGTGTTTGTGTGAGGTAATGGATGTGTATGTGCGCGTAGGTGTGTAGGTGTGTGTTCGTCTGATGATTTTGGGGCAGCACGAGCAAGCGGGTGTGCCCGTGTTTAGGTGTGAAAGGGAGGGAGGGGAGGCGGGAGGCTGGGGGGTGCGAGCGCTGGCTCCTTGTACGAGAAAAGAGTTTGAGGAGGTAGTATGAGGTAAGAAATTCTGGAGGCTGGTGGCACGGTGCCTGTACCAGCTACCAGCTCCCAGCAGATGTTGCTTTTCCCTCGGGCTCCGTGCTCTCTCTGTTTGTTTGTGTGGGATGCTCACTGGAAGCCAAGGCAACCTAACTCACCTGTTGATGGGCCGCCTGGGCGAGGACGGCGTCGTGCAGCTCCGAGTTTGTCTGCTCGCTGGGGGCGCCGGTGGTGAAGCGAGAGTCGTCGTCGAGGGAGGGCGATCGAGGGCGGCGGTAGCGACCGTTGCCGGCGCCGTTGGTGGTGTTTCGCGGCTGGCGGTCGTTTGTCTCATACTGGCCGCCATAGTCGACAAAGTCGCCGGGGAACATGGGCGGTGATCCCTGGTGGTGGTGGTTCTGCTGCTGGATGCCCATGGCCATGATTGCGAGGAAGGCCGCCGTTTGAGCGTTGTTGGGAGTGTACAGTGGGATGAAGACGAATGAGACACTACGCTGTAACTCTCCGTCTGGGTTCTGGGTTCGGTGCCTCTTCTGTCTCTTGATGGAGGCTGGGAAAGACACGAAGCTTGATGATTAGGGGCCAACCCTGAACGATGGCGAAAAGACGTTGTACTTTTGACAGGTGCAAAACGATCGAAGATCAACAAACTGGAATGACGGGAGCTAGGAAAGAAAGAAACACAGACATTTCCTTCTTTCTCGAGCGAAGAGCCAGACTATTACATTGGCAGTATCCAAGTGGCTGGGAAAAGGCGACGGCACTAACAATTTTCGCAGCAGAGCCCACAATGGCACGACGACGATTACGTGCATTGGCCCGTTAGGTGGTGGGCTGTCACTCTGTCTGCGCTGGGCTCGGGAATGTCAGTGGCTGGGTCCCCACTAAGCGTCGCCCGTCGCCTGTAACTGGTCGGCTCCCACGCCCCGCGGGTCCCCGTCGGGAGCAGCCAAGGAGCGTCCCCCTTTTTTTCTCCCAGCCGCCCAAGTTTCAACGGCCAGGGTCCATCCTCCCACCGCGCCCTGGCCTATTAAAAGAAATGGCGGCGGGAGGAGACTGGGTGACTATTGGACTGCGGCCAATGTCAACGTCTGCTGCCGTGATTGCTGCATGCGAGATGTGTTGTTTGCCTGGTGGCTGCTTTTTTTCGTATATGTGGCTGATCGCTACTTGACGCAATTGGGTGCAGCGGTGCTTGTCTGTCCAGGGATTGTGCGATTGGCGATCCCCATCGAGCATCCCCAAATGGTTGACGATGGTGATGGCTAAAGACACATTACAGCTTCAAGACCCATTTTGGGCTGTCATGCTTTGGGCTTCAAGGGTTGCCACGTTGTTCCTGCTCAGAGGAGACGCCAATCAATGGTGACGAGCGGGGCTGGACATTGCTGAAGAAGAGCGTGTTTGATGCGAGAGATAAGAGAAAACCGCAATTGCGACAAGTCTTTGACACCGTCATGAGCAATGAAAGACGGTCTGACATCTCTCGGAAGACAACGGCCCTTGCTGCGGGTTACCCCAAGACAACACCCCAAGACACCGTGAGACAGTATGTCTTAAAATCTCCGATAAGCGAAACATGTCCACACCGAGTCCGCATGGAAGGTTGCGACATGCTGTAGGTCGACTTCGTCATGACGGTGCTGGGGATCGCGGGGTCATGGGCGGTGAGAGCAGCACACTGCCGGCACAGCACCGGGCCGGTGGAGAGATAGCGAGGACCGGAAGGCCAGTCGCCGATTCCGGTGCTTCACAACCGGAGATTTCGGAGGGTGGATCGGAGGTGGGTCCCGGCACTAGCTCTGCGCACGGGCCCTCGTCAAACCCAATTGGCCTGGGCGGTGACATTTCCGAATTTCGCGACGATAAGCTCCCTTCAGACCAACAACTTCTCACCATACAGGATCGATCAACGCCAAAATGCCAAGGAAAGCGACCACCGCCATGGGTCACAACGAGCCTCATCCTCACGGTGACGAGAAGGACACAATGACGGAGCAGGAGCGCAAGTATGAATCAACTCACATCAAATTATTCACTTTGCGACGGCTTACGAACTTTGCATAGGCGACTTCGCAACCGCCTCTCCCAGCAGGCCTTCCGGCGCAGACAGCAAGAGCGCATCCGAGAACTCAGCAACAGGGTCAACACAGACCAGAAACCCGAAGATGAGCGAGTTGCAGCTCTTCAGCAGGAGAACCGCCAGCTCCGGGCGCAATTGGTCGAGGTCCAGACAAGACTGTCTCGGCTCATGGCCAACTTGCAAGGGTTGAATGACACTGTGTCCAAGACGCTCAATGACACAGCTGCAGGTGGCGGCAAGCAACACGAGTGTCCGAGTGAGATTGAAGAAAGTCGCTTGCATCAATCGCAGAATGCCGATGCGCCTGCGCTACGGCCGATTGACATGACGTCCTTTGACACCACACTGTTTGACTTTGATGCTCACCTAGGACATCAACCTGCAGCAGGTGGGTGCTCATCTTTATCACCACGGAAACTCATTCTTACTCTCAAAAGGACAGCTAGACGATACCGGGGCGCTGCCCGAACTGATAAACGCCGCCGGCATCAGCCCTCTTTACAACCAGATCCCGAACATCTGGAGCTTCGAGTACCAAACCGGCGTGGAGCCATACCAGGCCGCCATGGCAGCAACCCAAGAGTCAAGCTTGGTCCTCAGGAAGAATTGGACGCTATCGAATTCGCCATTCTCGGACCATATCCAGCTCCTCCAACGTCTTCTAAAGAGCAAGCTGGCCGCTTCCGGATTCTCTCCCGAGGGCCAGCCCTCAATGCAAGGGTAACTAACCCATAACACCTCAGAAACACCCAAACTTGCACTTCAGCTAACCTTCCAAAGCATTTACCAACCAGTCCTCATGGTCCTATCAATGTTCAACAGCATGACTCGCCCCGACGTGATGGCCTGGTACGCCAAAACACGCTTCTTCCACATCATCGAGCTCACCGCCTGGCAACTCTACCCCTCCGCCGCCACCTTCGACAAGCTTCACCAGCGCTACCGGCCAACAGAGGCGCAGATGAAGCACCCGCACCCCCGCGTCATCGACTGGATCCCCTTCCCCTCCATCCGCGACCGCCTCATCCAGCTGCACGCCGCCAACCCCCACATCGACCAGATCTTCTGCGACGCCGTCACCGGCTACGTCGTCGAGACCACCATGTCCGACCTCGTCCGCGGCGCGCCCGACGTCACCGTCTACATCCGCGTCACCGATCTCATCACGGCCATGTCCACCACCGACGACGAGGATGCGGACGCGGCGACGACGGCAGTTACGCTCCCGGCGCCGGACGTGACGGCCCTCTTCTCGTCACCGGCGTACGCCCGCGCCGCGTTCAAGCAGCTCAACATGGACAAGGGCGCGTCGTATTACAAGATCGACCCGGCATTCTACGCGAAATACCCCGAGCTCTTCGACCACGCCAACGACCTCACCGCAACCGGCGTCCCCCTGCGCCCGAGATCCCAAAAGGTCCTCACGTACCCGCGGCCCCTCGACGCCTCAACCGTGGAGACGTACCGCAGTTTCATCGACTTCTCGCTGGACGCGTCGCAGACGATATCCTCGTGACCATCCCCCGCCAAAACGCACGTTGGACACACGGCTCTACATCAAGCTCCCTGCTCCCTGCCAAAAGATAAGACAACCCGGGATCCCCATCCGGTCCCCGCGATGCCGAACATATCCGCCACCACGCCGCAAGTAACCGTACTTTTATTTTAAAGTTTCGAGACACACGCGACATGTTCCTGTCAGTGTTTTGTTGAGCATGAGCACCGACCCACCGGGTTCCCGCACTGACTAACGTAGCAGTTAGTAACCCGCTCGGATTTTATGTCATCGGACGATAATGCGTTCCACGGCGCTCCATGCCATCAGCAACACAAAACAATCAAGGTCAACATGTATATAGAAATTCCCCCGGGAGCTGCGGGTTGAGCACAAAACCTCCCACCCTCTTTCACCATCTCCCCAATCCGCAACCGCAAACCCACAATGCCCTCCCAGTTCCCCGCGCCCACAGCGGGCCCCCGCTACAGCTTCCTCGACGACTACTCCGAAGGCGCGCACCCAGCCCTCCTCAAAGCCATCATCGCCACAAACACAACCCAAGAAACCGGCTACGGCGGCGACACCTGCTGCGAAGTCGCCCGCGGCCACATCAGGCGGCACCTCGGCCGCGCGGACGTGGGCATCTTCTTCGTCCCCAGCGGCACCTCCGCCAACGCCATCTCCATCGCCGCGTGCCTGCGCCCGCACGAGGCCGTCATCGCCGCGTCCTCAGGCCACATCGTCACGCGCGAGACGGGCGCCGTCGAGGCGTCCGGGCACAAGATCATCAACGTCCCGCCGCTCGACGGCGGCAAGCTCACGCCCGCGTCGATCCAGCGCGCCGTCGACGACAACTGGCACTTCCCGCACATGGCGAAGCCGCGGCTGGTGTACATCTCCAACGCGACCGAGATCGGGACGGTCTACTCGAAAGCGGAGCTCGCGGCGATCAAGCAAATATGCGAGGCGAACGGGCTGCTCCTCTTCCTCGACGGCGCGCGCATCGGCACCGCGCTGGCTAGCGCCGCCAACGACATGACGCTCCGCGACATCCTCGACCTCACGGACATCTTCTGGATCGGCGGCACGAAAAACGGCGCCCTCCTCGGCGAGGCCGTGGTCGTCAAGGACGCAAGGTTAGCCTCCGAGTTCGAGTTCTACGTCAAGCAGCACGGCTCGCTGCTCGCCAAGAGCCGCGTCATGGGCGCGCAGTTCGCGGAGCTGTTCCGCGAGGAGCTGTACTTCGACCTCGCGCGGCAGGCGAACCGCTGCGCGGCGGCGCTGTCGGCGGGGATTGCGGCGGCGGGGTTCGGCGTGTACGCGGTCACGGAGACGAACCAGGTATTTGCGGTGCTGCCGGTGGGCTTGATTGCGGCGCTGCAGGAGCGGTTTGTGTTTTATGTTTGGGAGAAGAGGGGTGATGGGGAGGCGGTTGTGAGGTTGCTTACGACGTGGGCGACGGAGGTTGGGGAGGTTGAGAGGTTTGTGGGCGTGGTTCAGGGGTGGGGGAAGTGAGTTGTTTGGAAGTTGTTAATTAATGTTAAGAATGATAAAAATACACAAGACTAATGCTATGATATCAACGTCCGTATCCATCGCTGGTCTTGTCTTGATTCAGGATACCTCAAAAACAACTCCATCACCAATGAAGCATGTTAATCCCACTGCAGCACCGGCACATAAGAACACCTGACCGGCCTTCTACCAACCATACGGAAAGTGTATCCTCGGAACGCAGTGTAGTAAAGTATGTCAGTGAGACCAGGGAACTCATCTGCAGCGCGCGCCATCCAAACAACACTATCGTCCCATCCGTTGGTCCTATCCGGGACACAAAAGAAAACCCTCTTTAGGGTTCGAGGCAGGCTTGCAACAAAGTGCTCCGGCTCACCAATGATCCAAGGCAGCGTGTGACAGGTTGCCGGTTGAGATGCTCCGGGACGCCTCTCACTGCCCCCGGCCACGGCGTCCAGGTCGACCCAGAGACTTTCCAGAACGTCGAATCCCCGCAGAGACTTGATCAAAGAGTTGGCGGTGGAGGATCTGGCGACGTAGTTGTTCCCGCCGACGGGCAGGAATCTGAGGCAAAGCGTCCGGAGGGTTTTGCCATGCCAGGCTACCAGAACGGCGACGACTTCAGATGGCAGAGAGAGACTGGATATCTGTCCATTGGTGACGCTGTATTTGAAGGTTGAGAGCGGCGCGCAATGACGGAGGACGACTTTTAGCCCCTGAGGAAGGAAAGTGCTGTTGCTGAGTATGAGCGTGGTGACGTTGTCCAGGACGCCCACCAAAGAGAAAAATGGATTGTATACCCATTCTGCGGTGCGCGATCCTGCGTTCATGGTGTCAATGTAGAGATGCTTGACGGGTCCCAATCTCAACAGGAAGTCCAGATCACTACTGACTAGGCCGCTATCTTTGGATCCCCTGAGAGAAATAGACCTTAGCTGAGAGAGGTTCCGGACATTGATGAACTCGCGATGGGCCTGCCCGTACTCTTTGTTCTGAGGTTTGAGTACGTCCGCGCTCATGATATCGGCGCCAAGGTCCTCTAGATTGGTCATCTGCGCCAGGACAAGCTTGACGAGAACGCCGTAGCGCCTGACAGACGCCTGCCATTTGGGCTCCCTCTCACGAGTGGCGGGAAGGCCTAAGGGCGAGATAGTGGAAAGCCTGAAGGGCGAGATAGGCGCCTCCCTAGAGCGGGGGAGAATCTCACGCCGCGCAGCTTCGGAGTCCATGCCCAAGTCTTTGATTGCCGTAAGGATGGACAGCGTGTAGTGGGGACCAAAGTCTTGCGGACCAGGATCATACCGGGAAATGCGGATGTAAAGCTGTTTGACTGCGACGGCGAGCTCCGGGGCTGACTTGAAGAGCTTCAGGAGGTTGAAGACCTCGTGGAAGGAATCACGGATGATGAGCGTACGGTAAAGGAGGCCGCGGTGCATGATGACGTTCCGGAAGTATCGGCTGGTTATGGAGAGGTTTCTGAGAGACCGCCATTCCAGCAGTAGGTCCCTGTCAATGGGGTTGTTCTCATGACTGGCCTTGGCGAAGCGGTCTCTCATCGGTTGCATCGGGCGGATGTAGTCGCATATCATTTCGAGCAACTCAGACGGTAGACTGGTGAGGCGAGCCATTTTCATGCACGCAGTTCGTATGAATTTGTGGCACTGAGGCGCTGGTACGCGATCAAATCGAATATGAAGATGGATCGCTTGAGCGGCTAGTTGTTGCTGTCATCCGGAGTCGCAATGAATAGCACGAGCGAGATGAGGACTATAGCAGCAAGGGATGATTTCTCATCTCATCCACATACCGACTTAACATAATTATATCTCATCAGCTGAGAGCAAAGGCATGTATACCAGTACCAGAAAATCGAGTACTCAAGCTTTCATGAAGTTGACGGTAAAGCCTAAAGTTACGCAATACATACAAAGCAAACTAAAATGTCTTCTTACCCCAGCTTTCTTCCGGGTACAACGTAGTGAAGAGAACATCGCTTTGATTGACCAGTTTACGAGATGAATGAATGAAAGTCTTTATTAACTGCCATCTAGCATTGGAACTTTCTTTCAGGCAGTCTCAAGGGTTTTTACGACGTTACTAGACAAACCAGCAAAGGCTTCTAAGGTAATCACCGGAAGATGTGATACTTGCGCGAAAGCCTCGGAAATCTAGTCTTTCAATGAGCTTTGACAACTCCAGTCCTGCTTCTATCAATCGCCATCATAATATTCAGCTGATGTCCTGAGAAGACTTTTACTAGAGGCCCTCAAGTCTATGGATTGCTTGACGATGGAATATTGAAAGGGGGTCCTGAATGGTTCTCCTCATCGGTTCAAAGACTCTTTCCATGTTTCCTTCGGCGGCAGTTGTCACTAGTAAAGTCAGCTATGATGATGATAGACACAGGCTTTTTCAACTCACATGCATTGGAAGATTGACAAACCGACCACAAACGTGCCGGCAAGACAGGAGAAGCCCACAGCAATCCACCCAATCGTGCCAACATACGCCACCATCCCCAGCGATAGAAACAGAAAGGCGAGAACGAGGAGAACATGAAGCATGATAGATGAGGCGATGCCCAAGATGTCCCAGTGCGTATGCCATGTGTGGTCGTTGAACCGCTCAGCCCTCTGCCGCAGAATGATGAGGACGCTTGAGCTATATCCAGCAATAGCAATGGTGAGAATGAAGCATAACCATGCCGCTGCGAGGAAACGCCGAACAGTGGCAAGGCTGAATGGCGGGGGCGCAGGTTTCCAGAGTTCCGCCGGATCTTGCATTTGACCTGCTATGATGGCAAAAGTAGAAGCGCCGAAGATTGAGATTGTTAGGACAATTGTGATGAACATCTGAAACTCCTTCACCGAGCCCTCCTCATTAGCACCAGCCACTCTGGAGATCGTTGGCTTCTTGGATATTGAAACCGCTTGGCTAGGCGTTACCGGCCTTACTGGGCTTCCATCCGCTGGAGGCGAGCTTCCAACAGGCGAGTCTAAGTTAAGAGACATTGTGTGGGGATACTGAGAGTCGTAAGAGTTCGAAGACCTATGAGTAACGAAACTCCAAAAGAAAATGAGAAATGAAAAGCTGATAGATGATCGCCCTTCGAGTAAAACAGATGAGGACAGATTTCGTCAGGTGAACTTAGATCAGGCTGGCAGTCTGCATCTGGAGGACAGAATGCAAAGGACTTTACATGTGTTTGTAAGCCGAACCCTGGAACCAATGGAATCTGTGATCAGCAGTCCGGATGGTATGTTGGTGCCACCAATCTGCAGACCTTCACAGCCGCCACATCGTCATATGCCAATGAGAGTGGGGAAATGCAGAACTGACGCAGTAAGATTTTGAGGTTTTACAGGTGAATATCAACCCCGCCATCCTCCCCAAAGTCGGCGACACCCACCCTGACCTCTCCCCATTTTCGATCTCTTCACTTCCTCTGCAAAAATCACACTTTATGACCTTGCTCGAGAATTGTATGACGTAGTTTGATCGCCATGGCAAACCTTCCAACGTTTGTCGTTCTGTTTGTTAGCGTTAGCTTTCCCCTCTCAATTCACTTTACGAGAAGCATCCTCTGACGGTTAGCAGTATTGCTTGATTGTGTTCATTTCCTTCGGCACTGCTGAAAAAGAAGGCTGGAATCACCCACGAATTGTCGCCTCCGACGAGCCTGGGACACTAGGCTTGAATCTTCTGGCAAGTCCATCAGATGCAAACATAGAGTGAGTCGATTCGCGTTATTATGGTCATCCCGGGCGGACATCTGATTCGAGATGAAGCATCGTAGTTGTTCATGGGCTTGACGGTCATTGGCGGAGGTCGTTCACCGCCGAGAATGGTGTCTTCTGGTTACAGGATCTGCTTCCGGCGTGGATACCCAGCGCGCGGGTTTACTCCTTCAGCCACGACTCAAGAACACGTGGAGGTGACATTCCCCTGACGCTTGACATTTCGGACCACGGAAGAGAACTGGTCAGCGAGCTAGCAATTATCCGACAACTCACTGAGGCATGCTGAACCCCGTCCATCCATGATCAATCCAGTACTTACTGTTTACCGCATTGTTAGACCGAAAGACGCCCAATCATTTTTATCGGTCACAGCTTGGGCGGTCTCATTGTCAAAAGTGTATGGAATCCATCACAGAACCTGCCGGAGCCCTTCCCAACTAACAGTAACTTTAACAAAGGCACTTCTGCATGCAGAAATGGGGCGATCAGGTCATCTTGAAGAGCAAAAGTTAATCAAAACGTCCACGTTCGCTGTGTTCTTCATGGGTACCCCACACCAAGGCGGAGAAGGACTCTCGATCCTTGACGCAGTAACGCGCGTGTTATCCCTTGTCTCCTACACCAACCTTGCCCTAATAGAGAAGATCAAGCCGAACTCAGATTGGCTTCTAGATATCCAAGAACGTTACAGTGCTATAAGCCGGGACTTCCGGACCATTTGTGGCTATGAGCTTCGAGAGACGTACACCACGGTTCGCGGGCGACTACTTGTGAGACCCCCAGAGATGCAAAAGTGTCACGCGAACAGGCGCTCACAAATGAAATCGATAGTTGGTCCCGAAGGCTTCTGCTATACTCTTTGCAGCGACTAACATACTGGCCCTCCCTTTCGACGCTGACCATGTAACCATGGTCAAGTTTAGTGGTGCCGACGACCCGAACTTCCAGAAGATTATCAAAAGGATTGAATTATTTTCCAGACTTGCCGTAGATGACGCGGCGAGTTTTGGCACTGTAAATGCAGGCGACAAAGGCAAGTGCCACGATAAAAAGGGCTGGGACAAAATCTATACATCCCTCTTGAACTTGGCTAACATGTCACAACATAAAGCGATCCGCGCGGACGAGATCTTATTTGAAGACAACACAGATGTCGCAACTCCTCTCGAATTCAGTCTGGGTGTAACATTTCAAGTTCGTTGGAATCGTCATTTTACGGGAAGGAACAGCACGCTACAACTGTTAAAGAGAATGCTGGCGCCGTCATCAACTCAAGATACCTTCCCGTTAGTGGTTCTCTATGGACCTGGTGGCATAGGTAAAACGCAATTAGCCCTGCAATATGCTCGCCATGGCAAAGACCACTACAGCTCAATATTCTGGATCGACGGAACGCATCCTGACACAATTGAAACCAGTGTCATAGCATGTGTGGAAAGATTGAAAGATCACTACGTATCACACGGGTTGCAAAATACTTCTCCCAGATATGGACTATTAAACGGAAGTTCGACTGCTGAGACACTTGAAAACCCATCGTCAACGGCTAGGTCCCCGATTGATCGCTTTCTCAGCTGGCTTTCGTACAGGGAGAATACACAGTGGTTGCTAATAATCGATAATGTTGATGACTTAGAAAGTGTCAACCTCCGAGACCTACTGCCCACAACTCGGTGGGGAGCAGTTTTGGTCACAAGTAGGCGCTCTGACTTGGCTATTAGCTGGGATTCAATCGAAGTTCCCGGCATGAACAAAGATGAAGCTTTTGCGCTCTTGCAACAAAACAGCAAATTGGTGTTGACGAAGGGCACGGAAGGTATGTTTCACAACAGATTTTGATGTGCATTTGCTTAATATTAATTCACTAGCAGAATGGAGAAACGGGGTGGCTCTAACTAGGAGACTAGCGTATCTCCCTCTTGCAATAAGCCAGGCTGGTGCCCACATTGCAATGCAACAATCCAAAAACCCGATTTCGACATATTTGGCGCTCTATACGAAATACCCCCGCAACATTCTAGGAAAGAGAACCGTTCATCTCGAGTGGGATAGGAGGCAAGATACAGTCCTTGCAACATGGGAGATTTCCTTTAATGAAATTAAGAAACGAATGCCTGAAGCTGCAGAAATTCTATTGCTTTGCGGCTTCTTTCCCCCCCAATTCATTGTTGCGGAATTTTATATCCGCGGCAGCTCTTTTACTGGTACGCTCTACCTGTTTAACAACGTACTCGCGTTGAAGAATCTAGCTAATCCATCTTCTAAAGAGATACAAGTTCTTGACTCACTAAGTCTCCTTCGCTCTTTCTCCCTCCTTCAATATGATCCGCACAAAAATCGGTATTCAATCCATCCCTTGATCCACTTATGGGCACGATTGCGCCTGGGTACGGAGGAACACGAGGCGATGTTACAACAAGCTCTTAGCATTCTTCATAACTATGGAAATCCGCAGGAATATCTGCAACATGAGCGGCATCTCTTCAATATTCTATCGAAAACAGAATCGCACTCCTGCGAATCCTCGCCAGAGGAGGTGGTGGGTCTCATGAGCGTGGAGCCGTATAATAATGAGCCACCCATCTTTAGCTTTTTAGATCATTTGACTGGTTGGACGCTTTGGTTGAGAGCTTACTGCAACGAAGCTGCGTGGTTTATATTCGAGGCGATCTTCGGTCAAAGTAACCGCAGGCTTTACGACTGGGAAATTATTCACAGACTGGCTAGTGGGGGCCGGCACACAGATGCTTTGTCGTGGGCTCTGTGTAACGGTATGAAGGTATTCCCGCCGAAGCATCCCCGGATTCTGGAGATTGTGGGAAACTACGCCTTCTCCATGATCGAAAACCCCTGGAACCATGAGAGAAGGGAGGATGCCCTCAGATGGTATACGTGGCTGCTCAGCGCAAGGTTCCTAGTTCTTGGCCCTATGCATCCAGCTACGGCAGGAGCATACCTTGGACTAGGAATGTCACATGACAACTGCACCATTGCAATTAGGTCCTCAACTACCGCGTTTGACATCAGATACGCTATACTCGGCAAAGACGACTTCCTCACTCAAAATGCTGACAGAGCTTTGAACGAGACGAAGAACCGATGTTTCCTCTCTGAGTGCAGCGTCCTGAATAGAGAGGCCCAGCTGCAAAAGCTCATGTCTGCTTGGAGACGAGATATGACAAGGACTGGGCTTAAGCTGCACGACAAGATACTTGACTTTGAGATTATGGAGTTTGACCCTCATGGGCCACTCGCATCGTTGCCTTTGATTGTTGAACTTCTGGAGAAGGAAGGTCGAGAATTCTTAAGATCCTGGCCGTCTTCTGTGGCACATTTCGCTGCCCATTTCAGAGTCCTCAAAGCTAGTCACGATGGCTCCAAAGTGACAGAACAACTAACTCACATATGGCAGGAGGAGCTCCAGGAAACTGGCCTTTCAATCGAGCCTATGGTTCAAATGAGTCAAATAGCATTTTATCTTGCGGCATGGTGCATGGAGGCTCGCGATGTACAGTGCGCAGAATCCTGGCTCTCGAAGCTCTATCTCGCACCTCAAGACAGAATGAGTCTTCAGTGGCACAAGAAATGCACCTGGCCTCTAGATCTCTACCCCAGGTTGTGGTTCGAATATAGTTCCCCACTCAAAGGCGACATTGAAGAGCAACTCAGTTACTGGATCGATGGGGCCTTTTGGTACTTGGCCAGCAGCATAATGGGTCAACTTGCCGGATTTCATTTGCATTTGATGTCAAACCTCAATGACGACTTCTCAATTCACATCGAAGAAGCTACCCTTCTTTTTCTCCTCCCCGGTATGAGGCAAACGGCAAGCACGGATTTGTATTTCGCAGAGTTTTTGAGCCTACTGGGAGAGTATCCTGACGATATCACCCCCGCGATGAAAGGTACCATTGAATATTGGGAATCCCGAGGGCAGCGGTGTCCTGGTATGCTTCTCCGAGATAGCATTGTGGACAATCTGTATGGCGATTCATTGAGAGATAGTATCGGAATGAGGTCTTTCAAGGATTCCAGGGTGTGGTATATGTGCTTAGCGGCTTGAAGAGAAATGCGGGGTGCCTTTTCTTCAACGTGTGCAGAAAGGAAGGAAGATAATTTATATGTAGATGGTGCTAGAGCGTACCGGCTGGGGCAGATTGAGAATTTTGTGAGCCCCTCCGGCAATTGTCTAGGTACTTTTATACTTGCAGCGAACGGGCATATAAGGTACTGACGACAGGTGACGGAATGGATTCGAAAGATGCGGCTGAGGTCAGATGTGACGTCTTATCTTAGACTCAAGGAAAAGGATAGACACAAAGAGGAAGGCGCTTGCTGCCTTTAACCTGGCTCATCTCTTTCCCTGAAGAATACGGCTCGGATTCAACGAGACGCAAACAGAGAATTGCCACCAAATATTGCCCTAGAGTACCAGACCATCGGCTTTCAAGCTTGCATCTCCAAAAGGTTCAGAGACAATGATCGTAGTTCTCAATCTTTTGAGGGAACAGTAGGGTCCATAAAAAATTTGACGATGTCATTTGGCCGCCCCAATGGGCATATCAAAGAGACGTCTTGACACCTTGTAAGCTGATGAATGCACGGCAGAGAACTGGTCCACTTACATTGGTCTGGACGCACGAGGGTCACGGCCCCAACTGCAGGATCGACGCCGTATTTGGCATAGGCTTCACCATGACCAGCATGATAGCTGTGGTCATCAACGAAAATATCTTGGACATCTAGACATGGAACCCCTTCTGTCAGCAAAAACAGATCCCTGGTGGGCACAAACATATGATGTTGTTGGACTTACTTCGCACTCCTCTATGTCCTGTGCTGGGTGTGAAGAAGCTAGGGATCTTCCTCTCATCCAGGACTTTCCGGTCAGACTTGAGCAACAATATTGGGTGAAAGCGGCTGTGAACATTGAAATCCTTGGACACCAAAGTTCCTAGAGCAGCAGCTAGGCCTGAGATAGCCTAGTATAGTCGTTAGAATGTGGACAAGTCCTTCATAGAACAGCCGTGTTCCACAACCGGTGCTCAACCTACCTGTGATAGACGAGCCTCAGCTTCTGCATTATTGATATCTCCACCAAAAACAACCACGTGCCACCGAGAATCGGACTGCAAGGCCCTGGCCAGTTGCGTAACTCGAGCATCAAAAACGCGGACTACTTGCGCGCTTGGGAATCTCATCCCCACACGCACACCCGATGCCAGCTTATCAGCCTCGCTTGGCCGAATCAGAATTGAGGGCTTGTACTCTATTGCGAGCCCGGCAGTGTACCTCCCTGATTTGATAAAATAGTCCTGAAAGTCTTCCGCAGTGACACCGTGTTCTTTCCGATACGAGGATGAAAATAGGTTGGTGAAGTGGCGATCGAACTCAATCAAGTCGTTGGCGGTTTCTTGCCGCTCGGAGACATATGTCTCCAATATCGCGGGGTCGTTCTCCATTTTTATCACAGCCGCGAGCTTCCATCCAATATTGTACCCATCCTGAAGACTCACGTTCATACCCTGGCCGGCTTTTGGCGAATGGGTGTGACATGCGTCTCCAGTTAGGAACACACGGTGATCTTTGGTGAAGTTGTCTGCGAGGCGTTGGCCGATAGAATATGCAGAGAACCACGAGGTCTCTACAATGTCCACCGTATACGGGCTGAATATCTGGTCAACCCGGTGCTTGACCTTGTCGGGTTTGACGTCGCTTGCCGCCCAACCAGGCATTTCCATGTAGAATCGGACCTTCTCGTCTCCTTCTCGTGGGATAATCACGAGGTTGCCTGCGGGAGACTGCAGCACGCACTTCTTGCGGATGTCGGGGAAGTCTGTTTTGGCAAAGACGTCCATCACGGCCCAGACGGCGTCGGTGCTATCCCCCACCATCTTGAACCCCAGTGATTTTCTGACGGAGCTGTGGGCACCGTCGCAACCCTTGCAGTACCTAGTTAGTATTCGATTAGGTGTTTTGAATGGTTGGAATCTTACCAGGGCATATTTCGCTCGATACGTGCGCTCAACACCGTTTTCCACCGCCTTGACTGTCACGCAATGAGCCTTTCGATCGCTGGCCAACTGGCTGTCTACCTCGACACTCTGGACGTCGCTGCCATACTGGATGTGAGACTGCCCAGATACGCGTTTGATGTCTTTTATCATGAGTTCGTTGATTCGGGCCCGAATATCTCGTTAGCCTTTCTGTTAAAATGTTTCGTAGAAAACTTGCTTTACTTGATTCAGAATAACATGGGGCAGCCAACTCAGCCCCGGCTCCGTGTCCGGCTCCAGGTGGGATCTCCGGATCCCGCCGTTGCCATCCGGAGTCCAAAACGCGAGCTCCAGGACATGATACGCTTCTTTCAACAAATCCTCCGATAACCCCAGACTCTCCATAATCTCTACTGTCCGGCACTGCACGCCGTCGGCTTGGCCTTGCTGGAGCGGACCCTCCCGGCGCTCGAGGATCTTGAATTTGACCCCGCAACGAGCTAGCCAGACCGCTGCGCAGAGGCCCGCTGACCCGCTACCGCAGATAAGAACGTCAACTTCTTCGTCGGGCATGGTGGTGAGTTGTGCCTAAGAATCCACAATCGAGAAAGAATATCACAAAATAGGCAATGATGCAGGGGATTTGAACACGAAGCGAGTTGACCACGATCAATTTGATCCAGTCAACGGCTCCAACGGGATGACCGGGCGATGCCGAGGGCGGGGTTAAGTCAATCTCCCCGATCGGATTGCCGTGCGGGGTGATCACTGATCGTGGCGCAACGGGTTTCTTTGTCTTTTATAGCCCCCCGCGAAGCGCTGTTAAGTGAGATTGTCGGATGATGCCAGCGAATGAGTTGTCGAACAATAGTCGCGGACGAGATCGACGTAGGAGCTCTGGTGAAGTGCCAATTGAATATGTGGGATGCTCTGCCCCCAATAAGCTCGAGTCGTTATTAAAGGCTATTATCAAGCCTTAGTGAGCCTCAAACTTCTTTAAGTTGACGACTTTTCTTCTCAATTGGCTGCGAACGTAACGCGATTTCCATTTCTCAAAACCAATGCACGAGTTTGTCTCGCCGGGCTATTTGCCACGCTTTCTACACTCTTTCGGTAATCAGTTCTGACGAATATTGAGAGTGCGGAGCCTACTCGGTAGGCATTATCTCCCTTATCGCTGTTTCCCCTGATTCTTATCACCCAATGCCTGTTATCGCGACGGCAAATCGCACACAGTCTGTTCCAATCCCTTGCTTTCCAGGAGTATTTGGACGGTTGGTCTCCTTACTTTCATGAGGTCATAGAAGCCTGATGCCCCCACAGAAGCGGATGTTATCACACGAATCCAATGCAAAGAATTCTAATATTTACTGTTGGAAACTTGGCGTCAGCACTACGTCCCCGGCAATTGATCCCTTAAACACCTTGGCGATTTATCTTGGCGATTGACAAGCCGCACTCTTGGTCGGCAAGAAGCCTTGCAACCATGCCGACAGGCACTGCAACCTGAGCATCTGTGCCTCAATTGCGGAGGGCAGGGGTGATGGCGCCAACGCCACTTTCAAATGATGATCGACCGGGGGAGACGCATTGCAGAATCGGCTTGGTCGCATAGGCCATGTTCAGCCCTTTCCCTTGCTTCGAACGTAAACTTCTCAATGCAGAAATCCCATGTCGCCGTTCTTCGGAGAAATGATCTGGAGGGATACAGTGGAGATGGAATGGCTTACAAAATGAGTGCAAAAAATCAATATTCAACAGACAAGAATGGTTGGCGTTACGTGATGAGGGGCTTAACGGCGTGTCTTGCCAACGGCCCCAACTAGTGGTAAGGTTCTTATGTTAGGTCGAATGAGGAAGGTGATAGTACTAGCTTGGGCCTTTTGTTAAGAACTGTCAGTGGGAACTGTGGAATTCGGGACCGCGGGCCAGTTCTGGGCGTTGCCCGCCAAACCCCTGTCGCGTTGCAGTGCTGCTACTGCAGAGGGGATATTACCATGACACCACGAGATGGTCTGCATACTGCTATCTGCAGGCCAAGGAAGGAAGGTAAACAGATGGACTTTTGCCCGGTGCAGCAGCGCCGCATGCATGGCAGGGCATATAAAAGCGACTTCCATGCCTCCCGGACAATGATTCATGAACTGCTCGCCATCTTGTTCTGCTTGCACTCTGCAGTGGATCAGCTCAGCCATTCGTTGTTTTCGGTCTCGTCAGACTGAATATCAGGCACAGCTATGAAGTTCTCTCTGGCTGATAGCAGCGCTGTTGTGCTTGCTCTGGCAACTCAGCTCGCCAGTGCGGCCGATTGCAATGCCGACAACTGTCTCCGCGCTCTGAGGGCCACCCAGACTCCGGGTCGCCTTGAGACTGCGCGTGCTTTCTGTGCCACTTTCACGGCTGGCACAGTTGCATCCACTGCTACTCCGGCCTTTGCCCTCGACAACTGCAAGGCCAACCAAGTCGGCGATGCTGAGGTCCGCATCTCGAGTGCCTGTTCTTGCATTGCTGCGCCGTCGACCACCACCAGCGTGGGTACTCCCACTGGGGCTGCTTGCTCTGCAGTCAGCGCCTCATGGGCCGCTCAACTCGCAGCTACAGCTACGCCCACTGTAGAGGCCAAGCTTGCCTACGACTGCATCAACTCTGCGCCTCTGAACAAGGCAGCGGCTCTGAAGTTCATCGACGAGCTGAAGCCGTATCTCGAGTGGCAGTCCGACTTGGCTTTCTTGAAGGACCCCCCTGCCGATTATTTCTTCCCGCCCCACGATCTCTTCGGCGCTCTCGACAAGGTTCGTGCCGGTATCGAGGCTGACCAGTACCCAAACGAATACTCCTGGCAACAGGACATGTTCATTAATGTCTTCGGACCCGGCCACGACGGACACTTGTACGTCTACTCGGACATCCTCACCAACGCCATTGAGTGGCAGAGACCCTATGGTCTTGTCTCGATCAGCGAGGACGGCAGCTCCACGCCGGTGATCAAGATTTACGAGGATATCATCTCCACTCCCGACACCGCGTCCGCTTTGAAGCTCATCAACGGTGTTGATGCGGTCAAGTTCATCGAGGATCTCATCTTCAAGGTCACCGGCAACCAAGATGCCGACTCTGCCTACAACTCCATGTTCTACGAGAAGGCCTATGGAGCCGTCGGAGGCACGGGTTACTTCAAGCGGGGCGGCCGTACCCGTTACGTGTACCCTGGTGAGGCCACTTCTTTCACTTTCGAGAACGGTACCTCTGTCGAGCTTTCCAACGTTGCCAGACTCAAGGGCAACTGGACCGGCGTCGTCGACGGTGCCACGTTCTTCAAGAAGTTTGCCCCCGGTGCCGTCGCCGCCAAGGAGGCCGCTCCCACCACTAGCGCCACGCCGACTAGCTCCGCCGCTCCCGCTGCCACCCCCACTGGAGTGCCCGGCTACCCTGCCCCGGTCATCATCAGCAGCGACGAGATCGTCTCTGGTTACTTCATTGACCAGCCGGGTTTCGAGGATGTCGCCGTACTGGCCATGCTCTCTTTCTCTCCCGCGGACCCTCCTGAGTTCCAGAGGGTTGTTCAGGACTTCTTCGCGGCTGCTGTCCGCGCCGGAAAGACCAAGCTCGTCGTTGATGTACAGGTTAATGGCGGTGGCTACATCTTCCAGGGCTACGATACGTAAGTGACCTCCCGTCTTTCAGGTTGATGTGCCTCAGCTTGACGAGAAGGGTGTTGCTTACATTTTTTCACAGATTCCGACAGATCTTCCCCGACATCATCCAGGAAGGCACTGGCCACTGGCGCTACTCCCCTGGCTTCAAGGCTGTGTCGGAAGTGTTCTCCAAGAACTGCGAGGGATATGACCCTGAGACAGCGTCTGACGAACTCATTCAACAGTGTGAGGCCGTTTACAACTGGGGCTACGACTTGGACAGAAACCTGGACAAGTTCACTTCCTACTCAGACAAGTTCCCTCCGGTAAGTTCTTTTCTGTACATTTAATTGGATTCCACAATGCTAACATGAACAATCGAGGCCGTGTACAAGGATGACCAGTACACAGACCTCATTCAGTGGGACTTCAACAACCCCCTGGACACCACCAACACCACCTACGGTATTGGTTACGACATCACTGGCTACGGCTCTCGCAAGAACTTCACCCGGCCCTTCGGCGGACCCGAGAATATCGTTCTCCTTTTTGACGGCTACTGCGCTTCGACTTGCACCCTCTTCTCTCAGTTCATGAAGTGGGATGCCGGAGTCAAGAGCATTGCCATGGGCGGTCGTCCTGAAGTCAAGGGCAAGATCCAGGGCGTTGGCGGAGTCAAGGGCTCGCAGAGCTACGGCTTCAGCAGCGTGTACGGCTACACGCAACTCGCAAAGGAAAACACCGAAGACCCCGCTCTGATCGCCGAGCTCGACCGCTTCACAACATACGTCACCTCCCGTTCCTCTGCCGCAGGTGTCAACGTCAAGGACGAGATTCTCCGCCAGAACTGGGACGATGGCACCCCCGCGCAGTTCATTGCCGAGTACTCTGACTGCAGACTCTTCTGGGAGGCCAGCATGCACACCGACATCACCAACCTCTGGAAGGCCGCCGCTACAGCCGCTTTCAAGGGTGGAAAGTGCGCCTTTGGCGGCATTGACTACGCCTCCACCGGATCAGCTACGAAGCGTACTGCTGAGCGCCCGGCGCCCTTCAACAGGCCTCGTATTGGTATTCCGAAGGGCGTGCCGAAGCGTGTGCCTGTCGCCAAGCGCGATGTCGACGCCCCCAAGCCGTGGACCTTTGAGGCCAACCAACTTATGGTTGCTGAGAACTAAGACGGGTCGTGTTCGACCACAAACAAGTAGTACAGTAATTTAATAATATTAGTTATTAAGAGTATCCATGGCCAAAATCGCGACTTCGCTGATAACACTTCTTGCAGCTCTGGTAAATTTGTACATGACTTGAAATAGACATTCTGAGTTTTTAAGTTGCGATGCCTTCAGATTTCCAGAACCATAGTACCCAAAACTTCATGCACGCTCCCAATTTTCTCAATCCTCCCGTTCGACAATAAGGCAACCGCATCCTGGCCCTCCCGCATGTTCTCGGCTAAGCCGCCAAGTCTGTGCGAGATGGCCATAACCGTATGTCCCTGTGCGGTGAACTCTTCGTGAATGATGCGGCCCATGGCAGCCTCGGTCTCGGGATCCAGCGAAGCTGTCGCCTCATCAAGGAGAAGAATCTTTTTTCCGGGATGTCGGCCACCCATTACATAGGCCTCAGTGCCTTCCATCGCCTTTTGGAGGATCGCTCTGGAAAGTGCAAACAGTTGTGTTTGACCGGTAGACATTTGAGGTAGAGATGACATGGGAGTATCCAGGATCTCCTTGGCCTCCGAGGGAGTAATGTCAGACTCCCCCGATTTGAAGTGAGACCATAAACCAGTCCGCTGGAGAACATCGATGATGAGGACATCGGCGAGGCCGCGCCATCCCACCATGGATATGGGCTGAAAGCGAGGGGTGTCAGTATACATGCATCGTACAAATATGCGGAATGACTTGCGGGGTTAGGTTGAAGCTGCTTACGTTGAGATTGAAGCGAAGGCTGGTTTGATCTAGAATGAAAGGGTCCTGGCAGACAGTGATGAAGCAGTCTTCTCGAATCAATGAACGTGGGACCAGGCTCAGGTCGACTCCGTCCACCTTAATACTTCCAGAACTGGCATCTAGCAGGCGGAGGAGTGCCAACAACAAAGTGCTCTTTCCGCTATGTGTGTATTGGAGTTAGCCATTCTGCTTCACTCTTATTTTCAGGGTGCCGTACCTTCCCGTGCGACCGCAGATGATGAGTTGCTGGCCACCAGAAACCTTGATTGTGACATTTTGCAGGGCAACTGCCTCAGAGCTGGAGAGTGCCGTCAGCTTGAGAACGAAAAGTTGAAGTGCCTTCGGTCGTACTTATAAGCCACTGTCATGTTATTGATCTCGACTACTCCATCTGAAGGCCATGGCAGCTTGGGAACATAGTCCTCGCCTGGTTTATCTTCTTTTGGCGTCTGTTCTGCGAGGTTCTTTAGGCGAGAGCTGTCGTGTCGTCAGCGAAATGATCAGATTGCTGCTTAACCTTATAGATTGATTTGGTTGTGTCTCATGACCAAATCAGTAGCGGACGGATGAAGTAGAGACGAAGAAAGAAATTTTAAAAACAGCTTACATCGCCCCAAGGGATACCTCTAGATTTGTGAAAGCCGACACAAAACTCAGCAGTGTCGAATTCACGACAAGCACCAAGTTTAGCGCCATGCCAATTTGTCCTGCCGTCGTTGTACCCTTCATCAAAACAGCGAAGGCGATGAGACTTGTAGCGATTGCAGCCACAATCAGGTCAAGTACAATACATAGCCAACGTTGAAGACAGAACAATATGTAAGCAGGCTTTTGCGACTTATCGAGCGATCGGATGTTGGCGTTCTCGACTTGTTTCTCCCAACCGAATGCTCGGATTGTTGCAAGACCGTCCAGCTAGCTTGACATCAGACAGCAATTTCAGAAGCGTCGTGGAGAGATGACTTGCCGACTCGAGAAAGCTAGAGTACACAGCTGATTGCGATTCAAGGTCGAGAAGTCGCAACTGTCTCGATGTACGCAAGTAGACCCGCTGCACGATGTAAATGGCCACCACAACAAGTGGGAATGCCAGTGTCATCATCTTCTGCGCGCTGAACAGCAGAGCCGTTTGCACTATCAATTTGAAGATCTCTGGTGAACCTGTTAGTGGGTGCGAGAGTAAGACTTTCAAAGGCTGCTACTTGCGGACTGTCAGGGAAAGAATAGCGGGTGGCAACTGCCGATCCACTAACTGTATATCTTGGCTGAAGCTGTGATGACTTAGCAGAGGACCCGATTCGCCTTAAGTGCCTACTCACCGGTTGAGAGTTACACCTATGTCAGTGTTTGAGAAGAAGGACAACGGTGCACTATGCCTTGTCAGTCAAGTATCGAAGCCGTCATAATGATGGAGACGGACTCAATCACGGTTCCCAGAAGTCGCCGGTGGAGCTCCATGCCGGAGTATGGAGCTATCAAGAGCCATGTCGAACTATTCCGGGATCAGCACGCTTCAAGAATGTCTAGCAATGTGACTCGTAACTCACGACATGGAACCGTTGGTGGAACACCATGCGAGAAATGAGCACAAGACGTAACCTCCGGCGTAGAACCAGGTCTCTGAATTAGGTGCTGAAGTCCATTTCTGCAGCCAGTACTGTGGAAACGTCGCAAAGAAAGCATTTCCAGCGGTGCACAGCAACAGAAGTAGAAAGTTTCGAAGCTTTACCGCTGTAATGTAATAGCCTGCAAAGAGATAGGACGTTAGATAACAAGCACTGCGTAAATGGCAAGAGACCATACCATAAAGCGAAAAGTCACCGGCCGCTCGGCTCAAGTCAGATATGCCTTCTTCTACTTTCAGCTTCTGTTTCAATACGGTCTTGTCCATCTTGACCTCTTGCACCGAGCTTTGATCATGGCTTTCGTCATTATTGAACTTGAGAATCTCTCCGGGCTTTTGAGCTAAATCATCCCAGGTGCCTTTGTAGGTCACGGAACCATTGCCGAGGATCAGCAGTTGGTCAGCCAACTTAAAGTACGAAGCTACGACTGTCAGAAGATCCTCAGAGCTTTCCACGGTGAGCTCGACTTACTCGAGGTTGTAATGATAAAGGCGGTAACCCCTGCCTTTTTGAAGTATCCTTCTGAACCGATGAGGTTGTCGACGATTTGACGTTCCGTCTTACCGTCCAGTGCGCTGAAGCTGTCATCCAGAAGCATGATGTCGCAACGCGCGTACAGAGCACGCGCAAGAGCTACGCGTTGTCTTTGTCCCCCAGATAAATTCAAACCGCGACTTCCGATCATGGTTTGGTCTCCAGTAGAGAGGGCTTCGAGGTCTTCCTTCAAGCAGCAGAGTTGGATCACCTCTTCGTACCAGCTTTGGTCCTCCGGCAGAAACCCACAAATGGCCTCCTTAAATGTGCCTCCTGGCAGCCAAGGTGACTGTGCACAGTATCCAATGCGCTTGGAAGACAATGAGATTGTTCCGCTGCTGATTGGGATCTCGCCTATCAGAGCCTTGGCCAGCGCCGACTTCCCGCACCCCACAGGACCAGAGCACATAACTAATGAGCCACGGGCAACTTCGACGTCGACGTTGCTGACAATCGGAGGCTTTGAGGCATTGGGTTGAATAACCACGCGCTCGATAACTATTGCTGGCGCAGCTTCAGTCGTTGCGTCGTCAGACTCTCTCAACAAGACTCTGCTGTCACTTCGAGGAGGCTGCAGTAGATAGTCTTGAATCCTCTGGAAGCCAGCGAGCGACCCCACAGCCTGTGGAATAATCGTCATGATCATGTTTGACGGGTGCGTCACCAATCCAAGAAGGGCTGTTGTGGTAAAGGCGGTTTCAGTATCAAGGTACTGGCCCTTTTTGTTAATACTAGCAACAATGACGAAGACCATTAGGGTAATTATGGGAGCGAAAAGACCCAAAGCATTGGCTGGTAAAGTAAGCAATTCGACCTTCTCAGTGTGTTGGACGACATACCGCTAGCGTTGTAAGCCACCATCATCCATCGGACTGCATTCCACGTAAGTATGGGTCAATGGCCGTCTATGTATAGTGTGACGAAAAACATACCACGGCTGGCCATGTGTAACTCCTGTTTTCTGAGATGTTGGACTAGCCCAGCGGCATAGTTAGTCACCCCAAGCATCTTCAAACCCTTCATCGAGGACAGCATCGAAGTTGTCATGGCAAGGCGCTTTTGCGTAGCTTCGTTCCAGTCCTTCTGCTTGCTTTGAAGGTTCTGAGCAAGATATTTACTCATGCGGGAGCAGACTTAGGAGGACATTAGTCGTTCACCGAAGCCAGACATAGGAGCTGAAAACTCACAGAAGATCATGACAAAGGGTACTACACAAGCCCAGCCAACCTGTCGGGCCAACATCACTGTACCAATCAAGACCTCAATAATCTGCGCCCAAGTTTCATGGAACTGTCGTGCGCTTTGCCCGACATTTTCTGCGTCGGTGCTCATCAACGTGATGGCCCTGGCATCATCGTAGCCTACTGATTGCTGGGTCAATGACTTGCTGTTGATGAGACCAACCAACGCTCCTCTGATCATGACCTGAAGTCGGTTCAAGCGATTAAAGTAAAGAGCGCTGGAAACCTGTCATGGAACATGAGCCTTCATTCAGTCCCACCAAAGGGCAGGAAACTCACAGCCAGGCCGATGTAAACAATTGAAGCCATGAGTATCAATTGATAGCCAGTTTGCGAAGACTCGACATATGACGAATTCAGATAGCGGATTACCGTACTGATCAAAACTGGTTGGGCATAGCGAAAGATAATGAGTGAAAGTCGAGGGATAATCGGGGCCAGGAAGTGTGACCAGAGGCTGTTAACTAAGACGCGAGGTAAGGTGATCTTGTTCTCTGGCTTGACTTCAGATGTGTCAGTGATGCCAAGTGTTGGATCCCTAGGGTCCTGACTAACCTCGCTGATCCCAACATCTCAGGGCCCGACGTCTAAGCACCTCCGATGAAAGCTCGATATGCAACGAAGGAAGACTGTCTCCAGAGAGGACGAACTTGTTCCCTCGGGCGAGGATCGGGTTGATCCACCAAAAGAAGGTTCTGCTCAGCACACCACCTACTTCTTCAGGAGATGATTGTTCGCCAGTGTTGCGCAGGATCGATGCCTTGCCTCGACTTCCAGCAAGAATGAGCACGCATTTCAGTGCCAGGTTAGGTATGCCCATATAGAGAGCATCGGTATTGTATAGTTCGCCGCTTTCAAAGGCCAACCAAAATTCGGTTGCATCACATGCCAAGGATACGAGCAGATAGATGATTGCAAGATCAGATGGTCTGACCGAGCGAGAGTGCTCCAAAAACAGCAGAGGGCAAAGTAGTATGCATGCAAAAAATGAGGCAATCGCAGCAAACTGGCCGATATCGAACTCAGTTACCAGCGAGACCCGTGTACCGCCAAGGAAAAGCTGCACCAGGGCCAGCAAGACTGCAATTATCTGCTGAGGGTAAGTCTGCATACAAGCGATCCCAACATAGGCTTAAACCCACGAGTGTCACATATCCACGATGGCCTGGTACAACTTTGATCGATTCTTGACGCAGCTTCCATAGCCGGAATGGTGATAACAGCAAGAACACAGTCGACGCTGCTGCGGATATGGCCTGAGAGTTCTGATCCATGATGGGCTCAGGTGGGCCCAGAAGGATTGAAACAAAGCGAGTGAGGAAAACAATCACGATGCGCAGATGTGTTCTTGAATGACAATTGAAGTTGGTAAGTAGGAAACGAGCTGAGACTCGGCATTTCAAGCGCTGTCTAGCAGGCACAGCAATGTTGACATCCAGGAAACCAAAGTCCCTTTAGGCGATATCGACAACGCGTCCGAAACATCCAGGGGCGAACCACCAATGAACTCGCGGGCTTCAAAGCAAGCTGCAGGGGTGGAATGTGGGATAGCTGAATACGAGCGGCGCAGCGAAGGTCAACACGGATTTCAGGGATTCAGACACCTTCCTGATTAGATTACAGCACCCTGGCTAGCTGCAGGTACTAGGAAAAGACGGCTTGTTGGTGCACAAAAGATTTAAGACATGGCGCAAGATAAGCCTGGAGATGCATCCTAGCTTATCGCTAAACCAACGATGAAGTCTTGCTGCTGAAACCATTGTGCTTACGCCCGGATTGGCACCCCTGAGCCTACCCGCGATAGCATCATCCGTAAATGTGGGGTCAAGTTTTCATAAGACCCGCGGGCACACTAGGCTGTGTTTGTGAGGCAATGAACTCTGTGCCCAGTGTGTTATCGTATCCAAACTTCTTTCTGGGATAGAACTTTACTTCGATATGCTTCTGTCAACTCTTTGCCAAGTCATCTAGCCCGACTAGGTCCTAAACTATCTCTTCACACTACTTTCCTCCATGCGCTCCTCAATTTCATGATCAACATGAGTCTCAGCAACTGCATGATTGTCCTGAGTTGCTGCCAATACCGGTTTCTAGCGAGTGGATTCCGGCTAATTCCCAAGTAAATTGACAACAAGTATCCTATAAAAGCCAGTATTGCTGGTTTCCGCCAGGTGCTTCTTCTTCGCCCGGGATGGGTAGGTCCCTAGATGTGTCAGAATGTCATGACCTTTGGTGACGCGCGAAACCGGACACTTACACTTATTTGCAAGTCGCCAAACCTAGGGAACAAGCAACGATACAAGAAGTAGACTTGGGAGTAAGGGTATGTTGACCCATTCCATTTCTTTCCCTCTTTCGAACCTCTCAGGTACCAGCTATTGCAACCGGTGTACCACACTCTATCTTGCATGTCTCTTTGCATCTGCTCGACATATTCTTCTTCTGCATCTCTCTTGACTTCAATAATGGTGCCTTTGCCATCCAGCAATGGCTTGATGATGCGCAATGAAAAGTTGATGGAATTCTCAGCGGCGATGATTGCGGAAGTATGCCCAGTGAGGGAATTGGGGCCTGATAAACCGGAGTCAGCAAATAGTGAAATGTGTAAGACGCGCCAAGAGACCTGCCTAGAAGCACAAAAAGGTTGGGAAAGTTGTTTAGGATGGTGCAATTGTACGCCTCGGCGCCGCCGAAGCTCTCCCAGTGTTGCTCGATCATCTCGCCGCCTCGCCCAATCACCTTCAACCCTCCCACCGCATTGTTCGTCACAAAGCCATTGCACATGACTATTACATCGGCTTCGATAATACCGTCCTTAGTCCTGATTCCTTCTGGTACGATTTCAAGGACCGGATCGTCCATCAGAGTCATGTTCTCCGAGTGCAAGCTCTTGAGGTATCCGGAGTCAAAAACGCGTCGTTTGCAGCCAAGCTCAAAATCGGGAATGATCTTGTCATGGTATTTCTCCGGTGCTGTTGCTCTCATGTACTTCTCAACCCGCGCCTGCACTCTCTTGCGATAGCGCGTCCCGGCATCAGTCATATAAAACCCGCGGAATGAGTCTTCTGCCCAGGCAAACATAAGAAGCCGCTGGATCCTCATGGTTCCGGGCACGCTGCCGAACACCTTCTTCATGAACGTCGTATTGGCAGAGTCGACTGATTCCATGATCCAGTGCTTCGTCCGGGTCACCTGCGTGAGGTGCTTCACCTTATCCACGATCGCTGGTATCAGCTGTGTTGCAGTGCAGCCATTGCCGAAAACGACCACCGTCTTGCCCTCAATGTCCACACTCGTATCCCACCGAGAGGAATGAAAGATGGCACCTTTGAAGTTCTCGGCTCCCGGGACATCAATTGGGTTCGGCTGCATGAGCTGCCCTGTGGCCGTGAACAGGAATTGGCACTCATGGGTGAAGATGCTGTCATCGCTGTACCGCCGAATGGTCATTCTCCAGCGTTGACGGGCTTCTGACCACTCGCATCTCTCGACGTCAACACCAAACTTCATCTTGTTTGTGAGGTTGTACTTCCTCGCAACGTGGTCCAGGTATCGCCATAATTCCTCCTGCGGCGGCATAACCCGACTCCAGTTGGGATTGGCTTCGAATGAGAAGCTGTAAAGCGCACTTGGAATATCGCAAGCACATCCTTAAGTGAACGTCAGCAATCTCTCTAGTTATTCCTCCGTGTTTTCCATACCTGGATACTGATTCACAAACCACGTTCCACCTAGCTTGCTGTTTCGTTCAAAGAACTGGATGTCGCCGATATCATACCACCGTTTCAACGTCGCGCCAAGCCCGATGCCCGCGAACCCAGTGCCCACGCAAGCGAATTGGCTATAACTAGGGACCTCACTCTTCGACATGATTTCGGTTGATCTAGAGGTCCTTTTGCATCTGTAAGCACTGTGGGATACCGGCGATGATCTAGCTCGTAGCCAAAGAGGCAGAATGGATGAGGTCAAAAAGTCAGTTTCAGAAGTCTACCAGCTTGCGTAGCAGAACCCTGCTCGGTGCGGGGACTACAAGTTATGTCGTAGTTGATTTGGTTACCTGAGCCTGAAGCGCCCATACCTCGGCTCGTGCCACGTTTCGCGCATCTTCGTCCGACAATAACCAGCACATCCGTGCGATCTTCCGCTGAAAGTCTGAACTATTGGCGGGCTTGTGAAACGGCCAGTGTTCATCGCGTGGCGGAACGACTCGCACAACTGAGCCGATGAGCGGGGGAGCTCTGACCAGGAAGGTGAGGGGAAACCGTTGCTGGGTCTGCTAGTGCAATGAATTGATTATCACTCCATTGGTCAATGGCAACGACTAGGCATCTTCCATTAGCCTCAATGGAAAAGTGTAACCGTTGGAGGACCGGAAGGTCGGAGGAATGATGAGTCGAAGGCCCCGATTAGTTCATCTCGATTTCGTCCCTGTCCCCCGCTTTACATCATCTCGGCTCAATAGCCGAGCTGAATGATTGAACTGAAGACTTGGCAGCTTGACGGCTGGTCTCTCGCAATTGGCATTCACTGAGTAGGGCTAGAGCTCACGAGATGTGGCATTTGTGAACAGAATATACATAGTTACATTTGTGCAATGCTTCGATGATTAAAGCTCCTCGTTCTTGACCCCGTTGGTCTTTGCCTTGCTAGCCTCTTCCAAGTCAAACGTGCCCGTCAAGTCATTGATCTTCTGGCGGGGGGTGTAAGGAATATCCTTTGCACTGGCGGTCGTCTCTCGCGCTAGGCGCCATATCCATTCCGGACCTGCTCTCTGTTTGATAGTGTCAGTCTTGTGCTATGTTTCCATGGTATGGGTCACAACTTACGAGTGCAGTCACCAAAGACATGATTCTGGGTAGGTAGATAGTCCCGCCGTATCCGCTGTAAAGACCGTTGACGATTGCCTCACCAACGGTATCAACGTGAAGTAGCGGCATAACGAAATGCGGTTGCCCAGGATTGAACGGAACGAGTGGTGTCCTAATAAAGCCGAAGATTCCAAGGGTTTGACGAACTTTCAGTGCTTTGTGGATGTACTTCAACTCCAGTTGTAAAGACTAAGTCCGTTAGTTGAGCACTGAACTCAGGCAGTATTCTGTCATAAACTCACCTCATGCATGGCAGTCAGTCCTGCTTTGGTTGCAGAATAATCTGCGATTCTGACGGGTGGGACCACCGAACTCATTGAACCGATGTTAACGATATGTCCATGATTCCTACGGACCATATACGGCAGGAACTCCTTCGTCAGCAAGAAGGGCGCGATGAGATTCGTCTTCACCGTAAGCTCAATGTCAGCATATGAGCCTTCCATAATTGTTGCTCCCCGCGCGATGCCGGCATTGTTGATAAGAACCGTAGGATCCCCAACCTGGGTTCGAATGAGAGTGCACAGCGTCTTCAGTGCCGCGGTATCGGTCAGGTCACACTTGAAGTAGTGAAGCTTGGAGCCCTTGGGTGGTTCCCATGATAACGGGGCCAAATCTACCACGACAATTGTCGCTTTTGGGTTTCTGGCAAAGATGTGCTTGATGATGCTTGCGCCAATGCCGCTGCTGCCGCCGGTGACAACGATGATTTCTCGGTCCCAGTCCCACTTGTTGTCCGTCACCCAGTTGTTTGCCGACCATTTGTTGAGATATTCCGTCGTCGAGAGAACAAGACTAGCGAGCGCAGCGATGTAGGCTAGCTTGCGAACATTTTCGGGTTTAACTCCGGAAATCCCAATTGCTCCGTGACCTTGCGCTGCGGCCACTGCTAGCCCGGCGGCAATTGGTATTGATAGAAACGGGTTGAGTACTGATTTCCTCACCCATTGGGCAATAACATCGACCGTAAAACCTTCTCGTGAGAAAGCCATCGTTGTAGTTCACAATTGAATCAGTATACGGAAACTGAAAATAGTCGGATGATTTTCGTCGTCCTCGTTGATGCTCCAAGTATCATCGCGGGCTACTTCTCCAGTCTTGTAGTCGAAACGATCACGTTTCAACCCAGAGCAGAAGCAACTCCAACCCCTGCAAACCATATTCCGGGAAGCTGAGCCGAGGTCCCCAAGCCGCGCCATGAGATCGAACTGGCCAATCTCTCACCGAGGATGTGCCAGAGCATGAAGTTGCAGCATCCGTGCATTGGTTCGCTGCACATCAAATGAGGGGACCATTGAGCGTTTTGCGCGGCTGGAGACGGCGCTCTAACCCAAACGGGACGATGCGATTGCTCAGATGCCACGCAGATCTAGATAGTATGCGACGGTAAACGAGTGCGAAGGTTTGTTAACGCAGCTCTGGTCCCTGGTTTATGCCTCGGTCAGGACGGTCGGTAGTTGGGTTTGACACATTTTCCCCCAAGCCCGTGCCTCTGCGGACAGACATGTCAGTGACATTCTGGGCGACACTCCTCCTGTTTCCTCAGGTCAAAACGCTTTGTTTGATTCAACCGAAGACGCGAGAAGGTCGCCCGAAATTCTGTACCGTACTGTTAGCTTACTCTTTGCTGCCTATTTGCCCACATTTCCCTCCCACTGGCTTGGGTAGGCGAAGCTTCTGTTTGACACCAGACGAACCCAAATCACCACTTCCAATTGCAGCTCGTTGACGCGTTTTCGAGAGCCAGTCATTGAAGATGTCTGCACGATCGTCTAGGCCCCAACTATCGCTTGGGGAAATGCGAGATCTGCTCTTGCGGCTTTTGTTCCGAGGTATGCTTTCGTGATGAATTTACGATGAACTTGAGTTGACAATCTGGACTCGTAGCCCCATTCCAGCTGGTTTGGAACTTTTGCTATGGTCTACCATTCGCAATCGCGAGAGGCATGTCCCTCCGCCTCTTCGCCTTCTGCGCGTTTTATCGCTTCGTACTTGGGTCCATGAAAGCCCGGGAAATCCAGTTCTTGCAGCCGCCTACTCTCAAGACGTACGAGACTTGGATCGAGAAGAAGCGCCTTGCTAATCCACAGCTTGCTGAAAAGCTGAAGCGAGATGTCGAGATGCTTCCGGCGAATGACGGCTCAATCATGTGGCTCGGTAACCGCAAGAAAGCGAAGAAATTCGTGCTCTTCTTTCACGGGGGCGGCTACGTCGTTCCGCTACTCCCTGGTCACGTCGAGTGGTGTTGGGAGGCATACGTCGCCGGCGGTCCAGGAGAGAAGGCGGAAGTGGCGGTGGCTATCCTTCAGTACACTCTTGTGCCCGAAGCGAGGTATCCCACCCAGCTCCGCCAGGGCGTCGCTGCCCTTAACCACCTGCTGCAATCTGGCGTCAGGCCAGACAATCTTATCATCGGCGGTGACTCGGCGGGAGGCAACTTGGCTCTTTTGGTCGCCCGCCACCTTTGTCTTCCAGCACAGTTGGAGATCGCACCAGTCAACCTCAGCGGACGACTCGCTGGCGTGTTCCTCGTCTCACCGTGGCTCACAAGCAAGACTACAACGCCGTCCTTCCAGGAGAACAACTACGTGGACATGCTCACGACGACATGCATGCATGGTGCGACCGCCGAGCTGCTTCACCCCCGTTTCCCTGCCAAGAGCAAGTCCGATGAGAGCGACTTGGCTTTGGCTATGCCCATGGATGGAGATCTCGGATGGGTTGATGACATCTCCAACGCAACGAAGAGTCTGTACATTACTGGAGGTCAGCAGGAGGCATTCAGGGACGACATTCGATCGTTTTCGGAGTATGTAAGCTGCAGTAAGAATGATCTAGACCTGCTTGTTGAGTTATCAGAGCATGAGGGTCATGATTTCATCTTACTCGAAGGGAACATCAGGCGTGTTGGGGATGCGACCAAGAGAATGAGGAACTGGGCTGCTGCACAACTTAGCTAGGCTGACCATCGAGACGGCGGATGTACTGCACGATTCGAAGACACTTTTTTGCTTTCAGAAAACAAGAAGTCAGACTGCATAATGATAAATTACATGCCTATGCCATGGTCATTTCTATCTATTTAAGAGGCGATGATGATTTTTGAATGGATCCAAGCTTGTTATAAACAAGCCCACCATTCAGATATGTCGCTATTGTCTCAGCTATCCTCATCCCATTCACTCATCCATAGAAATCAACGATTTTTTCAAGTAAGTAGTTCACTTCTCTTCAAAGGGCCGCCCTTTTTTCTCTACTCCAGCTTTGGCACATAGTCGCTCTCCTTGAGAACTTTCCACGTTTCTGGATCCTTGTCCTTCTTCACGCGAATTGCTTCGTCTTCAAAAGTAGATTCGTAACATGAAATACCTTCGCTCAACAACCACTTCAACACCTTTGCATTGCGGTTTCGCAGTAACAACAGTGCTAGTGTGTTGCGCATATTGTTGGTATAATTCGGTCTTTTCTCATGCAACTCCTCCAGAGCCCTCGCCAATGAATCAACCTCATTACGATTTGCAAACACGGCAAGGAATGGCGAAATATCTACCAAATATGAGACCTTTTTACTCATGTGGAAACATGGCATTCGACTACATACCATCGACAGGTTCGAGCGAACGATTGACCCAGCAGTTGATCTCATACGCCACAGGGTCGATCTCATGTAGTTCTTCGTGAACCTCTTCATCTCCAGGATGCTCTAATCGGTCATCAAAAGATGTTGAAACAGATAAGAGAAACACTGTTGTTCCGTGATTGTCTCGCTGCGTCTTTTTCGAGCTGCAGGAACGTAGCAGAGGGTCTTTGCTTCTGTCGCCATGCCGGGGTTCGAAGAGGTGGGCCGCCGGGTGGGGCCGTGTTTTTTTGAAGGGATTCAAAGTGTCAATGAACCACGCCTACTTTGGTCTACTTAGATATCATGATCGAAAAAAATGAAGAAAGTCATTCTGGGACGTCTTTATACTACGTTCAACACTTCTTGATATGAGATTTAAGTCAAAAATCCCATATGAGGTGAGATCGATTGCGCATCATATCTGAAAGGCCCCTGTCAAACCAGCCTATCAAACCCTTGTCAGTTAGCTGGATGAACCGCCGGTTGGTCGACTGGTTTAGGGAAAAGATATCTGCATGTTCCCGCGCCACCCTCTGAAAATAGACCACCATTCACCAATAGTTTCGCCGAGCCAGGCTTGCTAGACCGTGGTCCAGAGCGGGGTGTACAACACAGCAAACGCGTCGCGTGAAGTTCAGACAGGCAGCAAACAGTGCATCTTGTCACGATCGCCGCCAAAATAGCGGTAGACGGTTTAACTCTCACTCCTTCAACTGTGTCACATTTATTTCTGCGGTCCAAGGCCTTTGCCTCATCCGCCTTTATCGTCGGTTCAAGTCAATTAGCCAACAACACTATGCTCCTCCCAACAAACCACCACCCTCTCAACTGCACGTACAATCGTGACGATGTGGTCGCGGGGCTCACGGAATATTACCGCATCCTCACCCTCTCGGCATACATCCCAGCCTCATACATCGACTTCCCTCCCCCAGGCGGCTGGACCGATGCCGAGCTCGACGTCGGCGCCCTTCGCGCCTTGAGACGCTCCGAGACTGTCATCGACTTGCTGCGCCATCTCCCCTACCCGAGACCGATGCACGACGGACCGCGTCCAGGTCCTTGGAACGTCGCACCACACTCCAAAGCCGTGCGCTACCTCCGTCACATGGGCGACTTCACCCAGTGGTCCGACCGCGGCGACGCGGGCCTTCTCGAGCTCGCTGCTCTGCCGATGAGCTCGACCCCAGCTGGGCCGATGGACCTGCCTCCGGACGTCGTCGCACTCACTCACGGCGAGCGCTGGGGATCGACGACCTCGGTTCCGTACTGGTGGATCGTGGACTGCACTCGGGGAATTTTGTCCCCGTTCAGAGAAAAGATTTACGAGGTCGGCAAGGTACCGCGTAACAAGCCGTGGCGGACCGTTCAGTCGTACTCTGTGGTTGATTACTTCGCCCAGCTGATTCCAGAGCTGGGCCAGAACCTCATCCCGCTGCCGCCCACCGAGGAGCTGGACGCCGAGGTTCTCGGTCCGAGGGACAATCTTGCCGAGCCCCGGGAGATCTACCTCGCGCATGGGTGGCCGAGCCACGACTTCCGCCACGATGAGTGCATTGTCGCGCTGCAGGCCTATCGCCGTCGGGTCCAGGAGGAGGAGCGAAGGCGCATCGCGCAGGACGTTGGCGACGCGGATGATGCTGACGACGCGGATGATGATGACTTCGAAATGGATGACAGCGACGATGAAGTGGAGCACGAGGAGGGAGCTTCTGGGCTGGAAGATGCCATGGCTGATGTGGAGGTGGACGACCTGAGCGCCGAGGCGGCTGCTTTGCGCGCCGACATGTCGCCCGAGGAGCGGGAGAGATTTGACAGACTCCAACAGGGCGAGTTGCCCTTTGAGTGGGTTGATGCTGAGTAGACTGGGGAGAGCAGGATGCCAAAGGCGGAAGCATTCAACAGACGCATATCATAACGCAAGCGATTACCCATAGACTATTCGATGAGTTGCTCAATCTACTTAGACGACCTCAAATATTTGTCTCCCTCCCAGTGCTAGCATCGTAGTTCCAGTTTATCTTGCAATTTTGCTGGTGCTTGGTTAGAAGAGTCTTCGAGTTTTGTCGAAGAACATCAGGATTGATCACCGCCCCTCGGGGGTTGGTATCAACGAAGTTGTCGTAGAGCCGAGTTTGCATCTCAACTACGGGCTGGGGGCAGTAAGGAAAGTCGGATCCAAATAGAACATGCGATGGGTCTGCAGATTCAAGCAAGCCAAGTAGCTGGGCTGGACTAGTACTCAAGGCCGTATCGTAGTAGAAGCGAGCAAAGTCAGCTTCGGCCTTGTCGAAGTCGGTTGAACCCATCTCTTCGACTGAGGGTATCCTCAAGGAACCCATAACCCTATTCGCAAGGAAGGGCAGAGTGCCTCCAGCATGGGACAAAATGACGTCGACGTCGGGACAGGAATGCAGTGTTCCAGTCAAGACCAGGTCTACCGCCATGCGGGTGGTTGCCATGGGATAGTCGACGATGGGTTGCGGGAGGTTGTCCGCAATGAACTTGGGTGTCACATCGAGGGACGTTGGGTGCGTGAACACTAACGCCTTGTAGGCCTGAAGCTTCTGCCAGATCGGCTTGAAGGATGGGTGGCCGAGCAGTCTGTCACCGTAAGACGTGAAGACTGTAACGCCGAAACAGAGCTTCTGTTCCCCGAAAAGAAAGTCGAGCTCAGCGAGAGTGCCTTCGACATCTTGCCAATCTGGAAGCGCCCCGAAGAACCCGAGTCTATGCTCGGATTTTGGGTTCGTAGTAAGGTTGCCCAGATGCTGGTTCAGATCTCGAGTCAGCTTGCGGCCCGCGGCACCTGTGCCAGCGATGGAGGGTCCCGGCGCCGACACTGACAATATCGCTATGGAAAAGATCTTAGTATGTGAATTAAGGTATATTCAGTTGGCTTAATTACCGATGGATGTGTTAATTGTGTTCATTGAGCTGAAGGTAGCTTCCAAGGACCAATCTGGCGAGGGGAAGCCTGATGGATCGCCCCCGGCCGCTTCAACAGCAGCGGCGTACGCAGGAGGAAGAGCGTGAATGTGAGTATCGATTCTGCCCATGCTTCTGAGGATTCAAACTTGATTATTGTGTCCTTAGGCTGGTATTCTCTAATGGGATCTCATCATAAGTCGATGATATATGAAGAGACCTTTGTTTCTCACGACATCGGAGGACGGAGAGTCGGTGCCGGCGTCGGTGTCTGTAAGCTCCGTTTCGCCGCGACAGCTGATGTAAAAATGAAGTCATCACCTCGTCAAAGACCAACTTCTCGTTGTCAATCAGCTGAGCCAACCGTTTTCGTCGTAGCGGTCAAAGGCTACTCCGTGCCGAACTCCGATCAGAGAGATGGTTTCGGTGTCGAAGATACACATACGGCTTCGGCCCCACTCGGATACGGACTACCACATCCAGGAGCTGATATTCGGTGCCACCCGTTGGAGAGGTGGAGAGGAACCATGAACAGGGGCTGGGCTCAACTATCCGTTGGCAGCGGACGAATAAGTACGCCGGACGTACCCCTCCTCGTTGGGTGCGATAGCTTCTCGAAGGTAAGTTACCTTTGTCTCACGTAGAGGCATTTCAGACGCGATGAGCAACCGGAGCTTGGACATGCCGAGAAAACATCTTGTCCATCCTTACACAACTTGGCATCCTTCTTCTAACGTTAAAAGACACAACCACTGGAGGAATTGACCACTAAGCCACTTCTCCTACTAATTGGTCGCGAAAGAGATGTGCACATTGCTCCTACTTGCTACTACCCCTCTTTGGGCCTGCCGATGTCATCATCTACTTCTTGTATTCGCCCACCTCAGCCTGTTTCCTATTCTCGTTTCGTTTCGTCCTTTTTGTCCTTTGCTTACTGCGAGGTCTCTAATCCCCATTTTACTCTTTGCATTGTTAGCCGCGCAAAGTCCCCCATCGATTCGCAGCATCTCACCCGAAATACCATCAAAAGATCTGTCAGCGGCCGGTGACGCGACAGCTGTACATAACTAGAGGCCATAAATCTCACCAGGCAACGCTGTCCACAAATAGCTTGCCGGTTTTCTAGTACCGGTCTAGGCAATCAGGACATGGAAGGAGAAACTGAAATGAGGGAGGAGAACGGCACGTACGCGGTGATTGCCACGGGCGTTGACCCGACTTCCGCACATCGGGGGCGTTACATGATGCAACGAACGCGTAGTTCTCCCTGGGAGGAGGTGGAATGTAGGTTCGCAAAGGAAAGGAGAGAGAGTCGGCTGAGCGATGGGGAGACTAAGTGTGGTTGGTGGAGTTGCGAAGAAGGCGTGTGTGGGAGCCTCAGAATGAGGCAGCTATACACAATGTCACGGCATTCCGGGAAGAGGCAGGACGCCTATTCAAAAATCCTGGGAATGAACAGAATGTACGTCACGCCGGAGCGCGCGTCGGTGAGTGGAATCGAGACGAAGCACCGGATAACTTCCCAGGCGGGGTAACAGCCTATCCAGGGGAGCAGGTCGCCTTGCTTGCCGCGCGAGCTATAACGCATCGAGATTGGTCACGCAGCTTCATGTACGACCGTAATAGGCACCTACGCAGGGAAAAGACTGCTGCTTGTAGAGATGAGGAAAGGACTGCCACAGCCACGGGACCAGATACCGCTCAACGAACACACCAATGCACGGACCGTTGAATGCGTGGCGATAAACTTCTGGATTTGGATGATGATGAAGTTGTTGAGGCTCACGGGCAGCCCTATGTGGCTCTCAGCTGCGTATGGAGCCAGTGGAAGCCTGAATTAATGACTGCAGTCAGGGAAGCAGTCGTAAGGGATTGCAAACACCTCTGGATGGATCAAAGATGTTTTGACCAGTCTTGTGGGGAGCACAAAGGCCAACAGATTCCAGCGATGAGAGAAAAGTACAGAGTAGCCCAAAGGACGCTTGCGCTTATTCCCGAAATTGAGAGGCAAGTGCCAAAAGATTTGCTGGAAACAGACGGGCCCTGGGACTAGGAGTACTTCAGGGAACATGTGATGGAGCTGGAGCAAAACTTGATGTCCTCTGAGTGGATGGGCAGAGTATGGACCTGGCAAGAGGCGATGGCATCCAGCTGCCTGGAATTCTTGACGGGGACAGGACAAGTACTGTCTGCCAGTAGAGTGGCAACCCTGGTATCCTTTGAGGATAACTCACCAGTAACCAGATATGCCATTATGGACCCAGTGCATATGGCGACAGGCACAGTCTCCTTGCCAGTGAGCATCACAACCGAAGGCATGTTCATGTACAATACAGGGTATTCTGCGTGCGACACCACAGAACACGCGGAGTGGATGGGCACAGAGGCGTGGAGTGACGAAATAACAGTCGGGGATGCCTTCAGGGCCACAGCCCACCGAGAGGCCGCCTTGGAGAACGACTCATTGTACGGAGTACTGGGACTCCTTGATCCACTCAATACGGTCAAAGTGGATTACACTATGAGTTTGGCTGACGTGCTGGCGGGACTGGCAGCCTCCGTGGGAGTGGACACAGACATACTGCTCTCCCGGCGCTCGTCTAAGGAAGAAGGCAGATGCTGGATGCCGGCGACTAAAGAAACGTCCAACTGCGTCGGCTCTTCATGGCACAAGAAACCCGTCGCTAAACGCTATCTATCACCGAGAGGCTCATTGATGTGCAACGTCCTGGTCATGAAAGTCGCTGGAAGAAATGGTGACACGGTTTGGACTGACAAAGGGCAAATTTTGAGCGTGGAACGTGGAATGGCCAAAGCCGGCCTGGAGGCGGGAGACTACTTGCTAAATGTAGCCTACGACTGGACTACTGGTCTTCACAAGTGGATTCTATGCCGAGAGCTCAGTCGTTTGCACAAACTAGATGCATGGGTACTCTCCACCGAAGGCCACTTTGATGCTGAATGGCAGCACGTCGACATAGGTTGGAGTTCAACTGACGGTTTGAAGAAGCTACAGCACGGAGACGTCTAGGCTCATGTGTAGGCGTGGAGGCTGAGCTGCACACAGCCCATGGACCAGGGAGCAGGGCCACGATGAATTTGGGAGGAAAGCCGTTGCCATGGGAGAATATTCCCTGTGCCACATTGGATTCCCATACATTTATCCGTTTAGAGGTCATGAGTTTAGCTACAACCGCGGTTTTCAGCCTTCCAAGCTGCAGCTGGTTTGTCCAGAGAACCACAGTATATGATTTTGGTATTCAAGAATCGGATCGAGAAGAATTTATTAAACTACCCACGCAAGTCTGTCTCTAGGGGTCACGACGGCGTGGAAGAAAGTGGCAGAAGAGATTGTAAGATGCTAATACGGATGGACAATGCCTGCACTACATGTACAAAGCTGACGGAGTGGGAGTCAGCGAACACCTGCTATCGATCGGTGTTTACGCAATGAAGAAAGGTAACACGCTCTACTCTCGGCTGTCCTCAGTCGACTTTTCACTGTCTTCGGGTTTTGAGGTACAGAAAGCCATTGGGATGTTCATAGTGATGACTGTGCAGGGCGACTTGTGTTGTCTTTACGTCTCTTGAAAGAAGTTCTCCACACAGGCCAGATTACTCTCTCGTTTACAAAACCGAGCAGACACCCAGAAAGGCAGATTCCAGAATAGTTCGATCATCTCTCAATCCCAACTTTTGTGCCGCCCGTGCGCCGCAATTCAACGGCGAGGGGAGAAGCCAATGACACATGTCAGTTGGTCCGTGGGGGGACCCGTCTGAGTTTCGGAACTCCCGTCTTAACCTTACTTTTTATTGAGAAAAACATCGATGGTTCTTGTAGGTCTCTGTGTAGGCGATCAAAAGCTTTGGATCCTGAGTTAACGGCGCACCTAATCGTTCCCCGGAGCTTGCAGACGGGGAGCTAAGCCGACGGATAACTCGGGGAGACGGGCCGATCGCTTGGCAAGGCCCTAGCCGGAAACAAAGACAACGTCGGACATTTGCCCCGACTGCATGGCCGCAGACGTGGGAAAACCTTGCGAACATGCCACGCACATAAGGTCTTGCATCTCGGGTCTCGGGTCCGCTCGCGGTAATCGCGCTGCTTGTGTCTGCTAACCCCGGACGGCCAAGCCCGGTCTGATCGTAGAAAATCTGCCTGCCAAAGTTCAACGGTCGCGCTAATGTCGGCAGAAGGACCTCGCGAGTGGCCGTTGTGACTCAGTCAGGCCGACTCCCCGACGGCAAAGGATTCCGGTTCAACGTTAAAGATCGACAACTTCGCGTCCCCGAAAACCTTTCGACTAGCGTCGCTCAGATACAGCGGTGGCGCCTAGCAAAATGACATTCATAGGCCTGTCTGAGTCTAGTTCGTTAACCTAATATTGAATACAAGGCAACGTGGAACGCCTGTCATGTGAGAGGAACCTGATGCCCTGCAGTAGCTGCAACATCGCGACATGGTCCTGCCATGCACATTCACATAAATACAGCTATCGCCATTTGTAAAATAGAGCTGTTGGTACAATATGCTACATTGAAAACTTGGCAAGTGCCCAATCCAAGACCCTTGCACAGTCACTTATTCCTCCCTCCTCGTATTCCCAGCAATTTGATAGGATCTCCTTCTGTGCTAGGATGGTTCTCTTCCAGTTCTGAGGATACACAACCACTGTAGGCATGTTTAAAGAAGGGATGGATTGCGCCCGCTCTGCCGCGGTCAAAATCAAAGAACAAGTGACAAACCCCCTGAGCTGCAGCCAGAGGCCATGATGAGGAGTGGAAGATGTGGCTTGGATCCTGAATAAGCAATACTGAAGACCCCTTGAAGCGATTTCAGCTACCCTGGTGACCATGTGCTCCGACACTGTGATGCCAATCGAAATAGTCGAAGCTAGCCTTACAAACGGTCGACAAAGCAACTCTCGCATTGTCAGATAGCGTCCGCGGAGCATTTGACATAGATCATCCGCCAGTGGCGCAATCTCACCGTTGGGTATTTGGAATGAGATCGGAGGAGGCAAAGACTCGTACCAATCCGTCAACTGGGCATCGAATACCTCAAATACTTCAAGCATCCGATCTATGCCATGCTCTGTGGGGTGTGGAGGGGAACGTCGCTGGGCTTTCACAATGCGATTCATCAGCTGTCTCGCGGCAATCTCCGCGAGATAGTAGTACCAGGATCTTTGCTCCATCATCAGTGCCTTGTTGTCTAGATTCATCACCCCCAGCGTTGGTGGAGCGGGAAAGTTGTAGGGATAATCTATGCCGGCAAGAATCGAGCCCGGCAGAGAAAGCTCAAAAGCAAGTTCTCTGCAATCGTGTCAGCTGGCTGGAAATGTGATAGAGATACGAGATACGGGGATCAAGAACTCACGATTCAGACTTGTAACATGTGAAGTACAGTATCTGTTCTAGCGAGAGAGATTGAGGGTACTCAGGGGTTTCTGCCTTTCCGGGCAAGGTCAATCTGAGCACACAAGTCAGCCTCGTGCGACTCCGTACCGAAGAGATCGTAGCCTTACTTGCTGGTGAGCGAGGTGGTGTACCATGTGTTGCTCGCCATGCTGAAGCATTTCCATGCTTGTAAGGGATCCATGTTGTACATGTGCCAAATGCTGAATCAGTCAGCCCTGTCTATCCTATTTGTCAAACATACGGGAGCGACCGCTTACCCTGCAAGACACAGACACTGTACTGACTCCCACCCGGGCTGGCCCATGGAAAAGCCAAGACGTTTCTCCGCAACAGACCAGTACCGCGAGGCGAGATGACGGTTGGGCTCAACCGAGTAGCCACGTGGTGTCCCGCTCGGTGTCCTCTGCCCCGGCCGTTGGGATATAGCTCCCAGGGCGCATGTAAGCGCGACTAAGCACGTAGCAGCTGACCAGTCAGGCCCGTTCTCGGCGACTTGCTTCAACATCTGGCGAAGCATAGACACGTCGATGACGGGATTCATGGGATGAACGTTAGCCAGAAACAGGTCAACGAGTCTAGAAAGCTCATAGAACTCCATCGCTGGTGGGGATCTCGGGGAGAACACCTCCCCACGTGGAGAGGCATGGCTGAAGGGGTCTATCGCGAAAGGCACCGGTTTGGGAAATATCGGCCACTCTAACACCGAGTCGAGGCCAGCGGTTTCCGAAAGCGAAGGGTGGCCCGCTTTCTTAGTTCCATCATGGCCGTTGCCGTCTTGGCCCGTGAAAAGGTTGAAATTGTCTTGCCGTCCGCTGGGCGCTGTTGGGCTGTCTGGGTAGTCGCTAGAGTCACGAGACAAGTCTCGACTCAGCTGAGGAATGGCACGAAAGTTCTCCTCGTTCCGTTGGATCAGGTTGGTTAAGTTCTCTATTGCCCCAAGCAGCCGTGGCCCAACGCCTTGGCATCTGGTGACCAGCCGCGACCCATTAGTACCACACTGATATATGTCATCTGCGCGATGCCAAATATGGCACAATGGCACTGGACAGAGTTTGTAGGCCATGCTAGTGTAGGGTCAACTTACAACGACATTGCCGGGGCCGAGTCCTCGATATAAGTGCATGTTGCGCCGACCCTCCTACAGTAGCCGCATATTGGGCGCTCGTTATCGCACTTTGTCTTGCGTCCGCGACAAGTCTGGCAGGCGGATGACGCGCGCGACCACGTTCTCTGCTTCGGGATCCTGGGATCAGCTTGCTCGGCGTGCGCCTGATCGACGCCAGGACGAGGCACGGGAGGAGAGCCGCCGCCGGACATATGTCCCATGTCGGGGAGACCCCGACCGGCATCCATTCTCATCCTCTTCGGCGGTGGGTCCATTGCGACGATAGATGGCCGGTTGGAACCTCGTCTTTCGGAAGCATCTCGTGTCGGGGAGAGGAGCGACGGAAGTTGAGGGGGATGGGGATCTCGAGTTTAATTATCATGCAGCACTGATCCCCCGACTCCCCCGCAGAACCGTTTCAGAACCCGCTTCGCAGAGGCCTCGGGGAGCTTTTTGGGTTCGAGAATCTCTGCCGTGACTCGCTAGTGTCGATGTCATAGAGTCTGACCGCACGCGAAAGAGTGTTCGGGGACCGTCCCCGGGGAACGTTCCGGAAAACGTGTATGCTGGGGGCGGCTACCCGTCGGTGAAGGTCACCTGACTCTGAAGCTTCACCATCTCTCACCGATGATCCGCAGAATGCGTGCGGCGTTAACAAATGACTTAAGTCCTAGCCTCCTTGGAGTTTATCTCAGCCCACCTGTCATCCGACTCCCGAGTTCCGTCAAAGAACCCGTATTCCCGGGACCGCAGGCTAGCCACTAAATCAAGCTAGCCAACGCGCCAAGTTGGGGAAGAATCCACCACCCGTGGGGAAAATTGCAGATGGTTTGGGGGACGGCTGGGGTAGACAAGGGCGGTGGATGTAGCGGACACTGTTCCGTTCCCCAGTCATAATCACGACTTGACTGAGTTTGCATATATCTCGCGTCTTCCTTCTCCAACCTCTGATGAGCCTTGGAATGGTCCTTGGTTCGGCGACTTCACTGATCCAAAAGTCGATTGCAACGGAGTTCCATTACAATCTCAGTGTAGCCCGACCACATTCAAGATGGGCTTTCTCAAGTCAAAGACTACAAAGAAGACGGCCGAACAGGCCGTCGGCTCTGACTTGACAGCAGTACGTTTCTAGTCATTGCTCCCCTCGACACCCGAAACTCCACCAGATGACATGCCTCAACTCTCTGCGATGACGAACTCTAACATCAGCTCAAGGTCCTGCCCGAAAACCCTGCACCATGGTACCGCACCAAGCACTTGCTTCTGCTCAACCTGACCCTTCTGGTTCCGATGTTTTCGTCTGCCTCGGTGGGCTTCGACGGTGCCATGATGAACGGGCTGCAGACGATTGAGCAATGGCGCGGCTACTTTGGTCATCCAAGCGCACCGATCCTCGGCACGATGAACGCCGTGTACCCCATCGGCAAGATCATGGGTCTGGTTCCTGTAACATGGCTGGCGGACAAGTATGGTAGAAAGACACCGATGTGGATTGGGTTTTTCCTCCTCCTTCTGGGCGCCGCCCTGCAGGGTGCCAGTGTCAGCTTGCCCATGTTCATCGTATCTCGTTGGCTCCTTGGTGCCGCGACTGCGTTCATCGCGCAGCCCGCGCCTATTCTCGTCACTGAGCTCGCCTACCCGACTCAGCGAGGCAAGATCAGTGCGCTTTACAACACATTCTTCTTCTTTGGGGCGATTCTCGCCGCATGGTCCACCTGTAGGCTCTTCACCCCTGAACTACATTCTTCTTTAGTTAACCGTGTGCAGATGGAACCTTCCGCTTGCCCTCAACATGGAGTTGGAGAATCCCATCAATCTTGCAGGGTGCTCTTCCCGCAATTCAGTGTGTATTCTTCTACTTTGTTCCCGAGTCACCAAGATGGCTGGTTGCCAATGGCAAGACCGATGTTGCCCGCGAGGTCATCACCCGCTACCACGCCGGCGGCGATTCATCCGCGCTTCTTGTCGACTACGAAATCAAGGAGATTGAGGAGAACCTCCGTATCGAGATGGAGGCATCCAAGGAGTCTTCCTACCTTGACCTTCTCAAGACTGGGCCCAACCGTCGGCGAACTCTGATTGCAGTTATCGTTGGTATTGGTGCTCAATGGGTATGTCGTTAATCCCTGCAAATCCATGTCTGGGGAACGGTAGCTAACTCGTAACAGTCTGGCAGCGGCGTCATCTCGTACTACCTTACCCTCGTGCTGAACACCGTTGGAATCACCGCAACCAAGGACCAAGCGCTCATCAACGGCCTTCTTCAGGTCTTCAACTGGATCGCCGCCGTGTTTGCGGGTGCGATGATGGTGGACCGCATTGGCCGTCGGAAGCTCTTCTTGATTTCAACCGCCGGCATGCTGGTCTGCTACGTCATCTGGACTATCCTCACCAGCGTGTTTGCGAGGACAAAGGATGAGAAAGCTGGCTACACGGTGGTGGCATTTATTTTCATCTACTACTTCTTCTACGACATCGCCTGGTCGCCGTTGCTCATGGCCTACCCCGTCGAGATCATGCCGTACACGCTTCGCGGAAGAGGCTTGACGATTTCCTTGGGATCAACCTTCATTGGTCTCATTATCGGACAATTCCTTAACCCCATCGGTATGGCAAACCTGGGCTGGATGTATTACATTGTCTTCTGTTGCATCTTAGCAATTCTCCTGGTCTTGATTTGGTTCCTCTTCCCCGAGACGAAGGGAAGGACTCTGGAGCAGATTGCCGAAGTTTTCGACGGCAAGAACCATTCACTTGGCATCAGCGGTGTTGGAAACGAGAAATTGAAGGACGATTTTGTGGAGGTTGAAAACGTTGCGGATAGAAAGGTCTAGAGTTGCGGTTGCTGCATGCAAATAGCATACAAGGTAGCGAAAGAGCGATTCCCAAAGCTCCTCTAGCCTTAATTGACAAAGTTCTGTTCGCATAATGATGTTCAAACCTTTTTAGAACTTTTTCCACTGATATCTGCCTTATACCTGCGGCATGAGAGATTGCAAAATACGTGTCTTCTAAGTCTCAAGTCGAAAGCTATGTGCTGTCTTGACGCTGAAGGCGAAAAGAGCTCGGAGAAAATTATATAACTCAAAGCCAATCCCCCCGTTGCAATCTTTGAATTTGTTTTCGCGTTAAGCAGTACACCGAATATGTCATCCTTCTCTGGATCGTGCCTTTGCGGTGGCATTCTTGTGTCTATCTCGTCAAACCCTGTAACCATATTCACATGTTTTTGTGACCACTGCTGCAAAGGCGCCGGAGGCACGCATCAAGTGGTAAGTGCAGAGATGATTACGCGATACAGCCCCCAAAAAGAGCTGACGCAATGCAGATTGCCAAATTCACTCATAAATCCGTAGCTATTACAACCGGTTCAGACCTCGTTTCCCACTTCACACTCAACAACACTTCGAGCGGCCTAGCCAAAGAAAAGGCGTTCTGTCGCGTCTGCGGGACCCCACTGTGGACGGCCCCCGCATCGGCGCAGGGGCAGTTTCTTCTCATCCGGACGAGTCTCCTGGACGGTGGGTATGTATCCGTAATGCACAGGTTCGGATAGGCGAATCGAAGCACGGCGCTGACCAGTCTCGGAACAAGATCCAACCTGACGCCGGAGGCTGAAGTATTTGTGAAGTCACGGCCCGCTTGGCAACACGCGGTGGACGGAGCTGTTCAATGGGAGGGCATGAGAAGATAAGCTAGTGTGGTTTCCGTAGTCAGTGGATAACCCCGGACATGACTCGGACAACATCCGGAAGACTAGACTAAACGAATCAAAGATCATTCCATTTTCCGTGCTCCGCCTAATGCGTCTTGTGACCCACTGCTTTCTTCGAGAGTCTCCCAAGCTTCTTCAACTCGCGTCGGAACTCGGCGGCGCTCCCAGAAATTGTCCTTCTTCTCCATCCAAACATTCCTGTCCGACCCCGAACTTTGCTTATTCTCCCCGCAATCTCCTATCTTGCTTTGACGAGTGGTGTCCGAGGTCCATGATTAGACTTAGCCTCCAGTGTCTACCTGCTTCCGAGCCGCTCACCACGTCATTCCGAGAGGACTCCTCGTCTCTCGGGAGGGGGGCTCTGCGCGTTGAGATACCGATCCCCACGTGCGTGCGCCCGCTATCGTTCCAAGCATGGCCAGCGGCGGGATGGAGAAAACAATGGAGCCCAAGCCGAAGCGGATCAAAATCGATGTCGCATGCGAGGCATGTCGAAGGAGGAAAGTGAAATGCGATGGGGCGCGCCCAGGTGAGTTCTCGGTGAGTGGTCTCGTCCGGCCAGTCTGATGTGCTCCGAAGCTTGGCTGGTGGGGTTCGGCACGGAAGCAGAAGTCTACTGCGGCGGCTTCTAGAACGTTTCGTCTCTTCCGAAGCTGAAGTCATCTGATTATGCGCATGCTAACGCTGCGATACAGCATGCGGAAATTGCTGGAAGAGGACGGACCTGAGAAATGGCTGTACCTACAGCTCCGAAACCCCAGAGAAGCCGCTTCCTGCTAGGGAAAGGACCTCAGATGTCAGCCCGGGCAACCCTCAGATGACGTTGCCGAACATCCTTCATACCCCAGAAGCAACCTTTGCGCAGCCTCCTCTGCCTCCTGGCCCCCGGCCCAATGCCACGCCAAAGTCAACGACATCGTCCGGTCCAGACCTGACAAGGCGAGGCCGGATGGATCGCCATCCCATCACCCCGTCCGATGCAAGTCCCTCGGTCGTGGATTCGATGACAACTGTGCGAGAGGATGGCACAGTAACTGGCGAGTATTTCGGTAGCAGCAGTGCGGGCTCGTTTACCAACCAGATCAAGGCAGCGATAGATGCCAGGTTGGGATCGGCAACGGAGACTAGAGGACCAAGGGGCTCTATCTTCAAGTCATCACTCCCTTTGAATGGAGGAGGCCCAGGGGGGCAAGCTGACTACGTGCTTCCGGCGCGTAAGCAGGCAGACCACTTGATGGACCTATACTGGTACTATGTTGATCCTCTGTATCCCTTTCTGGACCGCCAACGGTTTGACCATTCGTATCGCGCTCTCTTCGCTGGTACATCACTTGACGCCGATGAACGAGTATTCGTGAGCATACTTAACATCATATTCGCTCTCTCTACGCAGCTGATTGAGTCCATGCCGCCTGAGCAAAGGGACTCATCAAGTCAAGGGTACTTCACACGTGCTCAGGACCTCTTGCAGCTTAGTCTTTGGGATACAGGGTCTGTTGAACTCATCCAGTGTTTGCTTATCATGAGCCAATACCTGCAAAGCACAAATAATCCTCACCAGACTTGGATGATCGTGGGGTCTTGCGTAAGGATTGCACAGGGCCTGGGGCTACACCTGCCGGAGACAGCATTGGAACTTTCAAGTGAGCCCGAGAGGGACTTGGTCCGACGAATATGGCATGGCTGCATCCTCATGGATCGGTGAGTTCACAGTCTCGCTCACTATGAATTCATGTAGCTTACACCATCGCCCAGGATGATTGCCATTACCCACGGTCGACCAGCAATGATCTCAGATCATCTGGCATCGACTGTAGTTCTCCCTTCGATACCGGACGGAGACTCTCAGGGCGGAAACCCTGTTGAATTGCATCGTCTCAGGTATCAGGGCTTCTTCGTGAAATCGCTAGAACTGTACGAGGTCATCAATCAAGCGGTTCTTGCATTCTATACCGCTTCGCCTAGATTGAAGTCTCCCACGTCACCCACTCATCTAGGCCAGCACTCTCAAGAACGACATGAAGTTGATCTGGGTGTTGCCTTGCAGCTAGACCAGCGCCTCACTAAATGGGAAAAGAACACACCATCGTTCTTGGCCATGGCTGAGCCAGTGACCCAGTTAGATGAAGTCTTTCGTAGACAGGCTGTCATCCTTCGGATACGGTAAGTCTTCAGGCTTCGAAGTGAGGACTCGCCCCTGACACATTACCAGACTTCTCCACGCTAGAATGTTGCTTCTGAGACCAATGCTCACACGCTTCTGTTTGTCTCAATGCCCCGACTCGGCACAAGCTCACGACGACCTCTCATCTCGCGTTATGCAGCAGTGCGCCATGGTCTGCGTCGAGGCAGCGCAAAGCCTCATCTCAGTCATTGTACAATTCCAACGACACGACGGCACGCTCGGTCTTCTTCCCGCTTGGTGGTATCGGGTGTTCTACATCTACACAGCCGCCACGGTTCTCATTGCAGCCAGACTACGTCCAACAGTCTTCTCTTCCCTCGACATTTCCAAATCCTGGAATCAGGCCATGGCCCTTCTACACGATCACGAAAGCCTCGGACCTTCGCCCAAGAGATGTGCTGCAGCACTCCAGATCTTATCGACCAAGATGTTCCAGGAGCAACCTCAACCGCAGACGCTTCCCAACTCCGAAGCGAACACAGCTGTACCAGCTATTCCCAGCGAACAGGAGACCTTCGACATGCCTTTCACATATATGGCACAAGACGCAGCATTTGACATGGATGCAATATCATTTGATGTCAATGACTTCTCCTGGCTAAATAGTATGCCAGGAAGTCTGTAAAAGATGCTATCAGGCATCTCTATGTATATAACAACATTCATTCGTCGCAGAGATACCCGTTCAATGATTTAACCTGCCCAAACTGAGCCCTTCTGCAGCGGTGACTGGCGAGGTTTTATTCGAACACCATCTTGTTCTTCACACCACCCAACTTGCTTATCCTGACCTCAACGACATCGCCATCGTTCAGATACTTCGGCGGCTTCATACCCATGGCGACCCCCGACGGCGTTCCCGTGAGGATCACGGTTCCGGCCGTTAACGTTGTGCCCTGGCTGCAGAAGCTAACAATCTCCTCGACGCCGAAGAGCAGGTCACCTGTGCTCTCGTGTTGTCTTTCTTCGCCGTTGACGAATGTCTGCAGCAGAAGGTCGCTTGCGTTACCAACAACCGCTGGAGAGACGAGCATCGGGCTCAGCGGGGCGAACTTGTCGAAACCCTTGCTGAAGCACCACTGGGGTACACCGCCGGCCTTGGCGGGGTCTCTTTGCCATGCCCTTGCTGAAACGTCATTTGAGGTGAGGTAGCCAGCGACGTACTCGAGAGCCTTCTCTTTGGGGACGTTCTTGGCGTCCTTTCCAATCACGAAGGCCTTGAATCATCATCAGCTTAAGATTCGATAAGCGAGGGAAAGTTTCTTACTAATTCGCCTTCGTAGTCCACCGTACCGTCCTGAGCGACCTTTGGAATCGGGACATCCTCGTTCCATGCGGCGACAGAGGTTGCCGGCTTGATAAAGACAGACGGATACGGTGGCGGTGTTCGGCCGCCTTCCTTAACTGTAGACCGATCATCAGCATTTTACTCTGATCATTGTTCTGGTAAGGGATGTAACCTACTGTGCTTGACATAGTTCAGACCAATACATCGAACAATTGGAACATCCTTCGGCGCTAGGAGGGGTCGCAGGGCCTTGACGTGCACGCGTTCGCCCTTGGTCAGGGTTGAGACGGGACTTGCGCCATCGAAGACCACGGCCCACAAGTCATTCTTGTCGAGCCGCTCCGTCAGTTCCGTCTCATTCTGGATCTCTGGCTCGCCAAAATGCTCGACATCATTGTCATCAACGAAGCGGACAAGACGGTTCCAAGACATGGTGGGCAGATGTGTGGCAGAAAATAGGTGTTTGTTTCTATTTTAGCAACAACGATGCCGTTTCGCCGCAGTTCTTGGACAAATCTCTCTTTAAAGCGCGTTTCTGAGATGATGCTAATCTTCCCCTCAATGGTCCCTTACTGGGGCATCTGTCAGATGGGCCAATCATGGTTGGTTCCGGTGGTGATGGTCGGGGAATTGTGCGACGCGTCGGAACTCGGAATGAGGCCAGCTGCATGCACCGGACCCGTCCCGGGTGGCGCCGTTCCGCACCTTTACTGCGGGCAAGGGGGTCAGCAATCCGGGGATAATGGGGAAACGCTCCTTGATAACCTCCGTCGATGGTCCCTCCAGTATCCAACTTCATCTCTTGAACTGCGCCTTTTCGATCGAGCACGTCAAGCTACGTTTTCGCCCTCTGCAATCTCCAAACCACTTTCACTTCGTTACAAGCGCGGTCAACTTTGAAGCACTTGCACACCCCGAACGCCACCATGGACTCCCCTCACGAGGACGACCAATCGGCCAAGGCCATGACCGACTACCTGCAGCAGCTCCCAGCCCAACACCTCGAGCCACTATGGTCCCAGATGAACGTGATGGTGCCACCAACACCACAGCCGGTCGCACGGCCACACATCTGGAAGTACGCCGACAATCTACCTCTCCTCCACAAGGCCGCCGAGATGGTGGGCGAGAAGCAGGCTGAGAGGAGAGTTCTGATGCTGGTCAACCCTACCATGGGTATGTTTGATATCACCGACAATTTGACTGTTGAGGCTTACACGTCGTAGAATCGCCTTACACCACCGACACTATCTACGGTGGTCTTCAAATAGTTAATCCTGGGGAAACAGCACCAGCTCACCGACACATTGCCTTCGCCCTCAGATTCATCATTGACGGCGAGGGTTTCACTGCCGTCGAGGGTAAGAAGATGCCTCTTAGGAGAGGTGATGTCGTCGTCACGCCCGTCTGGCACTGGCACGACCACGGCAACGAGAGCGATGCCCCCGTCATCTGGCTGGACGCCCTCAACCTCCCACTCTTCAGATTCACTCCTGTTCACTTCGCAGAACAGTACCACGAAAGCAGATACCCCAGCGTGTAAGAGCTTTCCTTCCACTTTCATGGCACTGTGCTAACATTCAGTAGTTTGACTGAAGACTGCGAATGGAGGCATCCATGGGACAAGGTCGAGGTCGAGCTCAAGGCCCAGCAGGGTCCTCACGCCATCTACCACTACACCAGCAACGGAAAGCCACTATCCCCCATTCTCGGCGCCCAAGCTGAGCGCATCGATGGCCACCACACGACGAAAGAGGTGCGCGAGCAAGCATCGTTCCTCTACCACTGCTACGAGGGCCAAGGACAGACCATCGTGGAGCCGCCATCAGGTCCCCGGGTCATCTTCAAGTGGTCCTCGAGGGATACGTTCGCCGTGCCTGCGTGGTCCAAGATTCAACACATCAACGACCTTTCCACAACGGCGTACCTGGTCGCTGTTAGTGACAGGCCGCTGTTGAGCAGTATCGGCCTGATCAAGCCGGAGTCGTCGGTATAATGCAGAGACCGAATGCCATCTGGTGAGACTGGGTAGGTTAACTAATACGAAATACATGAGTTAGTCGAGTTCATCGAGCGAATGTTCAACCTAGATTGTCAATACCAAGGAAGTCCCTGTGTTTGTTCACTGATCGATTGTGTTTGATGACTATATGGATTCTGCGAAAAGAAAACAAAAAAGTAAAGAAACATAGAAGTAGAAAGGTACTACCCTCGTGTTCCAGCTTGGAAGACACAGCTAGGCACCCATCAAAGGCAAAAACCTTTTGGCATGAACACACACCGAATAAAGCGTACACATTAACTCAGGAGCTGGACAATAATATCCGACTATCCGAGATTCAACTGCGTAATGTCGGATGGGTCGCTCTTGAAGTCCGACGACACCAATACAAATACCAAGAGACACTGTGCTCCTGAGCCCACTCTGAGTTTGGAGGTGCACGTTCCGTCTGATGAATTGCCATTCATCGAAGAACTCCTGTTTCAGCTGATATTTCCTCCTAGTGCAACAGAGCTACATAACTAAGGATGTATTCATTCTACCAGGTCCCATACTGCTGGAGGATCGCATTGCTGTATTGAATTTCCAAAGTCTCAATGCCTGGTTCGTCGACAACTTCGGCATCATGAAGAACTGGGCATCAAAGCTTCGATCCGCTGCATCTGGAATAAGACCAGCACATCTTCGTAGGGGCCAATGCTGATGGCGCACCGTCCCCCTCCATCGCGAATGCCCACGTGTAATAGACTTTCGCTCTACACAAAAGGACCAATCATTAAATCAATCGAGCATGGAGGTTCACGTATTCTTCCGATCCCGTTGATATAGCTTCCTTGGTCTTACGAGCACTTGTTTCAAGGGAACCTTGCTTATCGCCAATACCTTGCAACACCTTGATCTGCATACTTCTTGAATCATGGGTCATGCCCGTTGATCACTGCTAATTTGCCATATCTTGAGATGAATCTGCTGTTCTATCACCAACAGAGTGCGATTTTCGTTCCGAACCCGAAGTTCTTGGCCAGTAAAGATTTAGCGACTAAGTAGTGTTTTTTCCACCAAAGAACTCGTCGGATACAGTCTCCGCATGTTGATGACGTTCATCGCGATGCTACGTTCGTCACCTGGCCTCACTCGTTCGATGCCGATTAGGGACATACCACCGGCCTAGACCTCATGGCGGACAGGAGCGCGCAAGTCATCGCCGTGGCCATTCTGTTCTTGGCTTTGACGTGGCTTGCGGTCGGCCTGCGGATTTACTGCCGGACGTTCCTGGTTCGGTGTATTGGTAATGATGATAAGGTGATGGAAATGCTCTTGGTATGTGTTGTTGCATAGCTGCCAGACGTATTGAAGCTGAGAGTCTCACTCATAATAGGTCCTGTTCACCGTCTATCTAGGTTTACAGATTTACGGCGGCACGCGTGGGATAGGTCTTCTCGATGTCGACCTGACCCCCCAGAAGAAACTCGAATCCCTCAAAGTCAGTTCCAACGGTCTTCAGTCAGAAACGTATTGACACCTATGTCTCCCAGCTGTGGTGGGTACTGGAACTCCTCAACGTCTGCTCAACCTGCCTGCTCAAAATCTCCGTCGGCTACTTCCTCCTCCGAGTTGCGATAGAACGACCGCACATCTTGACGATATGGCTTTTGATGGCGGGAACAGTGGTCTTCGGGACGACGTACCTTCTCATGGTCGCATTTCAGTGTCGACCCGTCCCTACATACTGGGAGGAAGGGCCGCGCACACCCGAAAAGTGCTGGCCGCGGCAGGTCATCCTCATCATGACCATCGCAGCGACGGTGATCAACACGAGCGCGGACTTCATCTTCGGCACGCTCCCGTGGTTCATCGTCCGATCCATGAACCTGCCCCTAGGGACCAAGATTGTGGTCGTCGGTATACTTGGTCTCGCCGCGATGTAAGGCAGAACTTCTCCCTATTGTAGTACTCTACGCAAGGTCCAAGGCTGATGTCAGTGGTTGCACAGCGGGAGCACGGCTACGATTGTACGGGCATTCTACATACCAACCTTACTCGATGGTGAAAACTTCTTGTGTACGGCAGTTCGTCCATGATACCACCACAGTACACATCAAACTGATCAAGGCTCTGCATGTAGATGAGACTACCAACTTCGCAATATGGAGCACCGTCGAGCCAGGAGTCGGCATCATCGCCGCCTCCATCGCCACCTTACGGCCCCTCTACAAACTCGTGGTGACCCAAATGCGCCGCACCGGCTCCAGCGGCTTCCGGAGAGACCAACGGCGCCAACGACAACAAGCCCGGCGAAACGAGACGAGCCGCCAGGTCAGAGCGGCACACAACCTCGACCTCGAGAATCCACCACCAACCGACACGGCCCTCACGTCGCCCCAAGGCATCTTCGAGGTCAACCCACCGCCGCTGCCTCCGCTCAGCAAGAACACCAACTCGACGCTGAAATCCAGGACGACGACAGACGGCGGGGACCGTCATAGCCACAGCACGCGCCGTACGTTGACCCTGATGGAGTTCCCTCCGGCATTACGGTTGAGCGACGACTTCCGCCGGACTATGCAGCGGCCGCCGGAAGAGTGGCTCGCAATCATAAGGGTTGGTCTACTTTAAATTATCGTGTTTCTTTGAACTATCGTATTCCTAGTTCTCGTGGGCTGACAAAGTTGCCAAAGGCCGAAGAAGCCAAAGACCCAAAAGCTGAGGAAGAGGGAGACGAGCAAGACGACAGCGATGAAGAGGAAACCGAAACCCCTCCAACTGTCTTATCCCCTCCGCCGCCGCGAAAGTCAACCTAGTAGAGAGCACGGCCTCGAATCTTTCAAAATCGAGTGTTGAGAACCGAGGTGGGAAGGAAATGGCATCGAATATCAATTGGTCTATCACATGATAGAGAAGGGACCCAGTAATCCCTCACTACATAACAACCGACAGAGAGTGAATTGCGCGCCAGCTCGAAAGCACGATATTATACCCAATATCGAATTATCGTTTTTCACATTACTCCTGACATGTGTTCCTCATATCCAAGTACTTACTTGTTGAGTTATCTACCTGTCCACCTGAAAAGAAGGAAGTCTGACGTACGGAACGAGCAAGTCGCGCCAGGAGAAAGATGTCTGTCCACTATCTAATGCTAAGACGTGGCTGGAACGTTGGTTTGATTGGTGGCTTCCTTTGGGGAAATAGACATGCCTCTATTCACCAGCTTTTAATCCAAGCGACATGGCAGCAAAGGGGGTGAGCACAAATGCCAGTGCTGACTTTATATATTTGCTGTTGTTTGAACATTCTGGCCGTCAATATCGTCGCTTATGCCGAATCATAGGAGCTTATGAGTTGCGCGCTTGTCTCTCAACGACTGCACAGGCAACGTATTTCTCCAGATAATATCAGGCGCAGGTTTGCTCACCACAGCAAGTACTTCAGATTAACTATCTGTCTACAATTCATAGTAGAACGCCTTTCTCTTGCTATCAATCTGAATATCCCACCTGGGGCCATTACTCACTAGCGATTTATTAGTATGTACCAAGCAAGGTGATTGCTGTTTATCTCTATCGCATTACTACTACAAGCATGAAATTGCTATCGCGTACGTTACGATTGAAGCTATCGCTACATACTCATCAAAGGTTATGATCGCGTACGCTATATTCAAAGCGTCGCGCATAATACAATCGAGGCGCTAAGCGCGCCCAATCAAAGTCTGGCTGGCTTGCGCTGGGATTGAAGTTGGAGGGGACACTGCCCAGCTTGCCAACATAACAACACTGCCCGGCTGGTAAATCTCTTTTCACAAACACCATCGTAGCCGCAACTTGCGGCCAATACATTCGTGCTTTTGATATACTCCAATCTCAAGTCGGAATCATGCCTGATGTTTGTCACAAACACTTCGAGGTCAAGCAGAGTGGTACGGACCAAAGGGCAGCCAAGCCCGGCACTGGATCTGGAAGATCAACGGTGTCCGTATAAGAAATCCTGGAGGGCGGGTCACACAGAACGACATTGGATGGAAAAAGATTGAACATGTAAATGCCCCGAACTTTTCACGTCCAAGGAGATCTCCGAGAAACATCGTGTACGGTGTGGCTTCCCCGACTAGACTTTTCCCCTTTTACCTAAACATTCCCCCTTGCCCAAAACTCCCACAAACGTGCCTGCCATATGGGTATCTATGCCAGTAACAACCAATTTCCACCCACCCACGCTCTTCCGACATTCGTACGTATACATTACGCAATATCACTAGTCCGTATGATCTTGCTCAACTCCTTTAGCTTCACGGGCTTTGTCAGGAATAGATCAATGCCGCTCGCGAACGCTTCCTCCTGGGCGCTCGCAGATGCCAAACCCGTGAGTGCAAACACTTGGCACCGAGGTATGTTCTTCCTCGTCTCGAAGACGCGGATCTCTCGGGTGGCTTCGAAGCCATCCATGACGGGCATGGAGATATCCATGAACACACACTTGATTCGGCCTTCGCTTTTCTTAAAGGCCTCGACGGCTTGTTTCCCATTCATTGCTGTCGCATACCTGTGGCCCAGCTTCTTCATATATTCAGACAATATTTTCAAATTAATTGCGTTGTCGTCCACGAGAAGAAACAAGTTTTGATCGTTATCGCTGTTGTTGGATGACTCATCTGGTTCCCGGTTGTCAGGTGTCGGTGTCGACGATCCGTTGGGAACTGGCCGCTCCGGTAACGTCTCAGTCCTATCGTGTTCCACATCTACTTTTTTGGCCGTATCTATCGACTCTGCCGGTTGCAGACTTGGAATATTGAAGTATTCTGTGTCATCGGGGGCGGGTTCCTTGCTCAGGGCTGCTGTTGATCTTACGTCTAGAGAGTCTAGAGCGGATGCACCGTCAAGGTTGTCCCGGTATTCAGATGTGGCCAGTGATAATGCTGTCGGTGTCTTGATAGCGGAGGCCTGCATTCTTGTCCATCGCCTGAAGCTCAGCAACAAGATTCGTGCAAGCTTCCTCGGCCCAATGCTGTGGTATTGTTAGTCTGAAACCGGCAAGTTGGGATCGTCAAAACTTACGGCTGAGATACGAACTCGAACACAACTCGGCGGGTTGTGAATCGAGGAGAAGTCGCCAGTTGTCTCGCAATCAAGGCATTCCGACATACCACGACAACAGGAGTGGATCCACTGCCATGTCTCTGTTCGAAAAGAAGACGGTCAAGATTCCGTTCTGTTGCCAATATAAGGTCGGGAAGGAGCCTTTTCAAGGAAGATGCGTCTATAACCTGCATCTCGAGCCAGTCGCGGCATATATTTTCAAGTAAAGTTGCCTCACTTGATGTGTTCGCCGAAATTTCGTCATCCGCTGTGCCGACGTTTGCTGAGAACCCGAGGAGGCGTACCCTGAGGCCTTTCAACTCACTCACCTGGGCTCGGAATTCATCAAAGTTGACAGTTTTCGGGATGCTGCTTTTGGGCGATGGGGTTGACGCCTCCTGTAGTGGTAGTTTGACAGTAACCTTGGTGCCTCGATTGAGTTTGCTCCAAACCTGGATCGACCCTCCTAAGCGAGTGACAACCTCCTTCACTAGACTCAAGCCGAGGCCCGTACCAGCTGAGAGGTTGTCTTCTTGATGGAATGGGGCATATAGGTGATACCGTAGATAGTCTTCGGACATGCCCTTCCCAGAGTCTGTGACGATGATGTGAATTTCTCGAGATCCAGGTCGTGAGGAGTCCAGCTGGAGCACGTTGACGTTGACGAAACCCCGTGTGGTGTATTTGAGTGCGTTGCCAAGGATGTTGAGAATGATCTGAGACGTTTAGTCATGGACGCTGAGGGAACCAGGAAACACAACTTACCCTTCGAAGTGCACCGGGTTGGGTGTTAAAGCGCCAGGAGGCGGCTGGATTCACATCGTACGTTACCGAGACATCGCCCAGCAAGATCTGAGAATCGCCGCCTTTGTTGGTTTCTGATGACATGTTTTCAAGCGCCTGCATGCTGTCGAGCCTATGTAGAGCATCAATATCACCATGTTCCGAAGGTCGGCTTTCTGTCAACCGCGATACGGCAAACCGCTGGAAACTGAAACCGGCGCACACACTCTCGATGACCTCCTCTGCAAGCACGTCAATGTTAACGTTGCGACTTAGGGACATCATTCCGGCCTCGATGGTGAGTTTCTTGTCGACATTGCGCAAACCCCGATCGGCCATGCCGGAAGTGCTCTTTCGGCGTCCAGTCGTTGGTCTGAGGAAGTTTCCAAGCTTGCTGTAGTCAAGAAGATGGTCCATGGTGTCCAGCAGGGTCTTCCCGCATGTTTCTACAGAGTGCAAGACGTCTCCCTGAAACGCATCGAGGTTTGTATCTTGCATCAGCTCTGCGCCGAGCAGAATGCCATGTAAAGGCGAACGAAGCTCGTGCGATAGAGAGCTGAGTAAATCAGACTTCGCCTTATCTACCATACGAGCATTGTACTTGGCAACTTCTGACATGATAACAGTCCCAAAGGCTCGCAGGTAGCTGAGCTCGCTCTCGATGGTCAGAACGCGAGTGGGAGTTTTCGTGTAAACAAAACCACCCGAATACCATCGCTGTTTTTGAGCGTCCCAGAGAGGGACGAGGGCAACACTCCTAGCGCCAGAGAAAAGGGTCATGAGCATCTTCCCCTCATTCTGACGCGACAGCAGCTTCTTGTTCCGCTTGCGAGATCGTTCAGACATTTGCAGCTCGGAGAGCGTTTCCTCGTCCACTGGAGACAGCGGTGTCGCCAGGTCTTCGCCTGAGAAATCAGTCGACTGCAGAGACCCATTCTCGTCGAAAGCAAAGATGCGACCAGAGGGATACCGACGCAGCAGCTTGGCCAGGAAAAGCTCCGAAAAACGACGCTGGTCCTTGGGGGTATTCTGCCGGTCAATACTGGACGTCAAGGAGTTCGAGTGACCAAGTATACGACAAGGCACATCCGCCTCGTTATTATAGAGAGTTTTTCTTGAAGGGAGTCCGCTGCTGTGCTCATCGCTGCTGGAGGAAGAGCTAAAGCTTCCCGAGGTCGTCGTCTTGGTGGCCAAACCGGCAAAGGAACCAATGCTGGCATCTAGAAACAAGGCACCTTCGACCTCGATACTCTCACGGATAATGTTCGCCGCCTTGGAGAAGATATGGTTGATGCCTTCCTCGTCGCTGGTCTGGCTTGTTGTCTCTGTCATTGTCTCTGTCGTTGGCAGTGTATTGTCATCCGAATCGTCCGAAGGAGATGATGGACGCCGATGACCTCTCTGTGGTGGCAGGGAGGGGGACTTCTTCGGGCTTGGAGTTGAGGGTGTGGCAGAGTCAGGCGTAGACTCATCGTCATGGGCATTGTCTTCCTCTTGGTTGCTCTGGAGCCGCTGCTGATTTTGATTCAAAGCACCTTCGACAGATTGGTCGTTTGTGTGACTTTGCGACGCTAGCTTGGACATGGTGGATTTTCCTTCGACGAAGCTTCCCATGCCACGAAGCATCCTCACCGCCCTATGATGCCTCTGGACGGTACGTTTAGAATCTAGGTGGTCAGTCACCATTCTGGACAAACCCCTCAGAAGCTGGGTAGAGTGGAAGCCCAACTCTTGCCGCGGGTCGGCGGACCAAACAGAGAAGACGCCGATGCTGACACCTCTGCGCGACTTGATAGGAACGCCCGCGTAGAAACGAGGGTTCGGCCACTGCATGCTCAGAGACTTGTCTGAAAATTTCGGGTCGCTCGTGAGATCGGGGATGACAGACACGGGCAGTGCGTCACCGTCAGACGACTTGTGTCTGGCGGTGCTGTGCGCGAGAAGGACAGACTCGCATATCCCATGTGCGCGGGGTAGATGGGTTCCGCAAAGCCACAACCGTTCTTCGGGATCCAAGTCGGCGGTAGTCGCATTCGGGAACAAAAGTAAATTTGGTGTGGCTTCGGCTACAATGTATTGATACTTGCGGTCGAAGAGGGATATCATGGCACGAGAAGCTCCCATTCGCAAGGCGCCCAGCTGGGCGAAGGCAGTAAGGGAGGCATCAGGGCAAGCCTTTATCTCGGATGGAGGAATAAGGTTGGCAGGGTCGTTCTTGCGCGATGCGGAAATGAGGGATGTGTCGTATCTGCGGCAGCATTAATACGACGGCGACGAGAAGGTCATTAGGAAGCGAATGCCTACCTGAAGGTTTCGCGCTCCCGGGCGGACTCGAATGAGGCTTGGGATTTGCCACCAACCATGGCTGGAGACATTACCTGGGGGTTTCCAGGAGCCTCAAGTCGGCGCGTGGGACGATACGAGGCGATGGAATGATTCAGACAATCGACAGGACATTCGGGGTAGGCAGGCAGCGCGGAGGATGCAGAGGGCGGACAGGAGCGTGATGCAGGTCGGTCGGTGGCGTGGGCTGGATGGCGGGGGGCCTTGTGGTTGAGGTTGGTTGAAGAGGGGAGGAAGGCAAAGGCCAAGCTTGGCGGCGAAGAACTGCGATGGCGGGTCGGAAAATTGGAGATTCGGATGGCAAAGTGGCATAGGAAACGCCGTCTCCAGCAGCTGCTGTGTGGTAAAGGTAAGTTGGCCGTGACTGTTCCAGGTCGAGTGCGTGCTGTGCCGTGCTGCGCTGTGCTGAGCTCAGTACGATATGGCCAGGTCTAGACCATGTGTCTGCTGGGATTGCCGAGTGGTACCCTGTCGAACAGAGAGAGACCTTGTTCCGCACCGGATGGATTTCAAAAAGTCGACTGCTGCGGCTGCAAAACTGCGATGGAGGAGTTGGAGCGGCTTTGGCACTATCGGCGGAGGGCACCTGAAGAGCTGCGAATGCGACAGGTCGACCGTGTCTGGGTTTGGAGCGTCGTGCGGGTTGTGCAGGATGGATGCGAGGATCGGCGGGCCTGTTCCGATTGATCGTGACAACGATAGGTATGTTGGTAATATTGGCGACGATGGTGGAAAATGAGGAAAATGCTGTCCGGAAAGCTGAGCTGCTGAGCTGCCCCGTTTGGCACCTCGACTGGACTTTTACTTTCTGGCTGCAGCCATCTGTATCTTGGCGGGACCTGGAACTAGGGGGGGGGGGGGGGGGGGGGGGAAAAANGGGGGGGGGGGGGGGGGGGGGGGGGGGGGGGGGGGGGGGGGGGGAACGGAACACAGACAGAACGGGAGGAGCTGGGGACAGGAGGTGGGCGACTGCCAGACTGGAACAGGGAAGCAAGCACCTGAGTAGCCGTACTGTGCGGATTGCAGTGGCAAACATTTAAGTGGAATCGGGAAGTCGCCATGTCGAGCGTCAGATTTGCATCACCCGCCCCGCGAAAGTCCTGTGCTGCACAGTGCCGGAGCAAAGCGCGATTACCTTGTCCCGATGCTGCTGCTCGCTTACCTAAGGCAGGGAGGAGCAGGGATGGAGGATGGAGGCGATGGTGTGGTCAGAAGCCCCACAGTGCCCTCGTCTGCCATCCGAAATCACGGCAAGTCATCTTTTGGGTTGCGGCCATCGCAGTGACAATTACGGATACATCTACGACGACCCGGCAAACCTGTCCACGATGCAGATTCGATTCAATGCATTGGCAGCTGCGCACCCAACAGACAAACCAATGGGCTGCCCCGCGAAACACGACTACCTACCACTCCAATGGGCACGGCTGGTCGAAATCCTTTCTTTGGGTGCGCCATGGACTGTTCCAGACCACACCGCTGCCGCTGTGCGACGGTCGACCCCTGCCTGGCGTGGCATGCACATGTCGCTCAAATACGACCTTGCTTGAAGCAGGCTGCTTCGGCTGGACGTGAGTGAGGGGTCACGATTTTCTCCAACGAAGCTTTCCCCCTTCGATTACCCCCGTGCTGGAAAGACAATGTCCATCTATTCGTTTTGGGGGCTTTTCGATACGAACAACCATACGAGGCCGTCGTGTCGAGACGATGGACGACCATCATTGCCGAAGCAGGCTCATCCTGCCCCCGAAAAGTCTGTCGCAATTATCTCGCGCACAATCGGTCCATCCTTCGCGAAGGCGTCGCGAAGGCGTCGCGAAGGCGTCGCGGGCAGTCATGTGTCAACAATCAATGCAAAGCTATCGACAGTGTTCTGCTTGCTGAGCGCTGCTCGAATTTCGGCATGCTAGCTTGAAGGTTTTCTTCTCTGCGAGGCTGAGGCAGGCAGAAGCGTTTTACCACAGGTGGCAAGTGACGAAGCGGCTGTTGCACCTCGTCATCGGGCCTTCCAACGGCAGTGGCTGTGCCAAAGCTTCGGCGCGAGACGGCCGTCAACCCGCTGCTCAGGGCATATTGACACATCAACAACGCGGCAGAGTTGGCGGGGTCGGCGTCCGGGGGCGGGAGATCGCCGGATAGTGACACTGTGCCTGTCGTCGAAGGATCGGGTCCGAAAGGCCATGTTGTTGCCCGAAAACCCATGCCAAGGTGGCGCTTGTCAAAGTGCGCCCATGATCTGGCAGCGTGATCAAACTCACTTTGGAAAAATGGCGCAACTTCACGCGACGCAGTGGAGAAATCTGTGTGATCGGCACGAGCACAGATGCCAGATCGTCGGAAGTTTTCTGCTGGAGGTTTCGAACTGGCACCGATCCTCGAAGATGCTTGGTTGCCAATCCACGGCAAGACAACTCATCCCCTTTGCCCAAGAAAGAAAACATTGTCGATCTCGTCAACAAACGGCGTCGGCATCGCTTTTGGTTATCTCGACAACGGGAGGCAATTTGCCACGTGCATCTGGATACCCAGCCGTGAGCGCGTACCCGAAAGACCGCTGGAAATCAATGACGACGGCGCGGAACATGCCGTTCGACAAACTCGAGGCGAACGCGGCTCGAAGAGCTCGACGCGTCACTATCGCAGACCAAAAATAGTCGTCCGATCAAACTTCGACTGGTCATATTCGATGTGAGGGGCAAACAGCAATACCCTCAAAAGCTCAGCCACGGCGATGATGTCAATCTACCCCCAGTAGCATTCGGTCCCGAGTATCTCAAAGTGAGCCGAGCCTTTCGGCGGATGAATCTTACTAGAGGTGCCAGCATCTTCAGATGATGTACCGCGGCTTCTTCCGCCGTCGCACGGCTTTTTTGCCTCCGGGATGAACGGACGAATCCGGCTGATGCAGCGGACGGGACGGGATCCACCCCCGGCCGTTGGGCGGAGCTCTCTCGGCATGCCTCATGTCAGTCCGTTCTCTGGAGGGCTCCTCTTGGCGGGACGGCGCCGGCGCTGCTTCGACACGCAGATCAAAAGACCGTCTCCAAATCTTGTCTAGGACCCTTTGCCAATCTTCTCGCCACGCATCTTGTGCGATTGGTGAGCATTCACCGCGCGGCCATGGCTGATTCTGTCGATCAGGGACTGACTCAAACTGCGGTGAATCACAGTCAACAAAGTGTTTGGACTGGAGAAGAGAAGGAAAATACGGCAGAGCCAAAACACGAGCTGAGAGTCGTCCTAGGTGTCGTCAACTTTCTTCTGCGAGACCCTTATTTCTCGCCAATCCTCCGCGGTGCTTCATCCCTTTCAACTGCATTAGACGGCGCTCGGATCGCGGCTGCATGGATCGCAAGCTGTGAAGACTTGAGGAAGCACGTCGGAGCTGGCATCGCCTTGCAGTCTGATCTGCATATTCGGACGTAGCCGTTCACAGCTGTGATGATCTTCACCACAACCATATCATCTCGGCGGAACTGCATCGTCTGGTTCCGCGGTCCGAAAAGACGCATGAGTCGTGATGTGCTCGGGATCCCTCATGGCCCCTACTCATCCCACACCAAACAGCGAGCCAGCGAATAGACATTTCGAGACGGCGACTGGTTGATAGACCGGCTGCTTGCACGCTTGGTTTTCCGTGTGTCACAGTCGCACTTGACGACGATCGGTTGCTGTTGGACCAACAGTCCCTGAGTGATTTTCTGGACTGCTTTCCCCCTCATTGTCTGACTCCGGGCCTTAATACAACTCAAACAAGTTGAGACGGAGGCTTATGTATGGGCACAGATGGACCAGTCGCCGAGCGCGAGCCCAAGTGGCCATGAGGCAGGGGCCCGTGCCACGGCTTGGCCCTTTGCTGCCTTCTGGACCGTTTTCGCCCCGCGGCCGGTCGGCTGACAAGCGTGACATCTTCAGGCGCTGTGTGGTTTCCGCGGGGACTCTGTTGTGCTGTGCATGTGCAATGTTGTGCTCGCGCACTTTTTTCTTCTCCTCTCATCTGCCCAAGAGGCGTTGATGATGAGACGAGGTGGCGCGCTGCTGTCTCACCCAACGATCCTGGCAGCTCGTGGGTATCAAGGCAGCCAACAATTCCGACTCGCAAAGGTCTAGGCCTTCGCTGACTGGCTTGCCGCTTTGCTGCAACTATTCCATCCTTCCAATCCCCCACTCCAGTGCGACGCTGTAGTGAGAGATTTAGGAAGTGAGGGGGAAGACATGCAGTGGTAGGGGAGGGGGCGTTTTCTGGCGGCCCAGACAGTCGGTAGCGAATCCTTGTGTTGGTGGCACACCGCCGATCTCCCGATGTCGACGGTTACTGAAGGCTGCGGGTGGAGGGGCTGGCCGTCAGCAGCATCGAGGGACTACCGAGGGCCGGAAATGAATGGCGTCAACCAAGGGTCCCAATCCATCCCAATCAAGGCACCAGCACTGTCGGCTATGGGATACTATTGACGGTCCCGAGAGCTCGGTTGCAGAACAGCTGGGAATGCGACAGAAGCAAACCGATTCACATTTGAGTCACTGTTGTTGCCACGACGAACATCTCAACTCTGGCTGTTGGGAATGCGCGCGGGCGATGGGGGCTCAGAAGAAAGGACGAAGAGCTCAGCTCCAGCCTGCCGCGCGACGAGTCTCGCCCGCCCGTTATCGCCAATCAAACGGTCCGCCACCCATTCGTCTGCTGTACACTGCGGCAAGCCGCGCTTCGAGTCTGGCGAGGTGAGCACTTGGACACCCAATGGTCCAGCCTGGGTGCGCCACTGGACGAGTCAAGTCATTCAGCTTGGCTTGATGGCTGGCGTCTGGCCATAGACTCTGCACATCCCCTTGGTCGAGCTACTCTGATACCAGACTAGACCTGGTAGCTCCAACCTTACGGCGTGCGACCATGATCAATCAAGAGCAGACCGAAGAAGAAGGAAAAAAATAAATCACGAACAGGTGGGCATTAAACTCCCAGTTACGAGTCTGCATGAACTCATCAAACTGCGGGTGAAAAGTGTTTTGTGAGTCTTGCCTC